ACAAAGTACCGAGATTTTACAGCCTCGACAGTCTACTGAAGTTCATGCTTGTGTATTTTTCCCTTGGAATTCCGGGTCTCTGAACACTCTCTGGGATGGTTTCTTTCAAGAGTCTTTTGAAGAATGGAATGCAATGGTTTCTGAATTCCACGATATGGTCTTGCTTTCTGGAGAAAAGGGAGCATATATTGTGCACCTACAAAGTTTAAAACCGATTATTTCAATCCCATTGCCTGTTACTCGCTCCTGTGAATGACTAGTACCTCTGGGTCTCTTACAACCGCTTACACCAGTATATTGACAGTCAAACCTCTTGCGACTGACATAGTAAATGTCGCCTGGGCTCTCAGTTCAGACGAGTGGCTCGATCCACTCGTAATACTATCATATCTCGGCTTGATCTTTATCTACGACGTCAAGAAGCGCCAGATAGTCAGCCAACTTCGGGGACACGGTGCTGTACGTCTTTCCTCCGCCGTAATACCTCCTCCTCCTCAGTTTTTGTTCTGTATAGCCAATAACATACTATAGCCGTCCACCCTAAATTGCCTCATCTTTTCTGCACCACTTCCCGGGACTTCTCAACACGAGTGTATGATCTCACGTTAAAACCCAAACAGCGGCCGTCGAATCCTCGTTGGCCTCCGAACAAGCAACCCAGTCTTGCTGGGCCCGCTCATAGGTCTAGACATGACCCAGATAGAAGGTCCTGCAGACGGCGTAGGACGGTGTGTCCTGGTTCTCATGGGGGGTAGATCGGGAGGCCATCAAGGCGAAGTTCTAGGAGCTGTTTGTAGCATGATTGCTGACATCCTTTTTAACTGATGAAGACATTCACAGGATTTTCATCCTCGACAACCTCTTCTAGCAACATGCGGAGTAAGTCTTTCGTAAACAAATTATGCCCGAGTAATCTAATCGTCAACAGATGGATCGATTCGTCAAGATTTGGCACCTCCCTCCGCAGCTAGTCCAACACAAAGCATCCAAGAATAACGTCCCTTTGCTCCGACAGGACAAGCCTCTTTTCAGTAGTAGCAGACTGCATAAAGCACGGGTCATTTCTGTCTCATGGTAATCACACGTTTCCACATATCCGAGTTTCTTGCCTAAAAGGTTCCAGGTTGGAGGACGATACGTTACTATCTCACAGTGCGCCGGCTATCATGCGCTTGGATCCCTCGGATATTGGCAACAAGGTCACGTATATCGAGCCAGGGACCATCGTCCTATGGCGCTGGCTAAGTCTTAACCGGTTTTTTCCCGCAACGAAGCCTCCAGACCAAGAGGTTCTGCGTGGATGCGCGTCTGTGAGTATAGTGACTTCTATTCTTGGTCCACTAATAAAAATGTCGACAGGACTATCAACAAAGTGGTATGAACGCTTTCTCTCTATGGTCGCCGACTACGTTGAACTTTATATCTAGCTTCATTCAAAATACTATCTGTCTACTCCATTACAGAGTGCGTGGACTCTTACAATCCACCTCGACTCTCTGTTTTCAGGAGTGAAAAACACTGTCCAATTATCCTGTTCACTCGTCCAAACTCCAACACCATCACCCTGTATAATGTTGCCCATTTTGAGGCCCGTAGTGTGCCGCCATTCACCTCGGATGTAGATGATGTCGCTGAACTGACAGAAAGGATGCAGTTGACAGAAGATGTGATTGCACGTCTTGTTGAAGAGCAAAAACCAAGTCCGCGAGGGTGGGAAATCATGCTCCAGGCACAAGACCGTACATTTCCCAGAGTCGCTGATAATGTGAAGGAAACTCTCGTGTCCTGTTCCATGGGGTTCGGAGGTCGGGTCATTGTGGGAACAGGGTCCTTGGGCAGCATATGGATCTGGCGCAGGGGTAAATTTAGTTATCTTTGGTGATCTTGGGCATGCACATTGATATATAATGCTTCAAAGCTTCCAAAGTCTGAAAAGAAGTGATCCAATTCCACAGTAAAAGTACGAACAGTAAGTAACGACATTGCACTCTTATATATATACACAAAAAAGAAAATCTTCTGCCGCCAGTGCACCTCCGTTGACTTGTAACACAATTATACATGCACCGCTGATCTGACTATCAGGATTTGGGGTAGCCATGGAGAGGAGGGCGTACCACTTAATCAAGCTCGATCTTTCCCTACTCGCTTAGGTCCAGGATGAGGAATGACGGACCCCCCAGGCCTTTTGACTGGGTGCTCGATGGCAACATCTCGCTCAGGATGCTTTTGCCTCGGTGCTCGTCAGAAACTTCGACGGGAACATCTCGCTCAGGATGAGCCCCAGGCTTCTTGCCTCGGTGCTCGTCTGGGACTCGTCGTTTGCCGTAGGGAATGGTGGTCTCGTCAGGACTGTCGACGGGAACATCGATGGCAACATCTCGCCCAGGATGCTTTTTGCCTCGGTGCTCGTCAGAAACTTCGACGGGAACATCTCGCTCAGGATGAGCCCCAGGCTTTTTGCCTCGGTGCTTGTCTGGGACTCGTCGTTTGCCGTAGGGAATGGTGGTCCCGTCAGGACTGTCGACAGGAACTTCGACAGGAACATCTCGCTCAGGATGAGGAATGACGGGCCCCCCAGGCCTTTTGCCTCGGTGCTCGTCTTGGATATCGGAGGATGTGGTTTCTCTCTTGGACACATCAGCAGTGTATGCGCTGATGAGATCCAGAGGAGCTGGAGAGCGTGCAATGACCTCGCGCTAAATAGTAGATTAACAAAACGAACGGCAGCGTTGGAGCAATAAGACATACTTGTGGAAACACAAGATGAGCAAGGATTTGGGGCGCTAACAGAACAGCAAAGGACGCAAAAAGAGTCAAGCGGGTGAGCATATTGAACCGGAAGCTGAAGATGGAAAGAAAGTGAAGCTTCAGGCGACATGCCCTGCGTATAAAAAGGAAGAAAACATAGAGTGGGAACGAAAAAAGAAATGAAGGTTGGAGTGGGAATGTGAAGGAACTTGACGTGGGTCCTACTATGAGCAGCCCCTGATACGTGATGGTCATACGCGACCACCTCGTGGTCGCGCCTCAATTAAGTCAGCTACTTCTTCCATCTACCTTTTTTTCCATTCTCCGACCACTGCAAATTCGTGTTTGCCAAAGATAAAATGCCTAAAAGTTCCGCTGATGAGGCATTCCACTTCAACTCCGTCGAAACGGACTGCTGACCGTTCAATAGCCCACATTGACAACTTTACGGCCTCAAACAGTCTCTGAAATTCGTGAACATGGCAACCTGCGATGATTCTAGCGATTGGAGAACGGAGTTGAAGATGGCGCAAGGTCAGTAGACTGCGCTCGAGGACATTGACAGATGTTTTTGGAATGATCAATGAGAAGTACGAGAAAGAGGATGTTGAAACTGATGCTGAAGATGAGTTTGCGACGTAACAACGGTCATCCAAATCGAGAATGAAGAGGAACTGGCAGAGATTGATTAGACGACTCAGTCCAAGTAAGTACGCCGATCGGATTTGTCTGCATACGCCAGGGATCACCCAGAAACTGAAGCTCAGGAAAGTGCAAGAACCTGTCGACTCACAGATGTAAAAATAGGTTGGTAGTAGCACGAGGTTCGCGCCAACCACCTATCAACACGGCAGAAACCTGTACACTTTAGCTCGTAAAACGAAATCTAATGTAAAAGGTTTTGCCTTCGTCGATCCTGAAAATGCCGTCGGTGAAACCGTACAAAACTCCGTCCTGTGGAGCAATGGAATTGAGGTACCTTTTCGTTTTACCGTAAAGTGCTAAAAACAACATAATTGAAGCTAAAACCGAAATGACCGAATCAGAAAGTTATTTTTAGACCATCAAAAGCGCAGTGATATTCAGAAACTGCTCTTCGCTTATTTCTCTCACCGCTTACAATAAAATACTGTACGTGAGTGTACAGTAGAAACGCCAAAATGAGCGTTACGGTGGAGATTCATAGAAACTCGTGACAATAAGCAACGTTCTACGTAGCTATGGGTACCATGTCAATAAGTAAAGTAATAAAGGCGTACCTCAGTCTTCACTCGAATGGGTTAGGTGCGCAGTGGGATGAAAATATCTAAAATACGGTAATGATCGCGCTATTGAACTACTCATCTATAAATAGGGATGTCTGAATGACCCGATGGTGGGTGTCAACTGATCCTCTCGACAACTCGGAAGCGGTCTACGAGTTAGTACGTGTTACGGTTGCCTGATTCGGCAACGAGAGGATGGCATTTCGACTAATTATTTACGAATTCTCCGAATTTCGATGGAGTGACGAAAAAAATGGGAAACAGGTCGACCGTTATGCGTTACTACGGAGGACCAAAGAAGCCAAAGAAGCAACGAATCAGTACTTGCGTTACGTGTTACGGCTCCTACTGTACACTCACGTACAGTAGTCCGTGGTTCGTTGTTGAGTGTTCGCGTCTACTCAAATGAATTCGGGAAGGCACGTATGCCGGGAGGAGATGGAAGGGTTATTTGCTGAAGTCTTCGGCAAGAAAACTTGTTAGAGAGCAGAAACCGGACCCACGAGGATGGGAAATTTTGCTCCAGGAACGGGATCGTGGCATTCCTAAAGGTACTGATGACGTTAAAGAAGCCTTGATGTCCCGTTCCATGAGGATTCGGAGGTTGGGTCCTTAGGGCAGCAATATGGATTTGGCGAATAACCTACCTTTGTGATCTTGAGCATGCACGTTGATATATAATACCTCAAAGCTTCCAAGGTTTGAAAAGAAGTGATTGGGTTCCCAAGTAAAAAAGTACGAATTGTAAGAATGATACTACGCTCTTCTACTGTAAAAAAGTCCTGTGCTGCCAGCGCACCTCCTTTGACCTGTAACACAATTGCACATGCACCGCTGATTTGACCATCAGAATTTAGGTGGTATTCAAGGGAAGGTAGACGTACCACTTAATAAAGCTCGATCTCTCCGCCGACAGACTTGACTGCGAGATGCAGGGGAAGGGGTATATCTCGCTTGACATACGGTACGACGTTTCCGTCAGGACTCTTAGACGGTTGCTCCTCTGGAACATCTCGCTTATACGGAACGATATTCCCATCAGGACTTTTCGAAGCGTCTTGAACTGGGACATCATCCCGTTTGTAGGGAACGATGTTCCCATCCGGGCTTTTCGAAGCATCTTGAACTGGAACGTCGTCCCGTTTGTAGGGAACAATGTTTCCATCAGGGCTTTTCGAGGCGTCTTGAACTGGGACATCATCCCGTTTCTTGTAGGGAACGATGTTCCCGTCCGGACTTTTCGAAGCATCTTGAACGGGGACATCGTCCCGTTTGTCGTACAGAGTTATGACACCATCAATGCTCCTGGTAGGGATCTCGGAAGATATGATTTGCCTCTTGGACACGTCAGCAGTATATGCAGTGATGAGATCCAGAGGAGCTGGAGATCGTGCAACGACCTCGCGCTAAAGAGTGGATCAATAAAACAAATAATGACGCTGAAACAAGAAAGCGTACTTGGAGAAACACAGGATGAGCAAGGACTTGGGACGCCAACAAAGCGGCAGCGGATGCAAAAAGAGTCGCACGGGCGAGCATAATGACGAACAAGTGGGCTTGATGGAAAGAAGGTGAAGCTGCAGGCGTCCAGGCCTCGCAAGGAAAAGAAACGACTGCAGGAATAAACAGGAATAAGTACGAGAAACGTCGAAGGGAAAACACTTACAAGGCTGAAGTGAAAGGGAAAGGAGGGATAGGGTGGGAACGAAATCCTTGGTGGACCTTTTATTAAGTAGCCCCTGATGGTCGCTGGACGACGCGATCATCACCGCGTGGTCATCTGTCATTTGTCATCAATTTTCGCGGTCAACTCGGGCGTGCCTCATCCAAGTTAAGCCTCATCCGTCTACCTCTCTTCATGTCCTCCGACCCACGTTTCTCTCGACTACGGTCAGATCCACGATTTAGACGACCTCGAAAAAATAATTCAAAGGTCAGTTATCGACGACCGCTTCAAATCCGTCTTTGCCAAAGAAAAAAAGTCCAAAAATAAATCCGCTGGTAAGGCATTTTCCTTCAGTTCCGTCGAGACACGAGATTCATCATTCAACAGCCCGCACTGACAAGTACGGTCGCCGTCTCTCTGAAAATCATGAACAAGACAACCTGCGACGGTACTACCGGCTGGAGGACGGAGATGAGGACGGTGCTGAGGAACCCAAGCCGGTAGACTATGCTCGAGGACAAGTGCTTTTGGAATCATCAGATGAGGAAGATTCCGAAAAAGAGGATGCTGAAAGCGACGCTGAAGATGGATTTGTGACGGTTGGCCGGACCGAGGATGTAGAAGAACCAGAAATTGATTTGGACGAGTCCGAGTACGCCGATTTGTCTGCTCAAGCAGCAGCATACACCAAGGATCACCCAGAAACAGAAGTCCAGGAAGGTGCAAGGACCTATCGGCTCGCAGCTGTGAACCTAGACTGGGACCATGTTCGTGCCAATCACTTATTCAAAATTTGCTCTTCGCTTGTTTCACTCACCGCTCCTCCACTCGCTTCATCATCCCGTAGTCCTGAAAAGTCCAAAAAGCGCGCCAAATCCTCCAACGAAATGGTTCGTGGTCGGGTGTTAAGTGTTCGGGTCTACCCAAGTGAATTCGGGAAGGAGCGTATGGCTCGGGAGGAGAAAGAAGGGCCGCCTGCTGAAGTCTTCAAGAAAAAGAAGGTTGAGGATGAGGAAGTGAACGATCGTAATATCTACGAAGTTGGCGATGAACATGATTTGAACGAAGACGCTCTACGAAAGTACCAGCTGGAACGTTTACGGTCAGACGTGTTGTCCATGAACCGTTTCTATCCATGCTGACGTCTAGGCAGGTATTACTATGCTATCATCACCTGTAACTCCGTTGATGCAGCATCGCACATATATGACGAATTGGAGGGCACCGAGTTGGAACGATCTGCAAATGTTTTCGACCTAAGCTTCGTACCAGAAGATATGGTTTTTAAGGGCGAATTTAGGTAATCATTATTCTTCGGATAAAAAGCTCATACTTACGATTTAGCAGGGACGAAGCTACAGAAGATTCTGTTGCTACGTATAAGGGCCTTGACTTTGCCACAGATGTACGCCTTTCTATTCCTGATGCATAGCTCCTTCTCACTTATCTATCAGGCTCTACGACATTCTAAAGTAAAACTGACTTGGGACGAGGACGACCCCGAGCGCAATCTAGTTACGCGGACGGACGTTATCTCGCAAGGAAATAGAAGACGGACATTTCAACTCCTACCTCGCTTCTTCTTCCTCAGAATCAGAAGGAGAAGATGAACGGCAAGACACAGCGCAGAAGAAGTCGCAGCAAAAGGCTCAATCACGAGATAAATTGCGTGCGCTGTTATTGGGTGGGAACGATGATCTGCCCGAGGGCTGGTCTCGAGGCGGCGACAACGACGAGGGTTCTGATGTTGACATGGAGATAACGTTCACGCCAGGGTTATCAGAATCTAAAGGTGATCAGGACTGAAACCACGATCGAGAAATACCAGCGCAAAATGAAGGAAAAGCGGAAGAGCAAAGCTGAACGGCGCACGAAGGGTCTTGAACCGCCGCCAAAGGACAACGACAAGCTTGGCGGAGACGACTTCTTCGATGCTGCCAGCGATGATGAACCCGCGCCTCCACCAACCAAAGAGCCTATTAGCCTAGAGGAGCTCCAGAAACTGGCGGATGGAGACAAAGACGAGGGGCGGAAGCACTTCGATCTGAAGGCCGTTTTGAAAGCTGAGAACAAGTCAAAACGGAAGGGGAAGAAGGGCAAGAAAGCTCGAGAACAAGATGCTAATGACGAAACCCAACCAGATTTCGCACTCGATGTCAAAGATGATCGTTTCAATGTTCTTCATGAAGATCCCAAGTTTGCAATTGATCCCAGCAATCCTCAGTAAATTTATCATCTATTTTCGTTTGCAATCATGATCTGACGATTTTCTGCACAGGTTCAAGAGAACAAAAAGTATGGCTGCGTTGCTGGAAGAGGGCGGCAAGCGTAGGCAAGCAATTCGAGGAGAGAATGAGTCCTTGGATAAGACTACGAAGAAAAGTGAGGCAGAGGGTAACCGGAATCTACAAAGTCTGGTGGAGAGTGTTAAACGAAAAAGCGCCCATTCTGGACAGCGTGGTACGGGCAAACGACAAAAAATCTCATAGATTGGTGTTACATATTTGTTTAGCTACTTGTCCTGATGATACCTTTTTTCTCGGGGTTACTACACATGCACCAAGTGAGGGAGAGTCGATAACCAGCGGTCATGTAATCTTCGCCTTGGAGAAATCCAGTTCTGGGTGGGCAGCCTGGAATTTTTGAAGAGCCTAGTAGGGGGGGATCAGAGAAAGCCTGTTTTTATCGAGGACGCATAAATTGACCTCCATCTTCTTGAGTTCATCGGACGTTGGTTTTCCCATTTGCTATATGATTATGAGCAAACGCGATACTCAAGACTACAGGCAGTGGCTTACCTTCTGCTGGTTGTCAAACTGAAGAGATCGTTAGCAAAATATCAAGTTATATTACGCGTTACTTGCCATCATTTTCTCTACCATTCCTCTGCATGGATCGTTTAGAAGAAGTCAAGACAGAGAAACGGAAAGTACCTGGTCTCCCCATCAAGATCGCTGAGCTTGCTGTTCTCTGGTTCGATCTTGGTGGTATCGATCTTGGGATGGTGGGTAAGGACGTTTTCCCACCATTGTTCCTTGTTCACTTTCTCGAGATGGATATGAACAGCTTCGTTATCCTCTGAACGAAAAATAAGCATCTGTTCCCCAATAGCTCCATCACACTTACGAAGTGTCCAAGTACTGTCATCCACCTTGATTTCCTTGCAAAGTTCGCCGTCCAGAGTCCTCTCCTTCCCTTTCAGACCGACGCTCAGTTTCTTCTTCTGAATAACAATCGACAGATCTCTGGCGCGGGTTCCCTTTGGAACGGGAACGACGAGATCAAGTTCAGTCAGCTCTTGGTTCCAAGTGTACGGTAATTCTAGCACAGAGATCATATAAATGAATGAATAAATCAATCCAAGTGAAGCAGAATAGGCCATACCAGCCTGTTCCCTCGCTTCCCTCGCGCGATCCTCCTTGTCCTGTTTTTGCCGTTCCTCAGGCGAAAGTTTGTCGTACTCTTCAACACTCATGCGCGCCATCGTTGTTGCAGACTTGGATTCGGAAAATGGGAAAAGCCTATTGGCTAATTGGGCCCGAAGCCGTTGCTTGGATCAGCCGCCCTCGCCAAATACACCCGTAACGACTTCACCCTTCTCTCACCAACACCTCCCATGGCGGAGTTCACACCAAAAAGCTCGTTCAACAAAGCGACAATTGCCGGCGCACAAGCTGCTACAGTCGGCACACTCGTTAGCGCACTGCAAAATGCGCTCGGCAACCATTCGTACGGTGCAGCGGGTGTGTTGACACGGACAGGCGGTACAATTGGTTTCTTCGGTGCGTAGCAGTCTGTGTGGCTACGGAAGCGTGTTGACTGGTCGATAGCTGCCGTGGGTGCCACGTTTGCGTATACGAGCGCCGCTGTTGCCAACCAACGGCAGACGGACGATTCGTTGAACACCGCTGCTGGAGCCTGTGCTGCTGCATTTCTTACCGGCATGCGTGGTACGTGATCCTTTGCTATATAGTTCAGATTCGTAGTCTCATTGGCATTGCAGCGCGTTCTTTCCCCGTCGCAATAGGCGGATGCGCGTTCATGGGTGCATTCTTGGGAGCATATGACTATGCTGGCAAATTGGCATCAACAGAAGGAGGTGCAATAGATCCTGAAAAGCGGCGGAAATTCTTCAAGAACCCAGACTTGGTTGTAGATTTACCCTCAAAGTAATTCATCATCGACAATGCAATCATACAATCAACAAGACTAATTATCACCACACGGATACCTACTCTCCGTCGTTGTTTCTCTCTGCAAGAAGCTCATAACGCCGTTGTATTTCAACATGATGCTGGCAATGGAAATCTGCCCACGATGCCGCTGTTTGGCATGTTACCTTTCCAATAATTGATTACGATAAAAGGTGTGATGAATAAACTTATGGATCTTACCTTCCTCGTCAGCTTTGCCCAAATGACATCGGGTTCATCTTCATCCTCGTCTGCACCGTCTAATGCAAAAAATTCCACAACAGTATTCAGGTCCTCTTCAAAAGGATCTCGTTGTGCCGATCCTGTTTGGACCAGCGAAGCTATCAGGAGGAGGAGGACTTGGTGCTGCTGGCGGAGGTGTTTCCATGATAGAAAAGCTATGCTCGGTAGCTGGAGCTTGATTTCTCTTCAACCGTTGAGCGATGCCGACTCTCTTTCGAATAGTTTCAATGTCAGTGCGAAATCCGTCGGCCTTCTGGATCTGTTCACGCCAAGATTTATTAGAATGATGAGGCATCTTTGGAGTATTAGCTTAGTTCAGATCATAGGGATTTGAGAAATACCTTTGCGAAAAGTCGATCAGCAATAGCGATGTTTGTGATGTTGATATCGCGTTTGACAAGGACTTCGACATAGGACCGGACGTATTCTCGCTCCTCTAACGTGTATCGATATCTTCCTTCCGAGAACAGTACGCGCGTATGTTCTGGGGGCGGTGAAGGTGATCGTAAGTTCGAATCCCAAGCAACAGGCTTCGTTGTCCGTTGACTAGAAGGAGACTCGTTTTTGATCTTGCGTCGTTTTGACGGTTGATCGTTTCTGTCTAGACTTGACCTCTTGTTTTGGGACGTGCTCGGGCTCTCTTCTATCCATTCCTTCGCCACCGTCGCCTGTGCATCTACGCTGACTCGCTGTTTGCGCTGCTTCTGGGGTCCTTTGCGTTTATTCTGTAATTTCGCGGGTATGTCGAAAAGATAATCGGAATGATCAAGGAGCTGCTTCGCCTTGACGCAGTCGGTCACAAACGACGCGTTGATAGCTGGGACACCATAATAAACAGCTTCGCTGAGGTCGGTATCGAAGGTCTTGCACTTTTGACTAAGGATGCAATAATCTGCGCGTTCTTTCTGATGTGCTAGTTTACCCCCGTGTTTCTATGGAACTCACATCAAGATAAGGCTCGGTAAACCAGAGGAATGCGTACTTTGATCTGGGAAGTGGTCACAGAACGCTGCGTACTAAATCCCATGTTTACTTCGACAAAAAAGTTCAAGCTTTCACCAGTTTCTGGATCGGTAAATATATTCGAAGAAGCAGGGGAGGCAATGGTAGGCATTTGGGATGGCCCCGCAGATGAAACAGTAGGCGAGCGAGGGATAGGTGATTGTCTTCTGATGCTACCCTTCGATGTGCTGAATTGCTGGGACGAAAAACCGTTTGGTATGGAAGATTCTACAGAGTTAGAGCGGGAAAGAGAAACAGAGGCAGAATTGTCTGGATGCTGGCCTTCATACTGAGGGATGGGTGAATGAAATGGATGAGCTACGTTATTGGATGGGAGGGAAGGTTGCGCCTGGGACATTTGATGGTTTCTATAAGAATCGACCAGTGCGCCATACAGAGGGTGTCGGTGATCAGGAATAGACTGCGGCATCATGTTCGTCTGGTACATATGGCTCATCATATTCATTTGGTTGAAGAATTGCTGCATCATGTCCGGATGCATCATCAGCGGTGGGAAAAAGGACGCACTCGGCGTCGCCGATCCGGCAGAAGCTCCAGGCAGGGGCATGGCATTCTGTTGCATTTGTGGAACATTCGGAGAGGGATCTGATGGTGCTGGAGGAACAATAGAAGCAGGTGTTTGAATGTCGTTTACGATAGGCGACGGCGAAGCATGGCTTGCAGGAGGTTGAGGCTGAGACGGAACTGGTGTTTTTGACGGAGCATGGTTTGCAGAGCTGCTCTTCGATGTGGATGGCCTGACATCGACGGGCGTTTCTCGAGGAGTAGGTAGAGGACTTCTTGCGCATGTTGATTAGACTGCTTTGGTTACATAGAACATCCTGGACTCACTTGACATCCTCATCTTCCGTTGACCCGATGGGCAGCCCGTCGTCATGTGTCGTACAATGCCCCCAATTGTCGTCAGCTTCTAGCAGCTTGCCAGCAGCAGAGCATTGTTGGACCCATTGATGATTTAGAACAACCTTGCCGGGATCGGTCCCCCAATCACGAATAAACTGGCGTCCAGTGTCAGACTGGGGATGAACGAGAATGTACTTGGCACTCCTTGGATCGTGACAGAGAGAGGCACCTAATTTCTGTACCAGAGTCAATGCAATGCAAGGAGGGGAAAGCAGACAAATGTACCCTCAACGAACGAAGCAATTTAGGACGTCCGATTATACCACCGGCACCTGGATCAACAAAGATGGCGCCGGCATCACGAAATAGAGGAGGAACAGAATCATCAAGTGGCTGCGATGGCAATGATTCGACGCTCATGGTAGTAAAAGCATGAAAAATGAAGAAGAGCAAGAAAAGGTTAAAATCTGGCTTGGAATGCAGGTGCCAGTGACGTAAAGCGTAGCAATATTTACAAATCTTATTTTTGCACTTCTTTTTCATAAGTAGTCACTAGTCACTGTCAGTCACTGTCAGACTTTGCGGTGTTGATTATTCCCAAATTGATACCCTCAAAATCTCAAGCGAAAAGTGCATAATAGCATTATATAACAGTGACTGGGAAACATAATGCATGATATTGAGAATATAGTAACACAAAGTCCCCCGAAAAAGCCACTGCCACTTAACGGTAACTGTTCAGAGACATGAGAATATGCAAAAACCAATAAAGTAAAACGACGAACCTCTTTTGCCTGCGAGCACGGGCACCGGCACCACCGAACTTTTTGGGCTCCATCCGTCTGGGGTCAGCGATCAACAGCGTTCGGTCATATGCCACCAGCTTCTTCTTCAACTCCAGTGCGCTGTAGGCGTCAATGTATTTTGCGTAGTACGCGACAAGGGCCTTGGCAATGGCCTGTCGGATGGCGTACACCTGGGAGGTGTGTCCACCACCCTTCACCCGGACACGGATATCAAGGACAGTGAAGGCGTCCTCGCCAGCAACGAGAACGGGCTCGTACACCTTTAGGCGAAGAATTTCGGGTTGGACGAGGTTGATGGGGGAACCATTGATACGGATGAGTCCACGACCCTCCTTGGCGTGGGCAACAGCAGTTGCTGTCTGTAGCGCAGTCGTTACTTGAGATTTCTTCAGCGTAACCTAAACCGACGCACCTTCTTCTTTCCGAACGTTTGGACGGCCTTGGTTGCTGAAGCCATTTTGTGATATTAGGATGGATGGCCTAACTGATGAATCTAACAGACAAGGTGAAAAGTGTTAGATAAACAATATTTCATCCAAAATGACGGTTTACTCACCTTGATCTTGACGTCGAGCCTGTCTGCGTGCAATCGTTGAGGGGAATATCGAGCCGTGGGAAGGATTGAGAAAACTGTACAGTTCCACATGCCGACGCGGAATTATCCGGCCGAATTGTGCCGGCCGCTGACCTAATACTGCTCCCTTCTTCCGACTTCTGCCACAAAATTACAGTCAACGTTCAGCTGCGATGCTCAAGACAGTAGGACGTGTACGTTGTCTGCAAATGCTACCAGTATCTTTGCTTATATCACATTAGAGGTCACCCAGGCAAATACTTCGCAACAGGGTCTCGCAGGCTGTTCCTCGACCAGCTGCAGTCGCAAGGCCTGCTCGGTCCTCGTCGAGAGTCCAATCACGTCTGCCAGTATCGTCACCTACAGGTGCGTATTTGCATCCCTAGAAGGTATCAATGTGGTCACACAAATTCAGCACCCTTCGCTTCTTGAGCCCGTATACGTTTCGCTTAGTACACCATTCAAGCCCAAGCGCACGGACCCAGATCCACAAGAAACCCTGGTCGACTTTGGACCCTACCGTCTTCAACCATCCAATCCGACGCGATATTCCTTCACCTCTGCGTCGTACAATACCGCGACTCCCTCCGCCAAGGGTCTGCAAACACCAAAACTCGCGGCGAAGTTCGCGGCTCGGGCAGGAAGATTCGCCCTCAAAAGGGCACGGGAAAGAGCACGTCTTGGAGATGCTCAGAGTCCCTATGCTCAGAGGTGGAGGTATCGCGTTCGGTCCCAAGCCGCGCGATTTCAGCACCAAACTTCCCAGGAAGGTCATTCAGATGGGCATGAGGGTTGCGCTCAGCGCAAAAGTCAAGGAGCAGCAATTTGGTGTCATGTTCAGCATGGATTGGCCGGAACCCAAGACCAAGAGCCTCGCCAAGAGGCTGGAGGATCTCGGCCTGGATCAGACGTTGTTCGTCACTGGAGAGGAGGAGATTCCTGTGACTTTGGAAAGAGCCATTCGAAACATCCCAAAGGTGAAGCTGACGACATCAAATACGCTGACCGTTCACGAGCTACTCAAGTGGCGACGCATAATGCTAGATGCCAAAGCGGTGGACTTTTTTGAACGGACATTGTCACGAACTCCCTCTACTGTCGCCCACTAATACATTTTGTTTTTTTCATTCCGGATCCAAAAGTTTACCAAGCCAGCTAAGGTTGAGGAATACCCGTATACCACTACATATATGTAGCAAGAGGATCCTCGTCATAAAACTCGTCGTCCTCATCTTCCTCCTCCTCATCCCATCCATCATAATCAACCTCCCAATCATGTTCCCACTCAATCATCTCTTCCTCGTCCTGGTCCCAAAAATCGTCTGCATCCATCCCTTCCTCGTCCTGGTCCCCAAAACCGTCTGCATCCATCTCTTCGATATCTGGTTTTATCAGACCGCTTGGACAATCACTCTCTATAAGGCAAATACGACCATCCTGAATACACGACACGACGGTGTCGAAAAATGGCGGTTCGGAACACCCTTTTTTGAATTCAAGTGTGAAACGAGGACATCCGGCTTCAACGCGGCGCTCAGCGAGCTCCAGTAGCTGATACGGACTCTGCGCATACTCCCCCGTCATGGAAAAGAAGACGGAAGATAGATGAGGGAAAAGGGAGAACGAAGATGACGGACGGTCTTCTTTTGAAGTCCTTGTGATGTATTGTATTTGTGACTGAGGTCGTATGTCTACCAACTCCAAACGTCTCAGCTCCTTCAATGAGAGGAAGAACTCTTCGTCGGCCGATGATACAGCATAACGCTGGATGCGTAGCGTCCGTAGCTGGGCCCGTTCCCCAAAATGAGCTTTCAAATTGATATCCAAGACGGCAGTCCCGACCACCTCTAGATATTCCAGATTTGGAATAGATAATGAACCAAGAACGCAGTCACACGATGCTGGGTCATTACTATGCGAGTGATACACAAAGGATACTGCCAGGGATTTCAAAGAAGCCGGGGCAGTGATGGTGAAAGGCGTAGTGTCTTCTTCATCAGTGCCAACCACTGTCGCGCCTGTATGAAACCTACGTAGGATGAGTGTTTCAAGACGAGGCGATTCGGCAAACAATTTCTGGAGGTCTGCGTGAGTCGGGGAATAATCGCTGAGCTCCACTTTGGTGAGACTATCCTTTGAAGAAACAATGTTTATGAAACGTCCTTGAGTGTCAAAATGACAGAGGGAGTTAGTGTTCGTAAAGAGTGGACGAAGTCTTGTTATCGACCACAGACCATCTGTGATATGGATGGAAAGGCTGGCAAGATCGGGAGGAGAGATGGAGCGGTAGGCATCTGAAAATATGGCATAGATGTCGGCATGTGGAAGAATCATGGTCAGAGTTTGAGCACGGGAGATGTGTGGTGCAGTTATATCAGCAGTTCTACGGGCGGCAGTTGAGGAATCAGGGTCTGAGGGGTAAAGCGTTTCGATAGTGATGTGGATGAGGCGACCCTTTGATCGCTCCAGGAATGCCTGGGCGGCTGGAAGGTGTCGTTCCAAGGAAATGTGAATAGTGGTCCATAGTTCGGAGGCTCCAATAGCAACATTTCGCCAGTGACGACAGATGCTACATATCAAAGCCAGGAGGACCTTATGTTTATCGGATGACAAGCCACGAAGGCCGGTAGCGAATATAGATGCAAGTAGCTCGTCGGGAAGTTGGTTTATCTTCGAAACAGACGCCATGTCTGGCGGACAAGATCAGCTGGCCAGAATAGAGACAGGCAAGCATTCCTACTTTCAGGATGATGAGAACAGCTATCAGGCGATGGAATTTGTAAAGAAAAGGAGTGGTAAATGCAAGAAAGAGAATAGCGGTGAGCCGACGTTGTGCTGTGAGATGAAGAACAGTAAAGACAAGGAACTTCAGAATCACGAACGTCAGTCGCACGTGACCCCATGTCCTCGCTGAGGCTCGGACTACTTCAAAGCAACTTAGATGACTCGATTCGACACTATTCAATAAAACTGGAGAAATAATACATCACAAAAGGCGCTATTTAACAGTTTACCTGTCCTTCCATTAATCTGCGCTCCAACTGGTGCAGAACGACTCCGCCTGCGAACCCGATTTCAGGATACTCAGTAGTACTGATATATTCTCCCAAAATTCTGCCCTGCTCTGCCAGATACATTCATCAGAAAATAATGATATGTGACATTTTGGTGCTTACATCTCTATAAAGGATAGTCAATATCGCGTTTCTTTGGCGTGCAAGTTAAAAATGTGATCTTACAGTTCAGTATCCTGCGTAATATTCCGCCTGGTTCTCATAGTCGGATGAATCAAAGCCATAGACAGAATCAATATCAAAGTCGGAATCGTAATAATCTTCATCGTCATCCGACCATTGGAAAGAGTATACTGGGGGAGGTGGACAGAGCAAACCGGGAAGATGGTCCTTCGCTTCGACGTGAATACGCTCATCCTGAGGACCAAGGGTACGCGACATGCTACGATGGTAGCGTGCTGGTACTTCGATAGAGAACTTGGTGCAACCATAACTCTGGATGGCCAGCCGCGCCAGGCTTATCCACTGGGACATATCATAATTCCCATTTGACTTGTCACCAAGCAAGATAGACGACAGGTGGGGAAATGGTAGCGTCGCTCTTTTGCGGTGTTTTGCAGACCACTTCACATCTTTCAAGTTGTCCACCAGTTCCAAACGATTTAACAGCTTCAAAGAGCGGAAAAACTCAGTGTCAGCAGGCAACACAGAGCACCGCTGTAAACGCAGCGTCTTCAATTTCGGCAGGTCTTTGAAATGGCTGCCGAGATTAAGACTATAGGAAGAGTTATCGCCTAGAACCTCGAGATATTCGAGGTTCGGAAAGCGAAGAGAGCCAAGGACACATGAACAGTCAGGCGGGTTTCCTGCATGTGAAGACTTGACATGGCTGTAATCAAGATGAACTGCGAGCGATCGCAGAGAGCTGGATGTTGATATGGTAGGTTGATTCACCTCCTGGCGTCCCGCCCAGCCCGGACAAAATTGCGATAGGATGAGAGTTTCGAGAGATGGAAAGTGAGTGAATATTTTCCGCACATCTTCAAGCTTAGGATGAACGGATGTCAGCTCGAGTCTGGTAAGCCCAGAGACTGAGGTTGTGTTCGATGATAAACCTCCATTCCCATTAGAACCGACTGAACAAATGGAATCAAGTAAGGGGGGAGAGTTTTGTGACCACCCTTTGACATAAACGGAAAGGCTAACGAGATGCGGAGTTGACACCGGTCGGTACAACGCAGAAAATTTTTCGGCGCCTTGAGTATCGCTAATGCTCAAGGAGAGTGTCCTCGTACGCCAAAGATGGACCGATGTCAACTCCGCAACTCGAAGCCCAGATTGTCGACTGAAAGTCGCCGAAGGTCCCCGGAACCCGCCTTGACCAAAGGCGACCTGGACGTCAACATCCAGAAGTCGCGTCTTTGATCGTTCAAGGAAGAGTTCCGCAGATGGAACATGGTTAGGATTATGTATAACAATGGTGGTCCAAAGCTCAGATGCCTCGATAGCAACATCCCGCCAACGGCGACATATGCTGCACACTTGAGCGAGGAAGGACCTGTGGTTTATTGGAAGCAGGCTGATAATCGCAGTGGAAAAAATGTAAGCTAGAAGCTCGTTGGGTAAACGCTCATTGATTCTGCTGATCCCAGTCGATTTAGTTGTTCCCCGCCTGCTTTTGCTACTGGAAGGCTAAGAATCAGGTGAGCGAATGCAGAACCCAAAAGACAAGGATTATACCTTTGGCTTTGGTATCTTCGAGGTTGCATCCTGTTTCTTTCCTTTATTTTTCTTCCGTGTCATTGTGGCCGATCGATAAGAGGGTAAGTACGATGAGAGTGATGAGAAAGGACGAGAAATGTGGGAAAGCGTGACCGCCTCGTTACTTACTCGCAACGGCCTCCTGCCCCTGGTCTTTGCCCCTAGCAACGGCTGCCAGGATTCCGTTGGCCACCCTCTACTGAAACAGTTCAGGCAGATAAGTGTAAAACTGCCTCGGTAGCTCACTCTCCAGCCCGCCGCGTTACAATGTCAGATAAAGTATGCTGCTCGGGCTGGACGCAAAGTTGGAAATGTAATTTTACAGGTCAAAATCTCGTAAATACATCTGGCTATCAAATGCATACTCAAACCCATCCGAATCAAAATCACGGTCATAGTCATAGTCAAAAGTATCAAAATCAGAAGGGTCAGAATCGTAATAATCTTCCTCGTCAAAAATTTCTGTGGGAAGGGGATAGAGCAAACCGGTAACATGATCCTTTACTTGGACGTGAATATGCTCATCTTGAGGACCGAAAAGTTGTGACATCCTATCGTAAAGTTGCGCTGTTACTTCGATAGAAAACTGGGTGCAACCATAATCCTGCACGGCTAACCGCGCGAGACGTGCCCACTGGGTTAGTTCATAATCCCAACTTGGCATGTCACTAATTAAGAGAGACGATAGACGGTGGAATGGTAAGGATGTTTCGCGTGAAGATTTCGTTGGCCACTCCACGTCGACCAGCTCCAATCGATCCAGCAGCTTCAAAGAGTGGAAGAAGTCGTCATCAATAGGTGACACAGAACATTGCTGCAAACGCAGCGTCTGCAATCTCGGTAGGTCTTTGAAATGGCTGCCGAGACTAAGATCGTGGGAAGAGTCATCGCCTAGAACCTCGAGATATTTGAGGTTGGGAAAGCGAAGAGAGCCAAGGACACACGAACAGTCAGTTGATTCTTCCGCAAGCAAAAACTCAACGCGATGGGTATAAGCAATGTGAACTGCGAGCGATCGCAACGACCTGGGAGCTGATATAATGGGTAGATTCTTCTCCTGGCTTCCTCTCCAGCCATGACCAAAGTGCGGAAGGATAAGTGTTTCGAGAGATGGAGAGCATATGAATATATTCCGCATATCTTCATGTCCAGGCTGAAGGGATGTGAGCTCGAGTCTGGTAAGGCTGGAGATTGAGGTTGTGTCCGATGATAAACCTCCATTCCCAGTAGAACCGACTGAATAGATGGAATCAAGTAAAGGAGGAGCGCTTTGTGACCATCCTTTGACATAGACGGAAAGGCTAACGAGATACGGAGCTGACATCGGTCGGTACGATGCAGAAAAAATTTCGGCACCTTGAGTATCGCTGATGCTCAAGGAGAGTGTCCTCGTACGCCAAAGATGGACCGATGTCAACTCCGCAACCCGAAGCCCAGATTGTTGACTGAATGTCATCGGATGACCCCACAACGCACCTGGACGTCAACATCCAGAAATCGCGTCTTTGATCGTTCAAGGAAGAGTTCCGCAGAGAGAATATGGTAAGGATTATGAATAAAAATGGTGGTCCAAAGCTCAGATGCCTCGATAGCAACATTCCGCCAACGGCGACATATGCTGCACACTCGAGCGAGGAAGGACCTATGGTTTATTGGAAGCAGGCTGATAATCGCAGTGGAAAAAATGTAAGCTAGAAGTTCGTTGGGTAAACGCTCATTGATTCTGCTGATCCCAGTCGATTTAGTTGTTCCCCGCCTGTTTTTGCTACTGGAGGGCTAAGAATCAAGTGAGCGAATGCAGAACCCAAGAAGACAAGTATAATACCTTCGGCTTTAGTGCTTTTGAGGCCGTATTCCGTTTCTTTCCTTTGTTTGTCTTCTCCATAGCGTCAGTCGATAAGAGGCAGGGCACGATGGGAGCGATGGGAGCTGATAAGTAGGAGCTGATGGGAGCATTGGGAGGAGATGTGAAGCGTGACATCCGTTATAAATGTGTGCACGTGATGTGAACGCGACACGCGTTTGACCCGTGAGAAACGTCTTTTACCTTGACTTACTATCACCTTTTGTCGCCAGCAATGTCTCAAGCATCACAAGACGACGTCGAGCAAGAAGGCGAGTTTCAATTTACTGGCCCTCTTCTTGTCAACAAACTGCAAGAGGCTGGGATACACGCCAATGACATCAAGAAACTCGCGGACGCAGGTCTCAACACCGTCGAAGCGGTCGCTTTTACGCCAAAGAAGCATCTTATTACTATCAAGGGCATATCAGAACAGAAAGCCGATAAAATTATAGCTGAGGGTGAGCGGCTTCATTGACTAGTGTGTAGTCGCTAACTTGGACCTTGCAGCGCAAAAGATCGTACCTTTAGGGTTCCAAAGTGCCACAGAAGTACACGCACGACGCGCTGAACTTGTTCATATTACGACCGGCTCCAAGCAACTCGATGCTCTTCTCGGAGGTACGTGTGCTCTTTCTGTGTCCTTGTGCAGTACTGACACCTCAGCAGGTGGGATTGAAACTGGCGCAATTACCGAGCTCTTTGGCGAATTTCGTACCGGAAAATCCCAGTTATGTCACACGCTTGCTGTTACCTGCCAGCTTCCTGTCAGCATGGGTGGCGGAGAAGGCAAGTGCCTATATATCGACACCGAAGGCACTTTTCGTCCAGTACGGCTGTTGGCTGTAGCGGAGCGGTACGGACTCAACGGCGAAGAAGTTTTGGACAACGTGGCATATGCCCGGGCGTACAATGCAGACCATCAGAATGCTCTGCTGACGAGTGCCAGTGCACTGATGTCAGAGTCGAGGTGGGCTTGTACCCTTGATATAGGCTCGTAATGCTGACACAAACAATACTTCAGGTTCTGTCTGTTGATCGTCGACTCTTGCACGGCATTATATCGTACTGATTTTAGCGGACGTGGGGAGTTGTCATCTCGGCAAAATCATTTGGGCAAGTTCTTGCGGACGCTCCAACGATTGGCAGATGAGGTTAGTCTCCCAAAGACATTAATCATGTTTTCTGATGGATTTTCTGCCAGTTCGGTATTGCTGTCGTTGTAACGAACCAAGTCATGTCTAGTCCAGACGCGGCTGCAGGTCCATATGCTAGCAACGAGAAAAAGCCCATCGGCGGTAATATCATGGCCCACGCATCAACTACACGGTATGATCGTCACTTTGTGCCTCAAATGTCCATGTGCTCACCGCTACGTCTTTCAGACTCCAGTTAAAGAAATCACGCGGAAACACACGCTCCTGTAAAATCTATGATTCGCCATGTCTACCTGAAATGGAGACACATTTCGCCATCCTTCCCTCTGGTATTGGTGACCCTGAAGAAGAGGCCTAGATATGACTTGACTTTGTTGTTCCCTTTCTTTTGCTCTGTGTGTAAAATGTATGTGCTATGTCCCAGGAAACATTCGTCATAAATGAATAACTACGAAATGTAATACAATCACGATTATGTGCTAGATATCCCATGCAAATTCCCAAAGTCCAGTTGAATGGTGTATAGGATGTACAGTTGAGTGAACATCCGTATTATATGTTGAATACAGATATCTAGATTGTACAACAAGTCACAGTTGTAACCGTCCATTTCGGTATTTTATACAGTACAGCTTTAAAAGCTGTTTATGCAAGGAAACGAGTAAGGATGTTGGCGCTGGTACCACTGATCAGCTCCCGCAGCTTATTGATGTCTGCGGGACTGACATCAGCGATATCTGCCATAAGATATGCGATGTCACCCTTCGAGTCCGAGTATTGCTTCTCCACATTGTACGGAGACAAGGCGTCGTTAACTTGTTTCAGCACACCAGGCTGGTTCTTGTGGACGTGGCAGACACGAACGTGATCACCCTGCTCTGTGGTGATGGCACGCAAGTCAACTTCGGGGAAGTTGACTGCTCCAAGCGTGGTACCGTATCCAAAGTATCGGCACAGTGCCTGGGAGACTTCCTGGCCTATCATGCGCTGTGCCTCCTCGGTGGACCCACCGATATGAGGTGAGAGGACGACATTAGGCAGCGACCGGAGAGTCGAAGCCCAAGAGTTAAGTTGATCGTCAAACGGCGCACCATTTGCTCCTGGTTCTGAGGGGAACACATCGACAGCTGCACCAGCAAGGTGGCCGCTCTTCAGAGCATCAACAAGAGCGGGTATGTCCACGACCTTTCCACGAGCGTTATTAATGAAATACGCGCCCTTCTTCATGATCGCGAACTGAGGCTTGGAGATCATGTTGATGGTGTCGGGAGATTCGGGGACATGTAAGCTGACGAAGTCTGCCTCCGCCAGTAAGGCATCGAGGGACTCGACTTGACGTGCCGAGCCGAGGGGCATGAGGTTGACGATGTCATGGAAGAGTACACGAATACCGAAAGATTCAGCAAGCACGGAGAGCTGGGAGCCAATGTGGCCATAGCCTACGATTCCAAGCGTCTTTCCGCGGACTTCCCAGCATCTCTTGGATTGCTTGTTCCAAATGCCGGTACGCAACTCGTATGCGCGCTCAAAGAGCTGGCGAGAGAGGATAACGAGCTCAGCCATGACGAGTTCGGCGACAGAGCGCGAGTTGGAGAAAGGGGAGTTAAATACGGGGATACCAGCTTGAGCGGCAGAAGCCAAATCGACTTGGTTAGTACCGATGCAGAAGCATCCGATGACGAGAAGCTAAACAAAAAATAGAAAGGCGCCTTGAGTAATCCATCAGAGAAGAAGACGCGGACAACGAGTACCTTATTGGCCGCCTTGAGAACGCGGGCAGTGATTTTTGTTTTGCTGCGAATGCCAATACCATGGTAAGACCCAATTTTCTCTACCAGCTCGTCTTCCGACATAGCCTTGGTATAATGGTCGACATGGTAACCCTGGGCACGGAAAAGCTCAACGGCCTCTTGGGAGATATTTTCGAGAATGAGGAGACGAAGGCCCTCGTTGTCGACGGGGTGGAGGACCTTGGGCTGCCTAATGGCGGCAGAATCCTGACGACGAGTATTGGCGAAACGGTCGTGGATAGTAAGCGCCGACGGAGAGAGGGAGGCGCTGACGATGTGAGGCGACGAACTTGGAATGGCAATGGGGGATGACATTGTTGGTGAATGGAGGAAGTTCATGATGATGGAAGTTCTTATATACGTCAACCCGAGTCAGGAGCACGCAAGAAAGATGAAAATCATGAGATCTAATCAGTAATTTTTTAGATCAGTTCGGCAATCTCCGAACATCGATCGGACCGGTTTTCGAGTCAGTGCAGCCCGACGCAATCCTTGTGTCCAAGTTCTGTCACCAGCTGGTCACAATGGGGCTCTACTTACTCGACTACGGTGCAGGAAACGTTCAGAGTCTCGCCAATTCTCTCACTTCTCTTGGCCATTCATTTACCTGGATTTCTTCACCAGATGACTTCAAACGTGCTACTGTCAGTCCTATTCATGATGCATTAACATTTATTCATTCTCGTTCTAGTCTCTCGTTTTTCCCGGCGTAGGGGCCTTTGAGACTGCCATCCAACACCTCGCGTCTCGTGGGCTTCTCCAGCCCCTGCGCGAATACATTCTTTCAGGAAAGCCATACTTTGGCGTCTGCATTGGCATGCAGGTTCTGTTCCAGTCTTCAACAGAATCTTCCTCGGAGGGATTGGGGATTATTCCCTGCCCCATAGAACGTCTTGACGATACAGACAAAGCTGTTCCCCATATGGGTTGGAACATTGCCGATCTCGCTTGTCAGGATGACCCCGAACAGGTCGCTGACTCGTCGTACTACTACTTCGTGCACTCCTATTGTGCAAAGTACAACCCCCACAAGTATCCCGATGCCGCACAGTGGGCGTACACGACTACTCAGTACGGCCAAGAACTGTTTATTTCATCCGTTCGGAAAGCCAATGTTTTTGGTACTCAATTTCATCCCGAAAAATCCGGAACTGCTGGACTTCATCTCATCGATGCTTGGCTTCGGAAACCCGAATCCGCCCATACTTCGTCGCCAGGCGCGATCTCTGCCCACTCGTCGTCACCTCCACGCGTTCTGATCCCAAAATCACAACACCGACTCACCAAACGAATTGTCGCATGCATGGACGTTCGTGCGAATGACGATGGTGATCTTGTCGTCACGAAAGGAGATCAGTACGATGTCCGAGAGAAAGCTCCCACGTCCACCGCCTCCACCGTCGCCGCCACAACAGGTGGCGCTGTCCGTAACCTGGGCAAGCCTGTTGCTCTCGCCTCCCAATACTACCTCGCCGGTGCAGACGAGCTATGTCTCCTCAATATCACCTCTTTCCGTCACTCTCCCCTCCGAGATCAACCAATGATCGCGGTCGTCCGTGCCGCTGCAGAACGCGTCTTCGTCCCTCTCACGATTGGCGGTGGAATCAAAGACACCGTCGACCCAGACGGCACTAAGCACCCCGCACTTGAAGTCGCGGGCGCCTATTTCCGCGCCGGGGCCGATAAGGTCAGTATTGGCAGTGAAGCGGTCTTGGCTGTGGAGAAGATGCTGGCCTCGGAAAAGAAAGAGGGTGATGGGACGAGTGCGATCGAGACAATCGCGTATGCATATGGAAGACAGGCAGTTGTTGTGTCTATTGACCCTAGACGAGTGTACGTTGATCCCGAAACGTATGACGGACCATACAAGGAAGAAGTAATTCGAGGACGCCCTGATTCCAAAGTGATAGAGGAGAGGGGAAAGGCTTGGTGGTATCAGTGCACAGTGTCAGGTGGTCGTGAATCTCGACCGCTCTCTGTCGTCCAGCTTGCCAAGGGTGTGGAGCGGCTCGGTGCCGGGGAGCTGTTGGTTAATAGTATTGACCGTGACGGCACAGGTCTAGGGTTCGACCTGGATCTCATCCGACTTGTCAAATCTAACTGTGAAGATACCCGTAGTGGCGAGTAGTGGCGCAGGGCACTGCGGGGCACTTTGTGAAGTTTTCAAGGAAACTGGGGTAGAAGCAGCCTTGGCTGCCGGTATATTTCATCGTGGGGAGGTGGGCATCGAAGATGTCAAAAAATGTCTCGATGACAACGAAGTTGGTGTCAGGCTGGGGTAGAACGTCAGCGTATAAAAACAGAATATACTTATTGATCATACAAATGTTACAGGCGGGAGAAATCTACATTACATGGTTTGGTGTGTACGTAGATATCGAAACAGCGAGGATTACGTGGGATCAAGAGACAAGATACACCAAAAAACGGAAAGGACGGGCGACAGTCGTCGTTCGCAGCAAGAGAACACGAAAAGTGTAGAATGGAGAAGTAGCTGTCCAAAGAAGCAGAGGCCCCGATGTATATATACAGAGACATATGGAGAAAAATGTGACGTAAACGCATGGAATAATTTTTGATGCAAACACTGAATGGTACAAAGGCTTGAGAAGATGCCTATCGGCCACGTACGACTCTTCCCATCTTCTTCATAAGGCTGGTCTTTCGTCCCAGACCTCCCCCAGGGGATCCAACGTTGCCGCCTGATCCATGGCCATCAAAGTAGCCCGATGACGGCGTAGCTGTAGGTGATTGGTGCGGTAGCGTTGGCAACTCTTTGTTGGTATGGGGTTCGACGAGAATGAACGGTTCCGAGTGCGGCTCCGCCTTTCCCGTGCCAAATCGACCCAAGAACGAATTCTGGGAGCGGTGCGTCGGTCTAATGCCGTGATGGTCTACAGGAGGAGGGGAAGGTGACGAGGGAGGATAGGGCTCGTAGTCAGAGTCGACTGGGACGTTGGGCGACTCTCGCATTTTGCGTATACGATGCATGAGGGACTTGGTGCGCTTGGGTAGGCCGGGAGATTGGGTGGGGGGCGAGCCTGACGGTTCAGGATATTCGTCCCGAGATTCCGGGACGAAAATAGGTTTGGGAGGCGGCATGGCACGTCTGGTTCCGCGGGATCGGGATGGTTCATCGGTGTGCGCCTCTCGCTGGTTCTCCTTGGTCCGTTTTGGCGTCGATCGATGACCCTCTCTGCCATTGTAGATCGAGCTGGCAGGGGTATCACCTCGTGCTCCCCCGCCTGCAAAAAATTCTTCGTATGGCTCGGGCTCATGGATGCCCCATGCCTCTGCGATAGCGTCTACCTTTTTGTTCTTGGGCGCATCATAGCCAGAGAAAGCATTGAAGGCAGCCGCCGATGGGTATGGGCCATCATTGGGCTGGTCAGAAGGCGACCAAGCAGCCATGGGCGCTTTGCGAGGGTGTTTGTTGCGGGATGGAGCGCATGCGTCGAACGGACCGTCATGGTGGAACACTGGTTTTGTTAGTCAGCGACGATCGAAGTGGTACCTGTGGGGTAACGTACTTGGCCCTACTCCAGTGAAATCGAGCCTGTCGATGACATCTGCATGCTGCGACCCCTTCTTGGTGCGAGACTTGGACGACTTGGCTCGCTCCTGTGAGACTGCAGGCACAGAGTCCTGGGAATGGGATCTTCTTCCCATGCTCTGGTGACGAGGCGAGCTAGCAGGTGCTGGACTGGACGTCGGCCGGTTTAGTATCAACTGAAAATATAGAAGAATTGGACACACAGCGCTGTCTGGCTCCTGCCAAGATGGCGAGGCGAATAGTCGGTGGTAGAGTTACCACGGACATGAACAGTATCTTTCACAGCATCGGTGAGTTCACGGCCGTAGCCATCCCTGCCAGACGGTGCTGAGTGCGGCACTGGGGCAGGCATTCTATTCTTTGGCGGTGGTCGTGGTGGATGAGGGTCAGAAAAAGGATCAGAAGAAACTACGGCTGTCGGTGCCATCGTGGTTGTAGTAATGGTATCAAATATTTGTCATCAACTGCCAAGCCAAATTCGGAGAAATTATATTTATTCCTTTTATTTATTTCCCATCTCGCGCCATGTCTCTCCGGCGCGACGAAGTTGAGTCCCTCATTCTCAAGGGCCAGCACATCGTCATATACCACGACAACGTCCTCAGGATACCCAATAAATGGCTCGACGCGCATCCCGGCGGTGCCCTATCCATCCTTCACTTTGTTGGACGAGATGCAACTGATGAAATTGACGCGTTGCATCCCACCGTAACTCTTGATCTCATCGCAAAGTATTCCATTGGCAAGCACCACGAGAAGTACTGGGTTCCTTTCTTGCCTCCCATTGCTGCTGGATGGGTCCAGGAGAACGGCCAATGGAGGAGAGAGGCTGCGTATCTCTCAGGGGACCAACGTTTGCTCGTTGAGGAACACCTTTCTTCGTCAAGCCTCGGTCCAACGGCAGCAACCATCACGCCAGGCCCGACCGATCTTGACTTGGACATACAAGCAAGACAGTCCGCGGCGTATAAGGCCCTACACAGACGCATTATTAACGCAGGGCTCTACAAATGCCCCATCCTTACCGGCTACGGACCAGAATTTATTCGGTACACCCTTTTAGGCCTCATTAGCGCGTATGCCTACTACCACAACTGGCTCATGACGTCCGCATTCTTCCTTGGTCTTATGTGGCACCAACTTATGTTTTTTGCCCATGATCTCGGACATATGGGTTTGACGGGCGACTGGACGTTCGACAGGCTCGTGTCTACGATTATCGCCGACTGGATCGGTGGCCTCAGTATCGGCTGGTGGGTCGATGTAGGTCTTTAATTGAGTGCATTGGATTTCATCACTAATTTATGTCTAGAACCATAATATTCATCATAGTGAGTTCTATTTTCACAGCCTGCTACATCTCATTTACATTTCACCGAAGTTGTTACGAACCATGTGAACCAGTATGTTGTTCCTTAGATACTATTGCCACCGTAATAAGCTAATCGACCGTAGTGACCCCGATATCCAGCATCTCCCCTTCTTCGCCATCTCGCCGGCATTTTTCAATAATTTATATTCCAGCTACTACAAGCGCACAATGCCTTTGGACGCGCCAGCCAAAATATTCCTTACACTTCAACACAAGCTATTCTATATTGTGATGATGTTTGCCCGGCTCAACTTGTACCGCCTTTCCTACGCCCATCTTTATTTCCGAGCTTTTGATACAAGGCGCGCCAGAGGCCACGGATGGGCCTGGGGTCTCGAGGTCGCTGGTATCGTGTTCTTCTGGACATGGTTCGGTAGTCTCCTCATTGGTTGTGGAACATGGCGAAAGGCGCTCTTGTACGTCCTGGTAAGTCACGCCACGACGAGTCCTCTTCATGTGCAGGTATGTTCCCCACGCACGTTTGACAGTGCCGGAACGTTTGTGATATTTTATTCAGATCGTCCTATCACATTTTTCAATGTCTACAGCAGATCTAGGCCCTACGGAGTCATTTCCCCATCGACAGTTGCGGACGACCTCCGACGTTATATGCGACGAATCTATTGAATTTATACACGGCGGTCTACACCTTCAAGTAACGCATCATCTGTTTCCTCGCCTGCCGCGGCACAACCTCCGAAAGGCTAGCGAGATGGTCAAGAAGTTCGCCGAGGAGCAGGGGCTAACATATGCAGAGTTTGGTTTCGTAAGTGGAAACAAAGAGGTGGTTGGCCTCCTGAAACACGTTGGCGAACTAGTCAATCAAGTCAAGATAGTAGCGGAAGTCGCTGATGCAGAAGCGAAAGAGGCGGTTGATAAAAAGATCAAGGGTCAGGAGGAGAAAAAGGTTGGTTAGAAGGACATTTAATACCCCCCTTGCTTCATCTAGAAAGGACTATTATGATAATGATATTCATTCTTTGGGCGATAGCGCAGAATTCACTCAAGATCCTAACAGACAGCCCCTCATATTGTCTGCATAAGGCATAGCTTAAACGTTCGAAGCATGGTGCGAGTAAAAAGGCATAGCAAGGCAACAAGATGGTAGGTAATTACTTCTTCTTTGCTGCTTCCTCCTCCTCTTTCTAGAAGAAAGAGTTAGCACCTTGTAACGCAAAAACTGACATTGAGCACTGACCTTGGCAGCACGAGCCTTGCGAGCACCTTCGTGCCTGGCGTTGGCGCGAGCGATACGAAGGGTCTTGTAAGCTTCGAAGGAGCGCTCTTCTTCGGTGATTTTGCGGGGGGCCTCGGCGGCGTATGATTCGGGAAGAGGGAAGGCGGCTACGAGTAGTAGTAGCTTTGAGGTCATCGGCCTAACAATATGACGCATAAGCAAATCAGATAGCAAAAGAATAGCAAAGAAATCGTACGGAGGAGTCGCCCTTCTTGGGCTTGCCAGCCTTCCTGGGGAAGACAACGAGCTTGGTCTTGTAAGCCTTCAGCCTCTCAACATTGACCTTCTTTCCCTCCTCGCTCGAGTTCCTCCTTCGGTGGTCAACAACGATTCCGACACTCCGAGCCTCCTTCTTTCCGATACCAGCCTCCTTAAGCTCAGCGAAGGTGAATCCGCGACCTTCACGGAGTTTTCGGTTGTAGCGCACAGTTTGGCCACGGACTGCAGGGCGAAGCAGCGTCAATGGACGAACGCCGAGGGCAGCAGCCTTAGTTTTGCGGGCATTGCGTCTGCGGAGCTTGCGTCCTGGCTGGTCGAACCAGGTGCGTACGCGACGCTGCCAATCTTTACGGAAATGGTTTCCGGGGAGGACTATGGGATATCATTAAGTTCAGAGTCTAGCAATGAAAAACAGAAATTTCGCTCACCGTTGTTGTGCGCGAAACCCATTAGTCGGAGCTATTGAACGAGTCATTGAGCACGAGAAATACACTGGCAAAAATTGGGTACCTACGGGTTAGTCTTGAGGTACGTCGAGGCCGGTGCTCTACACGGACCAAAACCTTTGCGTGGAAAAAAATTCGACCAACTGTACAGCTGCTTCCCGGCAAATACCGTGTTATTTCTCACAATCACGTGGACCAGACACATGCGAGATTAGTCATATCCCAATCCGTGAGAGTGCCGATTCGATCGTCACAGGCATCTCAGGGGACCCTTACAGACCCTTTGACTTCTTACACAAGTTTACGAACACGACCGACCACCTATCTTACCGAGTTACGCTGATGTTCTTCGCTTTCGCTGACCCAAATCCATGTATTCCTTTCCCCGTTCCATTTAAATCTCCATAATATCGCGTTTTTCGCGCTCGACAGCTTGTCTTGTCCCGTCTGCATCGTATCACTGACTTAATATTTTGTGTATTTTTGGTCCGTGTACAAATGTAGGCCATTGAAAATCTTCGAATCCGGTGTGTTGATTCGCTTACAAGCACTGAACAGCAGGTCGAGATACTGCCAGACCTGGATATATCCGGCCAATACCCTCCCGAGAACCGAGGCCTGCTGTTCTGCCTTTAGAACCGCACTCGACAGCCCTTTCGACACGCCACGCCGTAGGTACGGCTGCGAGTCCGTAATCCTCATGATTATATGTTCCTTGACGCAATGAATTCTCCCAAGGCCATGGCCCATCAAATTTACCCTACCCAGGTAGTCGGACTTGGTGATCAGCTACAGCTTCCGATTTCCTCAAATTCGGGGCACCCGTTTCATTTCCCTCGCTTTATCTTTCCCTCTTTTACTCGTGCTTATCATCTATGTCGGCGCGCAAGTTGCATATTAAGCCTCCCTTTCGTGCAGAGCATGTTGGGTCATTAATTAGGCCCAAAGAGCTTTTCCAGAAACGCCGTCTAATGGAGAATCGCGGATGTTCCCTCGAAGAGCTCGTCATTGCCGAGGATGCTGCGGTGCTACACGTCGTGAAGCTCCAGCAAGATGCGGGTATTAAGACCCTCACTGATGGCGAAATGAGACGGTACGTTTGGTATATATTACGCAGTGTTCTCTGAGTCTTATATGAACCAGAGGGCTTTTCTTCGAAGGTGTATTTGACAAACTGGAGGGCATGCAGTATATGCCTGAGCGTGCGTAACTCGTCGCTACAGAGACGCGCCTGTTACTAATTCTTTATTAGGTCCGTTGAGTGAATTCAAGGTCGGTACGACGCCTGCAAATCTACATCACTGTGTTGATCATCAGTGCAGGAATACATACCGCATATCGGCATGATGAAGGCAGCAGGTACCATGACTGATAAGACGATATATTGCTCGGTGGGTTGTCCCCTCCTATGTTTTCAAAACCAATCAAGCTGACCACATCGATCAAGGGAAAAATCAAACGTACACAACCTTTTTACGTTGATCAGTTCAAATTCACAAAAAGCATCGTCCCACCAGAGGTATCCACATGTCATTTCGTACATACTCCACACTGACCCTTTTCGCCGTAGGATGTTAAAAATATCAAGATGACTGTATGCTCTCCCTCGTGGTTTCATCAGCGACACGGTTCAGACTTTACATACAATCTCAACGTGTATAAAAATGACGGTACATTGTTTCATCGTAAAGCGCTAGTTCTGTTCTAACCTTTTACATATATAGATGAATATTTCGACGATCTTGGTATCGCGTACCGTGCTGAATTTAAGGAACTATACGAACTAGGATGCCGTACGTCAATATTCGGGCTTCTGGCCTTTCACATGGCTAGGCTAACGAAGCTGTGTAGGTCACATTCAGATTGACGACCCTACATTCTGTTTCTTCTGCAATGATGGTGTAATTAAGAAGATGAAAGAGATGGGTGTCGATCCAGAGACACTGCTCGATACATACATCCGCGCCATTAATATCATCACTCAAGATCGCCCGGACGATCTGGTCATTAGCGTGCATATGTGTCGCGGTAACTTCATGGTACGTTCACTAGTTTTGGGGTTTATTGCGACGTTCATGGACTATGACAGGGGGCGCATTTCTGTGACGGTGGTTACGATCGCATTGCCAAAAAGGTTTTCAACAACCTTGACGTTGATACATTTTACGTGCGTCGGCGGCATTGTCATTACCCCGTGTTTCTTACCCATTATATGGCAGCTCGAATACGATAACGAACGATCCGGTGATTTTGAGCCGCTGAAATATTTTCCCACTAACAAAGCGCTGGTTCTCGGTTTGGTGACCACAAAGACCGGCCAGGTATCTACCGTTCGATTTTGACGTTGGCTGCCTGTCTGAATGTGCCTTACTAGATTATGGAATCTGTTGAAGATTTGAAATCTCGGGTCTACTCAGCTGTAGATGCCTTGTGTAAAGGAAATCCAGCGCAGTCAAAGGAAGATGCTCTGAATCAGTGAGGAATCGCTTTCTTCTTGATTACCGATGATTGATCCCCGCTTTCGGCAGGATTTGCATCAGTACACAATGCGGCTTCGCATCGGTGTGGCAGGGCAACCCCATTACTGAAGAGGTACGAATGCGCTTCCTTATTATAAACGGCGTCATAACAAAGGACTATCCGCATAGGATCAGACGAAGAAATTGGAGTTGCTAGTCGAAGCTGCCAAGCAGATATGGCCACAATAATTTTGGACAATTTTCCAACAATTTTCTTTAAAATTTTAACGTTATTGGATACTAGGCGAAGTTCAATTTTGGACGCGTAACTCTTGGTTTTATAAATAGCTTGCATTGCAAGTTCTTTGCGCAGTTGTCTCGTTGCAGCTCAAGGAGCCCCGAGCGGTCGAGACTGGATTTTTTGAAGCACTTCGACACAGGGCAAGAAGGTACAGTGGGAGTTCATCGGCGCTGACAAGCGTTTCTATGCACGCACATCGAGTCTTCAAAAATGGGTTAGCAACCTGGAGGGTCACGCAGACGCTGCCCCGTAAGAGAAGAGCTCTGAGAAAGGAATCTTCCTTATGCCGTTGGTCGCTGTGAGTCCACGTCTTCTGTAGGCGCCTTACTTTCTTCGTATCTGCTCACAAGATCCGTCAGAGAAAGTTAATAAGCCTAAAAGCGAGGCCGGTAAGCAGCTCACTTTAGACACCGCCCACCGGTCAGCCCGACCAAGGCACCACTGATAACCAATGCACCATCGTCGCTTCTAGTCGGCGAGGTCAAGTAAACTCGTTTCCTGTGATTTTCAGGCATTTACATGCGCATTCTGAGCGACGTGTTCCTCCCATAACAGCGCTTCGCCTTGTGGTATAAATGTGCCGACATCTTCGTCAGCTGGACTGCTGTTGATAAAAGATGGCGAGACTTTCAAAGTGCGATTTACCGTCCAAAGACCGCTTTCTTCTGGTTCGGAATTTGTCGGTTAAGAACAGATCACGCATGCTTGCTTCCCTATCTGCAAAACCATAGCTGTATTCGTTTGGTAAAGGCCGAATCATGGCATCCTTCCTCTGTTTCTTGGCTGTCGACGTCGTGGGTGATCTACGGTACCTGGTTTGGAGAGTGAATGAGCCATTGTTGTTCAAGTCTATCGGTTGAGCCCACCCACCGAAGGTTAAGGCCGGCTCCTTTGCTGGCTATCCTCGTTGCTAATTCTTTGCCCCCCAAGAGAACCGCATCACCTGTAATCAGATGTGACCACTTGGTTGTATCATCGTTCACTGACATCGTTGATCGAGGGTACCGCGAAAGCGCCGTTCCGGATTGTTTGACATCTCCAAGCTGATGTTCCGGATGCTCCCCGTCTCTAATCGCGAGCATGGCCCAAAGGCGAGCGTCGCAAGGCCTTGACCATAGGTGTTGTGGCAGTATTTTTTGGCAGTCGTGGCAAGACAGCGAAACCAGTTTTTCAACTTCGGGAAATTCTGGTATCATCTCCAGGTAGCCGTAATAATCAGGCACTCCGGCAGACCATTATGATTTTGCGGGGGAGTTTATTCTATGACGGGGCCGCTGTTGGAGCGGTGATAGGAGATGGACAACTTAACGAGAGCAATTTTAATTTTCTTTGGGTTGAAAGCTGTACTTTTTGAAAGTTGGAATGTTGCGTAACTAAGGCAAAGAAACATTAACGGAGGGAAAAAAAAACATATGTCATTTGGCTGTGCGTAAAGTTACAGTTCCAGGAAAGGAAATCACCTGAAATTAGCCGAAGACACGATTTCGTCAATATCGCTTCTTTCTTCCCTTCCCCTACTTCCCTCCTACTGCCGCCAGTATTCCTCTGTCTATCCCTCCCTGGCGACCGTCTTTCCTTAATATTACACTCTTTTCCATAACTTCTTGGCTCTCATGCATTTCCGTCTCTCCTTGGTCGTTCTTTCGATTCTGTCCTGGTCATCTTCTTCTGCTGCGTTCAGTTTTTCTGCCGGGACACCGACACAATGTGATGATATCAGTATAACATGGAATGGTACGCGTATCCATACATTATGTTTGACGCGGCGCTCATCGATGCCATATGAAGGTGGCACTGCTCCCTACCTGCTTCTATTGTCTCCTGTTCGCCTAGTCCTTTCTTATTCATCGAACGAGACTCATCTGTAATAACTAGGTCTTTGGGACTCCAAGAAACATATCCATCCCTGATTCCGCCTACAGTGGTGGGAAGGGAACGTATAAAACACAAATTCCGTTCCCTTCTGGACAAAAGCTCGTCATGGTCATGTCGGATGCGTCTGGTTTCGGAACAGGAGGAGCCACTGATGTCCTGACCGTTGGGTCATCCCTTGGAGGCAGTTGCAATACCACGGACCCTGGTAAGGCTGTTCACCGTATTTGCTTTGTCGGTCACTGTAACATTACTCCAACAGGTGTCGACTTTTCATTTGAATTGAATACCGCACTCCAGCAATGCAGGTAAACACATCAATCATTATTACACCGCACTGGCTCAACTTTTGCGCAGAACATATACCTTCAGTGCGTACACTGGTGCCGTACAGCCTGTCACCATCATGGTGAGTTCCGATCTCACTTGTCCTTCCAAGGCTTATATGTATCTTTACAAAGGGAATAATTCCCAATGGAGACACCTTTGTCATTAATCCACCGAACGGGCCTACCGATTATGATTGGATCGCCGACGTCTACAACGGCACGAGCGTGTTATTCGCTATGTCCGATTCCCAAGGCCGTCAAGGCGGATGTTCCGATATTAAGACCGTCGGGACATCTACTGATCAGTCATGTATTGACGCTTCGTCACCGTCATCTACTGCGGCACCATCCTCCACATCGTCAGCTTCTTCTACCACCACTTCTACTGCGGCATCAGAGACCAGCAGCAGTTCAGGTACACCCATCGGCGCAATAGCAGGCACTGTTTTGGGTGGACTCGTATTTTTGGCTGCTGTCATCACCCTTACCTTGTTTTTCCATTCGGCGGAAACGTGATCCGCGCTAGCCGTTATGATGACGGGACCGACCTTGGCCGTCACTCGCGTAGATTTCAATCGGATATTGATCTGGTTGACGGTTACGATACCAGAAGCCACGCAAACACGCCATCAGGGTCTGCTTTCCCATTCTTCGTTCGCGGCACAGACTACGCCTCCTCAACGCCAGGCTCAGAGGCCGCAGACCATTATAGCCGTGGAATGCCTGATTCACCACCAAATCCTTTCGCTTCTCCTCGTGACTATGAACAGGGTCCGATACCTATTGATCCATTCACCGCTCATCATCACAGTCAACCATCCAGTTCTCAGACTATGTCATCTGCTCAGCGGAAGGCGGCCATGGCTGGCACAACCAGCTTCACTCCTTCTCGATTCATCCTGCACACAGATGCTGACGACGTTCCATTGCCGCCTCCCAATGAAGATGGGGTCGTAGAACTTCCCCCGCAGTATTCTGAACGGAAAGCACCTCAGAGCATTCCTTCAGGGCCATCGTTGTCTACGACAGTTGATGATGCTCCCTTATATTCACCTTCATCACAGCACTCTCATTCGCAGTCTCATCATTCGCACTCATGACCGTTTCAATCTTCTCTACCTTGCACATATTGTTAATTATCACGCCGGCGGTTAAAACATATCTATTTGTGTAGGATCGTGTACTTGTTTTCGTGGCCGGGGGCCACCTGCAGCTATTCTCACTGACATATTCACTGAATGTTCTCACGGAATAGGATTGATGAGCTGGTCAATGCCCTGAGAAGAATGGTCCTGCTATCGTCTGCTCCAAGCCGACATCGGATTCCGTGGGTTCACAGGTGTTCTAGCTCATTGGATCTGATTCCTATACCCATCTGTAACTCGAATACCCGCTTAACGTTGAATTCTATGCAGGCAATGGGCTGAAGGAAACCTACCATGTCTGTCCAGGCTCCGTTATGAGATGTCATAAGTTCGACATTCATCAAATGAATTTAATTTTTATCTTCGGCTCCGCTCTCTGATATATGATTTCGTTGAGTAACACCTAGCCAGTCATACCTGTAACATGCTCACCTCGTTCGCTCAGTGGACAGTTCATAGAATATAGTCGAAATAAGTTGATCACACGAAGTTCGTCGCAAAAAGAGCGGAAACGCGACTGCCTGGAGAGCTGGATCGACAGTGTTCTATGAGGCTGAGCTCAGCTGCCTTGCCGTATGCATAAAACCAGAACCTTTCACTACCTCACGAAGACTCTCAGGCGGCGAGGCCGGAAAGCTGAATATAAGTCGTTATATTCCAGTGAAAACGGCGGTCAAGCGGGGTGAAATGTATGTAAGTGATATACGAAAATACACGCGTGCAATCAATATGGGTGGAAGTAGCAGTGTCTAATATGAGTACAACTTGACAAGGAAGCCGCTTATATTCAAGATGAACGCGAGCTGCCTGCAATTATGGCTGATCTCCATCGGCACTCATGCTCATAGGCTCGTTGCTGAGGTTCTGCTTCGCAAAAGCATCAACGAGTGCCTCTTGGTCCTTCCGCCTACGATGACGCTTGCGCCTGTCATCCTTGATAATGCGCTCTATTCTGCGGCGGGTCTTGGAATGTAGCCGAGGGTCTGTCAGAGCCTGCTTGCTCTTGTAGCAGGCGAGCTCGATGCTCGCAATCAGTCGCAGCGTATCAGAGTTATTCAATGCCTACAGCGTTCAATGAGTACGCAAAACATGGAAATGCAAGAATGACTCACGTTCAATGACCAAGAAACGACACGCGAACCCTCGACGCAACCAATGACCACGAAGTTACCTCTCCTTTCTGCCTGAAGGTCCGTACCCTTGAAAAGCAAGCAATCAGTGTTGTAATTAGTGAGAATAAACACGAAAAATTCACCTCGCCAAATGAGGTGATGACCTTGTTGGAGGAGAGGTTTCGAACGACTGAGGCGGCCTTAATTAGGCTCTCAAGAAAGCGAAGCACAAGAGCACTCACCTATCCTTGACGAATGCCCAACCACCTCTTGCGACACAATGCCTCGTCCCAGATACACCCAAGAATCTCGCTCAGGCCTTCGAATGTGGACCTTGACCTGTATGTCACGGAAGTTTTCACGAGGTAGCCCTAACGCTGTATGACGTCGATTGTTCAGCACAGGCGGTGGCGCAGATACACTGAGGAACTCACTTGGTGGTGCAGGCGCTCCAGTAGATGCCTGGCTGGGTCCCTCCTGGACCTGCTGTATCGGCGAGCTAGCGCCTTGCATAACAGAATCTACTTCCATGTTCTCCATCTAAGCGAAGCAGCGGCTCGGTTTGAGTGACGACAGGCGACACGGGAGCGAGAAAACACGAAACTGAAACGCACCCTGCTTGAATGACCAAGAAAAAAGTCCTATGGGAGAAAGAAAGAAATGGCTGGCGTAGAAACAGTGTGCAAGGCAGCTGGCAGTACTTAAGTAGCGCGAAGCGTCACGTGCTCCGTCACTTACGGTTTCTTAAGTTCGGTGGCAGAGGGTGGCAGCCAAGGTGCCTCGAGGAACAAAGGTAACAAAGGCGTGGAATACTATAAGGTACGGTACATTCCATCAGTGCGTAAGTATTTCCTTCCACGTCTCTATTTCCCAGCCAGCCCACATCCTCGCAAAGTGCAGAATATTTCTGTAACGCAGCGGAAGAGGAAGAAGATAACAAAAAGATTCAACAGGAAGAAAGGGTACGTTGGGTCATATTGCACTCAACCATTCGTTGGCTAATATCCAGCTGCGTGTAGAGAGACCGGGAGGATGAAAATTATAATCCTTCAAGCTCTCAGCAATATAGCTCCCAGTCATACACCAGTAGTACGGACTCTCATGGAAGCGACGGAGACGACGATGGCATGCCATTACAGCCATCTGATGGATCGCAAGGGAGGGAAAACGAGAATCTCTAGAGAGAAATTACTAATGTCGTGCGGGGTGGAGACCTTGAAGAGTTTGTCGCCATCCTTCTCGGCTTGATCGAAAACGGAAAATCTTTACAGCTGGAAGCCGCGGTGAGGCTGGCCAGTAACATTCTGGGAGGAAGGGGTAAATAGTAGGAACTGTTGACAAGCAAAATAAGTTAGGCTAATTAGTACAAGGTCCCACAAAGGTTCTACAATGACGATACTCGGATCATCGTACATCTGGAGATAAATAATTCCCTCCTACGAGGACAGAGATTCCTAGGTGTGAAGTGTACATTCGTTATTGGTGTTCTTTTAGTCGGGAAGGACGCGAGTAAGTCAGTTCTGAAATTAGGTCAGGCATAAGCAAGCAAGCAGGCTCAACGAATAAGCGCACGTTTCAGAAGATTCTTCTTCGTTTGAACCACCGACGACTGCGCCATTGCTTGCGAGGCCCAATGGCGTGTATTGAGTAGTCCCGTTCTCCCGCGGTTTACTAGGTGATCCACCTGCGCTCTTTACATCCCAGCATCGAACGGTCCAATCAGCACCTCCGCTGACTAGTAAAGACGACTCGGCACTGAAAGCCATAGAGTATATTGACGCCGTGTGTCCGGTCATTTTCTTGATCCTCTTGCCAGAACCGATGTCCCACAAATTGATAGCCAGGTCTTCCCCTACATGGGACGTTAGAACCCAACATTGAAGAGATCGCAAGTGAATCATATACCTCCAGTCACTAGATATCGACCGTCTGGGCTGATAGCCATTGAAGTTACAGCGCCTTGCTGTCCAATGAACACCCGCATGCATGCACCTCGTTGAACGTCCCACAATCGGGCTGTCCAATCACTAGACCCGGTAGCAAGGTACAAAGAATTGGGGTGAAACTCAATGCACTAGACACGCATCAGATGAAGCCTGTATCGTCAGCCAAGCAGAAAACATACATCCACATCACTTAAGTGCCCTGCATAAATGCGCAAACAGCTCGTACGGTCTGTCGACCACAGCCGAGCAGTTCGATCTCTGCTCGCGGTAGCAAAATAGATTCCTATAGGGCTCCATTTGACGTCCCAGATCGGATTCTCATGTCCACGGAAAGCAACGACGTTGCTCATAGTTTCCATCGACCACAAACGCGTTGTAGCGTCCGCTGAAGCTGACAACAGATATCTAGGAGGACTTGCAGAGCCATTAAGGGGATCAAACGCAAGTGAATAGACAGGACCGCTATGACCGACGAGTTTTCGAGTCGTGCTACCTTTCTTTTCCTTGATTTTGCGAAGAGATGTCACTACGACGGATTTTTGAGTCCAATAGACCAGGCTGTTAGTAGAATGTACGGACTATCTTTGACAGAGCTTGAAGTGAAGTCACTCCTCATTCCCTTGAGTTTCTCGCCTTTGAGACTCCATAGTCTGATGTAGCTTTCAGCGAAACCAGCGGCCATTAATGAGGTGTCTTGAGAAAAAGCCATGCAGGGTGCTCTATAACGGTGTAAGAGAGGCGCCTTGCAGTTGAGATTGAACGTACCCTTCCACGACATTGTGTAATGTATAAGCACAGATACTGGGGAGAGCACGCGCCCTCGCCGTATTAGCTTGAGGAGAATTGATGTCGATGTTACTAAGGGCTGATGGTTCCAGTCGGATTCTTCGACGTGCATCCCGTACAGCGTTGACTTCTCTTTCAACATCAGTCGTTTTGAAAGTAGGGGGATGGGGTAAAAGGTCTGATTCGGTTACAGGAAGAATGCCAGGCAGTAGAGGTGGTCGGGCATACTGCATGTCATATTGAGCACTGGGATCCCGGTCAACCATGGCCTGTTCTCGTAGCTGGCGTTCCGATTCTGTACGAAGATCTTCGGCTATCGGTCTAGGACCGAGTTTGAGGTCACCTTTCGACGTATTGTACGCTTGAGGATCGGTTACTTTTGTGGTTGGCCCCATTTGTTTGAGGAATCAGGGAAGACAGTAGACCCGTAGATTCTTCCCAAGTGTTGGGCGCAACTGAAGTGGGGTTGGAGGAAGTGACTGTACATTGGGGTGAGTAGGAGTGCCATAGGATACACCACGATTGTATTTACCATCGAATCGAAGATGGTTGTTGACCACGCGCATGACCGCTGCACGTCCTCTCTTGCCCTTTTCACCTGAGAAGCCTTCACCTGCACCTGAGGCCTCACCTCCGACACCTTCTGTTAACCACCCTACGAGCAAGCCAAAGCCTGACCGGCTCATTCGAATAACATACTTTTCATCACGAAAGCGTTGTGCCAGCTCGTCGTTTTGAACATGAGCGGGAAGCAAGAGAGTAGAGAGATGGTGTAGTATCGTTGTGTGAGCAGGAGCAAGGGAAGTCGAGAAAGAGGAGAAAAATCGAAGCGCTGATATAGTCTCGATCAGCAGAGCAATTTGTTGTATCGTCTTGTGGATTACCTGCATCCTTGAAACCACGCTGTATGAGGTCCAAATAGAAGTGACAAAATATTGGGAACAATATTGGTCGAAATTCGGGCTGTACCGAGGGTTACATCAAATTGACAGGGCAGATACAGCACTTACTCGATACATATCCAGAGATCCCTCGACCCAAGCCTCCAACTCTCGAAATCCCTCTTGCTTGTCTGTGGGATCCAAAGACAGAATATCTTCTGCTCCGACGGAACCGATGCTAGCAATCAGGTTCTGGATGCTAGATGGGTTTCCCAATGACGTGAGTTCGGTAAGAACACTTGAAGTATCCTTAAGAACATTTTCGCCTGGCCGCGAGGGTTTTTGTGCGAATACTGCGAGAGCCTTGACAAGATCTTCGGAAGTAAGAGTTTCTGGTTGTTTGCCCTTATCCTCGGGAGAGGCAGCTTCGACGACACTTGCGAGAGCCTTTTCAGCAGCAGCATGACCTCGAGCACGCAGATAGTCAAGGACCATGCGGTCTGCGAGAGCATTATTTTGCTGATCTGTCGGCGCATTATTTCCAGGAGAAGCAGGAGCAGGAGAACCAGTGGATCCGGGAGGAGTGTTGACCGACATGGCTGCAGAGAGCAGAAGAGTAGCTCACGTGACTGATGTCTGTTATACGCGACGCGTGTTTGGTATTTTCAAATCTCTTTCTCACAACTCTCACCATGGCTTCAAAACAAGCGAACCGTCAAGCCATTACCCTCAAGGGCTCTACCGCACTGGTCACTGAATTCTTCAAGTATGCGGTCAACACGTGGGTATCCTATGAATCGATGTTCGTGTTGCCACTGACAGGGTCCAAAGGATACTTTTCCAACGGGAGGTGTACCCGTCTGACGATTTTCATATGGTGAAGAAATATGGGCAAACTGTTCTCGTCACTCAAGATCTCGCGCTGGAGAACTACCTCGAAAGGTCCGTTGCTAACCATTTGTGCAGTTTCCCACCCTAACACTTTGACTTTGCTAGAATACTAAAACAAGTTCAGAGTAGGTGAACACACTAACTAGTTCATCACGGTGCTTATCAGTCCATCAGAATGGCTGCTTACTGGCTCCGTTACACAACTCGTTCTCGCTATTATTTCAAAGGATAGCCGGACGCCTCTAGAACGCTGGGTGTTTGATATCAAACTTGTTGATCCACCAGCGGACTCTGCAACTGAAACGTATGAACCACGATTGTACCTCACTTCGGGCGTTTCTAATAGAATTGTTTGATCTAGGCCACCGAAACCAGAGGCAGAAATTCAATCAGAGATCCGAGCCATTCTGAAGCAGATCATTTCGATGGTCACCTACCTGCCGGTGATACATGAACCAACAGTGTTCAATATTCTGGCATACACGTCTGACTCTGCAGACGTTCCTGCTGGTGAATGGGTTGATACTGATCCGTTGGCGATTGAGGCGAGCAAGAGTCAGCAAGTGAAGATGAGGAGTTTCAGTACGGACGTGCACAGGATTGAAGCCATGGTCGCGTATCGATATGAAGAGTAGTGGCATGTGTATAATAATGTACTATAATTTTTTGGCAGATAGATGGTTGCCCTTGACCGAAATAGCCGAGTCCGAGCCAGCCGAGCCAAGCCAAACCAGGATTGCTATGACCACGGCCCCCCCTCCCCCTTTTACTCTTCTTTCTCTCGTTCACTCTCGTCCATTCTTTTCTTTCCTCAGTCTTCTTCGTCTGGCTGGCCCCGGACCTTCTTCGACTTTCTTTTACTGTATTATCACCTTCATTCGACTTCAATTATGGGAGAAAGCTGGTTTCGCAGGGAGTTTCTCAGCGCAAAGAGGCTGGCCTTCAATGTCATTTTCTATGGAATTCATTTTGCGCTCTTTGGTTATGGCTGGCACAGCCAGGTGCGTGTACTGACTCTCTAGTTGGCCTTTAATTTAATTCTTGTAGGCCACCAATACTAAACTTGCTGCCCTCAACGCTTTGACTTGGTCCGTGTGGACTTCCCGCGGTGCTGGCCTTGTTCTGGCATTCGATGGTGGCATGATTCTCGTTCCCATGCTGCGAAACATCATTCGCTTTGTTCGGCCAAAGTTGACCTGGCTCCTGCCTGCCGACGAGAACATCTGGTTCCACAGACAGGTCGCTTATTCCATGGCATTCTGGGCCATGGTTCACACAACGGCCCACTATGTCAACTTTTTCAACGTCGAGCGCACTCGTACGTTCTTCCGTGCCACTTGACTACTACTCGCTAATTCCTAGTACAGAGGTTCGAAAGGAAACTGCTTTGGACATACACTATACCCAAGCAGGTGGTATCACCGGCCACTTTATGCTCCTTATCATGGTCTTGATGTATGGGACCGCTCATCAGAAGATCCGCAAGCAATGCTTCGAGGCATTCTGGTACACCCACCACCTTGCCTTCTTTTTCATGATCGGTCTCTACTCTCATGCCACAGGGTGTTTTGTCCGTGATGTAGCCGATCCCGCTTATACCAGTACATTCCCCTTCTACGACCCTAAGCATTGTCTGGGATATGAGAGCTGGAGGTTCACAATCTGGCCCGGAATCATCTACTTTGGTGAACGAGTGTTTCGTGAATGGCGTGCTAGACGTGCCACTCGGTTGTCCAAAGTTCTTGTACACCCCAGCGGTATGTAGAATGCCCTTCTTCGATCTTGTTATTTGCTTATATCCGTCCCAGGTGCTATGGAGCTGCGTATCATCAAGCCTAGTTTCAAGTATACACCTGGGCAGTGGTTATTCCTTCAGGTTCCAGAACTTTCACGCTTTCAATGGCACCCTGTGAGTTCCTGATATCGTGCTTCGCTGTCTCACGCTTATCTACATGCCGACTAGTTCACCATCACATCAGCGCCAGGAGATCCTTATGTGTCTATCCATGTTCGGCAAGTGGGTGATTTTACAATGGGGCTCGGGGAGCGTCTTGGCGTTGGTCCGTCTGTTGTTAATGCAATGACCCAATCGGCCATGAAGGGCTCGTATAAAGACGAGAAATCTGACTTGGGGTCTCGAGGCGATTACCTTGAATTAGATGGCTCCGACTCTCTCCCCGCTGTCCGGATTGATGGGCCATATGGTGCGCCAGCGGAGGATGTATTCGATGCCGAGGTAGCCGTACTCGTTGGTGCTGGTATTGGTATGTGACGTCTTCTAACACGAAGAACTCTTCTAACTCCCATCGATCAGGTGTCACGCCGTTTGCATCAATCTTAAAGCACATATGGTACAAGCAGAAAAGCGGCAACCTCGGTGCCTTACGTCGTGTTGAATTCTTCTGGGTATGCCGTGATGCGCCGTCATTTGGGTGGTTCCAAAGTTTGCTGCAAGAGGTTGAAGCTGCTCAAGCGGATCGTGAGTCAAGCTGTTCTTGAAGCGTTAAGTATCAATTCACATTTGTCTCTAGCCAACTTCCTTCGTATCAATATTTATCTTACTCAGAAAATTGGAGAAGATATGCTTTGGAATATCGCAGTCAACGACGCTGGTGCTGCCTATGATCCCCTGACGCTCCTCAGGACACGTACCATGTTCGGTCGCCCCGATTGGATGACTATCTATGGGCAGATGAAACAGGCTATTGAAGCAGGACAATATATTCCCGGTTCGAAGTCGCAATTGAAGACCAAGGTCGCTGTAAGCCATCGTCTTTTCTATGTATCGCCTCGTGCTTTGCTTAGACGAGTCTAGACTTACTTCTGTGGACCGGGTGCCATCGCGAAAGCGCTTAAGGAGGCAACGCTCCACCACAGTTCGTCCAGCGTCAACTTTACATTTGCAAAGGTTTGCAGCTTTCGATATTGGTCATACTTTATTCTGATCGCTATGCTCAATGACAGGAACATTTCTGATTTTCGGCTAGATTTACATGATGGAGTGCTCGTTATCTATTTTGTAGTAGTCATAACCCAATATATTATATGGTTACTACTACAAGAATGCAACTGGATATTTTGCATTAAATCTTCACGATAACGGAAGAGTAGTCCACTTTCAATCCGAATTAGACAAAATCCGGTAATATGCAGTGACATTATACGATAAATGTAGGGTAACTGAACGGTCCTTTCGCTTCTTACCTAATTATAGCTTCCTCGATGCGACCTCCCCAAAGTGTGGTACTCCGCTTCAACCGACATTCTGGGTCAGACAAGTTGCGATTCAGCTGCTCTTGAGCAACCATTCGTATCGACTTCCTCATATGGCGATCTTTAGGTTGGCTCGCAACCGTATCTGCCTTGACGACAGGTCTATCAACATCATGCTCCGGGAAATAGTAGTCTAGACGCTGATAAACGTCTTCAAGGTGTGGTCGATGCCAGCCTTCGATTCGGCTCAGCCGCGCAGAAGCCTTTCTGTCTGAATATGAGGGAGGAGAAGGTAGAGGTGGAGGAGATGGAACGGGCTGAGCACTGATCGGCGGCTTTTGCCAAAGTGAAGTACCAAAGTCGCTGGAATCACTAGACGATAATGTGCTATAATTGGTTGAAGTTGATGTTAGTGCTGATGCAGGTGAGAAAGATGGAGAGTGCTGTGGATAATGCGTGTTGAAGTAGAGTTGATTCGGAGCTGTGACTGTTGAAGAAAAGGGTGGTTCGACTTCCGCGCTCGGGAGGGGCGGCGGGTGGTAAATGTAAGACGACTTCGAAGATTTGTGCCGTCGGATGGTTCCTTCACCATCAGAATCGTCTGAGTCAGGATTGACGACGTAGAACATTTTCGGGCGTTGATATGACGATTTCGACGAGTCAGATGTTGCTGCCCAGTTGAATACTTGATCATCGTCTTCAGGAGTAGAGCCGAATGCCGATTTCATAGGTGAACTTGGAGGAGTGATAAAGACAAGCGGAGGCGGCCGGCCATAATCAGGCTTAGCGGGAAGCACAGCTTTAGATGCATTTCTGAAGTGCGTGTGCTGATGGTTGGTCTGTCTCTGGCCCAGCGCAGATGAGCTGGAAGGTCTCCGTGGGATTCGGGAAATAGATCGTGACGACGCTTTTTCTTCTGGTACAACAAGTCGGGTAGCGTCATGCTTTCGAGAGGGAACGAGCTTTTCCGGGGGGGGCTCAATTTCAGCTTGAGTGAATGACCATCCGGGCACTGGGGTCAGATAAGGATGCTTTCGGAGTTCTGCGGCCATAGGACGTTTAGCCGGATTACTGGATTATGGTATAGTCAGGACCAGTTGTTGAAGAAATATAGGTTTACGTACGTAGCAAAGCAGCTATTCCTGAAGGATAACGCCAGCTCTGATAGATGTAAATCCTTTGGGATGGGGGGCGGAAGCTTGTCTTTATGAAGCTACAGTTGGTCATGAGCGTGTCAATGTGAGCCAATGTGACGGGACTCACTTTGAGCATAACTGCGATAGTTTCTTGGCCGGCCCAGGGCCGTTTGCCAGACCACATCTCCAGCACGATACACCCGATACTCCAGATGTCGACCTTTAGGTCATATCCACCACTTTTAGGAGACACGACTTCCGGAGCCATCCAGAACACAGTGCCCTTCATGCTCGTATTTGCACGCTCTTCCAAGTGGTCGATGCGCTTGGATATCCCAAAGTCCGAGATCTTGCAGATACCCGAATGATCAACCAGAATGTTGGCTAAAGTATAACCATGAGCTTGATACATAGCTTGAAACGCCAACGAGGTGCACCTGCTTTGAGATCCTGGTTGTGTGGCTGTGAATATATAGTATCGCGCTCAAAGAAATGACAACCCACTCGATGTATAATTCCTCTACAGTGGAGATACTCCAAACCTTCCAAGATCTGGCTTGTGAATGACTTGGTCAGACTCTCACTAAACCTGCCGTGCTGGAAAAGACAGCTTTCTATTGTTCCTCCGGGGACATATTCCAAGAAACTTGAAATAGTCAGCAGAAGTTACGGCTGAAAGCTGGTGACTCACATATTAAGAGACTCGGGGCTCTCTTCATAACCCAGATAACGGACAATGTGAGGATGATCCAAGTCCTTGAGAGTTTCGCTCTCAAACTTGAGGGCTCTGGCCACTTCCATCTGCTGGTTCGTTGCAAACTGCATCTTGGGCAATTCGACTTGCTTGACGGCTATTATTTCTCCAGTATTGGCATTGCATCCCAAATATACACAACCATAACTTCCTCTCCCGATTGGCTCCCCCCGAATCCATCGAAATATGGCTGCTGTAAGAAAAGGCAAGGGTTCAGCCCAGCACCCATGAAACACGTCCAGACGCACATTTCGGTGGGCGAGAGCTATGAGACGGGCGTGCTGCTTGTCGTCGGGGTTTGCTGGGGATGGCATCACCTACAAGTTTCTTCACGTGAAGAGCTAACCTTCAGAGGGAAAGGAAAGGTAACGTACGGCTGCCTAGACCTATATTCGTAAGATAAGCAGAAATCCGTGTAGCTGGCGAAGAGGAAGGTTTGCATGCTTGAGTCCTGCTCGCGGTGCATCGAGGATTCATGGCCGCAGTGACTACAGTAACCAATAGCAGATCAACAAGCAAGAGCTATTACTGCATGAAACAAGGGGAAGGTAGGTCCTGATGGAGATCTGTTTCGAACGATGATGGATTTGGCCACGTCGCGACGATATCCATCATCCCATTGGCGTATAAGAAATTCGGATCACGTCAAAGGCGCCCACACCGACTGCGAGATGCTGGCAGCTGGGGATGCCAGGGATTGCTGATGATGCATATCATTGAAGCTAGAACGGAAGAAGGAAGGGCCCGAAAATCAGTCCAAATAGTCAGAGCCTTTCGCCAAACAGTTCCAAATCCGGACGCGTTCAACCTCCCTTGCCACTGGCTCCCCGCGTCAAATGGCTGCTGCCTTTGCCAGCTCGTCCTCCTCTTCTTCCCTTCCAACGGGACCCGGTTTGTTCACTTATAAGGTCTATTGAAGTCTGCTTACAAGCCCCACTAGTTGACCTTACCGTTCTGCAAAGTGCGAGCCGTGTTTTACATGAACAATTCGCCACGGATGTTCAAATTATTCCTGACCTCAGCGAGACACTAAGTGCCCGTAAAGTGATATCTTTCATATTTCCAGGCATTTTGTAATGTTCCTATCCAGAGGCTGGGCCAGCAGTATATAGCACCTTCGACGATGATTTTCGTCTTCCTTTTCAAAAGAGAAAACTTGTGGGAATTCCTGATGCGTTGTTCCAACATTATAGCAGTAATGTCCCCAAGATCCTTTCCAGTCCACCGCTAACTTTCCAACCAGACACGAATGTCAACACTCGCATGGGCTTGATGCCTGAAATTGAACGGACATGGATCTCGGTTGAAAATAAGTTGCTGCTATGGGATTACGTAGAGGGGTGCGTCGTGCTTCTTGATCTATAGCGCTCACAATTTAAATCTCTTCTTAGTAATGAGATAAGTTCATTTGAGGACCAACCCTACGTGATCTCCCATGTCGCACTTGTCAAACCCAAAAAGGGATTGTTCATCGACGAAATATCCTACTTGTTGGTGATATGCACACCAATGACTGTCGTTCTAATTGGGGTTGCTCTGTCACCGGGAGCGAAACGGAAAACACTCCAGTTGTATGCCACTGACTTGACCGTGAATACCGACACCCAAATGTCATCAGTCATAGGCATTCCCGACGGACGAATATTTATGGCTGGGTCTCACGATGGGAGCCTTTACGAGCTTCATTATCAAGCCACAGAATCGTGGTTTGGAAAACGCGTCCAACTAATAAATCACTCCGTTGGTGGAATGCAAAGTCTTATTCCCCGTTTTGTGTCGTCAAATGTAGAAGGCGCGTACATCTTGTTAACGCTTGCAACCGTGATTACAATAGCGTTTAGATCGTATCGTTTCCCTCGTCTCTGATGACGCCAGACGCTGTTTCTACACTCTTACAGAGAGAAACGCAATAGCTGTGTACAAGCCGACCTCCGACAAATCTGTGGAACATGTTCAGACGCTATCAGGTCTGTATAAATCTATTCAAGATAAGGTTCCTGGTCCTTCCGTCACACCTCAGAACTTCCGAATCATTTCCATTCATCCTGTCGATGTTTCGGAATCGCGTTCGGGTATTAAATTGGTTGCAATAACATCTACAGGTGTACGACTGTATTTCGCACCAGCAATTGCTTATTCGTCCTCGTATGGGGGTTATTCATCCAGTAGCGGAGTTCGCCCCCTCCAGCTCTTCCAAGTGCGAACACCTCCAACCACTATATCACATCCTGACGAGCAAGAGCCAAATTTCCGACAACCGATGGCAGCGTATGGCACAGCGCCAATACCTGCTCGGCAACAAGGACGCACGTTTACCTTTACGGGTCTTGACGTCAGCTTGCTATGTTGATGGGTTGACAGTGGCCGCTCAGGAAACAGATGTGGATGGAAAGGACTTTCTTCTGTGCATGTCGCCGGACTTGACGCGAATTGGGAATCTGGACCAAATAATCACGAATACCCAGTCTGCGCAGCGATTTAGCGGTGCGGGTGCTCCCAGTGGCAGTAACAGAGTGCCTTTGATCGAATATGCTGCACTGTTGGCTATTCCAGGGAGGACTTGGGCCATGGCTCCTGTTCCCCGGAATTTACCAAATTGGGAGACAGGTTTGCCCGCGCCGGTGGTTACGAACGAATTGGCTTCGCAATTTGTCGAAAGCCCCCCAGAAATCATGATTCTTACCAATGTTGGTCTGACGTTCCTCATGAAGAGACGGGCATTGGACTACCTTAAGGCTGTTATCGAGGAGGTGCAGTCAGAGGGTAACGTTCAACCCCTCATCGAATTCAGGGATAGGTAGGGATGCAAGCGAATCTTCTCATCGGCGATGCTTAACACACCCTCTAGCTTTGGGCGCAATCAGACGTGTGCTATGCTCCTTGGTCTCGCAAGCGGCAACTCATTTTTGGACACCACAGAGAGCGCATCTCTTGCCGTCTCTCCTCCCGACATCGCGGCTGTGGCCAAGCAAGCGTTTTATGACTTTGGAGAGCGTCCTATATGGTCGGAACGGATGGCTTATGGCAGTATGCTTCGCCTTTCTTCTCCTCCGCGCTCACTTCTCACTAGCTGTTAGACGAGGCTCAAGGAAAAACTCTTTACAGTGGCCGTAGGGAAGGGTTTGCTCTTTATTTCGCTCGTCTCGTCAGGCGAATATGGAAATCGAAATTGACGCATACGAGGTAGTTCAATGGCCTTTCAGATGACTCGGTTGCTTACAAAGTTTTCCTTAGTGCTTCTGGTAGTCACGAACCGACTGTACCAGAAACAGTACTAGTCACTGTCCAGAAGAACTTATACTCATTGAAAGACCTTTTGGATAAGAATCCTCATCTATTCCACTCATCACCAGGTGATACGGCGGTCCGTCCTCCTGCAGCGGAGCAGCAAGCTTGGAAGGTGAATAATGTTTACCTTTTCTCTTTCTGCCGTTACTGACAAGTGACAGGCCGAACAAAGCTCCGTAGTTGAACTTTTGTCATTATTGACGCGGACTATTGAAGCCCTCTCGTTCATACTTCTATTGACCGACTATCGTATCGGTGATCTCATTACAAAGTATGTCTTCCCTGGAACTACGCTGCCGACTGTCAGATTGAGTTGTACCAGATGCGAAGCCGATGTCCAGAACATGTTCAAAGCGCTAACATTTGAAGACCTAATAACCACACGAAACGGAATGACAGTGTCGAGAGCTTTGGTCAACGTTGTTATCGATCAGCAAATTGGTCAACAACTGAGCGTGAGTATTATCAGCGAACTTACATCTCACCTGCGTAGCTGATACATACTTAGGTTGATACTATAAGCGAGGTTCTGCAACAAAGATGCGGCTCCTTCTGCAGTTCCGATGATGTCATGCTGTATAAGGTGCCTGTTGCTTTTCGGTGCATCGTTTACTTGCTGACGCTTCTATCAGGCGAAAGAAAACATCCGGAAAGCCGTCGAAACCAAGAATCCCGCCGAGAAGGACAACTGGCTGTCGGAATCACTACGGTATGTCTTGGTTCCATGCTTTTGCCTTTATATTTCAAATAAGACCATATAGGTTATACATTAAAGGCGTTCGTATTTTGGACCTTCATAAATTGAGGGAAATTTGCGGCGATTTCCAGCAATTGACATACGCGAAAGGTACGCTTGCCGAGCTATATCCTTTTGGACAATCGTACTATTATAATCTCAGGAGCTGTCGATCTTCCACTCGTCTGTGCAAACGTCTTTGATGCGGAGAACATCGGATTGGAATATTGGGCTGCCGGTATGCCCGCGAACGACATGCGCAAGGAATTCTATGAACGGCGGCTCCACTGCTATGAACTTGTCCTGGATTCCTTGAACGTCTTCGAAGGAAGTTCGCAAACTGCCAACTCGCTTTCCCGCGACGATCAGGACACAGTAAGAAGCCATGCATACGAATATGCCTTTGCCAGTCAAGACGAAATGTTCCACTCGACGCTGTATGATTGGCTAATAGATCGCGGTTTGGCTGATGATCTATTAGAGGTCGGTCATTCCAAGTTAAAGCTTCTAATTTCTTTCCTTACCGCCTGCTTAGATCAGGCCCACCTTCCTTGAATCCCATCTAAGACGGGAGCCAGCGACTGTCAAGAAATATCAGCTTCTGTGGCAATATTACGTCAAAGACGGCCAACCACTGCGTGCTGCAGAAGTGCTCAGCGCGCTTGCTGAATCCACCGAGTCAGTTATCCATTTGGGCGACCCCTCACTGTCCATTTTGCTCATTATATATTAGCTTCGATCTCCATCTGACCGACAGACTGGAATGCTTGACGCTTGCTGCCGGCAATGCCAAGTCACATCCCGTTTCTTCGGGAGGACGTCATGAGACTGCCATCGCGTTCCTGACGGATCTTGAGGAGCGACTAGACGTCGCTCAGGTGCAGCTGGATCTTTACAATTATCTATACCCGCATATTACGGATGCGGAGGAGGTGGGGAATAGAATTAAGCAGCTCGATCAGCGTCTTTTTACGATATCTGAGGTATGTCTTTCCAACTCTTGCGGATACCGTTTGTCTCATGCTTTGTGTACGCAAGCTATATCAAGACTACGCAATACCATTCGACCTCGCCGACTTCAAACTGCTTTGTATACATGTTTCAGAACACCGCGACGAGGGCATCGTACGGCCAATATGGACACAAATTTTCGATGAAAGTGTGTTACTGTCATCGATTCATGTGCTCCTTTGACTCAAATCGTTTGTGTAGTAATCCAAGAAGCCGAGGATGAAAACACTCAAGCTGATCGGATTATGGCCAAAGTTGTTAAGTTGGGACGTCGTTTCTTCCCCTCGGAAAGCGCCTTCCCTCTCCGTGAGTGTTATACCCATATTGGAGGTCTTGGTGCTCATAGCCGTGTAGGACTCATGGCGGACCTTCTCGTGCGATTCTCCTTGGAACGAAAGGGCGTTCTTCCTTATGGTTGGGCGCCTCGCGTATTGGTTCAGTGTGGCGTTCCGTTTGTCGAAATATGGGAGATACTGAACGGGATGTACGAGTCTCATGTCAGTGCTTTTTCTCTCCACTTTAGATTTTTTCTAACTTGACACAGATACCTCCCTTCAATTCCCAAGCAAACGTCCAAGCGATATCCTCTGACATCGCCGTATTGCTAGTTGATTGGCTCGAAGAGGCTCGACGACCAAACTCGTCAATTGGCCGGGGAGAAGTCCCCGTTGGACGCATAGACGCCGCTGTTGACCAGTACTTGAAGGAGTTGAATGTTGACAGGAAAGATACCAAAAGTACATATGAGAACGCCAAGCGTTTGCTCAGACGGAATTGGTGAAGATCCGTTATTTAGTGATAATGATACGTCGTTGTCACTTTTGAGTACATATATACATTATTAGACTTGCTTGCATATCAATTGACTTCAAGTATTGCATCTTCAGCACGTAAAAGTAGATGTTTCGTGACTTTCTGGGTCAACTGGTAAACTTTGTACAAAGCGCTGTATGCATACGATCAGCTGGCGAGACGCGGAAACGAAGAAAGGCAGACTAACCGAGCGGCGCCTACGACAATGAGGACGATAATGATCAGCGCTGTTATATCTCGGGAATTGTTATTCCTCCTTCGATTACCCCGGTAGCGGGCGAGCCAGTGGACAGGGCCAAGGAAAGGAACGGACAGAAGCATGTGTATCAACGAGCCCGCTCCAATCAACGGTAGACCAAGCAGAAAGCGCTGCACCGCGCTCCTAAGCACACCCGGAGCCCGAGTAGTGCCCATCATCGTTTCGCCGCTCCGGTTACCCCGAACTTTGGGCAGAGCCTCATCAAAGACGGCGACAATGTCTTCGTCTTGGATGATGCGGAGAGCTGCGCGAACTAAATCATGGAGGACCTCCAAAGGTGATACATAGAAGAATGATGAGGAATAGTAGACTGTGGGCTCCTGGAAAAAGGACATGAGGTAGGTCGTCACGGAAGAGGATATGAACGCAAGGATCGTAAAGAGAAGGGTGGAGATGGCACCAAGTATCACTGACAGAAGACTGTTGAGAACGTCTGTTAGCTCTCTATGATATCGCGACTTGCCTGGGTTCGTCGCAATGCCAACGACACGGGTACGTGAGAACCGATACTTGTAATGACATTGTGGGCACGAGAAGAAGGCGCTCTGCGACGTGGACGTATTTCTCCATTGCTGTAGACACTTTATGTGAACATACTGCGCATACAACGAGCTCAGCAACGGCTTAGCGAGGAAACGACGGGAAAACTCACGCTAATCGAGCCTTTGCAGAGGCACGGTCGAATCAGGCGACCAAGCTCCCGTTCTGCATCGGCGCCGTCCAGGCATATCCTGCATTGCCTTTCGTCCGCTTCCACGTGCTCTCCGTCGGTTCGGGTGTCGTCCTGTTCTCTTCCGTCCATTGCTTGCACGATGACCGGATGGCGGCGTTAACGAAGAGTTCCACGTTACCCTCCGGCAACTTTGAAGGACACCGGGAAGCTTCCGCGTTTGTCATGGCCGGCAATTGTATGTTGTGTTTGATCTCTGAGCATGACTGAAAATGCATCTCAGAGCAATCACATAAGATTCGTGGGCGCATTTGCCGGCATTGGAAGCGGTTGGGCTCATATTCTTTACTTTTCACGATGCCTAGGCCTAGCTGACCAGAAAATTGTAGGTTTAACCAAGGTAACTGCGGTATCTCAGTTTAGCTCAGATTTGGTCTCATCTAAGATTTTGTTCTTCAAAGGTTGCTGTGGGACATGGGTCAGTTGGTATGTTTTTCTTGATACTCCACTTATTTCGTAACTCTGACAACCCGTTGCGGATAGATGGATCTATTAATTGAATGTCCTAAAGTTAAAGGGTCTCCAGGTTTGATACCGTCAAAACACGAATGCAATGTTCTGCGCCTGGAACCTACCATGGGGCCTTTGATGTCTTTCGTCAAACAATCAGAAATGAGGTATGATACTCTTCTGGACTAGACTTCGGCGTTATAGTTGAGTTTTTTTTATCAAGGGTATCCTCGCAATTTACAAAGGTGCAACTCCTCCGGCGGTGATGTGGGCCGCCATCGATTCGCTGCTCCTGGGTTCTCTCCATAATTACCGTCTGTTTCTCTTTCGAAGCGGGATGACCGAGCTCAATCCCGCGACGCAACTTCCCCGCCTAACAATTACCGCACATGGACTGGCCGGTCTTCTCGCTGGCTGGACCAGGTTTGGTTATGGTTCGGGTGCTGTTCCGATCCTTGGCTGACCTTGGATGGTTTAGTACGGTCCTTGCTACCCCGATGGAGCTTTTAAAAGGTTTGTTCCCCGTACTCTGGCGTTAAGCGCTGATTGATTATGTCGTTGCTTTTCTCCCGCAGTGAAATTACAACTTCAAATGCAAAGAAATCCTTCCGACCGTCAATTTAGAGGAACTATAGATTGCGCCCGAAAGATCGTCCGCACCCAAGGAATCTTCGGCTTATACAGTGGGTTCACAGGAGCTGTTGTGTGTCGGACTAACTTTTGTTGGTTATTCCTATCTTTTGAGGTAAGCAGATTCTAGTCACTTGCCTTACACCTCGGTGATATCCCCCCAGGCATTCATGCGGGGTTTTGCCAAGCTGCAGGGCACAGCCTTTGAGGTAGCTCTTTCCTACGTTCATAAAGGACTCGCATCCCTAACTTCCTCGAGAACAGATAGCAACAGGTCCTGCGAACTTTTTAGCGGGCGGCTTCAGTTCTTTCGCGTTCTGGATCATGGCTATCCCCGCGGATAACGTGAAAAAGTAAATTTTTCGTTTATTGTTTCAAGAAGCAAACTAAGCATCGATGAAGCCGTATGATGGCGTATCCTTATCCCAAGCCTTACCCCATGGCTCCTTCTGATGTCTTGATGAAAAGACCATCATTTTTGCTTGTTACAAAGAAAATCCTAGCCACGGAAGGATATCGCGGATTTTTCCGCGGTCTTGGACCTTGTCTCTTGAGATCTTTTCCGGTCAACGCTAGTGCCCTCTTCGTATATGAGTCACTGCTTCGGGCATTCGGAGCGGAGAAAGTACGATTTCGACATGGCTAATCCATCAATTTTCTCACTCACCCTGGTGTATAGACAAGGCAATAGCCGTGGGGCGCATCAATATCTTGAAACAAGTAGAATCTTTGGAATCTCTCGAAAATTTCACGCTAGTAGAGACCCGTCCCAACTCAGTCAATCCTCCGATTTTATTCCTTCACACGCATTAAGATTTGTTTTCCGGTACCTTTACGAGAAGAAAAGAGTGCCTGCGACCCTGGCCAAACGTTAATCCGCTTCTCCATTAACTCGGTCACTACGGCGTAGTTGTCTAAACATAGACAATCCTAAAATTATCGGAAGAACATGCAGATCGATCACAGAACATTAGAAGCGTATTAGGAGAGCGGTAAGATACGACAGTTAAAACACAAGTACAATAATGCGGCGGTATTAAAGGGTAGGGAAAGGGGGGGACTCCGAATCAATCAAGAGGCGGGGGGCCGATAGGCCTGTACTAATATCTAAAGGTAACAACGTGAAAAAGTGCTTGGCGGAAGCGCGCACGGCCAGTTGCCATTGGAGATTGCATCCTCCCAGCCTTGCGCATGAGTACGGTAAAGATCGAGAGCAGCCCTAGCGTTTTCAAGCTTTACCAGAAAATTCATATCAAACCCGGAAGATCGGCACGTGGAATGAAGACGTACAGGATTAAGATGACCTTCCTGGCACCGCCGACGCATCAATTGCCACGACAGAGTTTGAAGCCCGATTATGTGGTTGGGAGACCGCAGCGTGTTTCTAAAGGGCTGTCCAATGGAAGAAGAGACCGTTGAATGTTTTATTTCGGGAACGGAGACGGTTTTGTCGTCGTACCTGGTAGAGAGCTACGTCGCGGGTATCCACTGCGGGATGCGGTATGCCTAATACTGCATGGAATGGACTGGGATCAGTACACTAAGGCGAGTTATGGTGGCACGAGGAGATGGGTACCTGAGAGATCATTCCAAATACTGTGTCCGACAAGCACATGGCCTTTGATTATGCTGGCGACGAGCTGCTGGACATTATTGAAAGGCATAGCGTTCTCTGTATAGACAGGTAAGCAAGTGCTAACTAGGACGGGACCTTGACAGACGACGCACTTGAAGACAGGTGTGCGGCTTCAATGCCGGTGGTCGTAGTACGGTACTCGGTGATCTAGACGGAACGCGTTAACGCGATCGAACCTTTCGAGCGGGGAACTACTTACTCGCATTGTCGGTGCGACATACGTGTCGAGAACGACCTGGCCTTGGTAGTCGACGATGGCCTTGGGAGGGGGGATACGTTGGACAAGGACAAGATAATAAAGATGATAAAGCGACGTACGATCCGTCTGTTATATTAAAAAGGTGAGATGACAGCGAGTGACATGGGGAAATTAACGAGAACATACGCTAGCATGGAGGTGGTTCCACCTGGACCAACACCGACATTGATGCAAGAAATACCGTATACGTGCTTGGAAGACATGGTAGGAGGATGCAATGGGGTGAAAATGGATAAAACATGGGTGAGCCAGAGTCGCAGCCTTTATGCGCATTCGGATGTTAGGCTATTTGAAAAAGAGGATATTAAGTGAATAATTACGCGGGCGCGTCTTTGGAAAAAATAGGTCATACGTATCATGACAGCCCCAGATATTCGGACATACTATCGCCGTTGTTCGTTCTCGGACGCGTTGACTGGAGTATGACATCTTGTGCACTATGTATCTGTGTCCACGATGACGAGCAGGCCTAGCAAGAGCATTCGTCATTCAAATTGCATCCGTAGAAACCGTGCGAACAAGTCGCGAAGCGATGATGAGGAACAGAACTTTGGCAACCATATTCCTTCGCTGCTGTATCTCAGATCTTGATTCTTGTTCGCGATCGGACTTTTGTGGTCGAGGTCCAGATCCGTTTGAAAAATCCTTTTTCTCGACGAGTCATTCTGCGCCTATTGTGTTTATCCAAGCGAGGGGTTCCACGGCGAGCAGATAGGTAGATACTCAGACTGGGCTTGCTGGGCCAAAACGGATCAGGCCATTTTGGGACCGGGATCACGAAAGGAACGGGGACTGAGGGGGGCAGCGTCTTCATTGAGTGTGGATAGAGCAACGAGTGACGCCTGATGGACTGACGGACGCAGATCGACTTCGTCCTTCGAATTCTTTGTTGACAATCGACACCTCGTTGAATTCAAGTTGAATATACTGAGTGTACTGAGTCGACGATACTGGCCCACAGATCTGTCTCTGTGCTCCGTGTCTGACGCTCCGCCGGTCTTCATAACGCTCGTCGATCATCTACTGGCCTTCTTTCCGAATTGTCGGCATCCAAGGTGCTCGTGACGGCGCCGTCTGTTTGAGCTAGCATTCAATCGGAATGATGTTTATCTTTTCAAGAGACGTCGCGCAATCGTAGGGGAGGAACATCGTGCATCGTGGTCGTATATAACCAACACTATGCCATTTTGACTGTATGGAGACGATTGTAACTATTCTTGTCAATTTTTCAACTTTGGGTTTTCCCCAATCATCACGTGGCATTTAATTTCCTCCACCGATTACCTACTACATTCCATTGCAGAAATGAACGCCGTTATTAATCGCCATTATAATCCACGCGACTCCACCTTCGGAAACATTCTTTACTTCAAAGTACAGAGAGTATGTGTCTGAATTTATCACCGCCGTCGATTCGACGCCTAAAAGTTTGCTCCAGAGTGTGTAGGTAAATACTAGTCCAAATCCCAGCGCTCGATCGTCACCACTTCCACTCAGAATCGTTGTTTCAACCCCAAACTCCATTTCGTACGTCCCAGTCCGGTAAACTTGACCAACCATACTTTTTCGTTTGGCGCCAGTCTATCCCTTGGCTCCCGAAAGTGCCACTTCCCGAGATCCCCGTTTGAATGTTCTAATCCTTTCCATACAGCCAACTCCTCCGCAGCGCAACTTGGCGCTTCACTAGTCACTGACTAGCATCATGGGCTTGGGGACCCGCTCGGGCCTTTATCGAACTGTAAGTTAGACTCTGAATTAAACCACGTCTCTTTCTCATCCCGACTCCGTTTGGCGACCTGCGGCATCCCGACTCCGTTTAGAAACTTGCAGCTCTCGTTTCTCTGTGGCGCCTCGATCCCTTGTGCGTCGGCGGTAAAGACGGTGCAGTCGTCTCCACCGCCTTCGTTCCTCGACACCCGAAAGTGGCCCAAAATGGGGCACGTATCGAAATCCGGTAAACTCATAGCCGTCCCTCTGCGAGCCAGACGACGACGCAGATTCTTCGATAGTTTGCAAGATCTTCGGAGAAATCCCACGTAACCGCACGTCCTTGAGCGCTAGACTAGCAACCCTCTGCCTAACCTCGGCATTCTCAACCTCACAGCCCCAACGGTCTTTGAATTCTTCCACCATCCGGGATGCAATGCTCCCGGCTCGCTTACACCGCGAGAGTTGGCTAAGAAGGACCAGCAACGTGGCTGGCGTGGGGCGAAGAGTCGGATGGAGGGCTAAAAGTGATTGCAATGTTTGTCGGCTCTGGAAAAATCTCGATATGCCTTTCTCCGTCGACCCGTAACACACAACCAGGTGGACAAGCTTGAGGTTTTGGCGCGCGAGAACCGCATCGACTTTTCGGGGCATAGCACTCAGGTAAGTCGTCACAAGCTGGAGAGCATATGAAGGCTTCCCCAGGCGAAGGATGGCCCGTATCACAACGGACATCACCCGCGGTGTTGTCATTTCCGTGAACTTGACTGGACTGATGTTCATCAAATGTAGAAACTCGGTGTTGGAGAGGGGAGTGCGGCGGGAAGAATGGAAGAATTCTAACCAGTAGTCCACGGGTAAGGGAGCGGAAGCAGACCCCGATGAGGATGTAGTTTCTTCCAACAGCTGCCATGCCTCCGAGCGTCGGTCGGTATGAATCAACCAACGCAGCAGCAGTTTCGTGGTGATATGGTTGTGGTCAATGTTTTCGGTACTCATGGCTCGTACCAGTGATGGTACGATGCCGAATGATTTGTGACGGATGGAGAGATCAATGAGGAGGTTGTAGGACCGTGTTGAGTGCACCTCTCTGTGTAGGGCATGATAGTCGATGAGGGCTGGAATGCCTGGGCTGGGTCGCCTTTGCGCCAGGTGTATAAGGTTGTTCAAGAGAGCTTTCCGGGTGGAGGATGGTGGGAGACGACGAACAGGTGTCGCCGGGTTGTCTCTAGATTCAGTCGTAGAGTACGATGACATGTCCAAGTCATACCACGGTAAGTCCGGTTCGTTATTGAACCCATCAGGAAGAATAGGTGGTGCTCGACCAGGCTCAAGTGTACTGTCGTGCTCTGACAGATGTTCAGGACTCATGTACGAGACCGAATAATTTGGGATGAATTCCTTGGGAAAATTGGGGATCACCCGCTTTCCAGGCCGTTCATACTGCCGAGATTTGGAAGGCAAAGAGGCGGGACGAGTGTTATGATGCGCGTGCCTAGCAAGAAACACATAAGTACGTCTAAATAACCAGAAAAAGCAAAGAAAACGTACTGTGCGCCCGACGACGAAGCCTTGGTAGCAGAAAACGGGCGCTTTTTTGACTGGGATTTCTTCGAGTCCGGAGCACGTCGGGGAAACGAGGAAGAGTGACGCGTCCAAGCCCGTCCTGCGGCAATCTGCAACATCGATAGGAAAGGGATACCAACGACATGTCCGGTCGCCTGGACGGCGGAACGACGAGGAACCCATGCTGCGTATTGCATACATGGGAACCTAAGAAGTAGAGGCAAACTTGGTGGATGTCGACGCGACAAACTTTTTTGGGAGGCTGTTGCCAAGCAGGAACAACTTATGCTTCGGATTTATCGGACCTGGTGTGAAATGGTGCTGACTTCGTGAGTAAGTACGTATGCTATAAGTGACCATGAGCGAGAAGTGTGAAAGGTATACAGTAAGAGGAGAATGATAAAGTCAAGGAAAGGGTCATCCATCGTAAATTACGTCTCCATGGCATGCTGCATCGTTCTACCCACCAGCCATCCAACCTTTGTCACCCATGTGTCCCGTACAGACCGCATGGCTGCTGCACACCGTTCGTCCTTGCTGCCAGCAAATTCATCTAAGCTTCGTGCCCATGTCGTCACAGTCTCACTACCAAACATTCCACCTTCTCGATTGACAACAGCGTCCACCCGGTCTACCCATGCATTCCACTCCTTTATCAGCCGATCCAGGAGTAGAGGAACTAGTGACGCCAGCGCCAGGGGTGGCTGCGACAAGAGATGGGTGGTGAGAGCGGAAAGAAACAAGAATGTCTCGGCTGGCTGCGATTTATCTTTATGTAGGGCTCGCAATGTCGTGGAATGTGGTCCATTAGATGTCTCCGCGAGTGCTGGTATGTACGAAAAATAGGGCAAGTAAGACATACAGGCGGCAGCAAATTCCGTAATGTGGGGGCGCAATCTGGAGACGATATAGTCATCACGCATGCCGCCGCCGCTTGATGGTGGAAAGCTTGTCGGACCTTGACCGTGCTGACTATGGCCGAACACCGACTTCCCAAAAGTAGCCCCGCTGCCTCCGAATACGCTGACCTTGTTAGCGGAGGATCCGGCACCAAAAGTCAAGGCAGAGAAGGAAGTGTTATTGGAATAGGGATATGCCTCCTTGAGCTTTTTGGCGGAATCAGATAGAGCATGGAGGGCAACTTCAACAGTTGGACGAGGAATGAGCGGGAGGATGATTGATTTGAGTGTAGGCTGGGCCTTGATAAGGGAGTTAAGTAGAGGAAGAAGGGATTGAGGGGGAAGGCTAGCTGTAAAAGAAAGTGAATAAACATTCACCAATTTTGAATGTGCTTTGACTCACCTAATAAGACACCAAGGTCAACATCATTATCTTCCTGACTTGGCGCCTTGTTTTCCTTCGCATTCTTCTCATCTTTCGGCCCTTCAGCTGGAGTAACCCGTGCCCTCTTTGGTGGAGCACGTTTTATCCGCCGCTCAGGTCCAGGGCTCTGTTCCATCGACTCGTCCGACGCTTCCTCCGGCTCATGTCTCCTCTTTGCCGAACGAAGTGGCACTGACTGCGGATGATTTGAATTGTGGTTTTGGAATGGAGAAAACTGGTTGGCTGTCGGCGCTGCCTGCTGCCAGCCAGGTGAGAACATGGCGGAAGATGGTGAACTCAAACCAAATCCGAAACCAAAAGGAGAGGGGGCGTGGTTGACTGGTCTAGGTTGGAAACCAATGGGTGATTGGAGAACATTTGCCATGGTGGATGTAAAAGAAAGGCCAGAGCCTTTGAAAGAAAGAAAGACAAGTCGTGGTCCAAGATCAGGACCGTCGAAGCTACAAGCCGTGCAAGCCGTGGCACGCTTGTGACACTCACGTGAGTGTCACGTCGGCAGCGAGAGCGGCTACTAGCTAGCCGGCTTTATAGACACATTAACATACGGTATTTGTAACTGTCGATAGCAGAGAGAGAAATAGCGGTCACTTGAACATTATGAGGTATTTTAGAATTCTATTCTTTCACTTTAATCTTCTGCGATGCGTTGTGATGTGCGTTGGAAAGACGTTGAGTGCGGACGAAGCATGCAGAGAAGGCTCTATATAACTCGGGTTGGCCCTATGTATGATCAGTTCCTGTCAGTACATTATTGCTTTGTATACGTGTCTTTCTAATGTTGTTGGAACAAGTCCCAGCGAGTATCAAGCCTTAGACTTGCTCGATGCTGTACGTCTTGAGGAATACGAGAACACCTCTGTACATCGTGTCCACGATAAGAAGGTTGCTGGCTCAGCCTCATCGTCGTCGTCGGCAGTTACATCTACTAATCCCCCCAATACGAAAAAGTTGGTCACTGGAAAAAGCTCCAAATTTCTGACTCGTACAGAACTTGTCGCTTCAACGGCTGCCAAGATGAGACTACCAGCACCACTGTCAATGATATCGTCTACACCAAAGACTCAACTACAGCCAGAGGACAAGGCACCTCCGCCTTGAGTGATTCCTTCGAACCCATCGCTATCGGTAGCCTCAAAGCGGCCTGCTGATGGTTTGCTAGATGATAACATCCTTCCCAATCGAAGGAAGACCATGAGCGGTGGCAACAGGGAGGAGAATTCGATGGAGACCTCAAAGAAGCCAAAGGGATCTAAGCGTACGCGAGCTCTAAGAGACAGCCATCATGAAGGCGTAAGTTGGCTTCCTTGTCTTCTATCTTTATCATGGAAGGAATTTACATACCCGATACTAGGCGTAAGTACTTCCGTCACCTTGTACTTCATAGTTCCCTCCTTTAAGTATCCAAATACATGCACAGCACGGTTTCAGTGGATCGGGTATAGGTCAGAGGCGAAGCGTTGAAGGTAATTAGTGAAATCAATACTTGGGCCTGGCCTCGATACTTAGCGCGCCGCAATAAATGCTTGTGACATGCACGTGATAGTCACGTCGCCTCTGCCACCGGCCCTCAATACTCAGAATAAAAATTTTCGTCGTTGTTTTCCCTTCTTCGACGCGTACATCCATGCAAGGTACGAACCACATTTTCTTTTCATCGCAGGACGAAACCAATGAATCGCTACTTCGAAGCCAAGGCTCATGAACTATTTTCATATACCCAAATTTCTGATTCGCATCCTTTTCTGCTTCGCGAGTTCGACTTTTTACTCACGCAATCCTTACCTTCAGGTCTGTGATGTGATGATTCTGGAGACTGTTAAATTGTGAGTGTGCATTCCCATTGCCTTGACATGATAGAATAAATAGAAGTCAAGCCCTGATCTCGTCTAAAGGACGAGCGTGGATGAGATACCATGCTAATACTGATCTTTTTCTGTTGCTTTTTGTCGAGCTTCATTCTGACATTCTTTCTTTTCTTCAGGCCGACTTGTCTACCATTTGTAACTACTAGGTGTGTATCCTACTTCCTTAATGTTGCCTAGGATTAGCCATGCTGTCCGATGTTTTGTGACGACACAAACAAGTAGTACAATGTCTTCAACCAAATGATTCACCTTTTTCTGTCAATCTACAGACTCATTCTGACAAGCTCTTTCTCTCTAGTCATGTTGGTGTATTATGAGGATATAGATATGGTGCTATCCGAGGTATATATACTGGGTGTGGCAGTAAGGACGGGTGTATTTTAGGTGCAATAGAACTTTTCTCAAGTACGCGTCCACAAAATGTTTGTCAACCACATGAGAATAAGTATCGAGGCCGTCCTCGCCTTGATACCCGTTGACCAGCGAGCAGCCGATTTCCAGCCCTCAAATCTAGGAGAGGACTGCGGAGAGCCCTCGGCAAGCCGATCTATCCACCTCGGTGGCTGCCGTGTAGTATCGGTCTTATTCGCTTGGTCCGTGTTCATTGGCATGAGGGGTACATCCTGACCGCCATTCGGGGGCGTCTCAGTTTGACGAGACACAGGAGGCGTGTGGTGATGGTGTGATGTAGCTGGGGCTGGTAGCGACTTCGGCTGATCATTACATATCCACGCAGTAATGTCCCCTGTGGCTTTAGCGAACCAGTGCGATATGAAGATGAACAGGAATGTTGTTACAACAAAGTTGACGGGTCGCCACCTTGTCCCTGGTACGACAAGTAAAACACCCTTTGTATCACCCGCAAGCCAAAAATGATACTGGATGATGAACGTTTCGAGCGAGCATTTTCCGATGAAGGCGAATGCGCGCGAGGAAGTGGACCTGAGCACGACGCTGCAATTTCGTAACACCACGAATGATAGGACGGGAAGGAACGACACGTAGGGATGCCATGTGTTGTATGTGAACTTGGACTCTTGTGTCAGCTCAAATGCAAAATACCAGAACATTACAAAAACCGCGAGCACGATAGTCGCCTTGACGGCAAGTGGCCAGTGAGGGTGCTCGGTTAATCTGTGTTCGCGAGCCTTGATGACCCCAATGGCTGTGAACATTCCAACGTACACGATCCAGAGGTCGAGGTTCACGCGGAACGCCCACTCCCGTGCTGACCACCGTATACCAAATACCTGATCAAGTAACTGAAAAAGACCGTCTAATAGCCAATCTTGTTTCATGAACCAGGTAACAATCGCAGCCGATAGCATCAGTTTGCCGACAAGAATTGGGGTTCGGTCATTGAATTGGGAAGCAATGGCGAGAGTCGCATAGATGATGATGAACCACATAGAAACCAGAGGCGCGAAATAGTAGAATAGGTAGTCCGCATCCATCGTGTATGCTAGAACAAGCGTCAGCATGTTCAAACGGATCATGACCTATAAGGGGTATCGAATATGTTTGTCAATGAACATACTGAAAGAATGTAGGACAATAACCTGGGCAACTCGAAGAAAGCCGAAATCTGCCTTTCGAATATAATACGTCGTGTGACCATAACCAGTCATGAACAAGTATGCAGCCACAAGTACACGGATAGGGTTGTATATTCCAGATATTTTCGACGCTCCGAGGTAATGGTAGATCAATATGGCGACTGAATAACTGTTTAGAAGGATAACAAACAGGCAACTTAGCGGCTTACTTTGCATCCACCCTTTCCATTCATCTGTTTGGTCGCGATTGAGGAACCCCAAATCCTTGTCGGCTTGTTTGACGGTCAAAAATCCGATTGCAAGACTGCAGATGCTCAAAAAGCCGAATGTCCATGGATTAAAGGACTTTTGCTCTTTCAACCACAAACCCGTTCTGTCTGCGCCGTATATGAGGGCGACAGAAGCACTGAAAACGAGGAGAGGAAGCTGTTCGCCTTTCACGACAGGTACACGTGCTAAGCGATTGCCTAGAAAGAAGCTATATCAACGCCAAGCTTTCGAATTTGAGGTGATTCTGCCTACCCGGTGGCTGAGAGAAGAACACAGCCCATGGACCCCACGAAATCGCCGCAATAAGGATGACAAAATGCATCGGCACTGGCCATGGGTATCTTCGACAGCAAGTTTTGTCAAAAGGAAAGTGTTTGGGTAATGCATCATTACAACGAAGATTGATGAGGATATTGGCATGCTGTTTGACAATAGTCGAGGAAAAATGCAGACCGTCCTGGGTTTGCGCAGGATCCAGAACGTTGTTGAAGACAAGCGGAAGCGACACAGGCATGAAAGGAAGCATTCTTCCCGGCAGATGGGCGTATTCTGGGGATGGTTGGTTTATGCGATGGAAAAGATCTGAGTTCATAGCATCTATCTCCGCCAGGCGAATTGTTCGTCCACGCTCGCGAGAAAGTTTCGAAGGCGCCACCTCCTCAACGGGGAGGATCACTACTTCGTCCGCCGGCTTCGATCTACCACGACTTATGGCATCCAAGACGCGTTCCATGTTGGCCTCCCACGAGGGTATACCCCCCGTGGTATCAGCGTACCGCAGATACCAAAGGCCGGAGCCCAGGACAAGAAGAGCAGGCCGCTGAAAACTCCGAGAGAGTGATACGTCGGCGGAGATGACGTTGAGAGTCCGAGAACTGTTAAGGTAGGGATCCCAATGAAAGGACACGGTGATGCCAGACTTGGCCGCCTTGAAGTTGTAATCCGCGTGTTTCTGGTCATCGTCTGGCGGTCCTGCAGGAAGTTCCGGATCGACGATGTTTGCGAACTGGAAAAAAAGGGTACGCGTTACGGAATCTCCGATGAAGGCAAATTCTCGTGAGTGGGCACAAGTAGCGACATCCTGGGCGGTATACATGTGCAGCATGCATCCTAAAAACCAAAGGTCATTATTCCGCTCTTTTTTTTCGGGAGTGTTGCTTGCGCACCGTCAGGTTGCCATGTTTTCTGATCCAACCAAGTTCCGCTATTGAGCAAGGCCTGGCAATGTGTTGGGTCCCACCAGTCTACAACATGATTACTGGGCTCTAAATCACAACCACAAAGTAATCTCACCAAGTAGTGCATATCTACCAAGTCCCAAAACAACAGCAAGTAATGTTCCGATGACTCCCACGTAGTTGGGCCATGATGGATTTAGAGAAGTTGAATACGGCATTCGAGATGTAAAGCCGATGGGCAAGAGAAGAAAATCAAGACATTCAATGTGATGCCGGATATTACAGAACGATGCTGTATCCTAGTGATGGCTGTGGACAGAATATTGCAGGGCAGATGGCAGGCGGTGGTCAGAAGTCAAGAATTATTTAATTCAGGATCTTACGTAAATTCTACGTGCATACAGAAGATTTGTCCGCATGATAAATGGTGTCAAAGGTATGTTCAAGATCATGGTATCGGTATTTACAAGACTACTAAGATTGTGTTCATACGCTGGTAGAATTAGTTGTGACAATGCCTGAAAATGCAAATTAATGTTAACCCTGAATAATCATTCATAAACACCTTACCAGTTCTGAGAAGAGGAAAAGATCACACTCATCAGAAATTTGGCACGGCAAAAGGACAATCAGAACATACCCCTTGCAATGATCATTTGATGATGTGGGCCAGCAAGAAAGGTAGCGACACCAGGAGCACGCTTGGGCAGAATCAGTGATGAACGTCTAGCACTTGAAAACAGAATACTCACCAGCATAAGGATCCGATTTGTAGAAATTCCTTGTTAGAACCACAAAGAGAACAATCGCTATTGGAATGGCGATGATACGGAAAGACCACATTATTAGTTTATGGCGCCTGGTGACACTTATGACAGGATAAAATGTGGTTCCGACCAGCAGTCCCATCAAAAATCCTCCGAGGTGAGCTATATTCGATTTCAGTTACAACCCTGGCCGAGTTAATCCAACTCCTACCGAAGTTGTCGACATCTGAGATTTAGAGTGAGTAACTGGACATCTTTTTGATATTGTTGGACGTACAAGGAATGAATCCAATAGCAACACCGACTAGCAATTCAATGGTCATAAATATCAGCTGAACTGCCCGTCAGCAAGATCATTTATCAAGTAATCATTGTCTCTACTCACCTTCCTGACTGGTCTATATTGGTATTTCCAGTGCGCAAACAAATCAACCCATGTCACCTGGAGAGAACAATCAATACAGTTAAGTATCAGCAGCTAAGATTCAGCTCACCGCTACTGTGCCAAAAATTGCTCCGCTGGCGCCTATTGAAGGTATTCCGACGAGCGCGAAATTGCCTCCTAATATATTACTGGGTAAGAGTATATCAGCTGTCTCCCGATTACTCTAGACAATCTTCGTACCCAAAGATACCGGCGCTCATGTAAGTGAAGAAAAAGCCGCCAGTTCCCATTTCCCTTTCAATCTGTACCTTGATGTCAGATGTAATATATCAACAGAAATCACTTGCACGTACTTGAGCGGAAAGGGTGAGCTGAGCAAACATGTTCAGAAGAATATGTACAAATCCAGCATGGAAAAAGATTGCTGTTATGAATCTAAGGGCGAATTATTAAGATGCGGCGTGAAGGAAAAGGGTAGGACATACCGGAACCACTGATTGGGATCTTCATCGTGGAATCCTGTGCAGTTCTGAGTGCCCGCAGTGCATATTAAAGGCGAGACGTGACATACCTCCAAATCCGCATAGGTCCTCAATCGTACATAATATAGTGGCGGGATTAGCGGTATTGTTCATACCTTGAGAAGGTAGACGTTCATGAATGACACCTATTCAAAGGATAAATAATACTCACAGCCCATTTCTAACGTAGGGGGAACATCCTCAACATATTTCATGCAAGGTGGAAATCTCGCGCCGACATGTATGATCGCTGCTGAAGAAGGACCCAGCATATAGTTCACAGTGGGCTGTTTCAACAGTGATTTCAGTCTCCTGTGAAAGAAGAGAGAAAAGAATATACATACGTGGAAAGAGACGGGAGTCCCTTGCTGCTTCCAGTTCACGATGAGCTCGTAGATGAATGTGCAGGTCATTATGAGCGTCAGGAGCCATACTGCAATCTATGATTACCTTCAAGATGATGAAGACGATGTGAATAATGACACACCAAGGAAGGGGTACTTCTGTCGTCCGATCCCGCGTTTCTTGTCCTCTATTCTCTGCTCTATTGGGTATCGCCCTTCACCCAGGAATCTCGCTAATGGACCAGCTTTCTCTGCTACAGGCTTTGCTCTTTCAGCATTATAGGGATCGGCGTATTCTTGTAGCATGTTAGCTGAGATGATTTTAAGCGCGCAGATGCTTACCCAAGTCTTGATAGTTGCCTGAACGACCAATGTCGGCAGCGTTATGAACAAGAGAATCCTTGCTTTCCTCCTGCGGATGTCGATAGAGATTATAATCTTCGTCGATGTATGTGTAGCGCTTCGAATCACTATATGAGGCCTTGCTCCGCGTGCTCGCCCCCCGAACTAGATTTGGCTGGTCTTTTTCGTCTAATTTCGTATGGTCAAATGCTTCGTCTTTATACCCGTCAGAATTTCTTCTCGTCGTCGTGGACATGAAGGTGTCGTTGCGATGCAGCGTCGAGGATGAGGTACCAGGAGTAGCGGTAGTAGGAGATTGATCTGTATAGTGGACATGGGCGCCCGTTGCTTCAGCCATTCTGGAACAATGTGGAGGTCTGCTGGCAAATGAGAGAAACGTTGAAAGGGTGGTTGCGGTGGTGGCTGTTATGTTAAATAAGACAGGATGCGCAGTTCGAACCAGTACTGCGTCAACTGGGGCAGTGCAACCGAGCGCGATGTTGTAACCGTTGCTTGGCGGCCTCTTTATGTAAATCTCCAATAAGAAATCAAAGTCCAAGCACACGACATAAAATGTCTGTGGTACTATACTGTACACGAAAGCGTACTAAATCTCGCCGGGATGGTAGTGTTAATTCTAATTAACGTTCTATCGGAGTAGTATCCCCTCCATGGCTCGCTCTTCCCTTCGTTGGTTTGCGAGTCAGCGGTGTTACATGCGTCTTAACTCTCAGTTCTGTCTCCCCCTTCTCTTCAGACGACTCGATGTCTTCGTCGTCAGGTATTAACCGACCCCAACGTGAAGCCGACCTCACCCCATCCACCCACTTCAATGTCCCAATCCCCACTTGTCTGACCTTTCGATGTCTAGCCCGCCATGTACAACGGCTTTCCATAGTAGCGCTGCTGTCGCTCCTGGAATCGGAAGTGAGAACTGAGTTCGGGCGTTTCATTTTGCCATCATCTGGAAAGGATAGAGGTCTCGATACCGCGGCCAACATACGGGGATTAGAGGGGAATAGTAGAGGGAGCATGTGCCGTGAGTCCAGCAGCTCTCCTAGCACTTGTGGAGGTTTAGGTGGCTCCCATGACGCAATTCTATCGTCCTTGTCAAACAAGACGTCTATGTTCTGGTTTGGTGGTAATTCCGAGGAGTCGGATGAAAAGGAGACCGAGTGGACAGACTGATCCAAATCATTGAGCGACGATGAAAGACTTTCATCCCGTTCCCTTTCTCGCTCACCCATCTACATCCCAGTGTCAGTCGCACGAATATCCGCAGCATGCCGAGGGAAATACCTCTTTGCGCAGGGCCTCGACACCCAATTTCACTCGGTGTCTCTCCCAATCCTTCTGCAGCTGTGTAAGGTATTGAACACACTCATCAGTCATCCGACCCTCGTTAACCTCGTATTTGTAGTCGCGGACAGCCCTTTTCATCTACGTACGGCCGTCAAAACCAGCCGTAGGGATACTATTTCCAACACTCACCTGGAGAGGATTGAGACACTTCATGGTTTGAATCGTCGCGACAAGGTTAGGGAATTCGGTAATCGATGACAGACACTACATTTGAGGTGAGAACGACTTGCACAGAGAATCAACAGAGGCAGACGCGCCTGAAGCCAGTTGAGAAGCTCTCTCACAGGAGTGAAATGGGTTTGAACTCCTCGAGGAAGGCCCATCTGCCCCACCCATTCTTCGACACTGCTTAGATTCATACCGATTTGAACGGCTTTGGATCTGCGTGACTAAAGTCAGTATTAGCGTGCAGACTATACCACATCGCGTTACCTGCAAAGGTATTTCTTCCGCGTAAGTATACGGTTGAACATTTCACCTAAAGGGATGTTAGACGAAAAACACGGAAAGCATATATACGGGCATACACGACGTCCAATACATCACCTGCGACCACAATTGTGTTGTTAATGCTGGATTAATATCGGAGAGGATCAACAGAGTATGCAGAGCTGTTAAAAAGGAAGTAAGGTCAGCAGGAGAGGGAGGTGGAGGAGCATCCGGAAATAATGATTGCAAAGGAGTGGTCGATCCTGGATTTCGAGCTCGAGCGAAGCTCTGTCGCAACGATGAAAAGGCCACCTTTAGATGTTGAAGACGACATCGTTCCGTACGGGGTCGGAGAAGAAGGACGATGGGGACTGGGGCTTGGTGGGGAAGCGGGCGAACTCCGTGACGCAGATGAATTCATAACAGGTTGAGATTTTTTCATCCCAAGCGCACGTAAAACTGACCACTCCGACTCGAAACTGTACTGAATCAAACTCGGAGCCCAAGGAGGAGTAGTCGAGTAGAGCGGGATCGAGCAACTGGTCTACACGCCGCTCAGCAAATCGAATGATGAATACTGTAGGAGAGCCTTTAATAGACGAAATAAATAGATAGAGACACCTTTACCGAACACCGAGTTGATGACTTCTTCGATGATTTCGAAAGACCCCAACATCTCGCAGGCTTCGTTAATGGAATTATCACACTGCATAAGATGTAGCCAAAGGGTCGTGTTGTATAACCAAAAGACAAGACAGGTGACGTCTTCGGGCTTGTTCTGAGCAATGGAATAAGTCAAGTGACATCAGGGTAAGAAGATTGACCTACGAAGAAGGTCTCTTCTATGCAGTCCGTAGCACCGATAATTAAATCTTCAAGCCAAGTATGATCGCAAGTCAAACACGCAAAACGTGCCAGCATGTACAGCGTGTTTGCAGGCGTCGAATCTCTGAAAGATGGCTGGAAGTTGGTGATAAGGGAGTCGAAAATTAGCGGCAGGGCTAAAGGAGAGAATACGAGCATGGAAGAATAATCTACGGGGGGCGTCTATGCGTTTCATAAGAGTCGAGTCTTTGAGTTCTTGTTACAATGCTACTCACGAATAAGGTTTCGTCCTCAAGGTCTTCATCACCGTCGTCGTCAGAGTCTGATGAAGAACCATCCGAGTCGCGTGCCCACCATTTTGAATGAACACCGAGAACTCTTCCGACGTGTTCCTGGACGTGCTTCTGCTTGCCTTTACGCTTGGCCCGCTCATCAAACAAGTGTCTATTTTCCTCCATTCTCCCTCCTGTCCAGCCTTCACCGCGCATAGCTTCTTCCAGAAGCAGCGCAACATCGTCTCTTCCAGGTATAACGGAATGGGCTGTGACGATGTCCAGAGGAGTAAGGTTGCGACGCGTAACGTCAAAAGGTGAACAGCCGTGGGTCATTAAGTGGGATACGAGTGTCGGAGGCGACAGAAGAACCGCATGATGCAGTGGTGTCCAGCCACCTTGGAATAACATTAGAAATAACTCAGACTTGTAGCAAAATTGAATTCACTTTTGTCAGGACTCATGTCAGTGCCTTGTGCAATGAGCAGACGGACGCATTCCTCTCTTTCCACATCTCGTTCTGACTCGGCACCAAAGCCGTGTATAGCTAGACTGATTAGACCCTGGCCATCTTCATCGCGTATGCCCAAATCGACGTAGCTCTGGGCATGTGGGTCCGACAACAGGTACTGAAGGACTGAGAGCTCTCCGAAAACGCAAGACCGAGCAAGACAGTGGGCGACAAGCTCTGCTTTCTGATCTGGGGTAAGGCCAGAATGTGATGAAAGGAGAACAGCGATATAGGCAGTCGACGGGTACAGTGGGTGAAGGTCAGGCTCGGGCGAAAGGTCGAGAGATTGAAGCGATGACGAGGGTATAGACTGCATCGATTGTACGCGTTGCAGAGACGGTAACCCGCTTGATGGGCAACAGTAGTAGCTGAGCCGGGACCAATCTAAGCTGCCTCCAGGAATATCTCGACGTCGAGTAAGGGTAGCTACCGAGCACGGACTTGACGAGCGACGTGCTCGACGACGACAGCGCTGAGAGTGGGTGTGTGTAACGGTGTACGTATGGTATTTGAGTGACCAGCGTCAGTCAGGGCAGCCAGCCGACAATATCAATCAACGTGACTTAATTTCCTTCCACCATGTCGGCATCTTCACTCCCTAGAAAACGCCAACGGCTCTCAGACGACGAGCATGCTAATGACTCTGCCGTTTCTGGCGACGACGAATTTGCTGACGAGTCGGGCTCAGACGACTTTGCCAGTGCATCCGATGAAAATTCCGATGATGATATTCAAAATCTCAAGCCACAGAAATCTCGCCAAACGAAGAAACGAAAAATCAGAGCAACAGCGCCTTCAACCTTTGGATCTGCTCTACAGTCACTGCTAGGGACTGACGCCCCGTCAGCTCTTCCTTTGTCATTAAAACCCTCAGTTGCGAGAAAACGAAATGATGAAAAGCTGGAATCCAAAGCAAAGAAGGTTTTACAGGTGGAAAAGAAGGAAAAGGAGGATAAAGGAAGGATCAGAGATATCTATGGTGGCTGGGGTGCTGAAAGCGAGTGCGCCTTGCGCAAAGTTGCTCAGCGAGGTGGTACGTCAGTTTATGTTATTCCTTTCATTCAATGTACTTAGTTGCCACAGTCGTCAAACTGTTTAATGTCATACAACAGGCTCAAGCAGACGCTACCAATGTGCAACAAGAAAAAAAGGCTGCAAGAGGTAGTGGCAAACCATCCTTACCCGCGCCGGCTGCCGACAAGTCGAAAAAATCAAAGGGTAAAAACCGTGACAATATTATTGGGAGAGGGAAAGAAGGTTTGACGCGTCTCTTTCTATGTGTCTGACATATCTCTGATAATATTGCCTCATGTTCAGCTGCAGTTGAAAAGGACGATTTCTTCGACATGATTAGATCTGGCGGTCTTGTATCCAAGGCATAGGGCATTCGCCGATGTAATGCACGCATACTCATTCGGATGGGTGATGAAGTGTTATTAAGTGGTCAATTGCTATCACTAGTAGCAGTTGGTGGTAGCCATTCCTTCGGGAAATCGTGGATAGTCGGTCGGGAATAGATACGACCACGTAGATGCTCTCCCTTTTTAGCCTTACGGGCCCGAGCAAATATATGTCGAAGGTCGAGAGGGTACATCGTCGAGTTTATTCTTTCCTGGACGCTAAGAAGTATCAGCTATGTTCCTTCGAAGTGAGATAATAAGACACCTACATTGGCCTCCTGGATCAATCTGTCCAGTGTATCGCTGGCCCACGATAGGTTCATCTCTGGCCGAGGAAAGTTTTCGCATGAGATTTTGATGTATCCATTGCCCCAATTATCGAGGTTGCTGATACCACCGTCTAACGGCGGTCGGGGTGCCCATCTTGGCCCTGCAAGCACCTTTATTCTGTGTATGGCCGCTTCGTCTTTCAACGGGAGGTCGTCTACAGCAACAACCACTACGCGCTTATTCGTAGCAGGATGCGGCTCTCCTCCATAGCCTAGAGACCTGACTACAAGCGGTGTAGCTGATGTTGGGGGAATAAATGGTTTCCGGTAGGCTGGAAGAGCATCAGAAACTTAAAAGGCAGCAAAATGGCATGCGCGACGGACCGACAAGCTTGGGCATCTCATGCTCGATGAGACGGAGGTAGTGAAGAGTTTCTCTTTGTTGCTGGAGCATCATGTGTCCCGCAGATACAGTGTCGTCTCCATCGTATGGATCTTCCAAAATGTCCTCAAGGAGATCTTCCGTTATTAGCTCGTCATCTTCCTCCTTCCTTTTGGCTGCCAGTTTCTCTCCTTTGGGTCCGTCCGCTCCTTCCGACGCCGGTGGTGGTGTCGCCAAATTACGACACAAACTAGGAGATAAAGGAGGTCGTGGCTGATAGCGATGTACTGGACGAGTGAGGAAACGAGCGACACGAAACGCCATCCCGGACGCGGTCAAAATCGCAAGTCGCGAACAAAGTTTTGTGTTCAATGTTCTCAGACAACAACCGTCAACAATCGCGCATCTCATCACAAACTTGCCATTGCCAAAAACTAGTCGTTAATAATGATAAAAACTTAGAATACATCCGATATATGCTACAATCTATATCCCCACTCTCCTCCTCGGTGTCTGCATAACACGAGACGCAGCACCAATACCAGAATGTCGGGGCGTTCCGGGAACAATGATTTTGGAGCTGCTCCCTTTTGAAGTCTTGACCGCTAACGCCTCTTCTGCAGCCTTCTTGGCACTCCTGAAGTCACAGTTTAAGGACTCATCACACTATTAGTTTAGATAGAAATACTCACTCTTCCCGTTGTCTCGCCATCTCTGTCTCCAACTCGGCCCTCTTGGAAAATTCTCGGTCAGCCTGCCTACGGTTACCGCGCTCGTCAAAGTTTTTCTCTTTGACAGAGTAAAAGACAGAGCCCAATTCCGCTATATTGGCCCTTCATCAGTCACATTTCAATCCCAGGTGTCGGAATACTTACCAAGCCAATATGCGTCGATGGATGTTACTTGTGTCATGTACTCTTTCGATGTCAAAATCAGTTCGTGATAAACGACGTATGTCGGCGTATCTGCCAAGAAATGTCCATCAGACACCAGGTAGCGGGGAGATAAATACGGCTTACAACCAAGTCCATACAGAGCGCTGGTGGGATGAAGATGCGTAGGCAAACCTGAACGGATATTGACGAATTCACCAATTCCCTTCACTCGTGCTGCTTGGTGGAAGTAGCCTGCCGTTATCGCTTTCCTGTGAATGTAAAGGTCAGAAAGAACCTCCCGTCAACTTTAAATCACTAACCGAACGATGTCAAAGTCTGTCCCAGCCGATATTAGCTCCATCTTCTGGAATTTCATGATGTCCTCTAGCTGTACCCGGACTTCACGAGCTTTACGTAGTAGTTTCGGGTGAAGAAAATGACGCATTGCCCAATCGTCCCGGTACCTGTCATTGAGCAACGATTAGCGCGCGGCCTGAAAGAAGACTGACGACTGTATTTACCCATGACTCTTCCATTGGTTGAAAACATTTAGTAGGGTTAAATGATCGCTTTCTGGAACGTTGAACTTTTCCCTGGCTGCATCGGCCTCTTCCATTCTTTCCTTGGGGCGATAGAAAACGCTAGGAACAGACAACATTGACACGATGGTTAACATCTCGGCTGAGCATTTATACTCAACAGAGGCAATAAGCATTTTAGCCATGGAAGGCTCCATTGGGAACTCGGACATCTTTCGCCCCACAGGTGTCAGGTCCCCAACGTTGTCAAGGGCGCCAAGAACCCATAGTTGATACATCGAGTTCAAAATGTTAGCCTGGAATCAAGTTAAAGGTAACCATGCAAATGAAACAGCCGGCGGATACTGACCTGAGGGGGCGGATCCATGAAATCGAATTCTAGGAGATTCTTAACCCCAAGAGATTTCAGTAGCAAAACTGTATTCGCCAGGTTTGTTCGCTGAATTTCAGGAATGGTATTCTCAAAAAGCTCATTGCGGAAAGCCATTTCAGTGTACAGCCGATAGCAGAAGCTAAGATATGATTAGCATAAGTAATGAGCAGAGCGACAATATACGAACCCATTGCCAGTACGACCGGCACGCCCGGTCCGTTGATTTGCATTGGCTTGACTGATCGGCGTTATCTGCAGAGCGTCCATGCCAACTTTGGGATTGTACACTTTGAGCTTTGAGTATCCAGCATCAACAACATATAGAATACCGTCAACTGTTAGGTTAAATTTAAGTGGTTATCCCACATACGATCAAATATGAGGTTAACAGACCTGTCAGAGACGTCTCAGCGATGTTGGTAGCGACGATAACTTTGCGCCGTCCATCACTGGTTGCCTCGAAAATCTTTGCTTGGAGATCAGCAGGCATCTGAGAGTATATAGGCAGAACGGCCAGCGGTGCTGGGTCATCCAGTTGATCCAGACGCTCTGAGGAGTGCGGTTTAGCTACATACAAAGTTAAAAGATATTTAACAAACCTTGGACCACTTGGCAGGTAATCTCGATATCCTCCTGACCAGTCATGAACACCAAGATATCGCCAGGCGGAAGCGAAAGGTGTATCTGTAGTACTTGCTTGACTGCACTGTCGACATAGTCTTCACAGGGAGATTTAGCGTGGAAAATCTCCACAGGGAATGTACGGCCTGGAATGGTGAAAGTGGGGGCATTCCCGTAGAACGTGGAAAACTAGAGACCAGTGTAAATGGCATAGTGCATTAAAGCCATCAAGCAACACACCTTGTCGGCATTCATAGTAGCAGAGGTGACAATAAGTTTCAAGTCCCTGCGACGTGAAAGGACTAGAAATAGTTAGTAATACCCTCGAATACAGACATCTAAGCGGCTGACTTTTCCGTAGAAGACCCATTAAAACATCAGTACTGAGGGACCGTTCGTGCGCCTCATCAAGAATTATGACGCTATACCGGTCAAGGTCGCCCTCGTTCAGAGATTCACGGAGGAGGACACCATCTGTCATATCTACAAGAGTCAAGTCAGATGAATTTTCATCATTTCCATGGAAAGCCATACATTTTATCTTCGTTTCAGAGGATGTACAATCTTCGAAACGTATCGCATATCCAACTGTAGAACCTAGTTTGCACTGGCATAGAACAATGAGTTCGACGTCTGAGACGGTTGGGTAAACACTGACCTCCATTTCTTCACTGACACGCTTGGCGACAGACATTGCAGCCACACGCCGAGGTTGGGTGCAACCAACAAGACCGTGGGCACAGTAACCATCTTCATACAAGAATTGTGCCAGCTGTGTCGTTTTTCCTGATCCGGTTTCGCCCACGACGATGACAACTATGTACAACTTCCTCAGTATAACGATGATTCGAAGAAGGCGGACAGGCCAACCTTGATTCTCTCGTAGGATCTTCATAAGATCCTCACGGCAAGCAAAAGCTGGGAGATACTCTCGTTGTTCCTTAAGCGTTCTTGACTTGGCGAAGGTGCTGACACCGGAGGAAGCCTTCAGATGAGTTGCGAACTTAGAATCGCCCTTGTAGTTCTCCTTCTCGCCTTTGTTTTCCTTCTCTTGCCGTTCTGCTTCAGCTGGAAAAGCAAAACAAAAACTACGTGAATGTGCAACTCCGAGCCGAATAAAAGTAGTAGAGGAATGAAAACATACCTTCTGCTTCAGCTTCCTCATCTTTCACGCCCATGATGTTTCCTAAAGAGGTACCGCCGAGAGCCGCCAACTTTGCGGCGGCTTTGGCACGTTCGGCTTGCTCCCTCTTTTCCTTCACTAACGCACTACCTTTCTTAGAAAAAATGGCTATGTCACTCGTAGGGTCGCGGATAGGATTGATGGGATCAAGCTGCTTGGTAAACACGGTACGACCGTCCAGGAAGGGTGGTTTAAGGTCATGGACCATGACGTGAACAGTCGACTCGGACTCGTCTTCAAAATCTAAGTCAACCGTCCTGCGAGTGGCGACACCAGAAGTAAGCATTCGATTTGCTTCCCAAAGATCGTTATCGGCATTCTAAAGAAAAATAAGAAACAAGACATAAAAGGTTTAACTAAAGCTTCTCACATATTGAGCTTGTCTGGCGGATATTTTTTTCTGAACAACAAAATTATCAAAGATCACACCCATATAAGAATTTTGCACTCACCACCTGTTTGGTGGCAATTTCCGCCTGTTTAAGAATGTTGAGATCCTCATATTGAGCTAAAGGATTATGCTCTTCGTCACCAGCAATCCCGCCTTCTTCTGCGCCTGTGTACCAATCCCGATCTAGTCTAACCTGTTCTTCTTCCCACTCATGTGCGTCAAGCCCCAACGCGCCATCGCCCTCGGGGCTATCGTCTCTAGCCGCTCTAGGCGTCGGGGCATCCCACCGTCTGTTACGGCTGCCGCCCCGTCCTGAGCTATCCTCCCCTCGATAATTGCGTGGTGTAGATTCCCAGCTGACATTGGGGACGCGAACACTGGGAGCGTCGCTGGATCCACGAACAGATTTTGGAGTCGAGTCCCAGTCGCGTCTACCACGATCTCGATCTCGGTCACGGTTAGCATCGTAATCTCTCTTGCCGCCCCATCCTCGGTCGCGGTCCCTGTTAGACCGGCGCTGAAAATCGCCCAAGCCCTTTGGTGCGTCAGAACGATGCCCTTGCGATGCAGTAATACCCTCTGGAGAAATGATATTATGAAACGAATATAAGACAGCAGGCACAAACGAACCTCTTTGCTTGTCTCTGTTCCTTCGATATTCTTCCAACCTCTGACGACCAGTTTCGGACAACCCGCCCGGATGAGAAGGAGTTTCTTCGCCTCGCTGCCTTATATTAGAGTTGCGCGCCGGTAAGCTAGGCACTGGAAACAGGCATTAACAAGAATACATTGTCAGCTCAAACCAAGAGACGTACCTTTAAAGACAGCTTCGTCGTCATACCGGGCCTTCTTCCTACTCCCATCGTCGTAGCCAATATTAGCAGCCCGTTTCTCTTTCGCAAGACGGTCGAGGCCTAGTAGGGAAGTTCTGGGTGTGGGCGGTTCCAATGGTTTCGCTGGTTGACGGAACGTATGCCGCTGAAAACAGTCCGACGAGCTAAGTAGATGGACCATCATGAAAAATAAGTACACACCACATCCTTTTGCATGAGACCACCTTGTCTAACTGGCTCAGGTTCCAAAACATCACTATCGTGCACAGTTATGCCTGCAACTGGCTGTGGAACAACGCCTGTCGCTTCCTGCTTCGCATGCGACAAAATGTCGGCATAGAGCTCTGCCAGAAATGAATCTTTGAACTTGCCAAAGGTGCTTGCAGCTGCACGTACAAATGTCAGTCCACTAACAAAACACGAAGAATTACTAACGCACCTTTTGTGAATCCTTCTAAAGTATTGGTTTTTGCAATGTCCGTCACTCTTTGGGCAAGCAGGTCGTTCGGATTGAGGGTATTGAGAGCTCTAGATAGCTTTATAGCGATTTGGTGGTTAAACTCGTCGTGGGCATCGGTGGTGGACGCCATAGTGAATAGAGGGCAATGAAGGTGGTCGGAGTTGAATGGAGAGCGTAGCCACGTGGATCCATCGATCACAACTTGAACTTTGAACTTGTAATTCACCACCATGGTTGTAAGTAAATATTCCTTCACTATTGACATGTTCTAAACATCTATAGCTCCTCCTCCTTTCCATCAAAGCCGAGCTGGAAAATGTAACAGATCTTGTACCGGCATCGGAGGATTTCGAGTACTTCTTCCAGGTTCATCAATTTATAGGTCTTTCCCCGCAAGTTGAACTAATGTACTTCCTGGTATGTAGGTTAAATGTAACAGTTGCAATGAAGTTCACCCAAAGCTCGTGTCCGTGAATCGTAAGGTAGACATCTCGCATCTTGCAAGAGCACCGTGTGTCTTCACAGAGCTTTTAGGAAGAACGAAAGGTGTCCGGAGGGAAAGGTGCTACTGCTAATTTTGTCTGGCGATGTGGACTATGTTTGTCGTTCACTTCTTGTTCATGAGATTGCTCTAATGCCTTGAGCTACCTAGGCAAACGGGAGAGCTCTGCAAAGTTCGATTCAAGTTATCCGCCACAGCCTTACAATGCAGCGAACGGTCAATTTGCACCCCTACTAAAGGTCGAGTGCAGGGGTCTTGAATTTATAGGATTCGATCCTAGCGTCAGTCCTTCGTTTCCTTATGGCTATCTTTATCTTACCTCTTCCAGGGTATTTGGAAATGTGTCGGAATGACAGGACAATCATTTCCCGAGGTCGACCTCAGCGAAGGAGAGTGGAATGATTACGACGAGAAGGTAGGCCCTTCTTTCATTTATCAATGAACCTCGTTTATGTTACTTCCAGGCCGCTCTACCTGTCGGCGTGTCTGATATAGGCAACAAGTGGACAAGGGCGTGATGTACACTTGAATAAAGTAACAAATTGTACTATTAAACAAGTTCCATCAAGTCGATCCTATATTCTATTATCCTCTGTGGGGGCTTAGGTGATATCGCTACCACCTTTCTTCGTTGAGGACAGGTCTGATTTCTGCGTGTGATGTCCTCTGAATAGATCTTTTTTCCAATATGTACCCGGATCACTTCTGATGTTCGGAGCGGTAAGTATTCTTTCTGTGGCTCCTTTCGCATCTTGCTTTCCTTTCTCCACCATACGGGATTGAGCCTTCTTGGCCTTCGCGATATGCTCCACCCTATTTTTACTTTGTTCAGTATACATTCTTCGACGACAGCTTATCGTGAACGTACCCCCAGAGAGCCATTTCTGCTTTACTGGTCTTGACCTTATGCATATCAACACCACGTTCTCTTAGTACGTTGAGAAATTGATGATAATGCTACGTAGGGTGAGAATAAAGGCGTTGAACGGATATATGGAAAAAACGTACTTCGATTGTCGTCCTACCAGACACATCAGTGTCCTGTTACTTACGACTCACCAAGAAAAATATTACCTGTAATGACCGGACAGAGGTGACAGTGAATGGATAATACCATCTCTGACAGTTATAAGGCCAGCTGATGTAACCAGTCCTCCAGCCAGAAATGACGAATGCTGGAACGTTCCTGTGTCTATAATGCAAAAAGACTAAGCTTTTGTAACAATTCGTTGCAAGACTCGAACAACCTTTGATTCCAATAAAGATGTTGACTGTGAAGAGGTGAGTTTTTCCCTCATTCTCGGTAGTAGGCGGAAATTTTGCTAACAATGCTTGTCCTGAAATGAAAATAAATTGAGGAAAATTAAGGATGTGATACGGTACTATACCGAAACAAAAATCCAAGTATTTCGTTTAACTGTTTTCCTCAATAAACGATTGATGATCCCTTTGACGGTAAAATACCGATGGAGCGTCCTGGTGACTTTATTTTTCCCCTTCTCTTTTCCTATGTAATGGTTAACTTCGTCGTTCTCTTCACTGGATACCGAAGACGAAGATATTGAGGACGTAAAACTTCCACGACGGGCAGGTCGCTGGGGGATATCCTCGGGTATGATACCTTGCCCATTACCAGAATCCTTCCAGTGACCAGCACTGGTGTCGACAAGTTCGTCGTTCCTGTCCCAGCGTAATCTGCCTTGTGCATCGATTTTGACGAGATAATTTAGTCCTGCGAAACTGATGTGTGAACGAGAATTACAGGCAGAATGACGCAAATATACTTTGTTCTGCAGATAGGTATCTGACCATGACAGTAGATTATTGCATGCATCAAGAATGATGGCATCGACTCACTGGATTCTCTGAGAGGGGGCATATGAATCATGATAAGCATAAGTAATGGCCTAAAAGCCAGGATTGTCTACCTCTTGTTCAAGCTGAGAACGAGGACACTCATCGAGTGACAGCGACTTTCCGTCTCCAATGTCAAGCCTATAATACAAGATTCAGTAACAAGGTGAATCATGCGTTGGAACACGTACCATCGAAAGAAATTGTCGTCGGTGCATTCTTGTTGCCAACGTTTGTGATACCACTACAGGGCGGTGAGTGCCTTATACACCAAGCAACCGTATACAGGAGCAGTTACCTTGACTATTATTTTACGTTAAATAGTAAAAGGCAAAATATCCAAGGCACTCAACGATTAGAACCGTAGCGGTGTTTACTGCGATCACTCTCGCTCTCAGTGTTCGACCGACTCCTTATTTTGCTTCAGACGCACCCATCGATGAGCTCGAGCCAATGCTGAACTTCAAGCTCCTTGTTCTTGGCTTGCGGTTTATCCACGCCTGATTGTTGTAAAGGATTATTGGCGTCTTGTAACCGGCTCGCGAAAAAGATGCTACGTTTCCACCGTTCTGAAGGCGCGTTATCGTTACGGTTCGCAGTTATTCTTCCCATATAGATTAGACGTGTCAGAGAAATAGAAAACACCAGAAAACCCAAGTGTACTTTCAATTGAGCATGCATTGCAGCGTCCTTCCAGCGGATGTCTGGATTCATTGGTCCTACCTTTGTTTCGTTATTCCTTGATCTCCAGAATTTCTGCAAGACTTCGGCGGCAGCTTGACGCCTTTTCTCATCTTCGTCGTTGTCGGTGTGAGTACTCATGGCGGTCGGTGGTAACTGTGGTGTAAAGTAGTAGAATGACGTCACAGCGTAATTACTAGGACATTAATAGATGACTACAAATGGTTACCGATGGGACTATACTAAACAAATGACATGAACGACAACGAAGAGATGTGTAGGAGTAGCAAGAAGGATGAACAGATGAATGTGCGAATGGATGAGCGATAGATGCGCAGTAGAGAGAGAACGTGGAGAGTGAAAAGACAATGTTCAGAGGCGAAGGAAATCAATAATGGACATCCTAGTTAAATCCAGTAAACTGCCAGTCAGGATCAAGTGTTAAATATTTGTGTTTCCGCAGTTCCTGTGCGGATGGACGTTCCTCGGGATTTCTAATTGCGTGTTGTTAGTAAATGCAGTAAAAATCAAGAAAGGACCTACATTGCGAAGCATTTCTTGCGGAAATCATCAGCAAGGTCTGACAGGATAATGCCTTCAGGTACGGGAGGTGGCTGTTTCAACTGATAAAGCTGATCGGAAATATCAGTCGAGTGACGTCTGAAAGGTCGCATAAAATACTACCTTGAACATAACAGCAACCATCTCATCTCCTTGCCACGGTCTTGTTCCCGCCCACATCTCCAGAACAACACAGCCGACACTCCAGATGTCAACTTTGAAGTTGTATCCCTTACCTTGTGGATTCACAACCTCAGGAGCCATCCAAAAGACGGTCCCCTGCATAGCCGTTTCCGCACCGCCACTTCTATCGTCCGTCCGTTTTGAAATGCCGAAATCTGAAATCTTACAAACGCCCGACATCTCTACGAGAATATTGTCAGCCTTCAAATCCTGTAATGATGTTAGTTGCGCCCTCCAACTGTCGAACATGAGCGACGAACCCGATGAAGAATCCCTTTCGAGTGAAGGTACTCTAAACCTCCAAGGATCTGTCCAGTAAAGGACCTCGTAACCTCTTCGCTAAACCTGCCGTGTTTCAAAAGACAGCTTCCGATAGAGCCACCAGGAACGTATTCCAAAAAGCTGTTAAGAAGCGATCAGCTAGCCGCGGAAAGCGCACAAATTTCCGCTGACGTACATGCTCAGATTTGAAGGTGTCTCCTCGAATCCCAGATACTGGACTATGTTTGGATGATCCAAGTCTTTCAGAGTTTCGCTCTCAAGCTTCAAGGCCTGAACTACAGTAACTTGTCGAGAATCATTCTTGTCACTCGTGGTCCTCGGAATTTCGACTTGTTTAACAGCAATCATCTCCCCCGTCGTGGCATTAAGAGCAAGATAAACGCGTCCATATGTTCCTCTACCAATCATTTCCCCTCGGACCCATTTAAAAGTAGCTGTAAAAGAATCAGTTTAGTTATGTAAAATAGGTGTTGCTGGATACTAACTCGGACCGCCATTGGGTGATTCGGGAGAAGGTCCACCCATATTTGCTCGGGCTTGCGCTGTAGTAACCTCTTCCAGCCGACTGCCCCACAGCTTTGTGCTTCTTTTGCGTAATACACTCGAAGCGAAAGAAGAGTCTGCTTTGGAGGTGCGATTGATCCGCCGCTTGTGCTCCTCAGCTACATGTCGAATTGACTTCTTCCCTTTGACACGCGACTTCTCAACCATTAATGGAATGGGAGGCACAGCAATAGACGCCGGCTCGGGACTGACTTCCGCAACTTGCTCTACAGTTGTAGGTGAGGTACCACCAGAGTTCGCCTCGATAACAGGCTTATCCAAGTCATGTTCTGGGAAGAAATCCTCCAGGCGCTCATAGACATCCTCTGGCGGTGGGCGAGTGTCAGTAAAAGTGCTCCCTCTTCCTCTCGTCTTTAGCTTCGCAGTCTGTGATGATGACACAGGAGTTGACTGAGAGCCGCTAGACTGAGAGGACTGTATTGTCACGCTAGGAATAGTACTTGGCGTCGTGTCCAACGTCAAGAAGGGCTTCTTCCATGTGCCGGAGTCTGCATGGTCACTGTCCGAGTCACTGGAGCTGTTATATAACTCCATTGATGACATCTCCAACGATGGCTTGGAATTAGGAAGGGAAGATGATGTTCTGTCTAGGCGAAGAGGTGGTACAACTGTACTTTCCGATTGATCCGGATCTACCTGAAGAAGCCATGCACGTTGGTCTGTCCCCAGGGTAGACTCTGAAGCTGCATCACTGGGCGTGCCTACTACCGTCCCCGATGAAGAAGTCTCAGCATTGTTCGTCGGCATCCTTTGGCGTGTTGACCTTGGGCTATGCGGACTGATGGGACTTTGTGGTGGAGATTTTGTGGTGGTATCATGAACATCTCGAGAGTTATTATACGGTCGCGAAGAGCCAGAGAGAGGCAGGGAAGGTACAGGAGGAGAGCGCGTTGAGTCGGGATATTCCATCGTGTTTGAATATGATGGTGTTGGCCGCGGATACTTGTTTGTCGGAGAGGTCATAGCAGTCCTAACATCGCTGAAAGCCGAAAGCGGTCTCGGGAATGGGTCTTGGTTGGGGGACATATACCCTCCTGGATATCCAGTCGTTCTACCGTTATATTGCGAAGAACGTTGAGATGGACCTTGGACCGGCAAGGGCTTAACAGGTGTCCGTGACTCATAAGGCTTAGGCCCGGACGTGAAGGGAATATTTCCGTTTGATCTATTCATAGAGGTCTGTCCGTTATGACGTCGAGGCATGCCAGGCTGCAACGTAGGGGGATGTCCACCGTTGAAGGCAGCAGCCCGGAGATTATCCATGCTCTTGGCACCTGTTCTGATGGGTCTCCAAGGATCGGTGGATGAAGTAGGGGTACCAGTCGATTTTTGGTCAGCCTTCTCTTCACCTTTCCAAGTCACGACATACGTTGAAGGTACAGGTTGACCGGCTTGACGACTAGTTCCGGGACTACGAATCTCGGGAGATGTATGAGGTACGGGTGGCGGAGGATGACGCGGAGGTGCCGGCACTACTATAGGGCGACCTGATTGTGTAGCTCTGTATCGTGAGGGATACAATGGATTTTTGACTCGGGTCTGCTTTGGCGACTGGCGGGGAGGTGGTGAGGTCGGAATCTCCTGATCACGGGAAACAACGACCCAGGATTCTGGACGGCCCAAACTTTCATCTAGGTCCCGTCGTTGCGGTTCGAGTCTTCCCCGTGTACGGCGTTCTTTTGATTGGAGATTATCTCGAGATGGCTGATGGTCAAGTTGACTTTGCCACTGCCGACCTGCCGTCTCGAAAATTTGTTCTGAAGCTCTCAATGCTTGCTCTCTTTCGGCAGCAGCATCAGATCCAGAACGCCCATGAGTCCGCGTGGCGGGAGGGGTCAAACTACTGTCGTCAAAAGTGGCGCTGAGAGGTGATAGAGGTGGTGGTACGGATGATAGAGGCGGAGGAGGGGGTGGAGCCGGCACAAGGTTTCCGTACCAATTGACAAATTGTTTTGCTTCACTTTGGCTGCCAGTTGGAGGTGAGGGCGTAGTTGAGCGGGGAGGTATCAGGGGTGAAGAAGGCCGAGCAGGAGCACTTGGGCGACGTCCGGATGATGACGGAACGGAAACAACGCTGGTTACGGTATTGAGATGTGGGTGGGGAGGTGGGCGCATGGTTGTTCTATGATTATCGGCGTCAACGTCAGCGTCGTAAGCAGCGGCTTGCTCTGTAGGTATCTGCTCGCTAGCTGAGGACAGACTTCCATGGCGTGAAGATCGTCGTCGTGGTCTTAGAGGTGCACAAGAGGGTAGAACAGGTGGAGGTACAGTGTTGACACTGGGAGAGAGTGAGCTCGGTAAAGAAGGTGCAGCCTCATGCACAGGCGCAGATGAGTGCGAGACAAGAAGCTTCAATGTCCCTTTGGAATCGCCGAACTCTCGACAGAGTTCAAACAACTTTTCATCTGTCAGCGCGTCACTCATAGCAAAGGCGCCTATTTCGGTACGATAAAGGGAAAAGCGAGACTGTTCGTCGTCATCAATGTGTAACTATACCAGAACTAAGCTTTCAACATAGACATCAGAGTAAACGGATTACACACCTTGGAGAAGATACACTCTCGAATAACTGCTGCGCTCTGCACCCCGCTTATGTCAACATTGACATAGGTATCAGAATCTGCTGTGGCGAGAATAGAGACTTTGTCCGAAACTGTAGTGGTAGAGCTATGGCTTGAAGCGGAGGTGTAAGAGTCGGGGGTAGAAACAGTAGGCGACTGCGAGTAGATCATCAACAATATGTAAGAAACTAAAACAAAGCGACACACCGTATTGACTGGTGGCGGGACAGGCGGTATAGGCTGAGGTCGAGTATGAAGAGATCTGTGTTGAAAAGGTGACTTGAGCTGCTGAAAGATCTTGCCGGTGACGTTACGGGAGGTGGAAATATGAATGTCGTTCCGCCCACTTCGGTCATTATTATAGGATACAATAGTGGGGTCCTGCTGAGGTAAAAAATCGGTAGAAAGATCCACAGGAGGTATTGGAAGGCCTGGGGTGCTTGGGGGCGGAGTCGACTCGTCGGCGGCTGGGGAACTGGTACTGGACGGCGATGAAAGAGACTGGTGAGATGCCTGTGAGCGAGGAATACGTGGAGCCATGTTCGTCGTCAAAGGAGAAGGCGCCGGTGGAGGAGACTTGGGAACATTGGGAAGGGGCGCGCGGCGATGGTAGGGATTGACATTAGTGGGCCTATCTTCATCACTGCTCTCCGATTCAGAACCGGGATTGACAACATGGAAAGTAAGGCGCGGTTTGGTAAACCTAGGTAGCTCTGACATTGGAGGCAGAGCCTTGTATGAACAGTGCGCCAGTGGGAATATGATGAACTGTTGAAATGAGGCAAAAGGTCGTCGAGCGTGGTCGTCGCCGGCAGCGATGAGTAAGCAGGCGTGCTCAGCGAGCGATCCGACAGCGAGAACAGTGGCGAAAAGGATAGAGGAAGGGAAGGAAAGGCTCCAGCGCCGACTTGAAGGAGGTCGTCGAGTCCAGGTACTCAGGATCTCACTCTGCTGATGTAATACAAGTGCGCTGCCGCCTGCTTTTCTAGAAAACTTTCATAGAAACGCTCAGGCGGCTACTTGCGGCTGGATCTTTCCAAGAAATTTCGTCGCATTCCTTTTGATTCTCGTCAGTTCTTGATAAAAAGTGTATCCGCAAAAATTATACATTCTAGAAATACAGCCAACATGATCTTCACATTACTGGGTAATAAAAACGCTGGTGATCCTCAGTGTCCGATATCCGTTCATTGCATGCGTACGTGTCATTCCGTATTCCCCACCTTGGGAAATTCCGCCCTTTGTTCCAGCGTCGTCTCACCCCAGCTGAGTAGCTTCAAGAGACCCACTAGCTTCACTTCCTTGCCCTGACTTAGACTCTCCAAAATCGCCGCATTCACCTCTCCAGCTGTTTTCAGACGTTGCGCGGGCGATAAAAGTTCCGAAATTGGCGTGGGCATTGACGACGTCGACTCGAATGCCAAGAGTGCCATGGTTCGTTCCAACTCAGTTAGGAACTCCGGGCTCTCTTCGCCACGAGGAGCTAATTCCTCCTGTGCAAATTGCAGGGCATCGGCAATCCGCCCGTGCCGTATAAACTCTATCAGCTTCTGCTGTTGTAGATGAAAGTATAGCGCTGGATTGGTATCCAGTATCTGTAGAGCCCATCAATGATCGTCCAACACAAGGATACAGAAAAACAAATAAGCTCATATTGAAGACTGAAGTTTTGGTTGAGTCTCCTCATCGACCCGAAGGTCTGAGAGTGGTGCATGAAAGGTTTAATCTTGTGATCCCCGTCGAGGGGAACTTGGCAGAAAAAAAAAACACACACCTCAGGATTGAGATCGTTCACGCGAGTGATGGCGTCCTCCACGTCTCCACGTTGTAGAGCTTCGCGAATATTCATTCGGCTCTCAATGCTCTCAAAGTCGACGGGCGGCGTCAGGTTGGCCTCTTGGCTAAATTCCTCGGCAGCAGACTTGTAACCTTCAATGACAAGGTAATCCATGATGAGGCGGTTAAGATCCCTGCCAAGGAAAGCGGTCAATTCTCCAGCAACGAGAGGCGAAAACATGGAAATAATCAGATAATAAAAGCAATTCTTTGCTCTCATCAAAGAAGTCAGAGAGATTCCCATTGATTTTATCATCATAGAAGAGACACAGAGAATGGGGGCTCACGTTTTGGATACCTGAACCTCGTGTATACGGCGGTCCCATTCTTCCTCGCGTATTCGTATCTTCGGTGTGGATGTAGGGGTAGACTGCTGGATCAAGTCAACGCTGGTCACAAATGTGCCCACGGACTCACCATGGAGAAAACGAAGCAATGAAAATTTTCGTCTTTTTATGGCTATCCCATTCGGTTGGTTTAGGGCAGGTCAGACGACTTCTGGTCCGGACCGGCATTTGATCCGGAAGCTGCCTGAGGGTGTCACGACATTATCTCGCTATCCCGCCGGCAAAACACCACATACTGCAGTCCTAATGCCTGCATTCTTTCTTTGTCACCCTCAGCTTCAATGGCGCAGCACAATATACGTGCATCGGTAGTGCAAACTTGTAGTCAGGCATATAACTTGGACGCTACACTTCAGAAACTAGAAGAACTTACTCGTTTGGCGAAAGATCGCGATGGCTCGCAGCTTGCCGTATTTCCAGAGGCCTTGTAAGATTTTCCTAGTAGCTGCGAACTATGCTGATGTTCCGTTCGCAGTATTGGAGGTGTTATAAATTATTTAGAATGCATGTATATGTTAGCTGATCGACTCCAGGATATCCCTAAAATGTCCACCTTTGGTGCTGTCGTAGGCCTTAGAGCAGCCCAAGGACGAGACGAGTTTTTACGTTACCACTCTGCGGCCATCGAAGTCCCTTCTGCTGCGATCTCTCGGATAGAAGCTATCAGCAAAGAAACAGGTGTTTTCCTTGTTGTTGGCGTAATCGAACGAGATGGTGGAACGCTGTATTGCACTGCTGTTTTCATAGACCCAGAACAAGGTTATATCGCCAAGCACCGCAAGCTTGCGCCTACTGCATCTGAACGGCTGATTTGGGGTCAGGGAAATGGTTCCACTCTTTCTGTAGTCGACAAAGATTTCGGATCTTCTGGCGGAGTTGCGGTTCCAACCAAGATCTCGGCGGCAATATGCTGGTACGCTACGAATGTTGCAAATTGAACTGTCTGACACCTCTGACCCTCGTGCTTCTTAAGGGAGAATTACATGCCTTTACGTTCGTCCTACACCATAGGTGAATCCCAGCCAGTCAATTAACTCAATGTGCCTTCTCAGTGCGCTATTTTTACTATTCAAAAGAGTCCAGATCTATTGCGCACCCACCGTGGATGCCCGACCTGTTTGGCAGAATTCCATGATTCACATCGCTCTTGAGGGGCGTTGTTTCGTTCTTGCGGCGTGTCAATATGCAGAAGAGAAGGATTACCCTGTTGATCACGCGGTTGCAGATGTTTCAGCACGTAACCCTCAGAATATTATGATTGCCGGAGGGAGCGTCATTGTCAACCCTTTGGGTGAGGTGTTAGCTGGTCCATTACTCAAAGGAGAGGGCGTCTTGACCGCCACTTTGGACTTGGATGATTGTGTCCGTGGTAAATTTGACTTAGACGTCGTTGGACACTATGCTCGTCCGGACGGTAAGTTGCTGGAATGTAGGTGAATCATTACTGATGTCCACATTCATAGTCTTTAGTTTCTCAGCGAACTTGCAATGATTTGCAGGGTGCCGACGATCAAAACAAGGCCTGTAGTGATTTGAAGAATACAAGTATCATGACTTTGTTCCCATTGTGACTGATTTGTTCTTTGCTTTGTCGATGCCCCAACAAAGTTTGAACAATGAACATTACTAGGTGGCACTTGAAGCTCAAGCCAAGGGCACTATAAGAAGGCTAGCTATCTGCTAGCAGTCAACGCTAAAAGCTGAACGACTAACCATACTCAACCTTATCATTCTCGACATCATGGAGTCTGCAAACGCATACGCCGCGGTATTTTCTGCAGTGCTTGCGCGTCGCGCCGCAACGGCAAGTTCGTTCCAGGGGCCATCAAGACGCCCTCGAGCTAAACCGGATGCAACCGGGGGAAACTACAACCCCATGTGCCGAAAGACGCTAGGAAAAGGTGCATTCATGAAGGACGAGACTCTGTGTCGGGCGAAAGACGGCAAAATCATTCGGTCACCGGAGACAGAATCGCAGTCAATGACAAGCCTCGCTCAGAACGGGAATATGCGCCATGGCGTTCCACGTCATGACTGCCCTGACTTCGGCGGACATGCAGCAGGGACAGAGGAGGTCGGGGCGCCATTTCAGGCGACTTGCGGCTCCATTCATGTTGAGGCGCCTTCAACACAGCTGGCTTTGATGTATGGAACGCTGGCCTTTTCCCAGGATTGCCAGGAAGGATACGGAACGATGCAGAGTTATACGGGGAACGGACCAAACGTGGAGATTGACGTCGATCCATGGCAACTATCCGAGGAGAACAGAATATTCGACATGTTCATCAACGTGGAGGAATGCGCTGCATAAGGGGAAAGAAGGGTCTATGATTAGACGCCCCATGATGACACAACCGTACCGTACTAATGCCTTTAAAATTTTAATACTAGACATAGATTGTACTTTGCTGGAATTCGAGAGGATACCTCAAGGCGGGAGATCATGACCGCACGAAGAACGCGTGTGAGCCAAAATTAAAAAAAGGCGACAGGGAAAATGGTTAGCAATGACGAGCAAGAAGAGACCTATACCATGGGTAAGCGCTTTCTAGATGGGAGTAGAAACGGCTCATTTACATACGTCGTAACCGAGGCGCTGTTCCTGCCCAAGCCTAAACTGGGATTAGTCGCCGAGCTCAGTTGCCGACGCCACCTTAGCCAAACAGCGCACAACTTCTTTCCTCCCATCGTGCCAGTCGTCTCTACTGTAATTTTTTACTTCCCTTGCCGCTCTTTCCTTCCTCCTCTTACGCCCTTTCTTTATTCTTCCCAGATGGCCGATTCATATACTTCCTCTCGCAATGGCGACATTTCTCCCAACGGGCTGGGAAATGGCTCAAGTCCATCACTCGTTCCAACTCAGGCTACTGCGCCTCTATCGAACGTCATTCGCAAAAAGCTGATGGGCTACGTCGGTTTTGCCAATCTTCCCAACCAAGTGCACAGGAAGAGCGTGAGGAAAGGGTTCCAGTTTACTGCAATGGTTGTTGGTATGCTCCCGTTTTTCTTCGATATCTCAATCATGTCCTTGAATTTTCTCACCGCGTCATTTTCTGTTTTCTAGGCGAGTCAGGCTTGGGAAAGTCGACTCTTATCAATACCCTATTCAACACGCCATTATACCCCCCCAAAGAGCCTCTGCCCCCTTCAGCAGAGCGACCGAAAACTGTCGCTATCGAGAGCATTGGGGCCGGTTAGTTGGCTGCTTATCGCTTTCCCTTCTTTTAAACTATTTTTACGTGTAGACATTGAGGAGAACGGTGTGCGGCTACACTTGACTGTTGTCGACACCCCTGGGTTCGGTGACTTTGTCAACAACGATGAAAGGTCTGTTCGCCTCTACTTTCTCGTATCTCTATCTACTCACAGATCATCACAGCTGGAAGCCCATCGTTGAGAACATCGAGTCGCGGTTTGATTCGTATCTCGAGCAAGAGAATCGTGTCAACCGGATGAAGATTGTCGACAATCGAGTACACGCTTGTCTCTACTTCATCCAACCAACAGGCCACTCGTGAGTGTCATCTTGTTTCCGTCATAGATCTTTTTTTGTGACCAGACGTATAGATTGAAACAGATTGATGTCGAATTCATGCGCCGCCTGCATACCAAAGTCAATTTGATCCCTGTCATTGCCAAGGCAGACACTATGACTGATGAAGAGATTGCGGAGTTTAAGGAGCGGGTCAGATACATTTGCGACATCTTTTTTTTTCCTACTCTTCTGACGCCACCCCGTCACAGATTCTCGCTGACATTGCTCACAATAACATTCATATCTTCCAGGCACCTACATACGATAACGAGGATGAGGAAACGATTGCTGAGGCAGAGGAAATCGCTGGCAAAATTCCTTTCGCCGTTGTAGGCTCTGACAAGATTGTGAATACACCCGATGGCCGCCAAGTGCGCGGACGTGCATATCCTTGGGGGGTGGTTGAAGTTGACAATGAGGATCATTGTGACTTTGTCAAGCTAAGACAAATGCTTGTTCGGACTTACATGGAGGAGCTGAGGGAGTACACTAACGACGTGCTGTATGAGAACTGGCGAACAGAAAAGCTTCTCAGCATGGGTGTTGCTCAAGATTCTACTGTCTTCAAGGAGATCAAGTGAGTTTCATGCAGTCATTATTCTTTATCCATCTAATCGGTGCATTCTAGCCCTGCCGCAAGACTACAGGAAGAACGTGTCATGCACGAGGCAAAGTTGGCCAAGATGGAGGCCGAGATGAAGATGGTCTTCCAGCAAAAGGTCCAGGAGAAGGAGTCCAAGCTCAAGCAATCCGAGGAGGAGCTCTACGCCCGTCACAAGGAGATGAAGGATGCTCTGGAGAAACAGCGCGCCGATCTCGAGGAGAAGAAGAAGCGAATCGAGACCGGTCGACCGCTGACTCCCGAAAAGAACGCGGTATGTCCTTTAGATAGCTTGCGAGATCTACCAAGTTGACCATCTCTCTCACACAGACGGGCCGCAGGAAGGGATTCCTCCGCACTTAAGATTGCGGTTGACGCTCGGAATCCATACCATCTCTTTAATACATCACCGGTTTTGTGCCATGGACCTTTTTTCTTCTTTGTTACATATGTACGACACACACATTTTTTCTATGGTGCCTTTAGTATTAACGCTTTTACTTGGTCTTTGTGAATTCACACACTCTTTTACACGGATATCCTCTTTACTGCTATTCTTTAGTACGCTTTTCGACGAGTTCTTGTGTACGCATGGAGGTTCCCGTTGGCCAGAGAATATACCACTGTTTTCGCTCTGCCACTGAAGTCAACAAAGCTAAACTTTGACGTGATGCCGGTGAAATAATATTTTCAGCCACTGTACTGTACTTGACTCTCTCTGCGATGGATAACATCCAGCCGCTACTGTCTGTACTAGACGTATTCACTCGAGCACCAGACAAAATATCACTGGAGAATGCCAACACATGGCTTCAAGACTTCCAACACTCTGTTTGTCTTTCGCTGTGGACGTCCTTCGACAATTCCCTGACTCTTCATCCGCCATTGTCGTAGTCAGAAGCCTGGGCAACCTCTAATGTCCTTCTCCTTTCTCCCGATGCACCTTCGGCAGCAAAGCTTTTTGCTGCACAGACCTTCAGATCCAAGGTCAACTCCTTCCACATTTACTTTGTTCTCTGCTAAGGCTGCCACTCAAGGTCACCTACGATCTCCATCAAGTCGATATAGCTAACCTGCCATCTCTCCGGGATACGTTATTGACAGCTCTGAAGAGTTACCAGGCTGGGCCAAAGACCATCATCGTTCAACTATGTCTCGCACTGGTCGGTCTAGCCGTGCAGTATCCAGCCTGGGACAACGCCGTACAAACCATGATTGATATTTTCGGGAGGGATCCATCATCTGTTCCTGTTTTATTACAGTTTCTTACGCTCCTACCTGAGGAGCTGAGCAATAGCGCAAGATATCCGGTTTCGGTGCGTATCTTCTTACAATCTTACGAAACGCTGTTTATATGAATGATCCGCTAGAATGAAGACCTTCGTCAACGGTCAAATGCTCTTCTTACTTCCCACTCCGAGCAAGTCATCGAGTTGTTAGCAATGTACTTGCAGGCTCCTGGTGCGTTCCATTATTCCTGGTCTCACTGATGTGTGTCATCCAACACCCGACAGGTGTAACGGCTGCCGTGCAGGAGCAGGTGTTCAACTGTCTTCGAAGTTGGCTAGTCGCAGGGGGAAATCAGTCCAGCCGTTTTGGCCAAGACAGTTTTACTCTCATTCGCCTTCGATGCACTTGCATCTGATCAGCTTTTTGATTCAGCTGTTAACGTCATATGCGATCTCATTCACGAAACACAAGAAGTCGATGCCAATATGCCTGTCATCGAACTAATTGTTCCTATGGTTATCGCACTGAAACCCCAGTTGACCAAGGAAAGAGAAGATCCGGAGAAAATAAGAGGATACGCTCGCATCTTCTCAGAGGCAGGAGACACGTACCGGCTGCTTCTGATACAACACACAGAAGCGTTCTTCCCCATTGTAGAGGCGATTGGAGAATGTTCAGCCTACCACGATCTCGACATTGTCCCTATAACCTTCCCCTTCTGGATGCGTCTGGCAAATAATTTGTCGAAAAAACCATCCGTCCCCCCTCTCTTCTTAAATGCATATCAAGCACTTGTAGGCGTAATCATCGGCCATTTGCACTTTCCACCAGATTCTACGCCTTTATCCGGACAGGAAGCGGATGACTTCCGGTCATTCAGACATGTCATGGGTGATACTCTGAAGGACTGTTGCATCGTCCTTCGCCCTGATACATGTATCCTTGCTGCATACGATCGAATTGCTGCAGCTCTCAGTCGAAACAACGTATCATGGCAGGAAATCGAAGCGCCTTTGTTTGCGCTCCGTTCCATGGGTGCTGAGGCCGTCCCTACTGACGATGTAGCTGTTCCAAAAATCATGGATCTCATACCAACGCTACCAGATCATCCGAGAGTTCGCTATGCTGCACTGCTCATCATATCTCGGTATACAGAGTGGATTGGCATGCATCCAAACTATATCTCCTTCCAGCTGCAATACATATCGGCCGGTTTCGATATCCCGGATCCTGAAGTTAGCGCTGCTGCTGGCGTAGCTTTGAAATACATGTGCCAGGACTGTAGACAGGTACGTTACTTCTCTTTCCTTTGATATTTTTGAATCTCATGTTCACTACAGCATCTTACGGAGTTTTTGCCTACCCTCCATACGTTCCTAAAGTCGTCGGGGGCTAAATTATCGCAGGACGACAAGCGTCAAGTATACGAGGCTATCGCATACGTCATTTCTGCCATGCCCATGGAGAGAGCTGCTGAATCATTGCGCACTTTTTCTGTGGACATATTGTCGCGGGTTCATGATGTGACAAATCAAGTTACTGTGACCAAAGAAGAAATGCAGAAGGCTTGCGGTAAGTTACGGCGTTGCTTTTGCTCCTGAGATTATTCATGCTATTTTATCAGACGGTCTTGAAAATTTGGAAGCTATGCTGTATGTTATTCAGAGCTTCGGCGAGGAGTTGCCTATCGCCTGTCAAAACACGTGTGAACAAACCTGGGCAGTCTTCGACAACTTCTTGACAAAGTATGGTACGGAATACGAAGTTGCAGAAAGAACAAATCGAGTTCTGCGGCATGGCATCACCTTCTACGGGCAGGCGGCCCGGTCTGTGGCAGTTTCTGTTCTGACGAAGATGTCATACATGTTCGATACCAGCCAAGTATCAAGCTACCTGTGGATTGGTGGCAAGATCGTGGAGGGATTCGGCGGTAGCGGGGATAATGCAATTCAGGCGGCCTGCCGAGAGATTTATGAGCGATCTACGCAAAGAATGATAACTCTTCTCCAGACGAAGCAGGCTACGGAGATTCCTGATGGTAAGTTTTATTCCTTGATCGGGCTTACTTCCGATATTCACATCTTACATTCAGTCCTGGAGGATTATGTCCATCTCATGCGACATATTTTACTACACACCCCGGATATTTTCTTCCAATCACCCGCGTTTCCAATGGTGCTGGAGGCTTCTATGGCCGCTCTGACGGTGGTCTACGACTCTATTGTCGATGTCGCGTTGGACCTTTTCCATGACATTCTAACACACAAATGCCTATCACCCTCACCCTCCGCTCCTTCTTCCCCCCAACACGCTGTATATGCCGCAGCCATTCAAAGCATTTTACAGAAAGAGGGTTATCAGCTGGTAGGGCATCTGCTTGATGGTCTTGTGGGTGATTTCTACGAGGAAATGACCAACTCGGTGGTGTCGATTTTCCGATCAACGGCGTACCTTCTTCCGTCCGAGCTTTTATCGTGGCTGACCCCCATACTACAACAAATACCCACAACGAAGGTCCCTGCGGAGATAAAAAATGAATTTATTTCCGATATAACACGGTGCGTCGTAATGCTTCCTGATTTTTGAGTGGCCTAATGTGTATGGGCTTCAGGGCGATTAACGAGGGGCAATTTGATAAGATCAAGTATGCCATGCTGGCGTTACGACGTGGGTCGAGGAAAGCACGGGAGAGGCGGCGGGATGGAGCAGCGTCTTTCCGATGATGATGGGAAAGAATTTCATGACTCTGTATTATTTTGTTTGATACAATACGTTAATTAGGTAGGTAAAGAGTAGGTAAGTGAATATAAAGTGTACGAAGCAATACCCCAGACTCGGTGCATTCTTTCCGATGATGATTTATGTACTCTGTGCTTGCTACAGTATGTTAACAGGTAGGTAAGTGAATATAAAAGCATACGAAGCCGTACCCCAGACTCGGCACGAATCTGCGGGGGGCGGGTTAACCTTGTGCAAGTGGACCAGAGTCGTCCAGGCCGAAAATAAAGCCAAACACTTGAGGTGAGCGGAAGTCCGTGTGCAGTCCGTGTCACTTGGCGGAAGCTATATCTTGCTCTATCTCTCTTTTTTTCTTCGCGGCGCAATGTTTCGACGTTTTGGACAGTCTGTCCTGCTAAGCAGTGAGCTCAGGGTGTCCCCGCTGACAGTATCTGCTTATTTACTTGGTCATCGTTGACAGATGGACGCCGGACGTTCTCCCAGTCGGCGGCTCGTAGAAGTTACGAAGACACCGCGAAGAACCTCCTCATCAACAAGGATACCAAGGTCCTGTGTCAGGGCTTCACCGGAAAGACCGTCAGTACTCTTTCTTCTACGATTTTTCACCTTACCGACAGCGAACCACGACACAGGGTACTTTCCACGTAACGGAAGCATTGGCGTATGGCACCAAAATGGTGGGAGGTGTGTCCCCAAAGAAGGCTGGCCAAACCCACCTTGGCTTGCCTGTCTTTGGCAGCGTGAAGGAGGTGCGTCGCGTCGTCTCTCGCTGGCGGCCCAGTCTGACTGCTTTGTGTGTATAGGCAGTCAGAGAGACCCATCCGGACGCTACTGTCCTCTACGTTCCCCCACCCACCGCTGCCGACGCTATCATTGAGGCTATTGAGAACGAAATTGGCTTGATTGTCTGTATCACAGAGGGTATCCCTCAGGCCGATGAAATCAAGGTTCGTCCATTATTCCGTCTTTTGTCGTGTAGCATAGAATGACCAATGTACAGGTCATGAATGCGCTCAAAAGCCAGTCAAAATCCCGTCTTGTGGGTCCCAATTGCCCTGGAGGTGTGTTCCAGACCAGTTGTTACGTGGTGACGAGAAACTTATGCGGTCTGGCCCAGTTATTAACCCTCTTGGTTGCAAGATGGGTATCCAGCCTGGCCATATTCACACACCTGGAAAAATTGGTGGGTACATTAATTGGCTCTATATATGCGTGCGTCTGACGCGTCTCGTAGGTATCGTCTCCCGCTCTGGAACGCTGACATACGAAGCCGTCGCACAAACCACTGATGTTGGCTTGGGCCAGACATTATGTGTTGGCATTGGTGGAGACCCATTCCCTGGCACACAACACGTTGACGTGATCAAGGTCTTCCTCGACGACCCTCTAACAGAAGGTAATAAACTTTCGGCGGTGTGTTCTTGCACTTCTCACGTTTGTTATCCAGGTATTGTCATCATTGGTGAGATCGGTGGTTCCATGGAGGAGGAAGCCGCAGAATACCTCGAGAAATACAACAAGACCCGTGCAGTTCCTAAACCAGTCGTGGGCTTCATTGCGGGACGTACCGCTCCTCCCGGCCGTCGCATGGGCCACGCTGGTGCCATCATTTCGGGCGGAAAAGGTTCCTCCTCTTCCGTCTTTTCCAGTGTCTTCAAATTAATCACCTAATTGTGACAGGTGCCGCATCCGACAAGGTCGCTGCTCTCACCAAGGCAGGCGCCATTGTTACCGATAGTCCCGCTAAAATTGGAGCAGAAATGTTGAAGGTCAGTCCCCCCCCCTCTCACAGCTATATTTGATCTTAATTTGATACGTGTTACAGGCCATGAAAGCTGCAGGATTGGTGTAGATTTTTGAAATCTAGATATTCACTCACTTACATAATGTATCATCTTGAACTTGGACTTTGATGTCGCCGTCTAAGAAGTTTGACGATGCTGCATCGTATCTGTCGAATGCGCCGTCACTAGCAGGCCTTTCGTCGTCGACGAGGCTCGAGGTTGCGTAAATCATATTACAGCAGCCGTCGGATCCTGATTGTTTGATAGCTCTACGGACTGTTCAAATATGTCACCGTAGGAGCAAGCCCTGGCAGCAGTCGACCCTCGATATTTGATATGACCGGGCGGGCGAAATGGGATGCATGGAACGCGAGCGGAAAGAAGTGGCCCACTGCCGAACAAGCGGAAGCCCGATACTTGGAACTGGCCCAAAGTTTAGGCTGGACGGAAGGCAGCCAGCTTGAAGCCGCCCAAGGCTGAACCAAAGCCCGACGACGATGATATCTGGGACGACGACAGCACTGCACCGAAATCGGGACAAGGCTTGGGTGTCGCCGTCAGTAGCATGGCGGGCCCCGTCGAGGTCGTCGGCGACGACGACCTACACGGCCTCGCGGTGTCTAACCAGATAGCCAAGCTAGCGGCCCTTGTAAATGAGGAACCCAGGCCGGATCTGGACTGCTCAGGATGAATATGTACGTCGCAGAGGGCTTCTTGGGAACACGACATCAACGCTTATTGCAGGGATACACGGCTCTCCATCTCGCAGCAGACCGCGGAAATACAGCCATTGTCAAGATTCTACTCGACCACGGCGCGAATGCAGTACTAAAAGTGAATCCGTTGTTATATCTGAAGGCATTCCTATTGATACATGTACTCAGGACTCGGACGGGTTCTCTGCATCTGAACTCGCTCGTATAGCCGGTCACAGCGACATTGTGCAACTACTGTCCTCTTGACGTCTACGGGTGAATCGCCATTATGAGGTCGCCTCTGTTTCAGCCGGCGTTGTCGTCTCCTCAGACGGTATGGGAGCCTCCGCTGTAACGGGGTATTTGGGCTGCAAACGGGCAGCTGTCGAGTACGGTGAATCTGGAGATAGTATTTTTCCCTAGCTACAAATTGAGAATAGACAAACAAATGAAACTAAATATGAACGCACTGCTTCCAACAGCTTGACCACTGACTTGCTGGGTACAGCGCCTACACTGAGCCAGTACCGTATCCTGTCCACACTCCATTCAATCTTTTTCTCGTCCTGCCCCGGACGCAAATTTGGGTCGTAAATGCCCAGCAACTCTGCAGGCTTCGCATTTCGCGCTTTGCGTTGATTTATTGCGACGAGATGGAGGATGCGGCGGTTACGAACTCCATGCATCGCAAACCGAAGTCGCATCGGCATGGTGGTTGCGCGAAGTAGTTGTCACAGTTGTGACTTTTTTGTCACGCTCTGTAGCTACTAAACACGAAAACAAGTATGCACGTCGCTATGTTACAAATGAGATACATGCTGGAAGAGTGATTCTACGTATCCTCTGGGCCAGAACTGCCAGGAATTAACTGCAACGATTCAGTGCCAAACCACCAGGAAACAACACATCGCGCTCACCATACAGATATTATTCCCGTTCAAAAGCGTCTGCGCAAGATGCGTCTTCTTTTTGCCTTGGGGTGTCGTCTCACTGATACCAGTCAGCCTGAGAGTACCAAGTACTTGTAAAATTGCACGTACTACTCTGTAACATCCTCGAGGACCATATCTAAACGATGGACATTAGCTGGTGTTTGCTGTAGAATTCAATATACTCACTAACGAAATCATCAAATCCCAACAGAATCCCTGAAAATTCACGGTCGCTCTTCATGATGACCCATATCCGCGACCCGATGCATCTGTCGATCAGCTCTTTCATACAGTCAGATGGTAGCATTGCCACAAACAGCATACGACGGACCTAGAGGAAGGATCTGGGAGGCCATTGCCTGAGATGATGGAAGTCAACAGTAACAGTGGGAAACTCGGGCCGGAGTGCCGGCGAGCAGGCTAGTCTTCAAAAGTACATGTCGACCATTTGGTTCTTAAACGATCATGTGCGTTGTGCAAGGCTACATACAGTACCAAGGTGATGACACTCATTGAATGGAAGACGGAGACAACAATGCGACCGTATGACATCCGAAGAATGTACCAGCCATGATGCACATTACTGAGCTCAGCATTCATACTTCGGTACGTACATTCATAACACGCTCTGGACAAAGGATACGTGTGGTCGACGCTCCATAAGTATCATTGGTGCGCCCATAACGAGCGCTTTAATTCCATTGTTGCAGTCTAAAATCTCTAAGAAACCTGTATCAAAAAGTCTAATCATGTTGTTACAGCAAAGATATATCAGTCAGTAGCAGAGCGAGAAATTTGTATTTTTAATTTGAACCTTCCGTCTACGACCCTTTAACCACCCAGAGGCTCCAACTCCAAGTCGGCCGCATCAGTGGGGACGTTGATGATCCTCAGCGTGTTGGTGTGACCTAAACCACCCTTCCAGCCTTGAACGGCGACGACGGCCGAGCCTGGGGTGATGATCTTCAAGGCCAAGGCATTGCGGAGGCCAAAGCGGATACGATTGTCGACCTAAAGTAGCTCACGTCACGGAGAGATAAAATGTGCGAAGAAGAGAAGGCACATACATCCTTTTGCCACTGATGTTCCTGAATACCTCTTGGCTCGGGGTACCAGAATGGGTAGCATCCACGGTGCAAGTGGATCTGGCGCGAAGTTTGCTGGTTTCGGGTCACTGCAAACAAACACTCGTCATTTCTCCGCAAACCACAGAAAAGTCACAACGAACCGGTGAGAATGGGAACCCTAGGCCTGTATTTGGAGATCAACCTCGCGGTTTCTCCACTTGTCGACAACACCAAGAGTGCACTTGCGTTTTGCTCCTCTGCGGCGGCGACAGCAGCAATGGCAACCGTCTCCGCGGTATGTGTTGGTCGGGGTTGGATGGTCCGGAGGTCGTCGTATAGAGGAGGGTAACAGATAGCTGCCTCAGCCAATAGACATGTCTCCGCCATCATCAGCACCGACTGAATGGGGTACGACCCTTTGGCCGTCTCTCCGGAAAGCATAACACAATCCGCACCATCCAAAACAGCATTGGCCACATCGCTGACTTCCGCGCGTGTGGGACGAGGGTTGTACTGATAACGCCACCAATCAATCATAGCCAAGGAAAAAGAAAGCGAGGAGCAAGCTCACTGTCATGGACTCCAACATCTGTGTGGCCACAATGACAGGCTTACCCGCAATGTTACACTTTGCGATCATCATCTTCTGCGCCAAGAACACCTGGCTAGCCGGGATCTCAATACCGAGGTCACCACGTGCGACCATGACACCGTCCGTCTCCTTCAAGATCTCGTCAAAGTTAGCCACACCTTGCTCGTTTTCGATCTTCACGACGATCTTGATGTTTGCGCCATCGGGGCCAAGCACCTCACGAATATGCTTGACATCCTCTGCGCGGCGGATGAAGGAAGCGAAGATCATATCGACGCCATTCTTAACACCGAACTTAAGATCAGCCTTGTCCTTCTCAGAAAGGGCAGGAAGATCAACTGCCGTCTTGGGAAGGTTAACTCCCTTGCGAGACGAAAGGGTACCATTGTTGAGCGTGCGGACGTGCACATTCGTTCCATCGATGCCAGTGACGAGAAGGGAGAGAATGCCTACACGTGTCAAGATCAATTATGATGAGATTGTGGGGTAAATGAAGGGCCGCACCGTCATCAACGTAAATCAGTTTCCCCGGAGCTGTGACCTTGGGAAGGTTTTTCTAGCCCCAAAAGAAATATCAATGATTTGATCCCCATAGTCAAGGCGTGAAACACGCACGTAGTCAACCCACATAACCTTATCGTCACAGATTTCGCTGTACTTTTCGTCGGTAGAGACGATAAACTCATGTCCGGCAGAGATGGCGATCTGAATGTCATTAGAAAGAATGCTGGCAAAGACGAAAGCGAAGAAGACCCACATCCATGCCATCCCTCATCAACCCCGTACGGATTTCAGGACCTTTCTGTGAGATAAGTGCCACCATGAGTGCCGAACCTGGGTATATGCGGGGCCAACATGACTCACTGTGTCGAGAGCGATAGCCACAGGCCTGCCCGTGGGATCAGCTACAGGATGAATGGTCAAAAATGTCAAGGCTAAAATGAAAGAACAAAGCATACCTGCAACCATCTTCCTGGTGTTGTCAATGACACTCTGGTGATACTCATATGAGCCATGGGAAAAGTTCATTCGGACGACATTGACGCCAGCTTTGCGGAGCTCGGCGAGTTTCTCGACAGTGTTGACCTTGGGACCTGTACCAGTGTTAGCGAGAGAGATTCATTCACAATGACTGATTAATATACCAATGGTCGCGATAATGGACGTCTGTGCCCGCGTCAGTGACGATCCCGCCGACTAGTGAGGGCGGCATACCTTTCTCATGAACTTGGTCTCCTCCGTAGGCACTGGGACCTTCATCGTGGTGAGCTGGGAGCTCCATACGAGAGGAGAGCGGATACTATCAAGAGACATTGTGGATGAGATGGTGGTGGTAAGAGAATAGGAAGTGACCAACCGTCGGTTGTCGGTACTTCCGAATTTTATGCGGAGCTAGAGTGCCGATAACGTTACTTGGACTTGAATGGACTTCTGTCAGCCAATACCAGAACGTATTCTATAGGATCTGGGCGAGTACCTGGGCAGGTGAACAGGGATCTAGATAATGACAAACGTGTCCGAGTCAACCAGTGAGCTGGCAGAAATAACCTGTGTTTTCCCTCGTGACATGACGCGTCGCGTCACTAAATAGTATGCCTACTTAATTATTATATTCCCTTTACTTGTGATATACAGACGAGTGGTATATTGTCGAGCTGCTGCCATCGCTGTAATATTCTCGTTATTGGTATACGTGGCGAAGGCGAATCCTGCAGCATGCGGATCGACTGTTCTGGCCCGCTCTATTGAATCTGAATCTCTTTTTTTTTTTGTTTTTTTTGTGGAACGTTTGGATTAGCTTTGTACACCTCGCACAGCGAGAGCCTTCCGACTAGCGGAGCGGCACGCCAAGGACGTTGTACTCAGCCCGTTAATGAGTCAAGGTTTTACAACCCTGAAAGCGTGATGGAAGTTGCCTGTGTATTCCTGAATCTGAATCTCAGTAGTCCTTCAGTGCCAGAGTCGGGACCGTCTGACAATAACATATGTAGGTCCAAGTAGAGCCCTCTGACAGACATCAGCCCCGGGTTCAATGCGTCATATCCCTGCAACAGAATATGTCTTCATTATTCTGGTGCAAATAGTAAGCAAAATAAATTATTGATCCGGCACGGATAAAACATTCGATAATATTTCATAGGAGAAATCACCCGTGGGAAAAAATAAACTCTCTACCATCCACGACCTCGATACGACCCGGTATACGTCCGGCTGGGGCACCCAGTCTCATGAATAGAAGAATGGCGTCGTCCATTTACTTTCCAGTACCGCCTCGGCGCAACATGAATCTTCCCCATTATTCGTCGACCCTCCCATCCGCAGTCCAGGAAAAGATGAATCGTCGGGCACAATCTCGTGCATGGTTTATTCCTGTAGCTATGCCTATACCGGGCGTACGCACTCGGAATCTAAGGCTATGGATCCTAAACCTTCACCAGCTTCACCAGTCGAGCCTATCTAGGTTTGGCAGCAAACGCGGCTCGTTCGTCCTTCTCCTTGCGTTTGCAACCCTCGTGTTCATCACTTTCGCTCTCGCAAAGAGGTTTGGAACGGAAGAGAAAAAATGGCCGGCTCCGTTCATGGACCCGCCGTCGCTGGTGTTCAAAAGGGAGGACCTGCAGAGGATTTGGCTCTGGGAAATAGAGAGTGGTCACTATCCGAGCAGACGGAAACGTGCGTGTCGGATTTGATGTCGCTTTTCCTGTTGTTGCTGATAATTCTATAGTGCCAGAAGGCTTAGGGCTACGTTCGACACCACTAAATCCTGCTCTACCACCGCGAAGGACATCAATACCTCCTCCGAGATTCCGGGCACCACCTAGCTTGATTTCAACTACAACAAAAGGTGTAGGACCCAAGAGAGTATATCTGGACATTCAAAGCCATCCTCCCGATGTCGCATATCCTCCCCGGCCTGTTCCAGGAAGCGTCGCCGACTTGGATATCGTCATGGAACACTGCGACTTTTCCGAGAAGAAGGTGCCGTTTACGCGTCGCTTACGTCCATATATCCACTTACCAGCCCTTAGTACGTTCGCGACTGCTTGGAAGTGCTTAGGGTAGGCGCCGGATTGGATAATTCGAAGCGTGTACGCAGGGGTCGGATGGACGACTGGAAATACATTTATCTCGAGCAGGCCGACACGAACACGACAGAGATCGAACCAACAATACCATACATGGAGTTGCCCCCCGGAGTCACCTCTGTTCACGAACCGGCCGACCCAGACAGTGGTCTAACGAAAAAACGCGGTGTGGAATGGGAGACTCCGCCGGTCCGGCTTCCACCCCCTGCTGAGCACCGTTCGTATGTGACACTTGACTCTCCATGCGATCCAGAGAGCCCTCGGATATTTCATATGTTCTGGACGGGTCCCTTCACTGACAAGCCCTATCTCGCCCTGCTTTCATTTCTTTTCACCCAGAATACCGGCTTGTACACAAAGGATTACCCAGTCGCTTCTGCGGCATGCCGACCACAATTTTGGTTATGGATAAACCCTGGCCCGGCAGCCTCAGTTCCTAATCCCACTGCCCTTCGCGACATGTTTGATCAGCTAAAAGCAAACTCCTGGGCAGCACCGTTCTTGCATCCCCGTTTCAAAGATGTCGTCAAGTTCAAACTATGGAATACCACGGAACAGTTGGACGGTGTTCCCGAGCTGAAGGACGAATGGCGGTCACGAGAGACTCTGTTCAACTCTGGAGGGCATGTCATCAACGTTCCCAAGGAGGAAAAACCAAGTGGAAGCGGGGCTAAGGCCAACGACACCACCGCGGGTAAGGGACCCTCGACTCCAAAAAAGGACGAAGACGACATGCTGAATAGGACGGGCAGTAAATCATCATCGTCGTACGACCGCTTGTCTGTGATCCTGTCGGACATGGCGCGGTTCATTTTATGTCATCGCTTTGGCGGTATCTATCTTGACGCAGATACGATTTTCCTCCGCGACTGGGAAGAATTATGGGGATGGAAGGGCGCGTTCGCCTACAGGTGGTCGCGGTTAGAAAAATACAACACCGCGGTTCTCCATCTAAACAAAGGCTCAGCGCTAGGAACGTTCCTCTTTCGTACAGCTCTGAAAAACGATCTCGATTTCCATCCTATGACGGTGTCAAGATATACGAAGGAGGCACATTTGGAAGGGCTTCTATTGCGGCTTCCGGACGCACTATTTGATTCAGCGTGGCTGAATACAGAATACTATCAGCGCGAGCGACCACCGCAGCCCTATTTCACAGAGTGAGTGTAGACTTCCCAGTCCCTGAAGAAGTGTACTGATATTCTACAGCTTCGGAGATTTTTTTGATACGCCATCCGTCAGCAATGCGGCGCCAGAGGCCCTTGGGTTTGATGGTTTCTTCAAGGGCGCGTTCTCGTACCACTTCCATAACTACTGGTTCGTATTACAATTTCTATGCGCGTCGTGTTTGTATGTAACTCGGTTGATCAGGTGGAAGCCGTTTGACCCTGCCCGAAATTGGCCAGATTTGGGACCACGATTTATTGCTGGTGAGCGGATAGCGAGGAGTGTGCTTAAGCGGGAAGCGGCTGTACAGCAGGAGGTGCTGGAAATGGATACAGAGGTGGAGTTTGATGAGGACATGGTGTCTGATGACCAGCGAGATCTGGACTGGGCAACTGTGCTGAAACGGACGTTTGAGTCGTACATACGTGGGGAGCGACCGAATATGTATGGGGAATGGCTGGTGTGGTAGAGAAAGCCGATGGATGATATAGATACCATGACATCTACAGGACAACATACCCTTATTAATTTCATGACTATTTTCTATGTATATTGTGTAATTTATTCTTCACGAGCATGTACACATAACTATTATTACGATCTAGCTGCTGCCTGTGCCGTGTTAACCGCAGCCTTGAGCTGTGCGATAACGCCCTCGGGATCAGAGGCACCGAAGATAGCAGTCCCGGCCACGATGACATTACTGCCTGTACGCAAGTGTCGGAAGGAAATTAGGTATAAATACGCGACCACTGACCTGCATGCGCACAGACGCCGACTGTCGCCGGGCCGACACCTCCGTCGACCTCGATATCTTTCTCAGGGAACCTCGCACGAAGCTCAGCAACCTTGGGAACACAGCGTTCGAGGAATTTCTGTCCACCACGGCCTGCAACCCCATTAACGAGAACGAGGAACACCGGGCGGTAAACTAACCTGGGTAGACAGTCATTACGAGGAGCATGTCAGCCGCATTTGCAATCTCGTCTGTAATAGCGGTGGATGGGGTATCCGGGGAGATCGCAACGCCCGCTTTCATGTTGCGACCGCGAATGGATTTGATAAGCGAAAGGGGGTCGGCTGGACTCGAGTTATGTGTGAATGTCCGTTGAGCAATCGTGGGATTACGCACTCGTTGCCTCGAGGTGGAAACAGTACAGCGCACCCCCAGCGTCTGCGATATCGTCGACCCACTGATAATCTCAATATCAAGTAGGAATGAAAATAAGTTTTTCACCTTCTCTGGTTGCACAACCATCATATGACAGTCCATGAAGATTCCCGGGACTCCCTTGGATACACATGAGAGAATCGGCGCGCCTACGCTGCAGCATTGAGGTATGGACGCGATATACAGCAGACACAGCAATTACCCATCGTGATATTCGGCACAAAATGGCTGTGAGACACGGATGAGTAAAAATCTGGCTGATTCAAAGCCCTACCCATCCATGACGTCTGGGAATATATTTTCAAGATGAGAAAAATAACGGTTAGTGTGGAGGGTACGGACCCATGTGCAGCCATTCAGCTCCTCCTTTGATCATTCGCTTGCATTCTGCAGTGAGCTGGCCAAAGTCAGAGGCAAGGACGGAAGGTGAAATTATCGCGCGAGGCATGTTGTGGTGTTGGTACCGGCACAAGGTCCCAATAAGGAACGGCCGAGCCCACAGCCCAAATATGGCAAACCATGCGCTGTGGCCACGAAGGCTCGTACCGTTGTGATCACACTGTTGAGTGTGTCGTGCGGAGTAGAGACACGTCGTGGGGTATATAAGGAAGCCATACAATGAAGGACAACGTAGAAGGACAGCATTAAATTTTACAGAAAACATCAAACACATATTTTGCTAAAGACCCACAATTCTTGTATATCTGCGAGGAATGTGTGAATCCCATCGTACCCGGGATACAGCGGAATGCAGCAATGACGGTGTTCACTCCATCCCAATAACGAATGGTCAGCAATCTGGGGGCATCTATTACCGTTGAGGCTGTGCTATGACGAGACCCTGGTCTCGTCTCCAAGTATAAAGTCCCGAGTTTTTGCGATGCTCGGATGCTTAACGACCCGCTATGCTCCACTTTCTCGTTTTCTCTTTGTTCGCCTCTGTGTATGCTGCCCCAGAGCTCCAAGAACGACAGAGTAAGTTTTCCCCCCCTGTGATTTCCTTTTAATAATATCCAAATTCAATTCCCCAGTTGGCAGCGCTATCGATTCCTTAACCTCTGCAGGTGATCGCTTTTCTTATGCGCAGTAGAGTCTAAAGTGAATAAAATTTCGATTTTTAGCTGCGTCTGTGTTTAGCGATGCAACTGCGGGTGCTGCAGGCATTGCGACGGAAGTAACATGTCGGTGCATGTTTTTTTACGCTGTTTTGAATTTTCTGAGTCATGTTTCGCGTGTAGCTGTGGCTGGGTCGCTGTATACCGTCGTTACCAGTGCAGGCGGAGAGGGTATCACTCTTGCGCAGTCTGGAGCAGGCGAACTAACATCTTTTGCTGGTTCTCAATATACCGTTCTTGCTTCGGAAGCAGGCTCCGTTTTTACAGAGGTCACCTGTTAGTGTATTTCGCGGTTTCTCCAAGATTCTGTGCTCATGGCTTCCATTTAGCGGCCGCTGGATCGGCATACACTGTCGTCACCAGTAAAGGAGGCGAGGCGATCACTCTTGCGCAATCCGGTGCAGGCGTAGTCACTTCGTTTGCTGGCTCGGAGTATACCGTTATTACCGCGGCAGCTGGTTCTGTAATCACAGAGGTCACCAGTCAGTACTTCAGATATACTTTCGGTTTAGTGTTCTGACCGTGACGTCTGCTAGGTGTCGCTGGATCGGCGTACACTGTCGTGACGAGCAGGGGTGGTGAAGCCATCACGCTTGCGACGTCTGGAGCTGGACTTACCTCTTTCGCAGGGGCCGAATACACAATTATTACATCGGCAGCATCTGCTGCAGCGTCGAACAATGCAGCTGTCGGAATGTTCAGTTTGAATGCGCCGCTATTCGCGGGTCTGCTTGCAGTCGCAGGCGGTACACTTGTCGGTGCAGTGCTTACCATATGATTATGATGTCATTCCATATTTATTGAGGGTGCAATCTATTTTAATCCGCATTGCGGGCAGTGTGCTCCAATGAATTTTTCGTCGTCATGTCGCTGCGCGGTCTTCTCATGCCTGTCCAATCACAGCATCCTTTTGGCAATTGAAGAACCAGGTTTCACCCTGGAAGCGACCTCGACACCCCGATTCCTATATAAATAATTCAAACCTCACAAACTCTCCAACCCGCCTTTCTTTCTCCTTCGTCTTCATTCTTTCTTACCCTACCATGTTGTTTTCTGTTCCTTGTGTTCTCTTTCTCTCTGCCTCTGCCTATGCCGCAAACATCAAACGTCAAGGTCAGTTCCCCTGCGCGTTCTTCGGAGTATACAGCTGAAATGTCACAGATGCCACGGGTGCAGCCACTGACACCGTCGTCGCGACAGACACTTCTGTCGCTGGCGGCACTGATACCGCCGTCGCTGGCACCGATACCGTTCTAGCGACCGACACCCTGGCGGGTACAGGCACGGTCGCCACCGTTGCCTCAGAACTCACCTCTGCTGCAGCCTCACTGGCCTCTGGTGGAACAGCCGATGGTGAGCTTCAGCTTTATAGACGAAGAAAACCACTGACAATGTTTATTCAGTTTCTGGTCTGATTTCGGCGGCAACAGCATACACGTCTGACCTGACCGGACTATCATCCGCCGCTGCCAGTGCTCTCTCTGGAGCTGGAATCAGCAACACTGCGTCGGCGCTGTCCGCAGCCTCGTCCGTTTTGAGCCAGGCTACGGGTTCAGGTGAGTAACTCGTGTTCAACTTTGCCAACTATGCTAATGCGCTGTTCCCTTTAGCATCATCACACGCTGGCAGCTCCAGTTCAGCTCGGTCAAGCTCTGCTGCTGCTTCCGGTTCTTCTGCTGCCGCGTCAGCTTCATCGTCCGCATTCAATGCGGCTATTGCTGGCCATTCTGTGTCATCCTCGGTGCTCGTGGGCCTGACAACAGTCACAGCAGGTCTCCTCACGGGTGCTTGGGCTACATTCTTGTAGATATTAAAAAGGTTTCCACGGACTCATCGTAGCTTATAATGGACTCTCCTCCCTAAGATGACAGAAGTGTTTTCTGGACTTTCAGTACATATACAATGGTATATACCAATGTAGAACTTGCGCACTTAAAACATTTGAATTCTGTAGCCAGGGAAGCCTTTAAGATTGGTGACAACCAACCAGGTAGTAAAGAATTCAAATTCATTTCGCATGTAATATGCAATATTATGTTGTATGAATCTACTCTTCGGACATGTCTTTGTTGACCTAGAGAACGAGATTGAATCCAAACGCTCGAGTCAAAACGCGGAAACTTACTGAAGCGTTGAAGAACAGAGTGTTGGGTCCCCAGGGATAAGGCCTAACGCGGCGGTTCAAGTACTCATAGGCAGGGGGCTGAGGCAGCTTGCCGTCATTCTCGTGCCTAAGGTGCTCCAAGTGCTCCTCGTGAGCAACCTCAAGCTTGTATACCCAAGCACTGCATACAGCGACTATATCTCCATGAGCAAAAGATTACAAGACAGAGCAGGATGTACGAACTGGCAGGGAGACAGACATAGTAGCTGTGGACCTTGAGCACACGTAAAGATCACAAACCAAGCCAACCATACCTGATCTTCCTCCAGAGCTCACCGGTTTCTATCAGAGAACATCAAGATTAAAAAAAGTGGACAGATATCAGGGTACGCACCAGCACCGTGGTGCTCAACGGCCTGCAACTCGGCAAGAAAAGGGCTCTTGCCATTAGGAGCAAGCTCAGAGGTATACTCCTCGATAGCAGTGGAGTATCCACGGTAGCGGGGGCGCAAAACGGCGCGGAAAGCATTACGGGCGAGAAAAGACATGACGAACGACAATAACAGCGCTCAGGAATATCCCGGAATAGCAGCCCTATTTACACCTATTTGGATCCGGAGCTGTCTGGATTTGGCTGGACACGGACGCGTCACCTTTTCGACTTCACTCCTGCCTCACTTGCGTTTTCTCATGGTCGTCCGCTCACAATCGTCTGCTGCTGGCGTCCTTGCTTTGCTCTCAGAGCCGGATGCTGTCTTCAAGCAACATGCTCTCAAGGCACTCAATCCTTTGGTTCCCCGTTTTTGGGCTGAAATTTCGGAGCACATTGCGCTAATGTTCGTATACTGCTATTGTTTGTCTTGCTGTATTCTCATGCGCTGTATAGAGAATCTCTATATGAGAGCGACGACCTTCCCAAAGACGCACGCGCCTCCGCCGCCCTCCTTGCCAGCAAAGTATATTACTTCCTCGGAGAATATGACGAATCCCTCTCGTTTGCACTCGGTGCTGGAAACAACGCGTTCGAAAGCGAGGCTCGTGCGCAAGGGTCTGAGGAATACGTTGAGACGGTTGTTTGTGGGTGTATCACTCAGCTCGTCAAACATTGTCTAATTGTTTCTTTAGCCAAAGCCATTGACCGTTACATACAACTACGCACCGAGGAACAGAGCAATAGCAAAGCCGGGAAGATTGATCCCCGTCTTCAGGATATCATCGAAGGTATATTCAGTCGTTGTATTGAGGATGGAGAATACAAACAGGTGGGTTTGAATCCGACATTTTCGATGCATCCATTTCATGATTCTACAGGCTATCGGTATTGCCCTTGAATCGCGTCGTCTCGACGTCGTGGAACACATATACAAACATACAAACGATGTCTCCCTGTTGTCATATGCGATGGAGGCAGCTTTGGATACTGGATTTTCGCTGTCGTACCGGGACCAAGTCTTGCGGTTCCTCTTCCCTCTATTCCCTCAATCTTCCACCGATGGATCCCATGTACACACCTTGACCCGACTTCTTATCACTCTTGGTGACTCTGCTTTGACCATACCGCTTTTCAAGTCAATGGTACCATCAAATAAACTCCTAGCGTACCAGTTGGCTTTCGACCTGGTAGAAGGAGGTGCGCGCGACTATCTGGAAAGCATAAGGAGCGACCTTCCTGAGGGCCAATCAGTGCGTTTTCAAAGGCTTCTAGCGAACCTGACAGCTAATGATGAGTGCAGGAATCAAAGGAGATTTATGACAAGATACGAAGCATACTAACAGGCCAAGAATCCGTCAAGATATATCTTGAATTCTTGAAGCGAAACAACAAGGTGGATTTGCTGATATTGAAGAACACCAAAGATGTTCTGGAGTCACGGTCTTCGATATACCATACCGCTCTTACCTTGCAGAATGCATTCATGCACGCCGGTACAACGTCAGATCTTTTCCTGCGGGAGAACTTGGAGTGGCTAGGATTAGCGTCAAACTGGTCCAAATTTTCCGCGACGGCAGGTCTTGGTGTCATCCACAAAGGTTACTTTGAACAGGGAATGACGATCCTTGGTCCATACCTGCCTCAAGGTGGAGGTGAGAGTACCATGCAGGGAGCTGCGTACTCTGAAGGTGGTGCACTGTATGCTCTGGGTCTGATCAGTGCCGGATGTGGAAGCTCGGTCACCGATTACCTTCGCGAGACGCTACGCTCCGCTCAGGGTGAAGTTGTGCAACATGGTGCCGCACTCGGTCTCGGTATCGCGGCAATGGGATCCAAGAACGCGGAGACTTTCGAAGACCTCAAGTCTGTCTTGTTTATGGATTCGGCGGTTGCTGGAGAGGCTTCAGGATATGCAATGGGTCTAATCATGCTGGGGACGGCAGCTGCGGACCCGGTCTCCGAAATGCTCACCTACGCCCGGGAGACACATCATGAGAAGATTATTCGTGGTCTAGCAATCGGCGTCGCCTTTGTTTACTATGGTCGTCAGGAAGAAGCTGATAGTACAATCAAGTTGCTTCTGGCAGAAAAAGTCAGCCCCCACCCTTCTCCTGCATTGTCCCGTACTTACTGTCTTATAGGACCCTATCCTTCGCTACGGAGGAGTATACACCTTGGCCCTTGCCTACGCCGGAACGGCGAACAATGACGCGGTTCGCCGTTTGCTTCACATCGCTGTGTCGGATGTCTCCGACGATGTTCGAAGAGCGGCTGTAACTTCCCTCGCATTCCTATTATTCAAAAACCCTAGCCAGGTGCCTCGAATCGTGCAACTGTTGAGTGAAAGTTACAACCCCCACGTTCGATGTGGTGCTACTCTCGCATTGGGAATTGCTTGTGCGGGAACTGGGCTTCAAGTTAGTGTTTCATTCCATCTGACTGAACTTAAGTTGGCTTACGAATATTAGGACGCTGTCGAGATTTTAGAACCCATGACACGGGATAGTGTAGATTTTGTTCGACAGGGCGCATTCATTGCTCTGGGCATGATCCTTGTAGAGCAGTCGGATGCGTCGTCGCCATCTCTTGCGTCCACTCGTTCACTGTACACTAAAGTGGTTTCCGACAAGCACGAGGACCCTGTCGCACGATTTGGTGCTGCTATTGGGCAGGGTCTCATTGACGCTGGTGGTAGGAACGTCACTATCAGCCTACTGAGTCGTGCTGGAAGCCGAAACACCAATGCAATTGTTGGCATGGTCATGTTCTGTCAGTTCTGGTACTGGTACCCGTTAGCTCATTGTGCTTGCTTGGCCTTTGAACCTACTGGTATTATTGGTCTCAACGCTGATCTTAAGGTGAGCTGTTCTCTGTCTTTCTTTCTGGACTGCACCAACATTCTTCCAAGGTGCCGAAATTCGAGTTCGTGTCGAATGCCCGACCGAGCCTGTTCGCTTATCCCGCAGCAGCGAAACCGCCTAAGAAAGAGGCGGCGGCTAAAGTTGCGACGGCGGTGCTGTCCACAACCGCAAAAGTGAAGGCACGGGAAAAGAGGAAGGCCGCTGCTGAGGGTGATGCGATGGACACTGTGAGTCCCGTTATCAAGACATTTCATGCCAGAGACTGACCGCCTTATAGGACGAAACGAAGAAAGAAGGTGATGGAGATGTTGAAATGAAAACAGAGGATTCGCCAGCCAAAGGCGGCGATATCTCTCCTATCAACGGTTCAATGTCCAATCTTGCAGATGACAGCAAGGCTTCAACGCAACCTACTGTCACGCCTACACCCACTACGAAATCGCGAAAATCGGAGCCATCTTCTGAGATGCTGCCTAATTTCTCGCGTGTCACCCCTGCACAACTTTCCTACATAACATTCCCAAGCGATGGGCGATACCAGCCGGTTAGAGCTGTTTCTTCCAAGACGATCAAGGCTGGAAAGGGAAGTAAAGTATCGAGCTCTGGCGTCGGTTCGTATTCAGGAGGTGGAGGAATCCTTCTGCTAGCAGATCTACGGCCTGATGAGGAGGGCGAATTCATTGACTTTGAACCTCCCGTGGAGGCTGCTCCTGCTGAGCCCGTTCCTGCGGTGGGTAACGGTAACGCGGTTGGCGCGGTGCCTACAGGTCGTCATATCGCACTAGACGAGAGTGCTCCAGAAGCAGATCCACCAGAATCGTTTGAGGTGAGTTTGTTTTGTGATCGCCTGTTATCGATTCCTGATCATCCCTTTACAGTATCCCTTTGACAATGATACGTGAGAATGGATTGATCGTAGAAGACAGTATTTTTAATCATCGTGCGCTGTAATGAGCTTCGTAAATTATGTCAGCAGTGGTTCTTTCAACCATGTCGCAATCTCCCGTCCGTGTTGTCGTTCTCGACGATTATCAGAAGGTTGCACTGAAAAGTGCCGATTGGTCAAGTCTAAAGCAAAGAGGAGTAGTTATCGATGTATTTGTCGATGTGATATCGAACGAAGAGGAACTGGTGACACGCTTGCAGCCGTACGACGTAATTTGTGCGATGCGGGAGAGAACCAAGTTTCCCAAATCTATCATAGAGAAGCTTCCAAATCTGAAGTAGGTGCTGAACAGAAATCGGGTTACCATAGCGCTGATAACGAGCTGGATCTGACAGATTCATATCTACCACTGGAATGGGGAACAGAAGCATTGATACAGAGTTTGCAAAGTCGAAGGGCATTTTGGTATCAGGGACCCAATCGGCCGGAAACTCGACCGTAGAACATATCTGGGCACTCATCCTGGCAGTTGCTCGATATATAGCCATTGAGGATAACAACGTCAAAAGCAAGAATCCACAGTGGCAAACAGTGGTCCCATTCGGCCTAGCAGGCAGAACCCTGGGTCTTGTTGGTGTCGGAAAACTTGGTGCTAAAACCGCTAGGGTAAGGTACAATATGTACCAGCTGAAGTACGCCAATATTGATCAAAATGCATAGATTGCAAAGGCCTTCAACATGAGAGTTCTAGGTTGGTCTCCGAATTTAACAGAGGAGCGAGCGAAGGAGGCTGGGGTGGAGCTTGCCAGTTCGAAAGAAGCGCTGTTCAAGGAAAGTGACATTGTTTCCGTGCATATGGTTCTGGCATCGAGCACTGGAGGCATGATTGGACCTGCCGAACTTGCGGCAATGAAGCCTACGTCGTTTCTTATCAATACATCGCGGGGGCCACTGGTACAGGAAGAGGCATTGCTCGATGCGCTGAGAAATAACAGGATAGCAGGCGCAGGGCTGGATGTGTACGATATCGAACCACTGCCTTTGGACCATCCACTCCGAACGTTGAAAAACGTGACTCTGAGCCCACACAATGCGTACGTCAATGACACGAATTATAAGGTCAGTCCAAGCAATAATCGTTCTGTGTACGTGTATTGAATAAAGGGCAGACATTCTGGGCACAGACGGTGGAGAATATTGAAAACTTTTTGGATGGAAGCCCTACACGGCAACTGTAAAATTAGAATACAATAACAGGCCTTGCAACGACAATCATTGTGGAACCAGAAAGAAAGGAAGAGAAAAATAAAAAGCAATGAAACGAGCGTGACCGGTCACGCGCCCCGAGTCACTCAAAGACCGCTTTCGAGGCTTGCATTTGTACCTTCTCCACCTTTATCTCTTGCCACAGTTTACTTCTACTTACAGCAATGGATAGCACCGAGTCCCGTACGATGAAGGCTCGTCGAGATGGTCAGTTTCCTCCTCTTTTTTGAGGAAATTTCTCGTCTTCTTGACGCGCTTCCCCCGTCCCAGCCTACAAGGCAAAAGGTGCCCTCAAACAGGACGACCTTAGACGTCGTCGTGAAGAGCAGCAAGTCGAGATCCGGCGACAGAAGCGAGAGGAAAATATCTCCAAGCGAAGGAATTTTGTGCCTTCGACAGGCGCAGACTCGGATGAGGAAGTCTCCACTGGTACTTGGGATCCCGAGGTACGTGCTGTTATCACCTGCTTGGAAACTTGTCTTTTTACTTATATCTACCATGAATAGACCGCCGATGACCTCATGTCTGCCGTCTTCTCCAACGATCCCGAAAAGCAATTGGACGCGACGACCAGGTTCCGCAAACTGCTCTCCAAAGAGAAAAATCCTCCCATCGAACGCGTCATTGAATGTGGTGTCGTTCCTCGGTTTGTTGAGTTTTTGCGTACCGGATCATCGATGCTTCAAGTATGTCCATTATGCTCTTCCTGTTGCCTCCTGACACTCACCTTGCCTTCGTATCTGTAGTTCGAAGCGGCTTGGGCCTTGACCAACATCGCCTCGGGAACTGCGGAGCACACTCAAGTCGTTATTGGTGCTCAAGCCGTTCCTGAGTTTATCAATTTGTTGTCATCACCGGTGCATGATGTGCGCGAGCAAGCCGTGTGGGCCCTTGGCAACATTGCTGGTGACAGTCCTCAATGCCGAGACTATGTCCTTCAAGCAGGAGCTCTGAGGCCCTTGTTGGCCTTGTTGAGTGAGCAGCACAAGCTCAGCATGCTCCGCAATGCCACTTGGACCTTGAGCAACTTCTGCCGAGGCAAATCCCCCCAGCCTGATTGGGAATTGGTATGCCACTCACTCGTATCGACTGATTTTTTTCTAACCTTTTGTTAGATTTCTCCCGCCCTGACGATTTTGACAAAACTCATCTACTCACTGGATGACGAAATTCTCATTGACGCGTGCTGGGCAATTTCGTACCTATCCGATGGGTCTAACGACAAGATTCAGGCTGTTATCGAGTCTGGGGTTTGCAGACGCCTTGTTGATCTGCTCATGCACGGCTCTACTTCCGTCCAGACTCCTGCACTCCGTTCGGTGGGAAACATCGTCACAGGTGATGATCTCCAGACTCAGGTTGTCATCGCTTCTGGAGCTCTTCCCGCTCTCTTGTCCCTCCTCTCGTCGCCCAAGGACGGCATCCGAAAGGAAGCCTGCTGGACAATCTCCAACATCACCGCAGGCTCTCCTCCCCAGATCCAGAGCGTTATCGATGCTAACATCATCCCACCGCTCATCAACATCCTCCAGAACGCGGACTTCAAGACGCGCAAGGAGGCTTGCTGGGCAATTTCCAATGCGACATCCGGTGGGCTACAGGAACCGGCGCAGATCCGTTATCTCGTCTCGCAGGGGTGCATCAAGCCCCTTTGTGACTTGCTCACAATGATGGACAACAAGATCATCCAGGTCGCGCTCGATGGATTGGATAACATCTTGAAGATTGGTGAGATGGACAAGAACGCGGCTGGACCTGGAGCAGTGAACCAATATGCTGTATATGTTGAGGAGGCTGGTGGAATGATCACGATTCATAACCTCCAACAGCATGACAACTTGGAGATTTACAAGAAGGCGTTCAACATGATGGACAAGTACTTCCCTGACGAGGAAGAGGAGGCATCCATCGCTCCTACCAATGTGGACCAGACTGGTGCTTTTGCTGTGAGTTCTAACTTCTTTGGCCATGCTATACGTAACTGACTTGTTCCTAGTTCCACTCGGACGTTGCGGCACCCCAAGGTGGATTCAGCTTTGGGCAGTAATGGCTTTGATGATGAATTATACGTACCTACATACAGTTGTTATCTTCGGCAGTTAAGATGTCCTTTCTCTTTTCATTCTTCCCTTACATTGTGCATCAATGCATGTATTTTGCCCCTTCAAATGAAACTGTAGTCCATATAGCATGCAAATAGCATGCGCACGCAATGTTACCACCGGGTATAATGTACATATAAAACACAGCAAAATCGACAACATGAAACCGGGACGAGCCACTTAGTATACAGTACAAGCATAAACATTAACCAAAAATAAAAGGAAGAAGCGTCACATAACCCTCAGCGTCCAGCCCTCGACGGGTGTGTTACCACTGCCGCCCATCCACCCAGTATCTACTCCAAAGACGTTATCGCAGGTGATGGTTCGACCTGAATGATAGCCAACACCGTCACACGAGCGGATAAAGAGTAGGGGTAAGCTACGACCCGCGACACTTCCCTCGGACGGCGCAAGAGCGTCTTCCTCGAGAGCTTTGAGAACGTCAACAAGAGGCGGCATCTCGACCATTACGATCGTATGCAACACCCCCGAAGAGACGAATTGAGTCTGAGGCTGCTCGCTCGGCTGAGGCCCTGTGTGGTCTGAGAACCCGCTGACACTGGTAAGGACACCCGGCTGATTCGGCTGGTACACTCTAGCCCTCAATGGACCTAGATTCCCTAGGTAGACGTCCAATGGAACGGCACCCTTGCCCTTGGGGTCCTCGTAGAAGAAATTGGACACGGTCAGCTCGACGGTGTTTTTTTCCGTGCGATAAACCGGTGCGGTGAAGAGGGTGGGAAACGGGGTGATGGGGACCTCTGGGACGGTGTTATTCTGGCCTAGGGCGTCAAAGAACGTATATTGGAACTTGCTAATACCGACAATGGTCCAGCAGAGATAATCGTCGACTTCGTCCGACAAGATGTGGACTCCGTCTTTGACTTCGTCCCTGACGCGAGCTGATTGGAAGAGAAGGGGGTGCGTGCCGGCCTGCGAAGCCATGCCGGGCCCAGGAGGAGGCACAATACCTGGTGGGCCCGAGATAGGACCAGCGGCGCTCAGGTAATGCCTCGTGCCATCTGAATTCACCTTCTGGAGGGCAATCTTTTGCATCTGGCTGACTGGACCGCCGTCCTCAGATGAAACACGGCCCTTATCTACCTTGCGGATGATAAGAGGGGAGGTGCTGATGCCAGAATGAGTATCTGAGAGAATGATTTCGCTGCCATAGGTGACTGGGGTAGGTGCACCGGCAACGCCTGTGGGAAAATAATGTTTAGGAGGGATTCGCATCACATGACACGCGTTATTCTCACCATTTACATGGGCAGCGTCGGCTGGGCGACTGACAACATTGACGTTGAAGGCCGACCACGCGAGGTTGCTCGCACAGAGCTGGGCGTGGTCGATGGTCATATACTTTGTTCGAACCGTCTGGGAATTTATCCGATTAAAAAGGGATACCGGCCCTCCAACAAGGATGCAAGAACTGATATTGCGGGTCTTTGCGGTCTTTTTAGACGGTTTCGAGATGATGGTGACTGGGGCCGAGTCGAAAGAAGCCCATACTCTGCCTGGGGGGCCGTCAGAGTCAGATGGCGACGCTGACGAGCCTGGAACGGGTTCTGCGATGTCAAGAGAGAGCTGAAAACTCTTTGCCTTTGCGCTGCCAGTGACATGAAGAAACTTGAAGCTGCTAGTCATATTGGCGTCGAGAGGCGCTTTTTGCTCGAAACTACGCTCGCCTGTCTCGCTGACGACGGCCATGGAGAGGTTCTGTGAGCGCATCTGCCATACTGGGCCCTCGATATGGACGACGGGCGGTGGGCAGAGAAAACGCTTCTCGTTCCCATAGCTCTTTTGGGCGACTGCTGCATGGAGACAGATAACGGTGGTCATTGGCACGACACGAGAGGGGTCGTGAGAGACATGGTCACGGACGATGCGCCTGATTTTTGTGTGAGGGTCAGCGTTGTCGGTGTCGGTGTCGTCGAGCTTTCGCTTTGAAGAGGAGGGCCAGTCTGGTAGCTGCTGCTGATTATCGTCCGGAGCGTCCGGAGCAGTTGGCGGGATTGGCGGGTCCTTTGGATTTGGGGGATGCTGAAGGACTGGGTCCATGAATGGTGGAGTAAGGGGAGTGAGAGGATTGTCGGGGAGGAAGAAGGCCATGGTATTATACCGTGGGACGTCTTGATGACCGTGGGAGGAAAGAAAATCGTGGGAGAATACAAAAATGTCACAATTTTGTATTACGGTCACAATATCATACACGTGACTAGACCCCGAACACTCTACTCGACGCAAAATAGCTGTTCTCCAACGCGGCTGCCCGTCGTCGACGCCGTCATCGCTGTTGATGCCTCTGCCCGCCGTGCACTCAAGGCGAGATACAAGGATTCATGGTCTTGGGCGCCAAATTCATCGTCGTACGGTGACATGATCTTTTCCTCATCGCCCCATCCGAACAATTGAGCTGAGAAAATATCGAATCAAAAAGTCAATGGCGATGATGAATGATGGCGGACGCACATAGGAACAGAATACCCATTTTGTCTTCCTTCCTGATGGTCTCCTCGACCTCCTCCTCGCTTACACCCTGCCGGGCCTCCCGTTCTTTCAGCCAATCCCACTCTTCTTCAGAGGGGCCCCAGCCCTGCATATACCCGCCTTTTTTCTGGGGTCGTCGTTGGGCCCACACCCTAGAACTAGATGCCGTCTCGTTGAGCGGCTGCTTCTTCTTGGACGGCAATATCTGCTCGTGAGAGACTGAGCGAGCTACTCGAACGGGGCCAGGGTGAATTGTATCGGGTGCGGTCTTGGATCGTTGTAAGAAGCTCATAGCGAAGCACTGTCTTGACCTTTTCTGTCGCTGTTTTATATCTGTTTTCAGCGGCGAATACCCAGGTGACTTGACCGCTGCCTGTACTTACCTAGACTGAATCCTGAAAGAGTCTGGGTTGGTGGTGCGACTTTAAATACCTGTCAATCTTCCGCTCCTAAGAATTACCGTAAACGCTAATATTGATCGATCGAAGAGTTTATTATGTTCTCGAGGTATTTTCAGGTATTTCCTCGATAAACGACACTTTTTTGTCCCTTGCCGCTACCCTTCACTTCCTTGCAATCCCAAATATCATACGTTAGCGCTACGGAACATCGTGAGAGTACTCAGGTCTACGGCCTCAATCCATGGGAATTTGTTCCATGACCTCATCGCAGTAACCTTGTTATTAACCTCCGTAAACCGCATCAGCAGTCACTAGTCATTTGTCAACTACGGCATAAATACGCATAATCATTTTCTTTCATTTCCTACGGTACTTCAACTACTGGAATTCCGGCTCCAAAGCATCGTACTCTGGACACAACGTCTCCCAATCCTGCGGCGTAGTCTGTGAATGCGGTCCTTCAATATTGTCAGCCGGACTCTCCGCAAACACAATAGCCAGACCGGCTTCCAAATGCCAGTCAATGTGACTATAATCGAATCCCAATCAGCTGTTCCATCCAAAAGGACATACTCGGCTGCAACGTACCAATGCAAGAACCAAGCCCCCGGATTGTCGCTCATGAACCGGAAAGTCGTGTTTCCCCCGTTAACTTGTGCCGTCTATTAGCTGGCTACTTGAAGAATACAGGATTCAAACGCACTGGGAATCACGTCTCGTCGAGGGGGGTTTACAAAGTTGGTCACATTCGAATTGGATACCCGAATGACGTCAAAGTTGTGTCCGTGCACTGATAAAGGGTCAGATGGAATCCAACAGTAACGGCCTCGACATACAGTGGAACGGGTGTGCTGTACCAGCGTTAGTAATCGATAAGTAAGACCAAACGACACACTTACCTCCAGTCCCGGGGATAGATATCTCAATAGTCTTGTTGGGCGGCAGAAGGAAGATCTTTATCCGCGTCACAGTGGTGTCAGATGCTCGCTATTGAATTCACTCACTTGTTCCTAGGAGACAATAAATCCCCTGTCATAAACAGAGCACCACATGGCATAACTTACTGAAGGCAAAAAGTCTTGCGGCTGTCCCGCTCCACTCAGGATTTGTAGCAGCACCGGTACCGAGGGTGAGATGTAGCTGATCCCGTTAATATCAAAGAAGGGTGGGTTGGGTTGCGCGATGTTCAGAGTATACGCAACGTCCGGAGGACCGCTTCCAAGCTACAATTCTCTCTCATAAGTATAAATTCAACCTCGTCGGAATCAACCCACCTTTCCGGGATGTTCTGACGCGATTGGCTACATCAAGGACGTCAGAACCAGGGTTTCGACTGACTGTAATTGCGACTTACGTGCATGTCAGCATCGTCCAACTTGATTCCGGGCGTGTTGTTCGTCGTAGGCTCCTGGTCCGGTGCACCTTTGTACCGCAGGATCGCGCGTGTCAAGTCGGGGTTGACTGGGTCGACGTGAGCACTTGTCAGACAAAAAGGTGAAAGCAACGTACAGTTGGGGTTACCGGCGGGCGCGCCACCTGTCGGTCTATCACATTGTGTTAGACCATACCTAGGAATATTGGGAATGGAACTTACGGAGCCCTAATCCAATAATTATCTATCGGCTGGTCCGCGTGGAGGATGACAGAAACGCGTTGGGCTACAACACACGATCAACTCGACAAATATTTCTTTTTTTTTTTGTCGTATATTAGCTTACCAGCATATATGTCAATGTTCTGAACCGTGACAGGATCATGCTCGACCCCATCAAATTCCATTGCAGTAATGTTATGGTTGTCAATTGAAAAGGTGAAGAAGGGCCGGCATGCAATCTGGATGAGGCGCAGACGGTAGCGTTTGCCCTTTTCGACCGTGATGACGGAGTAGGGGACTAAGGGCTGTCGCTAGGGATCAGCACGAGGTTGAGATGCATGACAGAGAGGACGCACCCCGCCATTGAACCGCCCGACACCGTTGATCAGTCCGGAGTCGGGAATCCTATTAGGGTTTAAACCTATTATATATATACCCAGATGAGAGAAGACCTACGGAACAGTACCAGTCTGGAAAAATCGGTTCTGGGCGTCCGGGGCAAGGTCGTGGTACCAGTCCGCGAGCGTGATGATGGTGCTGTCTATTAGGTGTTGTTCGTTTGAGTTGAGCATGCCTAGAAAGAAAACGCGTACCGTCATCGACGTCGTACAAGTGCTTCAAAGGATCATTGGGATCTAGGAGGGTAAGTCACCACACTGGCAGGACCAAGATGTAGTTGCAATTACCGTATACTATGAAGGCGCCGCGCAACCCGTCACAGTATTGGGTAGATAGATGCGAGTGGTACCAGTAGCTAACACGCATTTTTAGTATTCAAGTCATAGAACAATGGCACTACTGACTTTCCACTTTGTTGCGCAGTACTGAACGCATAATCAAAGGTGTTATTAGGGGGGATGGGGCACTGGTTGACGAAACTACAACATTCAAATCAGCGACAGGCATACTAACTGGGGAAAATTAGCACTTACGAAGGCCCATCCATAACTGAGGTGCGAGCTTGGAAAAATCCGTGCCAGTGCTAATCAACATATCTAGTGAGAGAACCGAGATGCAAAATATTCAGACTGACGATCGAAAAACTCCTTCTCATCCCGGGGTCCGTCAAGTCGTTGGTGGTGACGATATGCACGTCGTCCCCTTTGTTGACTTTGAACGTAGGTCCCTAGCACGCTGTGAGTTGAATTATGGGCAGGTCATAGTGTTACTTACCGGAAATGTTCCATTGGGCGCGATAGCTCTGTGTTGATAGGAGTTAGTAAACCGTGAATTCTCGCGTACTATATGGAACACAAACGAGCGCGGAAACCCATCGGGGGCGAGAATCTTGTTCCCGATGCTAAGTTCAAAGTTGTGGGTTTTACCGTAGACAAACGGTAACAAGGCCAGTAAAGAGGAGACTTGGAGACGCATTGTCGAGCAAGCGAATGGAGTGAGGGATTATTGCAGAGGGATACTTATACTCATCCTCATCCTCGGTGCGTGAGGCATTTCTCGAGAGTCGCTGGGTGTGGGAAGCCGGTGTGTGGTACCCGAAGATCGGGAGAGAAATAGTATACAGGAAGCATTGTTGACCGTGTAAAAGTGTTAGTGGAAATGGTGAGGCATATACTGTATCATGGGACAATGACGAACCCATTCCTGAGGGAGTGTGGTAGAGAAAGAGAGAAAAAGAGCTATGATTGCAAAAGCGTGCTGGCGCAAAAGAGATGAGAAGTCTACCTTTCAGCAGCGCCTCTCATAATTTAGCAATGTCTAGCACCCTAAAGCCAACCCTTCCAGTGCACTCTGCCCGGTAACTTGGGCACCAGGGTCAGACCCAAACGAAAGTCACGATAAGAATATGCATATCACGAACTCACACAAACCAGGGCGTGGTAAAAACTCCCACATCGCTGTCCAAAACAGGATAGCCCGTCGTGTGCAGACAAGGTCACACCGATGCTCTCGAGCTCTCAGTTTGAGAAACCGGTCTCAAAATAGATAAGACGTGAAAACGATCCACAACCTCGTGTGCCCATCTGTGGAACCTACGAGAAAAAAATAAGCACTCCGAGGGAAAAAAGTCTCGTAGGGGCCTGACCGAGTTTAACGGGTATGTATGAATCGCTGTTCACATTTTGCCGACAATTTCGACGCGTCCCACGGAAAGTGATAACAACAGTAATGTACTCTTTGGCATTGGCGCGCATCGCGTGAGCCGCTGCAATTCTTACTCACCATCGGTCGGAAATCGACTCGGACCCGAATGTAGCTCCACTGAGTGGTATGCATTAAAACTACACGGAAACAAAGCGGCGGTCGCTTGGCATTGAGCCGCATCCTCGCGTCCTGAAACAATCTCTACCATCAGAAAGGATCCTTACTCGACTGGGGCTGCAAGTCGTGAGGCCGCCCCAGCACCACTGCGCAAATAGTACGTACGTACCCAAAATAATGGTATATAATTTTTTAGCCGAGGTCGGAGTCTCACATCGGCGACCAGGTCTAGAATAAAAAATGCTGAACAGTGATGCCATAACTTGACTCGGACTTGGATAAAAGGATAATTCTCGACGTTTAGCTGGGCGGTGTTCGTTCCAACGCTGGCGGTGGTGATGGTAAAGGTAAAGCCGGCGGCATGACTGTCGAAAAAGGTCGCAACGCCCCCACGTGGCTCGGGCGCAGCTACAGCGGTCGGGATGGTTACCTCGAGCTTTCTACGTGCCTCATATTTACCCTTCGTTCTTCCCAAAAGGCTCTCTTCAATTGCTCAATTTCAATTTCGCCTAGCCAACCCTTAGCGCCACATTGTATCCATCGCAGTATGTTGCATTAGGAAGTTGGGGTCGGCGGCGACGTTGAGGAGTTCTGGAATTTATTACTTTACATACATTCAATCTGTGCGAGTCGACGTTAGCGAAATACGAAATTCAACTAATTTTTTGTCTATCCCCATGATTCACTGTGACTGAGTCGTTAACCATAGAATTTGTACCGCAGACAATAACTGACACATCTATGAGACCCTTCAAGCTTAACGAGGCATACATACTTGTACACATTTCCGTATCACAACTTACCCTAGTTTTCTTACATCACTCGGTCGACGGTCGTGACAGCTATAATGAAGCGCCGCCGTTTCCATCACCCCGAGTCCGAGCGCAAGTAATCCATTTCATCTTCATTTTCGGAGAGAAGAACTTCGCAGGATACACATTTACATTCAAATCTTCCATTGTAAGTCACGTACGTGTACCGCTGCCCATCAATTGAGGCGCAACCGGACAGCCCAAATCAAGTCATCAGAGAATCTATTTACTATACACACTCTCTGATTGGCATATACAACTGGGACTCATACAACAATATCAAAGACGAAATATGCAATATTCTAGCGTAGTGCTTGTGCTCAATGTCCATGGAAATTGTCGACTAAACGAGTGGAGGTGTCCCAAATACAATACTAATGTGAAAAATGCTAGACAAATCAAAGTCCAAGAATAATAAGGAACAAAATAGGTTCGTGATCACCTTTCGCCTCAACTCAGAGGTTCGCGACTTTTCCTTCTGACATGCTTGTCATCAGGAAAAGGTACTCCGCTTTGTCGCCGGCTCTCTCTCCGACCAGGGCGCTCCTTCTCGACGTTCTCCGGCGCGACTTCTTGCTGGTATCGCTGCCAATCCTCGACCTTCATCGTGGATAACCGCCTCGAATGAGATCCTCCGGTTCCCAACTGCGCCAGTCGATCTGCACTTAGGCTTCTCTTATGGCCGTCGCTGGCGCGCCTCTTCTCCGTCTTTTCGCCGTCCTTCTCACCAGCCTCCCGCCGCTTCCGAAGCTCTCTTTCCCGCTCAGTCTCCCTCCTCTTCATTGCCTCCCGCTCAGCCGCCCGACTCTTTTCCCACCGAGCTTTCGCGGCTTCGAGTTCTGCATGCTCTCGGTTCGCATTCGTCACAGGTCCCTGCAAATCTCGCATCTTCTCCCGATGTCTCTCAGCCAACTCCTCAAACGTTCTCGTTCTCGTGGTGACTGGGCGTTGTGGCGTTGGTGCAACGATCTTCTTAGGAGGAAGAATCATGACGGGAGGTTCGCGCTCCGGCTGAGGCGCAGGCGGATATAGATACGCATTCGTACCTGCAGAAGTGGATCGTCGGTGCATTTTCCTTGCTATCGGAACGTCTTCACTGGAATCTGTTGCGCCTCCGCTTCCACTGGGTCCCGCATATCCAAGCGAAGTCTCCCTTCTCTTCCTGTCCTTGAGGGCTTCTGCAACCGCAGGCGACATCTGTATTTTTGTAACACCGATCGGTGGCGTGACGCCTCGCGGAGGTTGTAGTAGTTTCCGGTCTTGAACATACGCGTCCCAATCTGGATCCCTGAGTGGTACGCTAGTCGGCCGACTTATACTTTCCCCAAGTATTTCCGATCCTAGATAGTCCAGAGACCGTACCCTGCCTCTCGGTGCGGGTTCTCGAGGAGGCCTTGAATGTGACGGAGCAGGAAGCAATAAGGAAGTCGCGGCGTCATACGCTCTGATACTCGGTCCCCTTGAGTTGGAAGCACTTGTCGTAGGTGTCTCCCCTCTCAGTGCCTCGATTGATTTCCGAATGTTCTCAATTTCGGCAACCAAATCCTCCTTCTTCTTCATAGCCTCCAGTTGTGCGGCCGACAGCTGTTTCTTGGGCACTTTGTCGGTAGCGGGGGAGGCGGGAGAGACATCCTTTGTGATAAATGACGTCGGTACATCATTCTCGATTCCAAGACCTAGATCAAGTGCCGGCAGCGCACCAGGGCCTTGCAGACTACGCGAGGTTGCGCGGCGCAGTTCATCTTCTGGGATGGGTGCAGTCATGAAGTCTGATACACCGCTTTGGTATCGTTGCCTGACTGCGTCCTGGTAATCCACCGAACGACCATCAGGCGTCACCGGTGAAGACGACCCGTCCTGATCCTTCATGAGTGGCATACTCGAATACCCACTCTCTACCCGTCCATGCCCATGTTCTTTCTCCCATTGAGCCCTTTCACGTAGCACAACATTGAACCGCCCAGCCGCATTCTGCTCTGCATCGGCATTTTGCTTCTGTTGTTCCTGAGAGATTTCCTTCAGCTTGTGTTGCAACACGCTGAGAATTCTCAACTGCACAGCCGCCCCCATGAGCGCCACCGCCCCAAGCAGGCCAAGCTCGATCTGAATCGTCTGCGAGACCGGGTACCGAATGCCGTTGTCCTGAAATTTCGGAAATAGAGAACGAAAGCCCAGATTCCATACATAGAACTACACAGCGTAAATGTAGAGCCTTAGAAACACTATTCGGCAATGGACGGAAGTAATTTAGACTTGCCTCTTTTAGTCCCGCGGTAGTATAACAATCAACGCCTAGCATCAAAGCGGAAGCACCCACGAAAGCCGTGGAAATAAGGACTATATGGTAGTGGATCTAAAAAAAGTGACAAGGTAAGGCTCACGATCGAGCGGTTACGGCGTGTAATAAAACGTACCTTCGGGATCGTAGACAGGACAAAGCCAATTACAGCGCACCCTGTTTCATCCGTCAGTCGCGAGGCGGCCAAAGACAGAAATGACAGACCTATGTAGAGTATCCAGCGAAGTCCCACAGAACTGATGAGACCGCCATTGCGGAAGCATTGTATCCACCAAGAGAATGCCAGACCACCCCATGCACCAATGCAGTACCTCGCTGCCTTCCAGAAGAATATAGCAATAGCACCTCCGGCAATACCGGCTACTGAGCAAGCAAGGACGAACATGCCACGAACTGTCTCGGTGGGAGGATTCACGGCTTCGAGGACACCAAACCTGATGATCAGGACGAAGCAGACGAGCGACAAGGTATAGAAACCGATAAGGAAAAAGGATGACCTGTGTACGTATTGTGAGTAAGAACAGTAGACTGAGACAGCAGGACGTACCAGCGGTTTTTGTGGCCCCAGAAAGCAGAAGGAAGACCGGTGAGGATAAGAATGGCACCCAACACTCCAAAAGCGGGGTCTAGTTTGGTATCAAGGGTTATAGGCGTTGCTGAGGCTGAAGCCGAGGCGCTAGCGCTTGACGCAGCAGAAGATGACGCTGAAGAAGAGGTGGGTGTAGCGGTATATGTAACGTTAAAGGTCGTAGGAACAACTGTCGTATACTGTGAGTTTTGGCCATTAGTGCTTGTTGAGGTCGTGATAGTCCTGGAGCTCGTTGTGAGCGAGAGAGAAAGTGATGCAGAAGATGCTGATGCTGATGCCGACGACGACGCCGCCGATGATGATCCGGACGAGGAAGACCGGGACGTCGAAGCAGATGTCTGGGTCGAGCTTGAGGACGTCGAGCTATTATTACCATCCTGAGCGACGACAGCGACAACGATGAAGGCGGCCCCAAGCAAGGCGCTGACTGGCCACCGCATCGTCAGAGGGAAAAGAGAGAATGAAAGGTGACAGAGTGATGGTCGTCGAAGGTGAAGAGAAGCAATGAGCTAGAACGACACCGGCTGACCGGCCACTTGATTCCGTCACTTGCCACCTGCCGGAAAAGACAAGCACATCTGAAGATAATCAATTCGGCGATATTTATAAAATATATAACTATTCTGATTCCTGCATCAGAAAATAACTGGCATCTATCATTTTCGGGGTATCCTCAGCCTTGCTGCCGCATGATGAAATGTGTGGTGGGTATACGGTCCTGATACGTACTTGTATGATGCCCAATATTTTGGTATCGCTCCGTAGCAAAAAAATTAAAAATATAACATAAAAATGAATGTTTTGGAAACCAGGTCGAACATTGGTTGTCTAGAGCAACGGACGGTTTGTGACTGACACAGTTAGCAACCTTCATGCCCTGATCGACTCATCATGACGAACCCCAGCCTCCTCGACAACCCGTCCCGTTTCAATTTCAATCGAAATATTCGAACCTGTCAGGGCTGCATCCTATACTCTTCAGTATCGACATCATCTTGGCGTCCTCTTTTCCTCCCGTTCTTCGTCCGTCCTTCGTTTCCGTGCCGGCCACCGGTCCCCTTTCCACCAGCGTTATCACCCTACCCCCACGTCCGAATCGCCCCACTCGTCCTGCAATATGTAGGTACTCGTCCACCGTCTGACCGCTCATTTTGCCCTGGAAAAATTCCATGATGAACACGTGTGTGAGTTCCGGAAAATCTATTCCTCGCGTCATCGCCCGTGTGCACACTAAGAGGGTCGGGTTCGCTTTGAATTCGCTCGTATCGCCGTAGCTCAATAGATGAGCACCGCCTCGCTCCATCTTCGCCACATCTAGAGCAACAGCATTCACACCCATGCTCCGCAGGTCGTATACAGCACGCTGCACGGACGCTTCTGGACGTATAACAAGCAACGCGACAGAAGGGACATCGAGTGCAAACGCCACAGCCACAGCTTCCAAGGCATTGGGATTAAACGGAGAAGGTTTACCCTCATAAGCTACAAATTGTATCATCAGTAAAATTCCACATATCACTGATGTAAAAACCTACCGCTTCGCTGTTCAGCGCTGACATCAACAACTACCGGCTGACCTTCGCTATTCTCGGCTAACTTCCTCGTTGCATCACGATCTCCTTCAGGAGTCGTCGGAACAGCTTCCTCGATATTCGTAACCTTTACCCCAGATACCACGAGCACTGAATGCTTGACGTCTTTACCTCCAAGCCCACTATGTGGAGCTACGGCCTTCGGCGATCCATGCACGATGATTGTATTCTTCTTCCTCATCCACCCACTTTCATAGAACAAGTGGCTTGAAAGATGTTTCCGAACACTTGCGCTAGAGACCACCAGCTGTGGCGTATGGTAAGGCTCATTCACAAGTTCTTCCCGGTTCTCCTCGGACATCTTCTTCCGCTGTGAGTAGATGATGTCAAGTAGCTCCTTGGTCACCCCAGGATGTCGTGCAAGCTTCGCCTGCCGTTTCTGAATCGTCTTCCAATACGTGGTTTCCTCTGATTTGTGCGGCATGGTTTCCACGAGGTAGTCAATCTCATCCACTACTACAGTAGAGAGTTCCATGAATGGAAGGGCTTCCGGTTCTTGGCGATATACATCCATCACCGCCTGTGGCGTTGCAATAAGAATATGTGGTGGGTTTGAGCGTAAGGCAGTCAAACCAGAGTCAAGGTGCATTTTTCCATCTCGAACGAGGACTTGGGCAATAGCTGAGATTGAGGGAGTGCCAGGGGAGGTGGTAGACGCGGCATTTGATATACATTGAACCCAGTGGTATAATTGGAATGCCAAATCACGGTGGGGGACAATGAACAGCGACGTGATGGACAAGCTTTCGCGTACAAGTCCGGTTTCCTTATTCTTATATCGTAGGCGAGGTTTGTTGAGGAGAGAGAGCAAGAGACCAAAGGACCTGAGAAAGGGATTATGAATGGATATTGGTCAAGAGAGCGACGCGACGCACTTTCCAGACCCTGTGTCATCAGTGACAAGGACATCCATATCACTCAGAACTGCTGGAATGAGTCTCGTTTGCGCATCTGTTGGATCCCGAACATTGGGAAAGGCTGCATGCATGGCATTTACGACAGAGGGTCGTAGTCCCAAAGACTCGAACGTGATAGCAGGAGGGCCATCGGGTATTTGTTTCGAAGATGCAGATGCAATTTCTTCAGCACTGCGACTCATGTAACGACAGTTCCATGGGTACTGTCGAGTCCATCGTTGGCACACTGTTGTGGTCCGCCGAGAAAGATTCATGGGTCACATGATACAGCGAACCGACATTTTCGGCATTAGCCGTAGCGGCTAGTCTCGAGCAAATACTTACGAACCATAGCTTCAGCGTGGCTCAACACAGATCTTCCCAACATGAATACAATAACAAAATAGTTCGTTCGAGATATAGAAGACATTATAACTATGCATGTACAATGTGTATGTTAGCAGCGTCGCAATATACGCTGCTCCCAACATTAGCACCGTTCCCAAAAATGTTGTGGGAACGACATACGCTTCCATAATGCTACAACAGGTGATTAGGAAATTGGCCGTATGGAATAGGTGTAAGCTGTATCCTATGTAGTTGTTGCTGAGGAAATTCCTTCATTGCGGCGCTTGAACATTCTGCTGATCCAGCCAGCACTGGAACGGCGTCGCCTGGGTCCTGATTGGTTAATCGCTTGATTATTAGTGGGCAGCCCGTCCCCAAGGAGGGATGTAGTTTCATCATAAGAGTCGTCATCATCCTCGTTATCCAGGCGTTCCTCGAGTTCCTCTGCGAAACAATGATCCATGGATGAAAACAGCAAGATACGTATCTGCATACCTTCTCCGAACACAGTATCCATCTCTTCTAGAGGTACACCCTTGGTTTCCGGATAAACTGTAAAAAAAAGCATCTGACTTAACTTCTACATCATAGTCTGGCGATACACGTACGGAAATAAACTGTACATGTGCCGTCAGTGTCATCATTCACTCTGACAAAGAAAAAATATCCCTACCCAAAACGAAACTGCAGACACAGTAGAATCCATGCATGGGGTACAATCGCCATTCTATATATTCTTGAAGGAACGGAGTGGTTTCGCCAACCAAAAAGTTGAAAGCCCAATTGGTACTAGTCGACAACGAGACACCTTTCGCACGAATGGTCAGAGGCATGATCTATGGATCTGTGAGATTATGAGAAACAGCAGTAATGGAATTATTCGGACCTCGGGGGGATACAACCAGGGTAGGGGCCCCCAGCTGGCCAGATACATTAGCCTAGGTTCCTTGAAACACTAGTCACATGAAGCGCACCTATATCCAAAGGCCGCATTGTAGATGATCACGCAGATTACGACCGCGTTAGCTGTTTGTGGAACATCAACGTACATCCACCATCCAGTGGCTCCCAAAGCGATGGCCATCTGACTGGGAGTCAGAACAAACAGGTTTACCAAGAAGAGAGCACCTACAATAACAGCTCCAGATAAGAGAATCGCACGTCGACCCCATCGATCAACCAAGTACCATCTAGAGATGATAAGTTCATATCACGAGCGACAAGGAAACAACGAACGGAGGCAGAGTACTAAGAACGTAGACGAGAGAGTTGATACCAGTCATAAGTATGGCATCTCGACCGATCCAACCGGCCTCTGTTAGATGTGTTATTCCTAGTTAAGAAATTGCAGCTCCTAGTGCGGCATACCTTCGAATACTCGTGCTAAGAGATCATCGTCAGATTTAAAATGTGCAACTGTGGGAGGACAGACATACGGGCATAGTAAGAGATCACTGCGATCCAGATGTCAGTCCGTTAGAATATATTTTACGACACAGCCATGCTTACCATTGATACCGTTCTGTGAGACGTGTCAGTGGGCTTCCTTTGACATGAAATGATGAATGCCTACAAGCTGAGCAAAAGCCTGAGAAGACATAGCTAATAGAACGCGTCTTTTGTATCTACGCCACATAACCGCATACGATCGAGCTTCTCCGGAAGCACGCTACAGGAACAATTGAGCGTTATGGTGGAGCTGGATACCAGGAAGACAGACCTCCTCCATAACTTTGTCTTTGATTTCTTGGAACTCGGCAAGAGCAACACGATTCTGCATATTTCCGCCATGAAGATCGGCGATGACTCTCATACCCTCATCATCCTGATCAGTGTCAATAAGCCACCTTATTGGCCAGGTTAGTTAAATGCAGGAACCAAAGGACAGAGAAGCAAACCTTGGGCTTTCGGGCATTACAAGGCTCCCAGCCGCAAGAATGCCCCCTATTACACATTGCATAAACAAGGGTATGCGCCAGGAAAGATCGGAATCGATGTACGAGCAAAAGTAATCGACCCACTAAAAAAATTGAACTTTTGTAGCAACAAACAAGTAAACGGCACATACAACTGAAGACGAGTAGCCAATGATGTTTCCGGTGAACTCCATACATGCCAAGGCGCCTCTCTACACCGACATTAGTCAAACGCGTGTAGGTCGGAAGGTATCAAAACGTACATGATCCGGAGGGGAGATTTCGCTCTGGTAGATAGGTACAATGGTGCTGTTGGACGTGATGAGCGCACAAAGTCCGGGTAGTGGAGATGAGATGAGCTCACGAAAGAAGGCCTACTCCAAAGCCACTAACAACGCGTCCCACAATCATAATCCAGAAGCCTGTAGTAAAAGTCTGGATGGCACCTCCAATAGTAAAGACAACGGCGCCGATGAAGAGGGTTCCTTTGCGACCCATAAGGTCGCCAATCTTGCCAGCGGCGACAGAAGTGACTGAGAACCTGCTAAGTAACAGAAATATATTCTGCATCGGAAAATCATACTGAAAGCGCCGACTTCAAGGACGGCCACCATTGTGCCGATTTGAACAGCATCTGGATTGTTGAAGAACTTGCGGAAGTGAGGGCCGGTGATTACGCCACTCATGACACTGAACGGCAATGAGCGACAGAGAGCTTTTTGCGGCTAAGTACATACCCTTGATCATATCCAAACTGTAGGGGAGGAATGAGCGATAATAGCTATTGGACATTGAGCAGAGAAGACTGACGAGGAATACTCCGAGACTGGCGAATATGGAAATCGCATAGAGCAAGGGCTGGCCCACGAGCCGGTTGCGAGGTCGGTCTTGTGCTGTCGTCGTATTGGCCATGATGCATGGATGAGACGATGAAAGAGAGAGAGAAAGAGTACGTCGCGGTAACTATAAGAGACGGGAGACCGTGGAGCCTGCTGGCAGCTGGTCGCAAATAAGGCAGCACTGCCAGCAGGCGACTTTATCAAATTGTCGTCATTTCCGCTTGGCTTGATCACCTGTTCTCTACCACCACGGACCTCACCTAACCATGTCGGACACTGTTTCCGACGTCTCTCTCGACGACCTCTCAGAGCGTTCGTACGGTTCAGACGATTACCAGCTCGCCCAGCAGGAGTGGGAGGAGAGCATCTACCAGCTCCAACAGCTTTTTTCCATCGTACTACTCCCTCTTCTGGGTAAATATCTTGGAAGAAGATGGAGTTACTGGGGTCAGCTGATTTGAACTTCCTTGCTGCTGCATTCCGTTCATCTTTTCCTTCCAGCTTATTCGCGCTACATTGGCGTAGGACTACGAGGTAGATAATCATGTCACATTGGGCTACCTATCTGAGAAGGTAAATACTGTTTTTCCCTCAATGAACTCCGTATCTTATTCATCAACCGTGCCGTCGAAGGGATAGGCTTCATCCCAAATGTCTCCATATCCCGCATTATCTTCGCCGCATGTACATACTCTCCCTTGGCAAACAGTTCTTGTAAAAGTAGCAGAACCACCTTCGACGTCACTGGCACATTTCGCCGAACCATCTCCTGGTATAGCGACATCGCCATCGTCACCCCGTTCGGATACTCGTCCATCAGCGCAACGCGAATCAAGACGTGGTACAGAGGGATGTTCAGCAGCACCTTCCTCTTCTTCATCCGTTCAATAACATCGCGCGTGATCGCGATACCGGTCTTCGGAGGAAGCCACGGATCTCTCCACAGTTCAACCAAGATTGCCTGGTAGATCTTGACTGTAGGCGGAAATGGTATCTTCCCCGACTCCATTTCTTCCAATATCTTCAAAACAGCCCGTACATGCTGTTCATTGTGCTCCCTCAGCAACTCGACTATGATCGTCCCATAGATAACAATATTAGGCTCTAACCCTTGCTTGTGCATGAGATTGAAAACAATGTTCGTCGCATCTGCTTTGCCTATCTTGAGCAGCGCCGACAGAAGAATGGAATAACTGAAGACATCCGCGCTAAGGCCGACGGTCGACATCCGGTTGATGATGATGGAGAGTGCCTTCAAGTCCACTCGACGACCGAAATATGCCAGGAATGTGTTGTATGAGACGATGTCAGGTACCGGACCAACCCGTTTGTCCTTCTTGTTTTCTTCCATGCGCTCCAGAATAGAAAGCGCCTCGTCGAGACGATCCGCGGCGAGAAGCCCGTGGATATATGTGTTGTAGACAACTAACGACCTCTCCGGCTCCGTCGTTGCCTCGAGATCTGACTGAAATTGTCTGAACAGCCGAATTGCTTCATCAATCTGACGACCTTCCAACGCAGCCGATATGACGGCCCGGTAGGTGAGTGCGTCTGGCTTTACGCCTTTAGCCTCCATCATCCTCCACACATTCAGTGCATTGTCCATATGTCGGGACTCTGTGTAGGAATCTATGAGACCAGTCCACAGTGAAACGGGGTGTTTTATCCCACATCGCGAGACGTCTCCCCACACCTCATCAGCGCTCAGGTGGCCACCTCTGCTTTGCAGAAAACTAGTGAGGAAGGCTGTCCATATGCGGTCGGACATAGCGATGAGACGAGTTCCCCCAAGCTGAGATGCGTCTCCCGCGATAAATGGATTTGCCCCAAATAACCCATCTCTAACGCGATTGTAAATGCTTTGTATGGTTTGGAAGCCACCTGTGGAAACAAGTTGTTGCAATTGAATGGTCAAGGGGGTGGTCTGATGGATTTTACGCGCAATGTCCAGTCGTCGAACCCATGAGAGCAATTTCTCGCGAAATGCGTCGTCGGCGATGTGGGATAGGTAGTCCTTGACTGTATAATCATGGAATCGGATAAGAGTTTGACAGTACGCTTCGTACGCAGCTGCGAAATCGTCTCGCATTGCCTGAGCCGCAACGAAAGAGAGTAGAATTGAGACCCGACCCGGAACGAGCGAACTCGCCGATTCCGTACGGGCAGCTGAACTGGACGTAAACGAAAAAACGTCAAAGTCCAACACATCCACGTCTCCCTCATCAGCTTGTAGGTCGTCCGTCTCGCCTAGCATCTCGCGGAACCTGGTGTAGAGGCGGATGACAGGTTTGGGCTCCCTTCTGGATATGTAGAAGCTCATACAAGCAGCCAGGGCGGCGGGGCCACGCGAACAGGCCGCTGCTAACGAGACTTCCTCAACAAGCTGTCGTGTCGTTGTATCCAGCACGTCGGTGGCGTTCTTGGGTATATAGTGAGCGACGAAAAGATTTGAGATGCGAGCAAAATCTGCAGGAGCGAGGTGTCGATGAAGATCGCGCTCCTTGAGCTCATTCCAGCACTTTTTCACCGCCTCTACATCCTCCTTCCCTAGGGCTTTCTGGATACGACCCAGAATATCCTTGTATATGTCCGCATTGTGATATGGGAACTGTTTGCCATGAGCATTGGCTCCGTGATTTTCAAGGATGTCAGTTGCATCTTGTTGAATTTTATGGTTGGGAAGCTTGAGGCTATAATGACGGACTGGAGCAAGGAGTCGAGGAGCGAGGAAGTCGAGGAGAACGAGAGACCTCGACGCACAAAGGCGTAGCATGAAGCAGAGGCTAAAATATGTAAACAAACAAAATCAAGTTCTCTTCTTGACTGTCATCATGGGCCACGGAAATTCTGACAAGCTCTATATCACCCATGCTGAGCATGCTGGTATGTTTGGCTCCCATTCGGCCTCTACAGGCTTCCAGGCGTACGTCTGTAACCAACTGTATTCTGTCTGGATCCTCATGCATTCAAGTGTAGCAAGCAAGAGGCACCTCATCCTGGAGCAAGGACACCTTTCGACTGCTGTGCTCTTTCTTTCCAGCCATTCAGTCATCCTGTTTGTGCTCGAAATTCAGACGGTACTGGCCATGTGTTTGACTTGGTGAATATCATTCCCTGGCTCAAGTGAGTGGTATTATTCCGAATCTACTCCAACCTCTGACATACCTAGACAACACAACAACACCAATCCCATAACAAAAGAACCTTTGACGCCCTCTGATCTCATTACGCTGCATTATTCCCGTAAGGAGGCATCAGGAGAGATACACGACCCCATATCCTTCAAGCCTTTCAGCGAGCATTCTCACATTGTGGCTATTGCGACCACCGGGAACGTGTTTCTGGCGGAGAGCATCAAGGGTGGCAAGGATCTTGTCAACGACATTCCCTTCAAGAAGTAAGCGCTACTTCCATTCTGACCACAAACGCGTCTCACCGGAGCAGAGCAGACGTCATAACGCTGCAGAACCCTCATGGACTACCCCCGGCGTCTGTGCCAAGTAAAGTCGCATCAGCTTCTGCACCCACAAAGACTGTTGCTGCGAAGGCACCCGCCAACGCTGTGCCAGTCAAGACCAAGGAACCGGTACCTTGTACGCGTTCCTCCAATTCAACACAACTAAAGGTTAACATCTAAACCTAGGGAATATCTCACCTTATTCGAGCGGTCTTCCTGGCGCGTCTCTAACCTCCACTTCTGTTGACCCTCAGACTGGTCCAACAAACCTCGTGTGGGATGAGGTATGTGACCATCATTCACAACCATTACCTTGTATCACTGATCTGTCTCTTAGGAAGAATTGATGTTCGAAAGCATATCAAACCCACCCAAAAACAAGGGTAAAGAAAAAGACGTGGGTAAACGTCGAGCGTATGTGCGTGTCGTGACAAGTTTGGGTGGTACCAGTTTGAATTTAGAGTTGTATTGCGAAAAAGTAAGACTTGTTCATTTGCACGCCGACCCTAACCCTTTATCTTCTTAGGCCCCAAAAACATGCTATAACTTCCTGATGCTCGCGAGGGCAGGAAAATATAATAACTGTCTATTTCACCGTTTGGTCCCAGGTTTCATGGTACGTCCTCCCTCATCTTCTAATGTATGTAATGTCAACTTATTCCTTCAGATACAAACTGGTGATCCCACTGGCACGGGTTCTGGGGGAGAATCGTACTGGGGTACTCCGTTTCGTGATGAATATGACTTGAAGGGGGCGGCAAGACATGATGGACGCGGCGTTGTAGCTATGGCTAACAAAGGTGCGTTCTACGTTAATGTCCGTTATAGTTTAACTAAACAAACTCAAGGTGCTGGAACCAATGGGTAAACGTTCATCATTTATCCTTTTCAAAATCAACTGAAGTAATTACAGTTCCCAATTTTATGTGACTTTCAAAGCTGCACCCCATCTTGATAAAAAGCATACCGTTTTTGGGCGACTGGTTGGCGGAGAAGACGTTCTTGACGCCTTAGAGCGTCTACCGCGCAAAGAGGGTACCGAAAGACCTGCTAAGCCCGTGCGGATAACGGAAGTCGTCATGTACGTCTTTATCACTCCTCATCGGATATTTGTTAATAATATGTGATGGTTGCACAGCTACCAAGACCCTTTTGAGGAGTACAAAACGCGGCTGGCGAAGAAGTTGGCTAAACGCGCTGAAACAGAGCAAAATGGGAATTCACAAAAAGCCCCAGAGAAGAAAGAGGGTGATGATGTTAACTGGTTTGGCACGCGAGTAGGTACGAATAGTACTATCTTTGGGTCTGGGGGTGGGACGGGCGTCGGGAAGTATCTGAACTCGGCGAAGAGACCAAGTGAAACCCTAGGCAGCGGTGGCGGCGGCACAGAGGAGGTGAAGAAGAAGCGCAAGATTGGCTTCGGGAATTTCGAGGGTTGGTGAGTGTTATGGGTGTCCTGTGTAAGATAGGTATGGATTATTTACAGGGTGTACATGTATGGTATGCATATTATACATTGTCGTGAAATCGTTATGATGGCACCAGTACCTTGTCGCGCTCCTCTGCTGGCCGACGATCTGTGAAGAGCGTGAGTATGAGATTCCTTGGAACAAGACAGTACAAACCTTCGGAAATGGGCTGAGCTGGTTCTGTTGTTGGTGCATCGGGAAGAGCGGCTGGTGGCGTCTCTTGGGGTACTCCCAGCTGAACAATCAGTGAGTTTACAGATGTGTATGTGATATGTTGCGATGGAACGTACTGCTTCTGCTTGTAGTTCAAGAAGCTCGGCCTGCACAGCGTCTTCGTCGTCTAATGAGAGTTCATTTACCAACAGTTCTCCGATTTCCTGGGTAACCCGTTATGATCACGTAGCGAAGGAATGGCATATTCAACGCACCCTTTGATACTCCCTAGCTTCATGAGACTCTTCTAAGAGCTTCTCCACCTGTTCGACGTTGAGCTCTTTGTGGATCTCCTTCAGAACGTCGTTGCCTTGCTTCAGACCATGCACGACGGAGACCTCGATGAGAGAGAATTCTATTGAAGATACCTGGATTTAGGGTGAATGTGTATGAATGCGTAGAGAAGCAGAGGATCCGTACCAGCTGTTCCAAGTTCTCTAGTTGCCCATCGGTCTTCAACAGCAAACTCTGCTGGTACTTTCTGCGTCGTAATGCAACGACAGCTCGATCCTTGCGACCCGTTGCTAGATGTTCCTTCGCTATAGCCTGCTCCCTGTCCAAAATGACCTGGATCTTGAGCGCAAGTCAGTACATACGGCGACTGATAGCGCGGCAAAACAACCTTCTTCTGATACTGCCTCAATTTGTCCCGCTGGAGCTTGAGACTGCGATAATGAGAGGTCGATAGCAAGAGAAAGAAATGAACATACTCAAGAATGGCACGGTCCTGCGGCGTTATCTTGGGGAGGGACTGGCTTGTACCCATATCAAGAGGAGAGAGGCGTCATCATGATGGTGCATGACAAATCGAGGCGATCCCTGGTATCGACCTCTGACTTCACTTGTCTTCTTACCACCACGTCCACATCGACGCGTTATTCGTCGCCTACCGCTTCGTTTACGTGCCTACAGCACCTAAGTCATCTGGACGTCGCCTGGATCTGACGACTATTGCTGGCTTGGCATGCCTTTGAGCCTCGTCGTCAATGCTTATTCGACTCCTGGGGCCTGCTAGAAAAGTCACTGCAAAGAGTGGGGCATCGTTAGTCCGGAAATACCATGATTACTTCCGAGCTGCCACCCCAGGTGCAATATACGATGTCGCCCCTTACTGGTTCTGACATATTGTAAGGTGGTGTTATTCGTATCCCTCTGGGCTCCCCCAAGGTAATCGGAGTCGCTTCTTCCAGAGGGACAAGAAGGTATGTCTCTGCTGCAGCTTGTGAACATTCCTAACAGTACTTTAGTCATCAAGAGGATTTCTATTCGTTCGCTACATTGACTCTCGATCCAGAAGAGCTTCGTTCAAGCCTCAAAAGGTTCCAGAAAGTTGATTGGGATCCGAACACGATAGGGAAACCATTTAACAGTCAAATTGCTTTCATTGGCATTTATGATGGGTGCGTAGCCAGATTACATTGCATGCAATGTTACCAATCAGGTTTAGTCATGGTGGATCTGCGGTTTCCCAGTATCTCCGTCAAGAGCTTCACGGATTATTTGAATCAGTCAAGAAGTCGGACATTCCCGAACTATATGCCTGGATCCATGAACTAGGTGGCTATTTTAAACGATTCAAGGGAGGCGCTCTTCAGCCATGGATTCACGACCCCAATAATCCTCATGTTTATGACCTTGAGGCTCGCGCCACACAGGCTTTTTTTGAAGTAAATCTCTCTCTCTCCATCTACTACCTCGCCTAGATATTTCTCATAGGTCGATCGCAATATGTCTATCGGTGAAGTAGCGCAAACATGCGGTGCCACTGCTTCAGTTGCTCTTCTTCAGTCTCTTGATGTCACGGCCACGGCTCCATTCTCTGCAAAAACAGTCGCCCTAACAGTCGCTCACTGCGGGTCAGTATGGACTCGCTATACTTCTCGTTTTCAGGTATTGACAGTTTACAGGGACACGCGGATACTACTCTGTTCCACAGACAGTGCCAAGGTGTTCCGAATGACTGATAAGCATCATGCAGATGCTAGGGTTGAATCTATACGTCTTCGACGCATGATGGGCTCGTCTTTGATCACGGACTCATTTGGAGAGTCACGGTATGTCATTTACTCATTTTATATGTCAAATACGTCAAATATATCATCTATTCAGATGGATGGGTGCTCTTGAAAACACACGCGGGTAAGTCCCATCCTAATCCTTCAAATGTCACATATACTTATCCATATGTTCAAGATTGGGTGATTTACAATTCAAGAAATTCGGTGTTACTCCGGAACCAGAAATCAGAACGAAGCTCTTGGAAGGTTGTCATGCTCCCCGTCTTGCTTATCAATCGCTCACTCTGGTTTGTTACAGGAAACAAATGGGCTTACATGGTTCTTGTTTCAGATGGCGTTTCGTCGATACTTTCAGACGATGAAGTTGCGGATTTGGCAAGGGGCTCTCCAGACCCAAAGACCGCCGCTGAGCGTATTTTGGCATTCGTGGAAGAATTAGGCGGCGAGGACAATGCTACGGCACTTGTAGTTCCTTTGGCAGGATGGGGCAAGATCACTGGGCCAGACAGAACCAAATCTCTTCGAGAGTATAGAAGGGAGCAGGCCAGTGCGTGATTCTTTTTACAGGCGAGACGTCGTGCGACTGACGATTCCTATATAGTTGGAAGTGAACGTCATAGAAAAATGTAACTCGCGCTGTTACCTTGCTCTGGCATTTTCTTTAGTTAGACCTGTAGCCGGTCACCTTTGGTATCAAGCTAGCGATATCCACGACATAGACGATACGTCGTCGAAAAAGTCTTTCGCCAGGTGCAGAAACCCGTCATACAACATTTTTGTTTAGCTAAAATGATACAAATTGTTGCTCCGATGTTGTGCGCATTAGCCGTTACAGAGTATAGATAGCGCTTTGACTGGTGACCGTCCTTTTAGCCAGCCTTGTCTTAAAAGCAAGATAGTTTGCAGTGCAGGAAGCATGCCAATTGTTAGCTGAGCTTTCTATCAGGGTCACGTCGTACGCTTGTCTTTTGGTATCCTTGTGAATGTCGCTGGACTGAGTGAAGCGAATGATACCATGGTCCCCTATCTCTCAGCAATTGTAAACTTCCAACTCTTAGTTTGACCAACAAATGATGTCTGATATCAGATGCCAGTAACTCCGTAACTACGCCACTATACATGGTTCAGGAAAAGAGTTTACAGTTTATATACATATTTACATCTCATATCTGTGCTCCAGCATGACCATCGGCTCGAGGATCAGAACCGGCCGCCCATACTAACCTGCCAGATGGATCCTCGAGCTTCTGTATGACCTGACCTCGACCTAGCATCGCTCTTCCGAATCCAGTAACTTGTCGCGCGTCATGTCCCATTTCTTAACCGGAGCAGTGAGTAAATACCCAAGCGAGGACATGCAAAACTTACCTCTTAAAGCCGCGATAGTCTCGAGTGGGATACCTTCCTCGAAATAAACCTCGCTATTGATGTCTCCCGCATTTCCTGTTTCTTGAGTCTGTGTGTCTGGACTGCCAGCTGATATACAGAATCGTGGAGCGTCCAGTGCTTCTTGAGGGGTATACCCACGCAATATGTTCAAGAGTACCTGGACATGGCCTTGGGGCTAGCAATGGATCTCTCGTGAATGACAACGATGTATACGTAAAACGTTACTCGCCTGCATGAAACCGCCCATGACACCAAAGCTCAGGAATAGTTCGTCGCCCTTGGTGACCATGCATGGTATGATGGTATGGTATGGTCGTTTCCCGCCCTGTCATCCATCAGACTCGCATTCGCACTCGCAATGATGCATACCTGTAAGGCATTGGGGTGGTCCTTCTGCAACACGAAACCACTGCCTCTATTCTGTAGCGTGAAACCACAGCCTTTGGGAACAGCTTCGCGATGCGGATTAATTACGTGCTATAACGACGAGGTGTAGATGGTTGTTACCTCCTGTCCCGAATCCTAGAGTGAGCGTCAATTAGATTCATGTGTTTCACTATTACCACGACAATACTGTACCAGCGTAATTGCTTTGAATAAAGCTGCACGCGTTTCCCCATTGATCGGTAACTTTATGCAGATGAGTATAGCTTCGCAATGTTGCAAAACGAGACAGACATACCAGAGAAGTAAACCGTATCCGAAGATATAAATGGGTCCCCCTGCATGCAATATGCGGTTTGCTTGGGAGTGAAAACAGTATTGAGCTGGTACATACGTGCACAACTTTCGGATTAGTCTTCTTGGGATCAATAAGCTTAGCTCTTGACGCAAGATAATCCTATCAAAACTCATCGGTACATACCAAGTGATCATAGAAAATTCACGAACTTTGCTCAATAATTCTGTCGTAGGGATGTGTCGTGTATCTGGATCAGTCACATACCACTGACTGTCTAATCTGACATCAACGGTCGCCAGCACCAGCTAGCTGTGAGAAGCTGACCTGCAAAAGCGAGTCTAGGTATGGAAGTGAATATTCATATCGTTGCGATAAAAAGGAAGAGATACAAACCGCAAAGCTTCGACGAGTACGTGCAAGTACTCAGGAGAATCATGTTCCATCTCTGACAAAGGCTTGACAACGCCTTGCTCTTGTAAGCTTTCCAAGACACCAAGAGCAATTAGAGCCGTTAATCCTGTAAGACTAGGATATCAAGACACATATGAAGTGAGGAAAAAGGAGCTATTCACCTTGCCCGTTGGGTGGGCACTAGGATAAGGATGCATTAGGTGTCTTCACGAGAAACCAATAAATTTATTACCTCGTAGACCGAAACTTCATTGGCGTAGGTGTATTTCAATGGTTCAACAAACGAAGTCTCGTGTTTGGCAAGATCATCAAGTTTCATTAGCCCTCCTTGACTTTGGATCAATTCTACAATGGCCGAAGCAACTCTCCCTTTGTAAAAGCCATCTTTTCCATGGGTGGCAACTTCGCGAAATGTTTTGGCGAGATTAGGGAGAGTGACAACTTGACCTGGAAGTGGTGCTTTCCCGTTCAAAAGCATCTCATCACCATTTGGAGACGCGTTCTTGATGAGGTTCTAATCATTGCAAATGAGCTTGCATAACGATTACAGGCAGTACAAGTCATACCTCAGATCTCTGCCACTACATACACCGTCATTCCACTGAAATTTATATTACATGATTTTCACTTACGCCGTGGCTGTGGATCTCGGAAACAGGGACCCTGGAAACAATGTCAGAAGATAGAGGACGGAAGGATCACACACTTACCCTTCCTCTGCGAGTCTAATGGCAGGTTCTAGGACGTCCGCTAAGGTAAGCTTTCCGCTCCCAAGGGTCTCTACAGTATCAACCCATGCGGCGGCAGCACCTGCATTTCATGTCAGGACTAGCTGATATTTTGGTGCGCGACGGAAATTCACCGGGAACGGTTACAGAGTTGATATCGGAGGCGGGTATACGCCCAGTCAGCCCTCGCTGTTGTACATATTCCAGTGTGAGTTTCTGAGGAGACCGGCCCGATCCGTTCAAGGCCTTGACTTGCTTGGTTTTCGCATCGTAAAACAAGCAGAACGCATCTCTATCATTCTGGTCAGGTGCTACACTTTCGGATAATATGCGGAATAGTCACCCTCCGATTCCACAGCAGCTGGGTTCAGTTACATTCAAGGCAGCTGAGGTAGCGACGGCCGCGTCCGCTGAATGAGGAGATATTGGTCAGTAATGAGAGGGTATGAGGACAGTGGATCGCACCAGCATTTCCGCCTTTCCTCAGAATCTCCAGCCCAGCCTCAGTAGCTAAAGGTTGCGAGGAAGATACAATACCTTTCGTACCGTATACGACGGAACGGCGACTGGGAAAGCGAGCCAGTACAGTGGAGGGTTTCGCGACCTTGGACCAGTCAATTTTTACAGGGAACGACATTGTGGAACAAAAGACAAGGTGAAGACGGAAGGCCTTTATATTCCGCTCTGCCGGCGGGTAAGACTTGTGATATCCATGGTCGTACCGGTGTGAACATCATTTCTGCGATTTGGTCGAGATAAGATAACGCCTTCCCTTCTTGGGTTTTCATTCCTCGCCATCATGTCTCTTCAAGAAAAGGTGCAGACAGTTGCACAGGAGTTCCAAAAGCTCCAGGCTGATATGGCCAAGGCTGTAGAGGCCAGGGAGAAACTGGGCACTCAGCAATCGGAGAATGAACTCGTGAAGAAAGTCTGTCCATTCCTTGGCGCGAACTGTACTCTGTATGAATGGCCATCTCTTCCAGGAATTCGCCAAACTCGCGCCATCGAATGCGGTATATAAACTCATTGGGCCCGTACTTGTGAAGCAGGACCAGGCAGAGGCAAAGACCAACGTTAATACAAGGCTGGACTTTATCAAGGGCGAAATGTGTGTTCTTACTTGCGTTGCGTTGGCACACCACTGACCTTGCATAGAAAACGAGTCGAGGCCCAGATCCAGGACATAGAGGCCAAGTCGGAGCAGAAGAAAAAAGAGGTATGTGTGGTTCTCATACGGAATTGTCCAATCAACCTTTACATGATTTGCAGTTTGCCGCCGCACAGACCGCTCTCCAACAACAGCAAAGTCCAGTAGCAGCGTAATGCATATACATCTCTCCCTGTAGCACCTCTTCCTGTATCTATACTGCCCGTAATGACACTTTCATCCCATGAGGTGACTGGCACTATGCATTTTTCGAAGGCTGTGATGATGCTTGTTCTACCAAGACATTGGCCTTCTTCAACTCTCGCTCCGCCTCGGGACTCTTCAGTACTGTCTCCAGCTTGAATCGTTTTCTGGCTGACACAGGCGGGCAATTGCGGATGATAACGACGTCGTCCTGGCGTAATTCTTTTCCGAAAGAGCAATGATAAAGTGAACAGCACCTAAACAAAAAAGCGCGACGTACCGTTATTGGGGTCATGTGTAAGATACTTTTTTGTTCGTTCGATAACCTGGCAAGGGTTCAGTCAAAGATACTGGTTCAGAGGCCCAAAAACGCACCTTTCCCGTCACTCGATGGGTCATCCACCTCGACACCGTCACCGTGGCCGTCTTGTTCATGAAGCCGACCTTGGTGACAATTCCCTGCAACGCCATGGGAGGCATGACTGGCCAGTAGTATATGTTCGAAAATGTACAGCGCGACACAAGCGGGAAGAAGATGAATTGGTGTTCACCGGCAACTAAAAAGTTCGCTCGCATCACATAATCGACATTGCATCATCATGTTGTATTCAGCTGTCCAAGTGATTATTTGAGTGGTATGTATATGTAGTGCATCATGAACTATCTACCAGCTAATATAGTGCAAAGATCGTAAATGTGTAAAAATACATAGTTGTGAGGGAAACCAAACTGAGATAGATGTAATAATATATGCTAAAATAAAGTCATGAATCGTGAAGTTCAAGCAGCGGTCTTATCCGACTCTTTTGGACATGTTGCCGGTAGTCTTTTCGTTGGTGCGTACTTGGACTTCATTCGAAGAATATGACCGTATCTATAAGCGTCAGGTAAGTGTCGGTCGACATTGAAATAATATGACAAGCCCTCACTTTATGAATAATAGAGGCAGCGGCACCATAGCGAGCGCGACAAATCCCAAAAGTGATGATGCCCAACGAGGGTTGAGAGCAGTATACATTTGAGTAGCAAATAGCTGTATCAAATATCAGCAATGGTGCTAAACGACGAGTCGGAAGACATCTTACGGGGAAAGCTGCACCAAACAGACTACGACACACAGTGTTCGCAGCAAGTGCCGAAGCAGCAATCATCAAGTACGTATCTGAGAGTGGAGTCAGACGACGCAGGGCAAGAAATCGAATTTGCAACACATACCAATGATGTAGTTGAAGAAACTCAACTGCGCAAGAGTTCAGAGATCGTTAAGCCTCAATCAAATGGCAAACTTACAAATATCCAGCTAATGGAAAAGCCCATAACATATCCGGCCATTAATGGTGCCCAATATGATATCGATGGAAACTGAAATTACATCGGTCAGTAACTTCCCCCGACCGTTTGCACGACAGCTTACCGAGGTCCAACCAAACCAAAAGAATGACGCGGCAAACAGCGGCGATGCGTAAATGGCCATATGCAAACGGTACTCTGGTGCCACGGGATCCGGAGCGCATCGAGCCATTTCCTTCTCGTAACGAGGGTTCCAAATTAAGAGGTACTAAAGGTCAAGCGTTAGAAGAGAACGGAACCAGAGTGTAAGATCAGCGTACCCCGATGACAGCTGTAACACCACCTAACATGATGGGTAAGAACATCAAGCCAGAAACGCCGGCGTTGAAACCGTGACCCTCGGTGAAGACGATGGGATATGCTTCAAAGAGAAGGTAAAGACATCCGTAGACGAACTGCTGACATGTGAGATTAATTTGCGACAAGGGAATCTAGAACGCACGCTAAGATATAGTGTGCTAGCCATAAGCATGGGCTCCTGGAAAAGGATCTTGAAAGGCCTGGCGAGAACGTGCTCAACTTGCTGGGCTAACGTTTTCGTGTCTCTTTCCATTGGCGCATAATATCTATCATCGCCCGTTTCTTTCCTCATTTTCTTCGCCTTTTGGACCAGAAGAACGGGGCTAGTGAAGGCAATTAGTCCTTAGGTACCCGGGTCGAGAAAAAAGGATGCCTACCGATACGTCTCCGGAATTGCCACGATAATTAATATCCAGCAAACTCCAGCCTAGACGCAGTTTAGTCAATGGGCGGCTGTATGTCTGCAATTACTTACGAAGATGGTTAAGACCCAGAAAAGCCAACGCCAGGAGACACCTGTAAGCTCGGTCAGACGGGCCGGCCAGCTTGAATATAATAGCCGTACGTACCTGCTACAGATATAAATCCCGCGACTGTAGGTCCTAAGGCGGGTCCGGCAAACGGAGCTACCGTGAATATGGCAAGAGCCTTTCCCCTGGTTCGGGCATCCCATATATCAGAAATGATGGCCCTAACAAGACGTCAGTCGTGGCTCCAACGCGCAGATCGTAGGAGCATACCCAGAATTCGTCAAAGGACAGGCAGCGAAGGTTCCTCCTATAAAGCGGAAAACGAGCAGCGAGGCGGTATTTTTAGCCAGCGCCATCCCGATCTGGAAGCCCTATTTTTGCAACCCGAGTCAGAAGAAGGATCGGATAGCAATCGTTACACGTACCACATAGACAATGAATGCCACAATGAAGACGGGTCGACGACCGAACTCTTCAGAGAGAGGTCCCCAAATGATAGGCCTGTTCAATAAGTGAATGAGTACATGCGCGGAGGCAAAACTATATATCCATACCCTACACAGTATCCTGCTACAAACAAGGATATCATGAGAGTTGCAACCTCCGTTGACATGTTGTATTCTTTCATAACTTGTTCAACAATGCCAGACGCTACATAAGACCGAGATGGTGAATAAATTGAAAGGTCGAGGGTGCAAAGAACCTACGTGCTGAACTCGCGAATGTTCTAGACGGAAAAACGGATCAATGGTGAACACAAGAAATCCAATGAGGTACGCACGCGTTAAGCACCAGGATACCACCTAGGATAGTCACAAACCATTTATGCAGTACCGACCAATACTAGAAAATCGAACATTGTCGAATCTGCCAAAGGCGGATTCCAAAAAACATACCTGTGGGTCTTCGGAGGGGTCAAGAGTGACAAGAAATGGATCAACGCCATTCTTTTCCTTTTCTGAAGATGGTTGAACTTGTATTGGCTCGACAGCCTCAGGTAGTTGTTGGTCGGGCTGGAGCGTCCGGGTATCGTCAAAACTGGAGGCTCGTGTGGACATTGGGGGGAAAGAAAGGAAGTGAGACCGGGCAAAGAGAGAAGCGGGTGGGTATTATATCTTTCCACGAATCTTGCAATCATCCCTGACTAAAGTCAGTAACAGGAGCCACTGTGGAAGTTCCCTTTTCGGATAAATCCTCCCGTTTTCTTTGCTTATGACGCATAGCTTGTGACTAAAACGTGGATTCGTCCTCTCGGCTTCCTGCCGGCGGCTACTTTAGGAATGCGACGTCGTCGGCCTCGAATGTCACTCGCTTACAATCGCTTGCAATGTGCTGAGGATGGAGCTACTGTGTCTCAATCGCGCGTTTACATCCTTACCGCCGCTGTCCTGCTGACAATGATGTTTTTGGTTATCAGTCCTGCGGACCCTCGGGGCAGTGTTCCCACAGAACTCCAGCGACAACTAGGCCCAGCGATGAAAGATCTTTATAACAACGACCATCAATCGGTGGCCGTCATCCGCAACTGTCTCATGTAGTTCGGCGTTTAGAGTCCCGACTGGCGATAGTTGTTTGGTCGGTAGTGAAATTATGTGATAAAATATGTGTACAAGTGCGATAGTGATTATGAATGAGGTACAGTAATCCATGCGGTCTGTGGAGAATCTAAAACAGTCCACATCGTCATGCTGCAGAAACATCAGACTCTTTCGTCCGAAGGGACGGCGGGAACGGAGTGGTATCTACCACGGGAGCATATTTCGACTTGGCACGAAGTTTGGCGCCATGCCTAGTGGCGATGAGAACATTTTCGAGTCATGGTAGGTACTACGCACTTTACAAAAATAAAAGGTATGGGAACCATGGCCAGGGCTACAAAGCCTACCAGGGATGACGCCCATCGTGGAGTCATGGCCTCGTACATCTGGTTGGCAAATTGCTACGCAATGTGTGAGATCCACTGAGCAAGAGGCATGACAAAGGCACATACGGGGAATGCTGCACCGAAGAGACTACGACAAATAGTGTTGGCCGCTAGTGCTGACGCTGCGATACTAAGATATGTATCTGTTATTACAGTTCAGGATGCGGACGTCTCGGAAAACGCAGTCGTGACTGGCCTATGATGTAATTAAAGAAGCTTAACTACAAAGACTTTAGCAACAAATGCGGTATGTATACTTGAACACTCACAAATATTCCCATGATTGAAAAGCCTATCAACGCGCCAGACAACAACGGGGCCCAATATGTTACATCCGGATAGCTAGAATGCCGCGGTGATCAATACAGACCATGAGACAGTATTTCATAAGAATAATCACCTTGTCCATCTACGCGACGGTAGACCATGTTAAAAGAGGGAAAGGTCGATAATACAGCGGATGCTTACCCGAACCAAAAAAACGATATCGCAAAGAGCGGCGAGGCGTACAAGGACATGGTCAGGCGATATTCTGGTGGAACAGGATGGGGACTAAATTGATCCATAAGCCTGCTCATATTGAGGATTAAAAACCAATAGATACTATCTGAGGAGTGAAAAAAAAGTCACTTGGATACAGGCTTGGAGGTACATACAACGACAAGTGCGCTGGCTGCGCCAATGAGGATCGGAAGGAATACGAGACCGGTTATTCCAGCGTTGAAATGATGTCCCTTTGTGAAGACGATAGGATAGGCCTCGAAAAGCAGGTAGAGGCACCCATAGACAAACTACGGGTCAGTGAGTATGTAAGAATGTAAGCAGCGCATCATCCACTCACACTCATATAAATGGTGCTGGCAATAAGCATAGGTTCCTGTACCAGTATTTTGAAGGGCCTGGCTAAGACATGCTCTACCTGTTGTGCTATGGTCTTTGTGTCCCTTTCCATTGGCGCGTAGTATCGATCATCGCCAGTTTCTTTCCTCAACCTCCGAGCCTTCCACACTCGAAGGAGAGGCCTAGTGAAGAAGTCAGACGCGACCCACAGAAAGCAAAATGGCGGTATCCTTACTTGTATGTCTCCGGGATCATTACAAGGATTAGTAACCAGCAAACACCAGCCTTGGTCCATAATCAGGCAAAGATTGGTGAAGTGAACTCAATAGCACCTACAAACATGGTCAAAACCCAGAACAACCAGCGCCACGATGCCCCTGTAATTGCGTGTTACTAGAGAATTTACGAGAAGATAATAAACACTGCCTACCTCCTACTGAGATGAACCCGGAAACGATGGGTCCCAAAGAGGGCCCCGCAAAGGGAGCGATCACGAAGATGGCTAGTGCTTTCCCTCGATCTTTATCATTCCACATATCCGATATAATAGCCCTAAGTACCGACCGTCAATTCATAGCATACAGAGCGGCTGAAATTCTGCTTACCCAGAGTTGGTCAGAGGGCCAGCCGCAAAGACCCCTCCAAGAAAACGGAATACTAGCAGAGAAGCCGTATTCTGTGATAGAGCCATACCAATTTGGAAACACTGACGGTTGCATGAGGGTGGGAACAGACACAGCGACAAACGACATGATTTACCATGTACACGAAAAACGTGACAATGAATATTGGCCGTCTACCAAACTCTTCTGACAGAGGCCCCCACAGAATAGGTCTTCACAGTGCTTCAGTTGATTCTCTCTCAAAGAATGAAAATTAACAAACCCAACACAAAATCCCGCTACGAAGAGAGATATTACGAGTACGCCAACTTGTTCCGAAAATGTGTATTTCTCCATCAAATGGGGTAAAATACCTGACGCTAAAAAACAGATGAGACGGAGCACATGTATAGAGTTAAAAATAATAGCTACGAGCGGAACTTGCAAACGTTCTGACGAAGAGACCATACTTAGATGAGACGCGTTACAAATACAATCAAGCCGACGACTTACGCGTTCAATACCAATATACCACCTAGAATCGTGATCGACCATTTCTTCAGGCGCGACCAGCTCTAATTTGAAAATGATCAAAATGACTAGGGAAGCAGTAGTTTCAGGACACAAACATCGGGATTTTCAGGCTCGTCTGGATCCAACGTGACGAGAAACGGATCTTCATCGCCCTTTTTGCCGACCACCACGCTTGGTATAGTTTTATCGTGAAGAGTGCTAGCGTCGACAAGAGTCAGAGTAGTTGTTGTGGGATGATAAGGCGGAGTATATGCAGCCATGTTGAACAGAGAAGGGTGACCAGATCAGCCTAGAAGGAAGATACAAGTATATAAGGGAAATAAACGGCAGGCAAAGCTGCTTTAGCTTATACTCTATTTTCCACATATTGTTAGTGCGCTTTGATTGTAGCAAGGCGCTGCGAAATACGGATCCTGACGGAGAGAGGCAAGAATCCGACTCGGATTATCAGAGGAAGTAAAATTTGCACAGCCACCGGTAAATCGGATCGCCCACGGCCCCGCTGAACGCTACATGGACTTTACCGCGATTTACAAACAGTCAGCGTCGCTCGTCGCGTTCAGTCCTGCCGGAAACTTGATCCTAACTGCTGCTCAGGATAGGATCATTGTACGGCGCACGGATACCTTTCAAATCGTTCGCACAAGCGCCATCGACGCGTCACCGTCGCCAACCAACGCGTCAATTTCTCAGCAGAAGGTGTTACCCGGCGACAATCGCATCACCCATGCGGCCTGGTCCTCAGATTCGGAGTATATGCTTGCGGCGTGTGCTAGAAAGGGTGTAGTGCATGTTTACAAACTTTACGATGAGCAGTGGCATGCGCGTGTTGACGCCGGCGCTGAAGGTGCGTCGTCAACGCCAGCTATAGTCTCATAGGTCGTAAACTCTTTCTTAGGTCTGGCAAAGGCGGAATGGGCCCCCGATGGACGATCCATTCTTTGCTTTTCCGAATGGGGCGTAAGCACCGCGTCGTCGTCCGTCCTTACGTGCGCTAAGCCGTTGTTTAGTTGCGAGTCACTATTTGGTCGCTGATCACAGGCTCGGCGACATACATTCAGTTTCCCCTGCATCCTGATAGAGGTGATTCGATCTGCGTTGCTGTCTTACTCTTTTTTATCGGTCAATTTATTTGCAGGGTATGCGTTTCGGTCCGACGGTCGTTACTTTGTCCTTGCGGAGCGGCATCGATCTAAGGATACGCTGGGCCTGTATGATGTTGCAGATGGCTTTAAATTAGCACGGGTATGTGTCATATAATATTGCGCGACTGTGCCTTTTGAAGTTGATTCTTACGCCAGCACTTTCCTCTGCCGACATCTTCGTTGTCATCATTTGCTTTGTCCCCGAATGGCAACCACCTTGCAGTGTGGGAGGGACCCCTTGAGGTTTGCAAATTTGTGTTAATGCCCGGTAGCATCACTCTAATAATCTTTCATCAGTACAAAGTATACATTCTGACTTTGGCTGGTGATGTCCTTGCAAAATTCAGTCCTGATCCGGACCCAGGTTTTGGTGTCCGTAACGTTGCTTGGCATCCCTCTGGAAACTTTCTGGCCGTTGGAGGTTGGGACGATAAAGCAAGTCACTTAAGTATGAGGGTATAAATGACCCACTAGACATTCGATAGGTGCATATCCTTGACAGTCTCAGTTGGTCGCCAGTACGTACGTTGGAGCTTTCAAGTCGAATACCAGCTGGCGTGGTATGCCTTACTTATCCTTTCAACAAGATCCTCTGATCAGCTTGCCTGTAGAATGTGTGGCGGGAACCCGCCGATTGGTTAACAACAACCGAGGGTCGAGGGTTTCTGTCATGTAAGCCTTTCTGTTGTTGAAGAATCTTTCCGATAACCTCAGCATTGCAGATGAAAAACTCCCTTCCCCCCACTCAATTACCCTGACTAAGCCTGACCATACTAAACCCAATCCTAAAAGCGGTGTCATCCAAATGGAATGGAACCTGACCGGCAGCCTTCTCTTGGTGCGCTTTGGTACGTATTTTTGCTCCATTTTACTCCGAGTCGCACTGAATCACATGTAACGACAGAAACGACGCCGACGGTTGTGCATATTTTTGATTTCCCCGCTCCTGATGCGGCCTTCGTGCCGCGCTTACGGAGTCTACTTATACATTCCCGCTCAGTGAGGAGTGCTAAGTGGAATCCGAAACGCAAAGGCAGCTTAGCAATCTGTTGCGGAAGCCCTAGCCTGTACACTTGGAGCGATGAATGGATCGGGGAAAGTGGCGCTGAAGAGGAGATAGCGGAATGTGTAGGAGTACCTGCAAGTATGCCATCTCTCCGATTATTCAAGGCTTTTCGTTCATGCATTTTATAGAAAATTTTGACACCCGTGATCTTCGGTGGGCGCCTGATGGTAAAGGACTGATTCTACTCGACAAGGAAACTTTCTGTTGTTCGTTCGAGGTTGAAGATGACGACTCTTGATGTGAAGCCAGATCTTGTATTAATACTGCGTAATTTGTTTTGCCATTGTCTTGTCCCATTGATTTGATTCATCTCTTACGATGCAACTAATTGCTAAGTTGGCTTGGGTTGTCAATCCAAATGATCTCGAAATTGAGTTCCATAACTACAATTTTTTGACCCAACTCAATAGATCACGGTTGAGTTCGTCCTTCTTATCCCATATTACCCAATGACCGCTGGCATACTCATGAATAGTCGTATTCTTACAATTATCAACGGTTCCCTTCTTGTTGATAGCATTGATGGCCACTTTGTCTTTTAATGCGCCACCGTAGAAGACCGGCTTCGTAATCTGAAGGTTTTCAGCCGGTACAGCTGCACATGGATGTCAGAAACACAAAAGACAAGGTACGTTCAACATACCCTTGTTATCTTCAGCATCAATTCCCGAGGTCATTATTGTGTACCAATTCAAGCAGCTGGCCATACCGCCATCGAGCAATTGTTTCTTACGGAAGTCCTTCTCCTACGATGAAAAATAAGCGGGAAGACCATTGAAACCCAGACATTAGACGAACTTCCTCTGTGATGTATGGAGCGAGGGAAACGTAGGTCCTGCCCTGCAGTAGATACGACTTCAAAGCCCCCGTAGGAGCGAAATCGTCAATTGCCTTGGAGTCTCCGGAATGCATGAGTCTTAAGAACGACTCCATGTTTTCTTCGATGATTTTAGCGGCCGACGACGACGAGAAGAAAGACCAATATCCGAATAGTTCGTACCCAAAAGACTCTTTAGACTGCAGTGGTGACTGTTTCTACCGAGACACTGATAAGCAGAGAGGAAAATGCGTACCAGGGCCAGGAACTTTTCGTAATTGTTCTCGGTGCTCGGCAACCAATACCCTATAGCTAAGAAGCCGAATCCGATGAATCGATCGGGGAAGTAGTTGGCGAGACGGCCAACCAATTTGGAACCCCTTGAAAGCACGGTGAGCATAGAACACAATCAGCAAACGAAGAGGAGAACAAACCAGTCGTGGCCGATAGCGAGAACACGGGCTACATTTTCTGCATCCACCAGCTCTATGAGATCTTTTGTTAGAAGCGTTGACCGGAAGTCTGCGGGATCGGTAGGCTTTGAAGAACCACCATAGCCAAGTAGATCTGGAACTATGAGGCCATAACCCTCACTGATGAAAAAGGGAACCTGGTGCCGCCAGTCGTAGGAGGTACATGGGAAGCCGTGGAGGAACAGCAAGTAGGGACTGCCATCCTTGGGGGGCGACAAGAGGTAATGGTAGACATAACCGCGAGATGTGGTGAAATCTTTGTAAAGAGAAGGATCCATGAAAACAGCTCTAGGACTGAGATGAAGCTGTCTTGAGTACGCAGATGACTGACCACGAGTGGTAGGTACTCGGATCAAGCACTGGCGCTAATCAGTGAGTGAACCTTGCCTAAAGCCCGAGAGGGTTTCTGGGGACTATACCTTGCTGCTAGGGCAGATTACTTGAATCGTTAGCTGAATGTAAGGAGTGCAAATATGAATTAAAGCGTAGAATCATGCATTCAGAGTACGGTGTCCGTCATATATAGTCATACAGTGAAGAAAACGCCGTGGTGCCATGACAATCATCAGTTGCGGTTAGTACGTGCGGTGACAAGTTAAACGGCTTGACAAAGTCACAGTGTGGAACGAGAGGAGCAGTGCTGGATTGCAATGTGGGAACTTGTAGAAGAAAAAGAGAATAGTCTCCCTGTAGGAACTACCAGATAACTAAACATGACTCATGAGCGAGGAGAAGGATCGCACCACGCCGACACGGCATCGGCCTTGGAGTCTCTGCCGATTGTTGCCGAATGGATTGCGCCTTCAAGCCGGAAACCTTCGAGTTCGTCAGTGCCTAACGTAATCACTCGCAATCATCTGTTCCCTTCTTTCTCCCATGCTATCGCGCTCTATACGGGTCGCCCGTCTCTCTGTTATCCTCAGCAATCGTACAGTTGCTCGCCAATCTCTCAGATCTTACCGTGCACCCACTGAAAAACCAAATGATCACAAGCCGTCGCCCAATAAGGATTCGGTAGCCAGCAAGGGTAAAGGGAAGGTAGAAGATGGCCAGGGGAAGGTGAACAAAGCGGAAAACGAGAAGAGTTCAAGTACCTTAAATGCGAAGGAGACCGACTCGCAGAATCCTGCTTCATCAGCCTCCAAGGACTCTACCCCTTCTCCGTACAAGTCCAATGAGAAAGACAAGGTAGAAATTCCTAAAGGTCTGGAGGGCTTTTTCCGTCAATATCATAACGAGATTATGCAGGAAAAAGACAAGCTACGAAATTCACAGTCCCAGGCAGACCAATCCAAAAAAACGGATTCCGACCAGAACAAGCAGGACAACAAGGCTCCTCCGCCTCCGCCCGGAGGCAACAACGGCCCCGGGTCCAACACCATTATTATGTGGATTGGTGGTCTTATCGCTGCCCATTACCTTCTCAACTCATCTGGTGTATCCGGCTCTCGCGAGATTACATGGCAAGAGTTCCGCACGGCTTTCCTCGACAAAGGCCTCGTGGACAAACTCATTGTCGTCAATGGTCACAAAGTTCGCGTCAAGTTGCATTCAAATGCTACTGGAACTATGTACCCATCCGGTGTCAATATTTCTGGAGATTACTACTTCTCCATCGGCAGCATGGAAGCTTTTGAGCGCAAGCTCGACGAAGCTCAACAAGAATTGGGCATCCCCAGCCACGAACGCATTCCTGTCGCATACCATGACGAGGTTTCCACTATCCGCATGATCCTAGAATTTGCGCCCACGATCGCAACAATAGGGTTCCTCTACTGGTTATCGAGAAGAAGTTCCGGAGGCGGTGGAGGCGGCATTTTCAGCTTTGGAAAGAGTCGCGCCAAACTGTTCGACAAGGACTCACAGGTCAAGGTCAAGTTTAAGGATGTAGCGGGTATGGACGAGGCGAAGGAAGAGGTCATGGAGTTTGTCAAGTTTTTGAAGGAGCCTGCCAAGTACGAGAAGCTTGGTGCCAAGATCCCTCGCGGAGCCATTCTGTCAGGTCCGCCAGGCACCGGTAAGACGTTGCTAGCCAAAGCGACCGCTGGAGAGGCGTCTGTGCCCTTCCTGTCTGTCTCTGGCTCTGAATTCGTCGAGATGTTCGTGGGTGTTGGTTCATCCCGCGTACGTGACCTTTTCGCCTCTGCGAGAAAGTGCGCGCCGTGTATCATCTTCGTTGATGAGATTGATGCTATCGGGAAGTCTCGAGCGCAGGGTGGCAAATTCGGCGGTGGAAACGATGAACGGGAGTCAACGCTCAATCAGTTGCTAGTGGAAATGGATGGATTCAGCTCACAGGAGCACATCGTTGTTCTCGCTGGAACCAATCGTCCAGACGTTCTTGATCCTGCGCTGTTGCGTCCGGGGCGATTCGACAGACATATCACCATTGATCGTCCTGATGTCAGCGGCCGCAAGGGTATCTTCCACGTCCACCTTGCTCCATTGAAACTCAGTGAAGAACTTGCGAAGGATGTTGACGCACTTGCTCACAAGCTTGCTGTGCTTACCCCCGGATTCTCTGGCGCAGATGTAGCCAATGTGTGCAACGAAGCGGCTCTACGGGCTGCGCGTCGTGGTGCTGAGGCAGTTGACAATATCGACTTCGACACTGCCATTGAGCGCGTCATTGTCGGCTTAGAGAAGAAGAGCAAGGTGCTCAGTCCAGAGGAGAAGAAGACTGTGTCTTACCATGAAGCCGGACACGCCGTCTGTGGCTGGTTTTTGGAACACGCAGACCCCATACTGAAAGTCAGCATTATCCCACGAGGAGCTGGTGCTTTGGGATATGCGCAAGTGAGTTTTCCTATCATCAGATTCATACTGATTCTCATAAATTGCTTTTCAGTACCTGCCGCCTGATCGTTACCTTCTCTCCACCCCCCAAATGACTGACCGGATTTGTATGACGCTTGGCGGTCGCGTGTCTGAGGAGATCTTCTTTGGCCTCGAGAACATAACAACAGGTGCTCAAGATGATCTGCAAAAGATCACCCGGATGGCTTTCGAGGCATGTGCGAACTATGGTATGAACGATGTCATCGGGCCTGTGAGCTACGGCGGAGATCGTGGAGCTCGGGAAGGATGGACGAAGCCGTTCAGTGAAAAGACCGCGGAAATGCTAGACTTTGAAGTCAGGAAGATGATCACGTACGCCTGCTCCCCTTTTCGATTACTTAATCTAACTATTATTCAGGACCATGTATGAGCGAACGAGGACCTTACTAACGGAGCATCGCGAGGATGTAGAGAAGGTGGCGCAGAGGTTATTAGAAAAGGAAGTTCTGACACGGTGAGTTCCTGTCTATGTGGAGCGATGTTGATGCTCATGACAACTTCAGAGAGGATATGATTGAACTGCTTGGAAAGCGGCCATTCGTTGGCAAAGCCGATGACATGGACAAATGGCTCGACGAGCATGGCGGAGAACGTCCCAAGGTCCCTTTCCCTACACCGGATCCTGACGCCCCCATTCCTTCACCCTCCGTTGCATCACGGACAGTTGACGAACGCCTTTAATGAATAATCAATGTCTGTATCTTTAATCTTTTGCAGGGATTTCTCGCCAATCAGTAAATATTTCGCTTTTCGTTCATGTACCCATAACTACAAACCATATCTTAAATCACCCCAGCGCAATTCACTCCTTACTATTTAATGCCTCCTGGGTATATTACTTGAGACTTCAGCGGAAGACCTGTTGATATACATCCTTTCCTATACAATGGCATACAGGTTCAAGCGCTTCTCCAAGCCACGATTTAACGTCTTCTGTTTCCTTCCCAGCGACTCGAACAATGACTGATGTGTGGTCATTCCCCATGATGGGACTTAGGGACCATATTACTTTGTCTGGACTCCTCATCTTCATAACTGAAATGGTTTGGTATCTCCGAACCAACCCAGCAATAACGGCTTGCACCTGTGGACCTACAAGGAACAACGTGGCGTAACACGAGTACGGCTTGAGTCTTTCAGCCAAAGCCCGCTCAGGTAGAGGCTTCGCGTCAACTTGAGAGTCGTCTAGCAGCATGGCATCCTTGGCTATCCTCTTCCCATCCACCAGGATCTCGTTGACGCTGTAATACCTCGAAAAAACCCATTCTTCTCCGAGAGACCGACGCCCAGAGGTGACCCAGTCAAGAATGGCAGCGGATGCGTCGCCCGTGAGGTGGAAAGTTTGTATTTGGTTGTACGAGGCAGAGCGAAAACAGGTGACGGGGTCTGGTAGTAAGAAGAGGGATGCATTTGGGTTGACGACAAAAGTCATGTTTTGAGTGGTTGGTGGGAGGTGATGAGGGTTTGCTTGTACGGATGCCAGTCGATGACCTGGTCTGGTTTTGAAGACTTTTGTGGAACCCTGTTAGTGAGGATTGAAGCAAGGGACAGTCCGTGATGCATGGAACTGACTTGGGAGAGTAACACAAGCTTGGCTCTTTCTCCGATATCCACAGATAGATTGACTTGGTCTCCGCTGACGAGTCCACCTCCGTATGTCAAGATATACACCACAGCGACCCCTTCTTGAGCGATGCGAGGAGACAGCAATTTGAGTGGGTATGTCGACGAGAGCTCTGAAAATACTGCTGCTGAGCCATGGCAAGACAAGGAAATACGACCTCCTCCGGCACGTATCTTGGATATTGCTGACATTGACGCGGTGAGAGGTGAAGACCACTCGGAATTTCGGACCGACAGTTCACGTTCAGGTCGTAAGTGATATTTATTTATAGTATAAACATATGCAAAGGGATTCCATGAGAACAGATATATGCAACAGAGCAAAGGATGAAAGCATAGAGACGAAACGTCCATATACTAAAAAGATCCTAATGATAAGGAATGAGATGACCGTCTACAATTAAACAAGCTTATTTCTGCATGGAAAATATTCAGTCTAGTATGAAGTAATATTAGTACTTGCGAGTAGCGAGAGCCCTTATTTCGTAGAGGAAGGAGCGGTCAGGCCCAGATAGAGCATCTTCGCGTGAAAGAGAGCTCTTCCATCCTTTGATTTCTACATGGTGCCGCTCTTCTGCTTTTCGGCAGTTCTGCACAAACGTGTCATCGATGTCATACACCATCGAGCCTCGCGAACCGCGGTCGCTGCCACAATCCGAAGGTGTCCGCGTTTGACTACGATCAGGAGTAGAGAATGAAGTCGCCACGCTTGACTGAGCAGAAGCTCGAATGGTCCCGGCTTTGGATTCCCAGCTATCGCTGTCATCTTCGTCATCAGCAAGATTGGCAAAGACGTCCGGTTCATCCTCTTCTGGCGGTAAAGTCGAGATCCAGCATAAGCGTATAGGATCAAAGACCATGTTCCCCACTATCCGCGCACCAGAGCCGAAAGAACTCGCTGGAGAGCCCATTGATGATCCAGTGAGATGTGTGATTAGTGCCGGTCGTGTGGATGTAACAACGGCATCAAAATCACGCAGGACTTGTTCGTTTCCTTCCCATCGCATGGTTTGTGGGTTCCATTTCATGTCACCAACGACTGGAGGGGACTACCTCAGAATTCATTCCATACGTGGACAAACGTCATACCTTTGGGACCACCGACGCCACCCAGATTCCGTATCAGAGTAGGCTTCGTTTGCGTTGATAATCCAGCCTTCTTCTTCTTTGGTGGGGAACGTCCCGACGAATTTGAGTGGGATGGATCCAACTTCGGTGGTCGCTTGGAAAAGAAAGAATTTAGGGATGTCGTGGACTCGGCTGATAGGATTGGATATTTTAGGCCAGTCATATATGTAAGAACACAAGACTCACCACCAGAACCTTCACGCAAGTGTTTCCTGCGAATAGTGTCTTTAGGTGATTTTAGCAAAGCTACCACCTGGTATACGATTGCCGTGGCCTTTGGGCTGCACCCTGAACCGACTCTCCTTGTCTCGATCGGTAGGCAAGTCTTCGATAGCGTCAAGCTCTGTACCATCCCCATACGTGCGTAGACGTTTTGGTTTACGAAGCACTTTGGGTGCTATAGGCGTTGACGCATAAGAAACAAGTTTAGAAGTAGACGCTGGACGCGGTGGAAGGGGTGATGCAGTTCGACGGAAAGGTGGTGGCTGTATGTTTCCCGACGGTGATGAACAAAACACAGCCGGTAATGCCGGGCGCGACTTGAGGCGACCAGAAGTGGGCACCGTTAGACGATGAGCGGCGGTACTCGCGGAAGGAGTGGAAGGACGTGTGGGGGGAACTTTGTATTCTTGTGCTACCCGACTCATGGATGCCTTGTGCGACTTGGCACGAGACGCAGCAGTAGGCTCTTCGTAACGAGCACCATTTGAAGAGCTCGGCACTGAAGATCCTGAGGCTCGAGTGTTACTACCCATCAACGAAGACAATGACGATTTCCTGGAGAGCCTCTTGGTGGTTGGAGGCGGTGAAGAGTTGAGCCCTGTATGCGACTTTTGCCCGCGGAGACTGCCGGGCCTGGGAGAGAGAAATGAAGATGGAGCGGGTAAATGCGTCAAAGGCGTGTTTGAACGAGAAGGCAGATGCAAAGGTGGCGAAGGTGAAGCCCCGGACTTTTGAACGCTTCGGGAAGCGACTGGGTCAAGTTTGACAGGGGACTTGGGCCTACCAGACCTTAGTCGCGACGAAGGCCTTGTACCTGAAACAGTTCTCTGGTGAGGAGGGACGCTCTTGCTTCGGTTATCCGCGCGCCGCAGATGTGACTGCTGTGCATTGGAACAATAGCCGGCTGGGGCTGAAATCAGCGTCGTCGTCAATGACTAGACCCGTCTCGAAATCATCCTCGGGATCAGGACTAGCAACCTTGACTTCATAATCCGACATAACAGCAGCTTTCTTCAATGTCAAAAGGTTGGTGAGATGACGAGCACCTTTGCCAGAATCGAAGACGTCGGAAGGGATGACGAGCCCTTCGAGCTCGCTTTCGTCCTCGTCGGTTTCTGATTCTGCGTTAGAGACAGAAGATTCGGAGTTGGAGGAAGAGGCATGAGTGAGGCCAAGGTTGGAATAGGCATCGGAAGACTGAGAAGAAGAGGTATGGTCTTTGTCGCCCCATTCGAGAGAGCTCTTGGAGGAACGGTGATTGAGAGTCAAAGGAGCCAATGACAATTGGGTCAATTCGGAGGGTAAAGAAAACCCTTCTTCAAAGTCCTCCTCTATGGTGCTCGGAAGAGGTTTCGGAACGACAAGGTTTTATCGTCCCGGAGGCCTTGATAGTGGATGTGCCCTCGTCGTCGTCGTCATTGCTGGGCTGTAGTGAGGGTAGTGGGCGGGCAATGGAAATGAGAGGGCGCGACTTGGCCAGTGAAGTGTGGTGGGACGTCGACCTCAGGAATATCCCAGTCCTCTTCATCTTCTTCCCTGTCTGAAGTGGTGTCTGCTGTGGATAGTATGACCTTCAGGCAGGTCGAAGTCGGCATCCGGCCATTCTTCCCGCCCACGGATAGTCGGAGCAGGAATAGGACTCATTATATGCGGGTAATAGGAGATAAAGAGTGCGAGCGTTATAGGTCGGAGAGAAGGATTGGTGGTCGAAGAAATAAGAGCGAGTGAATAGAGCGAGTGCTAAGGATGCTAATTTGGTGGTGCAGCGGGCGTCGTCGTACTGAATTAAGGCGTGCTGGAGTGAAGAGAGAACGGAAAATGAGGAAGAAATTGTTGCGATGTTGGATACTGGCGCCCGTAGATACTAGTCAAAGTACCGAGCTCACTGTCAGTGTCTGCGACTAGGGAAAACAAAAAAGCCGCCTCGTGTCCTTCGCGTCTACGGTGTGACATGCTGTGTCACACATCAGTACGGCCCGGGCGTCCGTGAGCGTCGGCAAGAATTTCGTTGTGCTTGACCGTTTACATTTTAACCGTCTTGGTTCCAAGCCAAACATAGACCTTGGAATTGACTCGCTTGCCTGTACACAAAGATAATGTCCCATTTTTCTGAAAAGTTAAGCCAGACTTTGGTAGTATGAGCAATCAGAGTATATTCCTATAACACGAAGAATAATCGCTGAGAGAGCTGTACGGGGACACCATAGCCTTAAAACACTTCAAACCCGGAAGTAAAGATAGAATAGTACAAATGAGGAACAATGACAGCATTCGACGGAGATATAAAACCAAAGAGGACAATGCTCGGTTAAAATAGCGTGTCCTGCAAAATGGTCAGTTTCCAACAAGGAAGGGATCATAGGAAGGCTGTACCTCATCACGTAGATATTCACCGACATCACTGTCACATACAAATCAGTGTTGCTCGGGAAAGGAAACGGGGGTACCTACGCCTGATGAAACACAATGATAGACGTTGGATCCATTTTACGGGTGTCAACCGTTGACCGTGCCGTCACACCAAAACCCTACGAGGCATGAGATGCAGTCAAAACACGAGGAAAACATACGCACTAATGGTACATCATTCATGCTGAACACGACCACTCCCTGATGTTCCGGCGTATCTTCTGTTATTCGTCCAAGATGTGCTTTCACCACATGGTTTCCGTACAAGAACGGCATTTCGCCGTTGGGTTTTATCCACACCTAGATGATAATGGGTCAGACTACGTTTAACATATACAGACAGTCTATAACCAACCTTGTATTTGGCGTACTGAGCGATGTAATCCAGTGATGATATGTGCAGCTTGAACTTTTCCGCTTTTACTGAATTTTCCAAAACAGGTGCCAAGGCTGACGAGATTCGGGCGTGCAATTGACGATCCCAGACGCATAGATGATTCCGAAACATAAAAGACTCGGTCTTTATGCAGTCTAAAGCAGTATGGTTCGTCCTTTCGGTCGATGAGGTGAATAAGGTTCTTTCCCTGTAAAGAGGTGAGGACGCGACCACAAAAGAAAGAGGAACGGACGGACAATGTAGTTGGCGAGTTTGGTGAAGAGGGTTTTGGATTCGTCTTCAGTGAGGGGTCGCATGGCGTCGATTTCACTTTTTTCTAACGGCAGCTCGAGCTGGTAAAATATAAGAGAGCAATTACATAATTCAGGGTCCAGCCCAGCTCAATTTGCAAATTCGTCCAGAGTTCTTCAAGCACGACGCATCATCATCGCTATATTCGTATCCATGTCTGCGCCCTCATTTTCATCATTCCCTCCTTCTTTCGGGTCATTTCCAGAAGACCCAAGCAACGAACCGGGTCCTAGTCGGCCGCGCGACGACAGCAAACACCGCAAACACAGTCATAGGGAGAAAGACTCCAAGAAAGAAACAACGCGGGAGAAGGTAAAGAAATACAGGCGCGAGCACCGTGATAGAAAGTCCACAGAGGCGGATGAGGTCTCGGAGACGCGCTTTTTCTACTCGGACAGGCGTGGAGACCCGTTGAATTTGCAGTACGGAAGTCTGCACAAGGGCGATGTTCCCAGATACAAGTGCATCAACCGTACGTCGTTGCTAGAATACTCTATGGCATCTAATCATGGAAAAGGTGGCAGAAATGTACTGGGTCTACCTCCAAATTTGACTGTGTTGTACAGGGGGCCTCAAGGTATTGAGATTGGAATGCACAGACGGAATGTACGTTGATTTCACCCCATTTTTCCTTCGATGAAATTGAAGCAAGAAAGGGTCCGAGCCTAACGGATTCAAAGGCTCGTAACCTTGTGACTTCTGCGCCTACTCGACGAATACTGGGGCATAGTGACCGTTTCCAATTAGACGAGACCGGCTTTCTGCGCATCTCTTCCATTCGAGAACGTAGCCAACAATCATACCGCTCGATCACTGGTGGTTCCCATTCCGAGTCGTCTTCAGGCTCTGAGGGATCAGCTGCTGAAGACTCGGACATTTCAGAGGAGGATGCCGATACGGTGGGCCCGACAACTGTGATCAAGACACTTGAACAGCAACTCAGCGATGATCCTTCATCTGTCGCTACTTGGTTACAACTTCTGTGGCGGACATTGTCAAATGTTCCTATTGCGTCTAAAAACTCTGCAAGAGTGCGCGCAGAAATTACCATATCGATACTTTCTCGTGCATTGTCGTCGGATGTTCGTAACACCGCGTCAAAACCTCTTCGGCTCAAGTATCTTAGAGCGGGTGAAGAGATTTGGACTAAAGCCAAGGTGCAAGAGGAATGGGAGGACGCGTTCAAGCTTGGTGGAATCGAAATATGGATGGAATGGCTAGAGTGGAAAATCAGAAATGAAACTAATGGCATCGACCACATCGTTGACGTAGCTAAACGTGTCCTTGATGCTCTGGGGGACGATGAGGTGAGCAAAGTTCGGGTGTTTTGGCGCTCAGCGACGGCCCTCCGTGCGGCAGGCTTTGTCGAACGCGCCACAGCCCTGTTTCAAGCCCAAGCTGAATTGTGGGTACTGATTGTTTCCGAACTATCACGCAGTATCCTAATTTCCCATTTCAGGACGTTCGAACTTCCCCAAGCTCTATATGGATTACCAATGAGTAGTATTTTGGATGCTCTGGAAGAGTTCTGGGAATCAGAAGTTTCCCGGTTCGGTGAGCCTGGTTCTAAAGGATGGGCTCATTGGGTATCTTCAGGTAAAAAAGGAGAGGCACCGGCGCTAGCGTCAACACCACCCCCCTCAGATGACTCTGACCCATATCGTCGGTGGGCTCGAATTGAATTCAAGTCAGACCGGGCGACGTATATTCCTAGTCGGGCCACCGAAGAAGACGACTGGGATCCATATTCCACCATCATGTTCTCGGATATCCGACCACTCCTTTTGCAATTACAAACCACTCACGGAAAGGACGTATTTCGGTTGACTTGGCTGTCTTTTCTCGGCCTTCATGTTCCCGGTTTCTCGGACTCGCCTCATGAAGCCAATTGGGATGATCGGTGGAATTGCATGCACCTGACGAATCCTGGATATCTGAATGCCGTTTTTCCCGACGAAACGCGCAATACTGTGTCCGCGGATTCGTATTCCGGTGTTTTAGTTGGCCGCGAGATACAATATGCTCGTGGTTCGATACCTGTCAAATGCTGGGGTTACGGCGTATTAGGTCCACTAGACGATGCTCTCTCCGGTGATGGACTTTGCTCAAAAATAGACCTGGATGGGCTCGACCAGGAGTTCACCAGGAGGGTTCTTAATCAGCTTAGGCTAGGGCCTGAGGATCATGAGTGGGATCTCATAACTTTGGCCTTTGAAGCTGCCTCGAGCGTGAAGAGGCAAGAGAACTCTCACGAGAACACGCATGGTCACTGACGTTGCCTTTAGTGCACTTAAGATTTCCCGAATATTTCTATCTACGGCTCGCGATTCTCTGCCGCACTGGGCAGGGCATGCTTGTTTAGAACGCAAGAGAGGCCGGTTCGACGAGGCTTCGAAAAGTTTATGCGACGGTTCTTGTGTCTTCTCCGGTTTCGTTAGACCAACCCTGGTCGGGTAGGCTGTGGTGGGACTGGACAGAGATGGAATGGCTTGACCAGAAATCTGACGCGGCCATGTCTGTCATATTCAAAGCTGCGAGTGTTGCAGGACAAGGGGGAGTCGCTATCCTTCGAGCCAAAAGAAACCTGGACGATATCTCCAATCACAAGCATTCGGCCTGGAAAGACAAAGAAGCTTGGGTAAAGTTACGAGCTCTACTTGAGCTGCTAACATCGGACGACCTCACCCAAAGTCTGCTTGTGTTTGACCAGTCCATGCACGAAGCTGTTGGTGTCGCGCACGAAAGCATGACCGTTGCTTCTCTTTTATTCATTTTCCGGCATGGATGCGTCTTGAAACGCCCGATGACCCCTTCTATACTGAGAGATCGAGCCGGTCCAGCGCTGCGAAAGTATCCTAGCAATTCCATAATATTTAGGCTTGTTCCTAGAGGGTGAAAAGGGACAAGGCATTTGGGGACGCGTCAGAGATATGTTGGGCGAAAACCCTGGAGAGGAGAAGGATGTATGCCGACGAATCGAAGAAGTGTGGGTGGCGAAGTGGCAGAGTGGAAGATGGGAAGGTGAAATTGAGCGTACTCGGAGTGGGTTGGCGGCAGCAGTGGAAAGTGAAGGTAAGGCTCAGTTTACTCTGGATCTTAAGTATCTCATGCATTATGTTCTAGGACGAGAGCAAGCCTGATATTGTGGCGCATCTATATTGAGTTTGAGATTCGAGCCGGACAGTTGCAAAAAGCAAAGAAATTGCTCTTTCGTGCTATTGGAGAATGCCCGTTGGCCAAAGGTAGCTATAAATGCTCGCAGTGGAATCAACATACAATTGACCTGTTTGGACTGTGTTATAGACCTATACCTTTTGGCTTTTGACCATTTGCGAAGTGTTTTCAGTGCTCACGAACTTCATACCTTTGTCAACACGATGGGGGAGAGAGGCATCAGGATGAGGCAGGAACTCGATGTGCAGATACAATCAGTTGAAGCAGGTGGAAGTAGTGATGACGCGGAAGATAGCGGAAAAGAGTCCGAGATCGAGAGAAATGCACGAGAGTTGCGAAGATTGAAGCCATACTGAAGGGGGGGGGTGAGAACACTGGCAGGTTGATGTATGATATAGTACAACGTAGACGACGGATGAAAGAACTATTTATGAAGCGTTGACTACGATTATAGTTTACTAGGCACGATTGAGCCGTTCCCAGTAATTGTTGACCTCTACCTGTTGAACTTTAGCGGCAGCATCTTCAGTCCGGTTCACGGTAAGCAACGGGCTTCCAATTTTTACCGTGAACTACGGTATGAAACAGGTCAAAGCGAGAACTATAGACCGATTTAGGAACGACTTTACATAAAAAGTGGAATCAAGAGCTTACTAGTTCCCCATGACATCGGCGACGAGCTTAACATCATCGATCTTGTCCAGGGAAATATTTGCGTATAGGACGACCTCCTTCCCAGGATCGACAGGATCGGTTAATGCAGACGCCGTCTGGCCCGTATATCTTCCACATGATTAGGATTGATACTTTTGAGTGAAACTCGGCTTACGACGGAAAACCCTCCACCAGGGAATTTGAACCATGGAAAGCCGAGCATTTTCATTTTGCGAGCACCTGCTTCAGTGACGACGTGGCAGCAAACTAGGCCGAATAGGCCCCCTTCCATAGACACGAGTTGACTCATCCGGCTGGAAGCCTCACCACTGACGATGTAGGGCGATCCGCCGGTCAGAGGTGGAAACGCAGGCCACCATCCTCCCACGAAGATCTGCGGGTATTGAGAGTAGAAGTGGGTCTTCAACCACGGCTGGAAAATGTTGTTGAACAACTTGTCGGAAGAAAGGAGGAGGACTGCGCGGCAAACCTGGATGTGCTCCCAGCAATTCAAAGATCCGAGCCTTCCATACGGGGTCTGAACTACATTGTAGATAGACTGGGCTATCGCGAGGAGATTATCAGCTGGTTGTATTGTATTAAGATAACAGAAATACCGCTTCCATCCCCGAAAACGGTTTTCTCATAATGAGTGGGCTGTATATCAAAGAAGTCATTGGCTTGATAGTAGATAGCAGACTAAGTATGCAGACCTTGATCTTACGCCTGTGGTTCGCGATGTTCCCGTCGGATGTAATAGTGACCTGAGCGATGTAAAGGGAACTCCCGTCGCGCTCAGAAAACCCGAGGACTATGTTAACATCAGCCTCTTTAACGGCCTCTCGGATTCTATCCATTTCCGGGGATTGAAGAGGCATTGAATTGGCTTGATAGTCCTTGAGTACAACTTGGGCGTCAACAAAGTTGTTAGCCCATGGAGTCCAGGGGTAGCCTTTGGAACGTTGGTTAAAATTTCGCCTCTGAGCATAAGCTTAGGGAATTTACTTACCAGGAATAAAGACTTCTGGGAAACCGATAATCTTGGCTCCCTCAGCAGCCGCTTCATGGATGATTCGGATCGTCTTTTCGACCCCGCCTTGAAGGTCAAGCCATACACTATGCCAATGAGCACGGACAGTAACTAGGGAGGACGAGGGGCATACGGTTCAGCCTGAACTGCGGCGACCTTGAAGATCTGTTTGTTAGAGTGGGAAGGATTGAGTGAGATAGGCATCCTCAAGTTGGAACTGGAGATAAGGATTTCCTTCTGAGTCTGCGTCTTATATATATTTCTTTGATGAGACCTGGTGGCAGGGTATCTTAGCCAATTGGATAGTGTAACCAAACTTGACCGCAGTGTCCTGTGAATGTAGATTCCATATCGCGACTAGTACTACAGAATCTGCAGGAGCCGGAATCTCGGGTTTTATTGACGTATAGGCCACGAAGATAGAACAAAGCAGAAGAGAACCAGGGAGAATCTTCAGCCGTAAGCGGTCACACATTGAAGATGAATATAATGTCGAACGTTGAATAGTAACCATTATTATCGCAGAGTTCGTCCGAGTGGCGGTGGATCACCGGGTAACAGGCAACCTGGAATCCGCGTGTTGCCCAAGCGCGTGTCGGCTGTCGGATCCGGACCAGTATGGCTTCTTCTTCCTGCACGTCTTGGCTCGCTCTCTCAGACAGCGAGCTCACTGTCGACAATGTTGGTGAACATCTCCATTCTGTTCCCGACGACCTCTGGGTCGCTGCTGCTTGCTATGACAGACTGGTTGACGACGTGTCAGTCCAGCAAGCCTTGCTTGATGTCGGCCTCGAAAGAACGAAGCAGGCCTTCCAGCGGGGCAAGGATGCCCTTTCCCACCTTTCCAGTCCCCGGTCAATCGAATCACTGGATAATGCAGCCGTGTTGTTGGAGAAGAACGACTCTTACCGGCCTGATCCAGCGGTAGCCTATTTTCACGACCTTCCCGGTGACGCGCAATTATGTCGCCTTCATGGCCTGCTTCTTCAGCGTTTGGACAGGCTGAATACTTTCATTGAAATGTGTAAGGTGGCTCCAGAAGAAAGTGGCGATGACGCAGACGACGAGATAACGGAATGGGAGGATGATCCCTGGGCCGACCAAACGACTGTGAAAGTGTCCCATGACTCGTCCAAATCCCCACAGTTCCCTGTTCCGCTTTCCCACTTCATCACTGAAGAATTGATTCATTCAGCATGTCAATTAGCACTCCACCAATATTTCCGTTGCTTGCATATTCTACTCCAGCGGCATGGTTCGGTTCTCTGGGTACACCGATTCGTCATATATGACAGTATCCCGGGCTTCGCAGATCCTCTCGAGTACCTCGAGTTTCTTCCTCGGGTCAAGTTTGGTGAGAACACGGAAGAAGGGGCGCCGTGGAAGGACAAGAATATTGGGGATACGTCTTACATTCCGTACTTCCAAGCAGCCACAACTTCCCTTGGAATTCTTGAAGAAATAGAATCATCCACGCATAGTCCTCAGACGCACAACAATCTAATGACATTGGAGGAATTATCGGGTTGGTATAGCAATCGTGTCGACAAAATCATCTCGTCGACAGGAATGATTGATACAGCCCTAGCAGTGGTGCAACATGGCGCATCTCAGGGAGTGCCAGGCCTTGACGAGCTTGGCGAAGAATTGAGTCTGCTAACGCGTCTCGTTTACGATGCACCTACCGGTGATTCGCCCGACGACTGGACACTGAGCAATTGGAAGAGCATGGATTCGCGCGCGGTCATTCGGGCGTATCTATCCCATTCGACTCCAGAAACTGTTGCGGCGGATATGTTACACCTTGTCATGCCGTATCTCTATGTCCTCGAGTCACGAGCAGAACAGTGCAGGAAATCCAAATTCACAAATTCACAAAGACCTTCTCTATGACTATATTCTCACCGCGTCACTAGACTGTGGTCGCTGCCATTTTTGAAGGTTCCAAACCCACCATGCCCAGTTCCCAGAGGATTATCAAAGATGACGAGGACATGGCCCGTCTGGCACTCGCCTGTCTATATGGAAGCGTCAGTCTCGACGAGTGGCCCACAATGAGCCGCATCTTCGAATGTTTGCCGGCTTGGGATCTGTCAAAGTACGAAGATTTGGATGGCGATGCTGCTGATACAACAATTGCGTCGCTGGGTGATTTTGTGACACCGACGATCGCTCGGCCGCGGTGTACAGCATCAGATCTACTTGTCTTCTTCAAACCTTTACCCTTGTCCTCACTTTCACGAGCCCTAGACATTCTTGATGTCCATTTGGAGTCGGGGGAGATACTTTCTCGATGGAGTGTTGCAGCGCCGCTCAGATGGTTCCTCCAAAGCATGAATGATGAGGCTGAGCAGAGGGCATGGGCCAATAGAATGGCTCGCCGAGTAGGTGGTACTTGCAGATAAGCTAAATTACCCGGGAGGATTGGGAGTGGCTTCTTGAAGACATGATCAAGCTAGTCTGGAAGGGGCAACAGTGACCTGCGAGGTGCTTTCGGTCTCTTATCGCAAGAAGAGGTTACTCGGATATTTTTCAATGGACTGTTAATTTCTGGCAGTGCGTATATTTTACTCCTTGTCCCGTACTTGTAAATTTATAATGAGCCAGAATTCGATATTGCCAAGGCACTGCTACAATCCAACCGTAACATTTCAGGTGCTTGATACGACAACTATTGAAGGATATATGCCTAACATGCGTTCGGGAGTTTTACGACAACGCCAGCTCAGGGAGCTATAAAGTCGGCGATATGAAACTTGCTTATGAATGGTAAGCTTCAACGTACCTTTTCCATGATGGTGCTCATGCATGTTTTTTTCTACTAGTCTGGATGTGCCCCACATGTCGGACCGAATCAGAAAAGAAAAAGAGTTCATCGAAGCAACATCCCGGCTGTCATCATTTAATGTGATGTCCCGGCCTGGGATTCCCATCTCTCCCATCGAGATTCGACTTACGAAAGACCGCTTATCTCTCGTGTCTCGGGTCCTTTCTAGCAACGCTGATGCATACAAGCACACGGAGGTCATCTTGGAGTTGGTATACATGCTCGGATTCCGGGGGGACGTTACGGCTGAAGTGAAGACATTGGCTATGCTTGCAGATACTGCGTTGCAGAACGAGGACTTTACGCGTGCATACCAGACTAGCGAATGCATGATCAACGCAGTCCTCGCGTTACGCTCCTCCAATGCAGACGTGTCCAAGGTCCAGGAAGCTAGCGAGGTATGCTGGGTTGCGTGCTTCCAATTGGGTCGGCAGCCAGAGTTTGATGATGTTGAGAGAAGCTATTGCTTTTGGGCCGTTCCCTGGAGCTGTGTCCTCCGGAGCAGCTTCATGACGTACTCACTGCTTGGCGACGACTAGAAAAGGAGGATACAGAACTGCGGGAATCCCGCCTTTCCCAACGTCGGCGTGCCGGCGGTGCGGCTGTACCTAGAAAACGTGCCGCAACCGCCGACCACCACGAATTCTCCCTACGATCACGGCTTGCAGATTTCCACATGCCCTCTCCTCCCTTGCTGAGCACGCCAGATGCGGCAGCATTGGCAAGCAGGACCTTCAAAAGTGTGGCGGCAAGCTTTCCGTTCAGAGGCAGACCTCGTTCTCATCTTGACGATGAGACTTCTCGTAGTGGGAGTCGGCCCAGGGATGGAGATGATGTCTCTTCGCAAGCTACAAGGGTGTTTTCAAAAGGGATTGGATGGCTTCTCGGAGCTGATGAAGAGAATTTATGATTTACGTACATGTTTAGCTACTCAAAACAAGGCAGTTGTGATGTCTACAAGGAATTCCGGCCGAAGAAGTTGTATATACAAGACAAAGAAAGGAGTGACACGATGATTTTTGACGACAAGGCGAAATCAAAACGGATTATGTAGTGGAGATATGTAATAAATCCCGGTCATGAGAGAAAAAGAGAGTGCTACAACAACAGTATAAGGCATAGTTAAATCATAATTAACGAAATGAGGACAAGAGTCCCAGAAAGTAGACTGAAATAGATAATAAAATATTTTTGAAGATTCCACAAAACGAGTGGCAAACGAATGGAGGGGTTGTACCAATTGTAGGTGCGGCACGCTGACAGGTCGGAAAAGCTAAACAGCACTCCCAAAACGTGAAGTGCCTGTCCCGGTCCGGGCTCTAGGTCTATTGACGACGCTGATGCTCTTAGATTCTCCATCAGCGGAGTCTGGTTCATTAGCACATCGTCGGCGACCCCGCCCGCAAGAAGAGCAATACCCCTCGTTACTATCACTGGCGTGGAGTTGTTCGACCTCTTCTTTCAAGTCTCTGATCTGCCCTTCAAGCTCCCATACGTGGTGCTGCCAAATCTTCTTCGCAGACACGATCTGATCCTGTAAAGCACGGATGACAGCCGACTGATCATCGTCCTCGTTCACGACGGTGGGTTTGTCACTCAACCGAGAAAAGGATCCAGGAGTGGTTGGAGACACGACGGTACTGGGGCTGGCAGAGCTGGGCGTGTCCAGGTCTGGAGACGTTAAAGAGCTGCTTGGTATCAAGTGATCACCGAATTGGGCGCTGAACATGGTGGATATGGGTCTGAGCTTCAGTGCAGGGAACTCCGTGACATTAGCAGGGGCACTCTGTGGTATCGACTGGTTAGGAACACCGAGTCTTTCGGGGAAATGTGGCCCTGCTGCCGATGAAGGGTGTTGGGCGACCGATAGTTGATGATGACGAGGTTTTAATGGATAACGGGAGATGGATGCGTTTGGCGCTGGACGAGGATTTCGTAGAGTCGTCACCTGTTAGACTAGGCGAAAGTGTTGGCACAGGGATGCGGTGTACGGGGGCTTTGACGGACTTCTGAGTTGACTGCTGGGCATTGAAAGCAGCATATCCGTCAGATAGGGAAGGCACAGGCGGGGGCTGGTGACTCTTTTCCACCATTGAAAAGTCTCATGAAACCACTCTTCTTGTGCTTCAAGCCCTTTCCTCCAGGAGAAGAGCCAGCAGAATTTGTAGATTGTAGGACAACAGCCGGTTCTGAATCGCGACGTTCAACCTTAACAGGGGTTCCACTGACTATGTTGTTGAAGGCCTGTTTGGCCCGAGCACCAGCACTGATGGACCGAGCTCTTCGCCCTAGAAGCGACACCGCTATTTGGGCTCTGTCCGTTAATGTTCTCGTTTCGTTGGAAAATGAAAAGCAGGATCTGTCGCACTAGGAGTGGATGCAGCAGCCTGTGCTGTAGCGGTCCGTGATCTCTGTGCTCTGGCCTCCTCCAAAGAAATTAGTCCAAAAGCGGGGGGTGCTCCCCCTATCAGTCCATCCTGGGAGATTAGAAGGATCACTTGGAAGGGAGATGTTGACAGGACGTATCGTCGAGCCATGCACAGAAATGGGAGAGGAGATTTCTTTTCCTTGAATGGAGCAAGGACTATGAGAAGCTGGCGGGACTGGCATTTCTGACTGAGGTGTCTCAGGGCGAGAAAAAACCTTTCCATACTGAGCTTCTGTAACTGTCGCATAAGAATCGCTGCGCGGCACAGCAGGAAAGGCGAGATGAGGTAGAATATCCGACGTGTCGTATGATTGTTCTGATGCCGACCTGGCATGATTAGGATTAGAATAAGGATGTGGGTCATCTTCAGTTGAAGAATACGAAGGTCTAGAAGGGTTAGAGCGAACACGAGATGAGCTCGTATCGAGGGGACCGACGTCATGTATTGAGGAAATATAAGATTCTGGCGGGGAACGCGAAGACTTTGGTAAAAGGAGTGGCGATTGTGCAAGAGAGGGTGAGTGAGATCGCACACGCGAAATAGAGAAAGGGGTCCGCGACCCACTTTGCGGCGAAGCCGAGGGAAGCAGAAGAGGCACTTGAGTGAGAGAGAGCGCTAATAATCCAGCAATTAGTACATAAAAGATAGGGCCTTGGTGAGAACTTACTGAAGGGGTCCCCGGGAGTAGGATGTTTGGGACGACACCGATTCGAACGAGCCTTTACCATGAGATCTTCTGGATTCAAAACTCGTTTTCCCGGTATTAAGAGTCTGAACGGGGGTAAAACAGCTCTGCGGTTGGTCCCGAGATCTATCCGACTCTGCCTCGTCCTCCATCACTGGTCCCTCATCTAATTCCCATGGCGCCTTTGAATGAAAGCGCATCTTTGGACCAAGAAGGCTCATGCGAGGCATAGGCTCATCATCTTCGTCATTTTCATCGTAATCGTTCTGGTCTTCATCGTTATATACAGAGGAAGAAGCAAAAGACGAGCGTGGGTCCTCGTCTCGGTCAAGCATGCTGACTGCGAGTTCGTTGATGCGATTCCGCTCCCTGCCTGACCTGGGCGACGAGCGGGATAGTGACTGCGACGCCAGACTGCTTGAGTCGGTCTCTCTGTCAGCTGGCTGAGGAGAGAAAAAAGGGTGACTGTATATTGAAGGCGTGTCTGAAAACTCGGAAAGAGAGGGAACGCGAGAATGAAGGTCAGCGCGAGTTGTGCGTTGGTCGAGAAGATGGCGAAGGTGGTCGTCATGAGGGTCGGGAGGGGAATTCATCGACCGCAACATGGTGGCGGGAGGCATAGACAACGAGAGCCCAACTCCAAGTACATGTCTGATCTTCCGTCAACATATGCATACAACCAGAATGTACCTTGCCCTTACGGAACGGACTTTCCCTTTTGGGCTCCGTAGCTGCCTCCACATAACCGCGGCGCTTGACAGGATCTTTCGAAATCAAAATACGAACGACGTGAATCAATAACTTCTTCATTCATCACGTCTAATTTTTGCACGTCGCGAGGTTTCACAGTACGCTAACAAAAGTGTTTCCGCAAAAAAGGCAACGATGCACTGCTTCCAGCAGTTCTTCCGCGACCCAACCTCTAGCTGCTATTGGCAACCAATCCCCGATGGCTGGAACACTAGAAGATGATGGCGGAAGAAACGCCTTTCGGGTGCAGCCAATGCACGTGCGAAGATACGGTGTTGACAATATAAAAGTCGTTATGGAACATCGAGCTGTATTTGCATCTCATTAGCTTATAACTTGTCAGATATGATTCAGAACACTTACACCATGTATGACCAGAAGGACAACGCGCCATGGTAATATCCTCCAGAGGGATCTCGGCTTGACACGCTGGGCAACGCTCAACGAATCCGTGTGATGACTGATCTGGCAAAAGCGCTTTGACTTTCTCTGATATATCTTGTCCTTCCGATAATAGGTCTGGAGGACAACCAGGAAGGAGGGACTGCACTACCATCCTCGACACGAAGGGAATGTCATGTTCTAAAAAAAAGCGGAGTCTAAACATGCGCCTTCATGAAAATTTACCTAGACGAACCTGTAAGGCAATGCATAACGGCGGCTAAATGGCGGATCATGGTACGCAGAACGCGATGCGAGATAGTATTCAGAAGTGACTGTGCCGTATACCCTAGTTCTTCCTGTTTCACGGCGTCATCTGACAATTTCTACCCTAGATTCAATGCATGAGCATGTAGAATACTGTAGCGGCGTACCCAAAGGTAATCAGAGACCTGAAAGCCTCATCCTCAAGGCTATTAGAGTATCCCAGCCAAAAAGATGCTTCGTCAGACTCCTTCTGAAAGCATGTCCTTGTTTCTGGAAGTAGTGGACCGCTCCACTGGAAAAACAGAAATGCCGGTAGAGTAATCAGGTAGGTCGACTGATAGGATTTTTAGGATCTCGGTGTACAAGGCTGATACTTCATCCTTGCTTCGGATATGAAAGAATATTGGCCGGAGGTTATTCAAGGGCGACGTATCTAGGGTTCTCATGAGAAAATTGATACCATAGCGAAGGGAGGCGTCATACAGGCTTGGGCCGAATTCAATGTGCGTTCTAGGGCTCGAAGGATATTGTTATGACCACTCTGGTCCCATATTTGTGCCACCATGAACATGCTTTGATGCCGTGCATCATGTTTATAACTGAAGTCAGCTGTTCGTGATGCCCTGGAAGAAGACGTCAGACTCAATGGCGCCGATCACCCGACCAAAAGGAATTACGGACTCGTGAATCCATACTAAACTGCCCATGCTATCGTAAGGCGCCATGCCACTAATATGATTATCATCCATATCCTGAATGGTTTCACTTTCAGAGCGAATGAATATTGTTCGGACGGCGTCTGACAGTGCCTGGGTAGTGATCGAGGAACCGTTCCATGAAGGGTTATCTGTAACATCATGGATGATATGCATGGAGCCGTCAAAAAGAGTCAGAGCAACAGCGTCATGCCCGGGCACGTATTGAATGCCTGATACAGGAAGGAAAGGCGATGACCCCACCGAAACTCTGTAATATTTCAAGGTAAGGGTCCTGGTACCATGCCATGAAAAAGGTGTTGTTGCAGGACATGTGCTCAGAGATACCGTGCTCGGTCTACAGTGGACGAGTGCATACTAGGAGATAGTCAGGGAAAGATACGGATGAACGATGGAGCCGCACAGGTTTCCCAGGAACTTCTATCCATTGCAAAGCCGTCACTCCTCGACCGTCACGTTCCCCAATGTTTGATTCGTTGAAAAAAGAAAATTTGATGTCATAGTTTTCACCGAAATCATCTGACGAGACTTGGAGCTCTTCAGTGACCTTCACGAGACCGATAGTGCCATCAGCTACCGCATATGCTACATGCGCCTCGCCTGTATCTCACTTGAGAGATATTCCACGCTCACATAAGAGTCGTACCTACATCGTGTAGGCCCAGCCAATGTCCAAGAAGAAAATGCCACATTTGTAATCCATCCTTCCGCAACCGATATAGTATGTATGTGCTGAGCGTCGTATTCTTCATTATACCTACAAGAAAATGAGTAACCATCAAATGTAATCTCGGTTCTCTGACCTTATAAAAACTAGGGAACCTCCACGACTCCCGCCAACAAGCAATGACCCATTGATCAACGGGGCTGGTGATAATCCAAAATTGGGCTGAGGAGACCACGATATGCCTGTAAAATAGAAGTATGATGACTGGACGCGTCGTATAAGGTGGACATACTGATAATTTGGGCCTTGAGGACTTTAGACACGTCGGTTTCATCACCCGACGCGTATTCTTTCATTAGGAAGGTCGTTACATCATGGGTCTGGATTGTAGTCAGCAGGTTTGCTCTTAGATTTTATGGAAGCACCAACTCTCGTCCATTCTCCTTTTAGGGCATTTTTGCTTGATACCCAGAGCACTAGATCCATGTTTGAACTTAGAGTTGCAAGTACGCATCTGTCAAACGGTGAGCATTCATCATTTCATTGAGCTACATGTAGGGTCATACCCCGCGTCAACGGTTACGCATGTCGGTGAGATGGTCACCGCCAACAAAGAGACATCTATCGATCCTAAGGAGTTCGCAGCCCACTCTTCAAGGTATATGTCAGTTCGTACTGTGTGCGTAAGAAATAAAGAGCGCGCCTTGTGAATGTTCGGGCCATCTCAAAGTTGCGGTTTTATCCAACTGAATCAACGTGCGGAACCAGCCGACATGAGGTATACCTCCCGCTTCACCAACAGACCTGAGAACCGACGTCGTATCGAAATTGATTCCATGGTCTGGTGTCTAAGATTTCCCATTAGAAGGTTCCATGGGTGAGTTTGTCGCCACACACCATTATGTGTACAGCCGACTTGGTGGCAATCACTACTTGACCATCGGACGACCATTGCACACAATTCGAGGAGGGGTGTGATGTTGCTGTCGGTAGATTCAGGGCCGTATGTACCGCATAGAGTGACATTGTGTCCTTCCGATTATACAGTTGACCTGGAAAATCAGCAGAACATGAATCCTAGATACCTTTCTCCAGAGATGGCATTGGAAAAGATGAAAGCGGAATGAAGGAAAGTAGAAATTCCAAGTCAAGTTCGGTCCGGTGTGCCGTTTTCCCTGCAACAGGTGCAAACAATTTTTCCCTTGCGCAAAAGTTCGCTCGGCTATTATTCTCTTCCTCTCTATTCGCTATCATGGATACTTCGTCGACGCCTGGTGTCAGCCCAATTCCATTGCGTGGTTCGTCAAATGGACGAGTTTCAGCTAAATCCTGGAAGCCTCTAAAGTCTGCTACAGCGTGAGTTCACTATTTACGAAACAGATATCTCGAATGCCAACATTTTCCTTCTTCAGGCGAAGTCTTGCATCTACCGGACGGAAATCCAAGAGCTGGGATGATCGCATGGAGAAAGCGAAGAAAGCTATGTCTATCAAGAAGCTAGAGAAAGAGTTGAAGGAAGAAAAGCAAGCCGAAATTACGCGGTATGCAGTGACTCTCTCAAGCCAGAGACAATGTTCATTCTTTATTTCGTATAGCCGGAAGGAAATAACATCAGAGAGGAGAAAGGCCGCGGAAGAGAAACGGCGACTGGAGGAAGAGAAAGCCAAGGTTACGCTTTCCCTTTCCGCGTCCACCCTTATATTAACAGAGTTTTAGATGGGTGCCAGAAAAGCAGCTCGACTACGGAGAAAAGCTGGCAGAAGCAAAAAGATTAATGGGTAACCGTTGACTGAGCTTCCAGATTCTCTGTATGTAATAGTATAATATCCGTGATGCTAAACGACAGTGCATAAATACAATCACAACGTCCACGTCGTGTCCACCTCACCCTCCTTGACAAACGGTTTATCCAAACCAACGATCACGCTTTCGCACAATGGACAATTACATGCCAACATGTTGTCCAACTCCGCTCTCAGCTTCTCTACCTTCCTTTCTCCGTCAGTATCGATCTCGCTCTTTCGGCCACCCATACCAGGAATCCACACAGACGGCGAGACCGCGGCGGCAAGTGCATCTGGAATGATGAGATCCCTGAGTTTGTCCCCGGCTGATAGTACACTACGGCCCAACAAGTTTGCAGCCCGAGTGCCATTCTGAAGAGGGTTGGGAAAGTTTGAAGAGAGCAAAGTACGTGACTGGGGATTTCGAGGGTTATTCTGACTGGGATTGGGTGCACTGGATACATTTGGAGGGTTTCCAGCTGCTCCCTTCACCAGTTCGTTCTGCAGAGTAATCATTCTTCGCAATGAATGAGGTGGAAGGTATTCCTTTGCCTGAAAAAAATGTTGGTCCGATGAATGTCAATGTAACGGAAAGATTACTTACGAGACCGATTAGACAATCCGCGTGGAACGCATGGCGACAGGGGAAGATATAGAACTGCCGAGTTAGCAAGAGATGGGAACACGACGAACAGGATTCTCCGGCGTCGATAGTCACAAAGCGATTTTTCAGCGCCGCAATATCTTCTTTGATCTCTTCTGCGGTCCGTGTAGCTTCGTCCATATCGCTCTTGAGGGTATCGATATGCGACGAATATCCTTCTAGCGCATGCGCTATTTCTTCTTTGAAATCGTCGATAACAACAAAGTCGGGGAAGAAGGGAAGTATATCTTCAATTTTGAGGAGATCAGTGTTCTCCAAAAACCGCATTGCCCTGGGGCAAAAATTAGCAGAAGTAGAGTAAACGAAACACTAGGAGCAAACGTTTTGATATCCTTTTTGTCTTGAACAACGTATCGGGCAATCTTTAGCCACAACTTCTTGCGCAAAGGTATATCCTGTTCAGGCATATCAGCATTGATTTGTGCCAGTTCCAAATCGCCCTTTTCCAGGGCCAGGTCAACACTATTCTCCCACAGCCCCATCTTCGAATAAATGTGAACACATGGTTGCGTGCGTCCGGTCTGCTTGCACAGCCGCAGAGCATAGTCCAGGTCATAGTAAGGTTTATCCGTCAATGGGTCGCACGGGGCATTAGTCAAGAATCGAAGAAGAGGACCATCATCCACAGGGGAAGATGATGGCGAGGTAGGTGACACGTAAAAGGTGATGAGAAGATTATGCAAAGTAGGGGATGTGTTATGCTGTTCGAACACAACATGATTGAGGTATCGTATAGCGTGATTCGGGGATAACGGATCACGAAGTGCGTGTTGCACTTGAAGGAGGGAGGGGATTAGCTTCAGTGGATCAAGGGATAGTTGTTTTAACCAAGAATCCACGGTTTCTCGTGGGGCGTTGCGCATGAGCACAGGCCCGAACCGGTAATAGAGACTAAGATCTGTCTGTTTGCTGTCAGTGCCCTGTACAGGAGACATACGATGCCAACATACCTGCCGGTTAATGACGTCCAGGGCTTTAGACCATTCTTCCTCCAGAACCCAATGTTCAATTACTCTGTCAAAGTCGCCGATCACTGTTGCATAATGCAAATACATATCAGTTCGGCCATGGCCCTGAATGAGTTCGTAGGTCGTCTGAGGATCGAGATTTTGCTACATTTCGGTTTCCTGATGAGATATTTTCTTACCCAAAAGCCTGCGAGACAAACCTTGTAAGTTTCAAAGAACTGCCGTAGGTCGTCTTCTAGAATAGTTTTCTCCGTCTGCAGGTTCTCAACATCATGAGAAACGGATTCAGACGCCACAACGTCATCCAATTCATTGCATTTGCTCAGGTAAAACTCGACGAGCCAAGTAGCCAGCATAAGACGCTGGGTTAGGTCCTAGACAATCCATTAATGGATACCACTGGTTCTAAAAATGGAGGCTTGCCTTTCTCCTTGTTCTCTCTAGTCTAGAGATGAGATAGGACCGTAAAGCATCATGTTCACCGACATCCAAGAACTTTAACGCTACTTCCTCGAATGGTACTGAACACTGAGCATAGCATTGAGCGGCTTGGAAGTAGCGGGTCTCTTCAAAGAATGCATTTCCTTGTGCTGAAAGTATGTGGTTGCGTTGCGTAGCCGTCTAGATGTCAATTAGTATGCATGACAGACCACACGAATATATTGACCTTGGAATATTTCAGTGCCATGTCAAATTGCCCTTTCTCCAGATATATTTTCCACACATCACGATCCTCGTTTCCTAATAGCAATTCGTATATCGACTGATTGGTATAAATCCAGTAAGTCTTTCGAACGGGATCTGCGGTTAGTCCAACAACTTCCTCTTCCGGTTTCTGCTCAACATTAATCAAATTCATATTCTTTGATGACCTGGAAGACTTACAAGAGGCAATGATTCCTCATAAGCGAGCTTGTCATCGAGATGGCATATGCCCACAACCCGATCTTGATATAACATGATGAAATGGAATTGACTAAGCGATATTGACAGAGGCGCGTTAGTAGAGAGGGATGATAGTGCGGGATAAGGGAGAACGTCGGCAGCGTCAATGAAATCGTCTGAAGTTGAATCGAAATTCAGGTTTCCATGATATATTCCGGGGGCTAAGCGAATGTGAAAACAGGTCTCAATTGACCAGTCAAAGACGTACCCGTCAACCATGCCATTGATCGAGGGAGCGAGAATGCTTGCTCTGCGTTGGGTGTGTAGTAATGCAATTCTGAATAAGTCAGGTCTCCAGGTAGCTCAAGGATCCCTGTTCATGGCTTCCTTCAACGCAAAATCCTAAGAAAAGTTGTATACACGAACTTGGAGCACTATCCCGGTAGCTGGAAAAGAAGCTGGAGAAGACGCGACCACCATCATCTGACCTGCGGTCAGGTGTCCCAATAAACTGGTATATCCTCGACGGGGTAGTTGCTACAACTAGAGCCTTCTTCGGGTCAGACGGCGGAAAAAAGTCGAACTTGATGCCTGTAATTGGCTGCCTTTCGGGAAGGGAGAACATGGGTTGCAGATATCTTTCGTGAGACTTGAAAAAGTCATCTTCAGAGTCCAAGATAGCCTCCAGAATTGTACCATTACGCGCCCCAATAAGCATTTCGCGAGTCGACGTTGGATGAGCGTTAGAAAGAAGGGCAGTCTTGTTCCAAGCGATGCTCTCAATAACCATCTTGTAGGTCTTCAGCTGTTTTGGTCTCTTCCAGGTTTTGAAGAGATACCAATTCTCTCCCTGCAGTGAAGTGATGACTATATGCCTGCCGGAAGGATCCACGAATAATTTGTAGATCGTCATATCCGTTTCTTTCCTTGGAATTTGGATTCGTATTGGCTGGTCTGGACGAGAGAGTTCAATTATGATGAGAACATTGGATTTGAGAGCCATGACGAGGACATCCGAGCAGACGACAAGTGAGACAAGCGGCGCATTGATTGCACACTGCACTTGGCCAATACTGAATACTGGTGCTGTAATCCCATCGTAGTTGGCGTCGATCTATAGAAGTAAATCATGAAGCAGAATTCACATTTAACAGTGATTGCGACACACGGGCAAGTCTGACTCTCCAGTTTCCTCCTGCTCATGCGGTCCTGGTTCGAAGCCCTCATATTGGATAGGTGGCAAGGCAAATGGCACCGAAGAGGCCACCGTTGCGTGTTCTACATCTTTTTGTGTATCAGTCAAAGAATATCTTGGGATTACAGGAGAAGATACGCTTACAGTCGTCAAACATGAGTCCAGTGTCTGTGCAATACTACTGAGACCTGAAAAGGCAGTCACCATCATCGGATGCATTACAAATACTCCCACGGTTCCAGAGTATAAAGGGGCTAATATTCCAGCTTTCTGTCTTTGCGCCTATTCGAAACCATGGCACGCCCAATGCCACGTCTTTTTCTTATCCGTCATGGTGCGTATCTGTATTGCAGCGAGATTTACCGTAGTCGATTATGATTCGTGCAGGAGAGACTGAATGGTCCAAAAACGGGTAAGTCCAGCTACACTGATGTACAATCAATTCATTATCAACTACCTTCAGGAGACACGTCAGTATTCCTCATTAATATTTGTCCCAATATTCGTGCACTGAGCGCGCATACATCAGACTGGCCGTAGTGATATACCTCTTACGGCAAGAGGAGAAGAGCAAATCAAGTGCCAGGCCCAGATCCTAGTCGGCGACGGGAGTACGTGACTATCCAAATGAGCTTCTTCCCGTGCTGATGCAGATGTCGTTCAGAGATCATCGATCCTAAGAATCTTTGCACTGTCTTTGTCTCTCCTCGCCAGCGGGCTCACAAAACATTCCACCTTCTCTTTGACCATGTCGAGACGCCACATCACATCATCACTGAGGAAGTACGAGAATGGGATTACGGTCAGGCTCCCGTATGAAGAGAATGGACTGATTCGAATATCCATCTTCAGGTCAATACGAAGGACTTCTGCCATCTGAAATTCAGGCCCGCAATCCAGGCTGGAAGATCTGGAAAGATGGGTGCGTCTGATGACGTCTCTGATAAAACCATATTTGACTTGTTTCGTTGTAGTTGCCCCGACGGTGAAAGTGTAGAAGAGATGCAGAATCGCGTTGACATTGTCATCAAAAATGTGAGTGCTGCGCTGGTCTAGTATTTCGTGCCATTTACCATCCACCTTTAGGTCCGTGAATATCACCGGCAATACAAGGAAGAGGGACTCAATACTCGTGATGTGGTCATCGTGGCGCACGGACACTTCAGTCGCGTTCTTTTGGCTCGGTGGATCCGCTTTTCCCCTCCACCTCGGTACGTGAAATTTATTAGTACTAATTAAATAAACGCAATGGAGACTCATGTCGTCACGTAGGTACAAATTTCAATGTTGAGCCTGGAGGGGTACGTCTTACGTATTCCATGATTGTTCTGCTGCTTATTGTACTTCTTCAGGTCGCCGTGCTTGGATACAACCATAACAATCTGGAAGAGCCTGCAATGAACGCCCTGAATCTGTATGCAGAGCTCAAATAGCAAGGTTTTTGTACCTGTAGCAATAGGTGTTGTACATTAATTAATGACACGCGTATAGAATAGACGTCAGAGTCACACAGCTGCCCTACGTCCAGTTGAACGCCACAACGACGCGTCCTCCTAGTATTCAGTATTAATTTGAAATGATAATTGCTTCCGACGCCGAGTAATAGCCGGCAAATTCCTTTATTTGGCAAAGGCATCGCGCCAAAATTTCCATCCATAGGCCGAGCTCAGCTCAGCCCACCATTCTTCTTCATTTCTTTCTTCCTGTCGTTCGTTATTTAAGACATTCTCCCCTATGGCGGAGACTGACATTCACGATGTACCGTCCACGTCGTCCAAGGCATCTGATCTTGATGCTATCGCAGAATCTATAGAGGGTGCGATTTTCTTCTCGAGTCTCCTCATGCTCGACACGAGGCCCATCTAATATCACATTTGTAGACGTGGAACGGCCCTCGGACATAACGTCCCAGGAGGGTACCCCCGTTGACTCCCATTCAGCCAATGGCGACACGCGGCCAGTAGACGAAACCCCAGAAGGGTCTGTCGAAAACTCGACGAAGACGGAAGAAGGAAAAGCACCGGGGAAGGCCAAATTCACCATTGCTAAGCCATCCATGTCGGTCAAAGCTGGTACTGCCACGACTAAGCCTCGCGGTCCCACAACTCCCATTGTTAAGAAGGTGCGCCTCAAGGTATTCGTAGCTATGTTCAATCACTTATCGTTTCTGCATCGTTGGGGTAATCAGGTATTAAATTCCGGAACGTTTGGGTCAGGTTCTGTTAAACCGCCATCTACCAGGCCAGCACCGCACACTGCCGATTCTGCTGCTAAACACCCTGCGCCGCCGAGAAGGTCCATCAACTCTGCCTCGACGAAACCGCCAATGGCTTCACGACCTACCGCGGCATCGTCAACCTCCGCCACCGCAGCCAGAAGGACCTCAGTAGTACCAACCAAGACTCCGTTATCACATCCCTCGAAGCCTACTACTGGCGTAACCGCTGCCTCTGCTACCGCGAGCCACACGTCCGCCTCTCCAACCGCCTCCAAAGCGACGTCACCCGTTCGGCCACGCGCATCTGTTTCCGATGCCGTGAAAAGGGCACCCCTAACTGCACGGCAAAGCTTGCCCAGTACGACTAAGCTCTCTCATTCGGCTTCAGCCAAGGCACCTGCCGCCAAACCAGGCCTGGCTGCCTCCAAAGCTCGTGCGACATCATCTATCTCTTCGATCCGCGAAGTTCGGGACGACAGCAAGCTTTTGGAAGAATTGCAAACAAAGGTATGTACTCTCATTCCCTGCGGCTTGCTCTTCTCTGATCGGCTTCATAGGTCAAGGAAGCCACAGATGCCCTTACGTCCAAGACGGAGGAGGCTACAGACCTCAAGGCTCAATTATCGCAAGCCCATGCGTCTCTGGAAGCCGTTAAAGTCGAGCTGGAATCGAAGGCATCTGCGGCTATACAGTCAGAGGAAAGTAGGGCTTCGCTAGAGACACGACTAGAGAGTGCCCAGGCAGCGTACGACGAGTTGAAGAATTTGCAGGCGGAAGGCGATATTACTCTAGAAGCCGTGCGGAAAGAGGTAAGCACAACCTCATGTCCGTCTTCATAAAGTTCATTTGGTATAGCTCGAGGACGCAAGAGCTGCAACATTGGCCCAGACCGAGTTTGTTGCCAGTCTGCAAGAACAGATCAAGGAACTGGAAGCCGAAGTTGCCAAGACAAAGGACAACATTAAGGCTCTTAAAGATGCCACAACTGCCGCGACGTCGGAGGCGGCTTTAGCAGCTTCCGTGGAACATGATGCTTTGCTCGAAGCCCAGGAGGATCTCGCAGCAATCCAAGCGGAATTGGGAGAGTTAAAGAAATCTCATGCTCTTGCTCTGGCCGAAGCTATGGGCAAGAATGGTGAACTGGAAGTTCAGGTGGCGAAGGTGGACGCATTGGAGGCGCTATGTACTTCTCTCCAACAGGAGAAAGAAGAGAGCGCGAACAGGGTGTCGGAATTGGAGATCGAGGTCTTGGAATTGAACGAGAGCCAGGAGTCCTTTGATGAAGAGCGGGAGCTTTCACTAAACAAGCTGAAGGCACTGCAAGACGAACTCGCTGCAGCCACCGCCGCCGCCGAGAAAGCTAACAGCTACGTTCAAGCAAAGGAAGCAGAGTACATATCCACCGCGGAAACGGTCAAGGTAGAACACGAGAATGCCCTCAAAGCTGCTGCCGAAGAGCAATCCAAAGTTCTTGCCCAACTCGATTCCTTGAAGAACGAACTAGCCACCGCACTTTCTACTCACGAAACTCTCAAGAACGAGGCGCTGAAGACTGCTGAGACACATTCCCGTGCCCTCGACGAAGCTGAACAACGATACATTGCCAGACAGAGTGAGCTTTCAGAAGAGATCGATAAGATCACTGCAGAGCTGGAGGTGTGTTGGACTGCGAAATTGACGCTAAATTCCTTAACATTGTTTATTAGGGACAAGAAGCGCAATACAATGCTAAAGTCGATACTGTCAAGGAGGAGCACAGCAAGTTACTCGAAGAAGCTTTCGAGCGTGCCAAGGTCAGTTAAATTCTCCGGAACGTGTGGATCCCACTCACATCAAGGTACAGACAGAAGCCGGAGACGATCACAAGAAAGATTTAAACGCTGTTCGGACAAACTTCGACTCCACAATAGCTCAGATGGCAGCCACTCACCATTCTGCTATGGAAGATTTGAAAGCGGAGCATGCCTCTACTCTTGAAGCTCAAGCTAAGATGCTCGAGAAGCAGATCACCAATCTTACCTTGGACCTCAAAGCTACCCAAGACGATCTAGCGAAGGCTAAGGCGTCTTTCGAGTCGGCTCGTGCAGAGATCGACACCCTCACTGCTCAGCGCGATGAAGCCCGAGCAGCTGCAGCCGCCGTTCCTGAGGTATCGCCTGAACAGGCCGAAGAAATCGCGCGACTTACAACTCAATTGTCGGTAACCAAGGACGATCTCTCCGCGATTACCGACATGCTCAATCTCACCAAGGACTCGTTGACTGAGATGTCGCATAACCATACAAAGGAGCTGGAGGAGGTGGCCAAGGCAAGGGCCGAAGAGGTCACCAAATTGCGTACGGCTCATGAAGAAGAGCTTTCGGTGCTCGGGACACAGAAATCAGAGCTGCTTGTGAAGCTTTCTGATTTGGAAGGCGAGTTGGCTACTGCAAAGGCGGCACTTGCGGCAGAGCCTGCTGTTCCCAAGAGTAATGGTACTGTCCCTCCCCAGTCGCCCGGCGTAACAAAGGAAGAGCTACAACGTTTGCATGAGGCGCATAACCTGAAGGTACATGACCTGGAAGCTGAACACCAGAAGGCCTTGAAGGCTCTATCCGCTAAACTTGAAGCAACGGAGGCTGAAGCAAAGGAATCAAAGCTCGAAGTGGAACGAAAGGAGATGGAGATCAAGTATCTCGAGTCAGATCAAGAAGACGCTTCGGAACTGATCACTCGGTATGTCTGATTTTATTTTAAAGGTGTTCCGGTGCCACATTCGTGTTCCGCGACGCCGCCCTGATTTGACGAGTTTGCTAACTCCGTGTTTGTTTCAAGGTTGAAGGAAGACCTCGAGACGATGTCTGAGCAGCTGAAAGCCAAGAGTACCGGCTCTGATTGATACAATTTTAACACATGCGCGGGCCATTTGCCTCGTCTTCCGCATTTCTCACGCTTAACGACAACTTTAACATTCAGATTCCATATTCCGACTTATTTTACCTTTCCGCTTACTATGTATGCCTTGTTACTTCTATCTCGGATATCCTTCACTTGTGTTTAGCCTTCATGCATACCCTGCCTATCATAACTGTTGCCATTTTTTCCCCTTTAGATCGGACTATATCGTGGAGTTGCCTACCCACTCTGATATCAGTGTTCTCGGATTATTGGTGTGACAATGCAACAAATGCGGATGGATACTCAGGGAACATTACTGAACCGACCGGACTGAACGCTCCGACGAGGTCCTTATTATGGCAGCACCACGTCGGGCGGAGGTACAGCAGCTCGGCTACCTCCGATCACCCCAAAGAATAAAATCAATTACTTATAGGGCCACTTAACTGCTCACCCTTCCCTTTTTCCCTCTTGCCATCTCTTTTTTTCCCTTCTCCCTACCTTTTTTCGGCGTATTCACGATGGCCATACAGAAAGAACCCGGTCAAAAGGGCATCAACTGGTCCAATATTGCTGTTGGTAAGTGCCAGAAGGAATGACACGTGAAAACAAACTGACAATGTATAGGTGGTATCATGAATATGGTACATCTTTTTTTCAGTGCACCATGAGCGCAGGAACTGACGTTTTCTCTTTATGAATTTCTGGATGTTTAGTTCGTACGTTGTCTCCATTTTTCAAGTTGTGACGCGTTCTGATAGCTTTCGCAGGAGGTATGGCGTTGAAGTGTTATATTCTCGCTTCAAAAATTCACCGAAAAATGCCAGGTCACGACTCTTGGACAGCCTTTAGAAGTCCTCAAGACGCAGATGGCTGCTAACCGGTCGCAGACGATGTTGCAAGCCTGCAAAACGGTCTGGAGTCGAGGAGGTTTTGTTGGTTTCTACCAAGGCTTGATCCCATGGGTACGTAGCGGGCAATCGTCGTAATCATAAAAGGCTCAAATTCATGATTAATAGGCGTGGATTGAGGCTTCAACAAAGGGAGCTGTGTTGATATTTACGGCATCAGAGGTCGAGACTGGTACATTGGCCATGGGAATTAACCCAGCCTTTGCCGGTCTCTTGGGAGGCATGACCGGCGGTGTTGCCCAAGCTTATGCGACCATGGGTACGTTGTCGCAGCCTATACCTTATCCAGGCTAATTGTAGGTATTGTGCTAATCTATTGTTTGTCAAGGTTTCACGACGTGTATGAAAACAGCTGAAATAACGCGTCAAAAAACGGCTGCTTCCGGAGTGAAGGCCCCTTCAACGTGGGCACTCTTTGCTGAAATTTACAAACGGGAAGGCTTGGCTGGTGTTAACAAGGGTGTCAATGCTGTCGCGGTGCGTCAGTGTACCAACTGGGGTTCTCGGTACGCATATCCTTTCTATGTCGTTCAGGTATGAATGGCTGACCGATCTTGTACACCTGCAGCATGGGATTCGCTCGCTTGGCCGAGACTTTCATCCGGAAAGCCCGTGGTAAAGGGGACAACGACTCTTTGAATGCTTTCGAGAAAATTACGGCCTCAACTGTTGGTGGAACCCTGGCAACTTGGAATCAGCCGATTGAAGTCATCCGTGTCGAGGTATGCTTCTGTTATCGTGATTGAACAGAACGATATTGACTGGCATTTAGATGCAATCCATGGCAAAAGGCGCAGCTAATGCTAATCGACCCGAGAAACTCACGATTCTTAACACGTTGACCTATATCTACAAGGAAAATGGTATCAAGGGACTCTACCGTGGTGTTACCCCCCGTATAGGTCTCGGTATATGGCAAACCATCTGTATGGTTAGCTTCGCCGATTATGTCAAGTTATGGTAAGTCGACATACAACTCACCCTGTTATAGAGTCTGACAGTTCTCTAGGGTCAAGGGGAAATGAGCTTTCGTATTATAATACCCACTTTAGATTACTCTACAATCGTAGACTATGTACTTATTGCTTTTTACATTTTGACGCGTACCAAAATTGCCTCCGGGTACCATTGAGCCGGTTCCGGTCCAGATTTCATTTCTAAGAAGCAAATGGCATTGATAGGCGCTTAGTACAGATGAGCATCCCCGTCACCACCAGTAAAGGGCCTCATCCCCTTCTCGTCAAGTACCTCAATGAATTGGTAGCCCATCCTTTGCGTACAAAAGCAATCACCACTGGTACGCATTCCTTCCAGCCAGCAACGTACTCATCGTAATAGTTCCCACGTGTAGCGACTCTCTGTCTTCTGCAAGAAGTCCTCGGCAGCAACTTTGCTGGAATTCCCCCCAGAGTACCGCGACATGCACCTTTCTTCTTGCGCATCCTAGCCCAATACCATCTTGACGCAAAGGCGCTGAAGATGGCGCTCTATGGCTTCCTCGTGTCTGCCCCAATGAGCCATGTCCTTGTCGGCGCGATCCAAAAGGCATTTGCGGGGAAGACTGGGACGTCTGCACGGGTCCAACAGATAATCGCCAACAACCTTCTGGTAGCGCCCATTCAGGCAACAAGTACGTTCAGTCGTCCCTTATGAAGCTTCGAGACTGAAGATTGCTTGAGTTTATCTCTCTTCTATTGCTATTATAAACGGAACCAAGACTTTAGATGGTGTAATTAAGACTGTGAAAGCTGGCTTCTTGCCTGTTCTACGTGTACGCCTTTCCTCTCTTATCAATTGAGAATTGGAACATATTTTTTCAGATTACATGGGTTGTCTCGCCCTTGTCCATGCTTGTGGCTCAAAAATACGTTCCCCAGCACGTAAGAAACTTGCAAAAGGGATGCTATCATGATCTAACCTCTTCCTCAGCTCTGGGTGCCGTTTTTCAATTTGATCCAATTTGTCCTCGGTGTACGCCTTTCACAATTCCAAGTATCTACCGTAACTAATATAACTTACAACTTTCAGACCGTGTTCAACACGAGGGTCAAGAGACAACGGCTGGCAGCCAGCAAGAAAGCCAAGGCTTCTGAGGACGACTCCGAGTAGCTCTAGACTACCTGTGTATCATGCGAACGGTGGATTATATGGTGGTTGTAATATAACAAAGATTACACTCCCCGAGTATCGCGTACAATAATGTTAGAATAGTGTACCTGCTCGGACTCCTGGATATAATGATGCCGTATCCGCGGTTTGTCCCCAGGAGCCTGATCAAGTTCATGCACCTCTACCTCCAGGCGCCATGCATGCAGACTGTACAGACCGGGTCGTGATACCCACATCTTGGGGTGTATTGTAATCAACTCAGTTGGGTTCAGCACTCCCCGGAAGGATAGCCGGCCAGAGTAACATGGCCGGATGGCACTCCTACAAGAGGATAAGAGATTATCGTGAATATATGAGGGAGTAACTTACGCAGTGGGCGCGTCTATGGGCTGCTCTGTAAGCAGTTTCAGCACAAAACTTGATCTGTGCGTCAGCGAATGGTTTCTGATGGTGAAAGTAACGGGGAGGCGACAAGACCTATTCAATGCTCATGAGACTGACAACGTGACATAGTGATAATAACTTACCCTTTTGCGAAGTCGTGGTCCAGGGTTTCAAGTCGTCCGAGCAGTGAGTACGATAGGATCCATTTCTGAATTCCACTCGCTGTCCTTCACAGATTGAAGCATCTTCACCTTCTCCCGCTGAGTCTCAGCATACATGTTTCGTGTAGCCTTGGTATTCTCAGCCAGGTCCACAATATCTCTCAACGCTGCGTGTCCCGCTCCAATGTTGATCCCAGCTAGCAGGAACATGGCCGTTACGATGCTGAGCTGGTATCTCCCAAAATATCACTATATCAACAGTGTTTGGATGATATAACGGAAAAATCGAGGAATAATTTTCCGAGGGTATGAGCGGATGCGACTGATTAATTTTTCTAGCCGCGTAATTGCGCCTGCCGCTGTGAATGAAATGCCGCGTAGCTACTTCTAAGGCAGCCCGGTGGCGGGATGCCTGTATATTGTTAGAAAGAGTATGTGGGAAACGACACAGATTCTGACCTTATGTATGTGGTTACAATGCAACCGGGTAGGGAGAGGCTTTGTAGGATCGGAGGGTGCACCTTGAAGCACGTCTGATAGTTTTCTTGAGATAAATTTAACTGATTCTTGCGGATCTGCCGCTTCCTTCCAATGATTGGCACCCAAGTATAGATGCGACGCTTGGGAAGGCTGTACAAGACCTCTGCCGAAAAGGTTAAGTGTTATGTTCAATCGAGACGACGCAAAACTCACAAAGGATCCTGCGAGATTGATCTACACTCCCATGTCGGACTCATGGTCGTTACTTGTGTTAGTAGTAGAGCTGACGACGATATATTCTCGATATCCAAGTTCAACAAAAATAGATCATCAGGCATGGATGAGGGATTCGTAATGGAAGATATCCTCAATAGAGGTTGAACCTCGTAATCTCGAGTAACCTGCACCGATCGAAAACGGCCAGAAGACTGTTGCAAGAAATCAGTTAGCAAACATCTAAACAACTAAAAAAAGATGATTACCCCACGATAGACAACAAGGAGACAGAGCTCTTGTTGTCCCGTATCTTGGGCGTGGAGAGCTATTGACAACTCGATTGAGGTCCCAGGTTGTAGTGGTGAGTCGAGTTTTACTTGCTGAGGCTGAGCCGGAATCGTAGTGTTATCCACGTCCAGAGTCTCCGCACTCAATTCAGACGCTATAATCTCAACATTCAGAATGTGGTAACCTTAGCCAATCAACAAGACTAACCATGTGTATCAACTAGACGTTCCTCGTCTCCCACCCAGATTTCATCTTCCGCTCCAGCTACTACCCACACTTCGTTGATTGGCCAGGTGCCCGTGTTCGACAACCAAAGGGCCAAAGGTCTAGTTTCACCGTGTCCCAACACTAGCCGTCGATCATCTACAAAGTTTGCCAACAACTTATGGCTCGCCTCCGCAACATCAACTTTGATTAAAACGTCCGGGGCATACGCTGGAGTTTGCCGTTGCGCGGGTGTATTGTGTAGTCGTTTGCCCCTAGAAGCGAGAGACTCCGTAGTCAAGAGGAGGGACAGGAACCGGTAGGTCGCGTGAGTGACGACCAAAGAAGCAGGCCGCCGTGCTTTGATGGCCACGGAGACCTAGAAAAATATTAAAACTGCGTAGGAGGACTCCGAAATTTGACGTACTATCTTAGACTCCTTAGGTCCCAGTACCACGTCGTCAACGGTCTGGACGTCAACGAATTGCTTAGACGAGGATGGCTCTTGCTTCTTCGACTCCTCTACAACTACTGTGACTTCCGAAAGGTTGACTTCGGTGTCTAATGGGTTCCGCAAAGCCAAGTCGATCCAAAATGTTTCTGAACAGAAAGGAAAGACGACGTGAGAATCACAAATATGAGAAAACAAGTTGCTGCTACCATCAACTGCTGCATATCCTCCCTTGGCGAGACCTTCTGGGGACCCTTGCTCTTTACGAAATCTGATCCAGTCTTCTTCTCGTTGTTCCCAATGACTCTCATCTGAGCTTACATGGGGCAGACGAACGAAGCATTGCTTCGGTACACAGAAATTGAAAGGAAGACTCAGGTCTTTGAGTGCCATTTTATCGGACGGTGTTGATATATAATGCTGTGGAAAGGAATAAGTCAAAGCGGTATACGATGAGAAACTCATCGTACAGCTAAAGCCACTCTAAAGTCATCCAGAAATAGTTTATCCGTGGACGGTGCATGTGGTTCTCCATCCACATTTGTCACCAATCCTGACAATTGTGATGAAGTTGCAGAAGTACCCCGCAAAAGTCCTAAGAAGAACCTGACAGCATCTAAAACATCTCCAGTAGTATATAACAGTCGACCTGACACAGTGTAAGCGATGAGTCTGGAACGTAAATTTTAACGTACCTAATGGGTGTTCAATGACTGACAGCATTGCGTTCAGGCCCTCAGTTGAAGACGGTGATTTCCCTTCAGAGTCCCAAAAAGAGGGTGAGAGCTCTTTCGGTCGCCGCACTTTGTACAACTCATGGGCTTTCCGAAGAAAATACATGGTCAGTGGCTTCTGCACTCATAAATGATTTAGATTCCCCTTCGCGGACCGGCGAGTAGTGCTCACAATTCCACATTTTTCAAGCCTATTTGCAGCTGACGCATACCATAACGCAGCCCGTCTACGTGCCCCCTTAGCTGTGGTCAATAACGCAGCATGAGCTAGTAATAAAGCTGTAGGTGCTTCCTCTGACTGTATACACATATGTCAGACAATTACGTGTAGGAAGAGGTAAGCCGGGAGACTCACGTTTCCGGCGGCCCAGACCAGCCATCGTTCGCCCTCGAGCGTGTCACTCAAAAAATCCTGATGGCCAATGCCAGCTTCCCAACGGACGGCATACAGTAAGGCCCGCAGCTGTGCACTTGCAGGCGGGTCAGGTGTTGATGGATGGATGCTGTTCAGAGCCGTGGAAGCGTGTAATGGGATAGCAGGTGACGGAGTCAGTAAAAGAGGGAGAATATCCTGAGTAATACTATCAAAACCTGGTGCCTAGTCAAGATGCTGCGACTTACAGAACCGCCTTGTCCTTCTTTGCGAAGTGCTTCCCATACACTTACGGCTAGCTTATAATCTCCTATTATCGTGGCAAACTCGGCCAGGCGGCGTTGTTGAGGGAGGGGAGGGGGTCCCGAACTCGGTATCGACCCCGCGAATGTGTTAGAGCGGATACTGGATACTGAATGGTGCGGATTATGAGTCGGAGCGGGTGACGGTGATGGAGACCCAAAAAAGCGACGCGTTGAAGAGAAGAGACGAGATGGGAGCCGTCGTGTTGAGGAAAACTAGGACAATCAGCGAACTTGAGAAACTTGAGGAATGGTGGACACACATTCTCGTTCCATTCTACCACGCACTTTTCCATCCACGGAAGTAAGCTCATAACTAGAAATTCACGCGTGAATCTAGCGGTTCGTTGAATATCGGTCTCTCCAAGTCTCAATGTGTTTAAGGTAACATCCGTATTGGGACATTCTGCATCACCATTAGGTCCAGTGGGCCCAGGTTGTGTTGAATCATTAGATGTGAGGGGCGGCACGCGGGGTACCAGCGCAGGCACTGGAACTGGTGGTGGCGGTGGGTCAGGCAAGGCAAGAGGCAGAAGATAGCTATGTAGGCCAAACTGTTTCTTGACGGCATTGAAGAGAGCACCAGCTCTAGACAACATAAGACTATACCATGCAGATAAGTAAAACTCAAGACGTACTCTTCATCTGACAGAACTGAATTCTGAGGATGTATAATCAAAGTACACCGGAGAATATTGGGATCTACCCATGACGGGAACTCTAGAGGTCTGGCATGAAGGGCTGTTATTGCCTGTAGGGGATTAGGTGCATTGGTTGACACTCCCATAATGACTGACAACTGTTCAGCTGAATTCTTGAAAATATATCTGCAGGACATACCTGCAACTGGATGGTTCCAGGTCTCCGTTCGTAAAGGTACGTGGCTTCCTTCTACACAACGCCGTACTTCGTCCCACCACGGCGTCCTCGACGCATCTTTCTCCCCAAGCTTCTGAATATCCTCAACCCATTTTGCACATCTACGGCCTATTCGTTCACCAATCCAGTCAAGTGTCCTAACCGCTCTCTGTTCTTCGTCTTCTCTGCATGCGGTTTCTATCTCTGAGAGGTCCGAGAAACGCAAGGCAAATGACGAGTGCGGTACGGATGTTAAGGATGTTGTTCGAGTAGTGACTGCAAGCGAATTCAAGTTCTGATTAATTTGAACCTTCTATGAATAAACCGACCTTGTGGTAACGGAGAGAAAGATTGGAGAATTGCGGGTAAAGGCGGCAGAGAGGAGGATTGGAGAAGCTGGGTGAGATCATCGGAGGGTATGATGCATATATGCGGGCTCAGCGAAGATGGCAATACCGGCGCCATGTATGAGAATGGTCGTGGTATGAAGACAGGCGGTCTGCTGCCTGACGTCGGAGGCGACGTCCACCAGAGTCGCGTCGACCACGATGAGCTCAGCAAAAATGACTGAAATTTCACACGAGGTCATTCCAAGTTCGGTCATCCGGTTGTTACATATAGATGTCATTACAACATAAGTCAAAAGACGAAGAAAAGTAAAACGTCTATCGCTACATGTAGGAATAATGGATACAGTATATCGCATAGGAAGAACTCAGAAGTCGCCTCCACCGAAATCGCCTCCGTCAAAATCACCGCCTCCGCCAAAATCATTACCTCCACCAGAGTCATCATGGTCATTAAATCCCCCGCCCACCAAGTCTCCAAGAAGGAGACCGCCAGCCAGACCGCCAACCAGAGGAAGGGCCATGCCTCCCATGCCTCCCCCTCTCCTACGCTGCATATTAGCACCAACAATTGGCTGCTGCTGGTATACCGTTTGAGGATATCGCGATGCTCCATATTGGGGAGCCGTGTACTGGGATGCACCGTACCCACCATATAAAGCCTGGTTAGCGCTATGCTGTTGTTGACGACTCTGCTCCTGGAGCTACATCACAATGAATCTCTAATTTTCCCTGATATAGCCGCTAAGCGCACTCACCATTGCGATCCGGTCTTTCTCGGCCTGCCGTTCTTCTTTAGAGCCAATAGCTTTATCCTTTAGTTTCCCAAAGAACCCGCGCTTGTGGTGCGGAGCAGAAGTTCTGCTAAAAGAATGACCACGATTTTCGGGGGAATAGTCGGGGGCAAGGCGAGTCTTTTCTCGAATATCGGGGTGTTCCCTGAGAAACTGGTCATCTTCGTAAGGGTGCACCCAAATAGAGCGCAGGGGATTGGCACGGGTATCAACCTATGCCGAAATTGTGTCAACCAGGAGAACTAGACTACAAAAGATAATCAAGCACTCACGTAGTAAGGATGGCCAGATTCATGGATCTGTTTGATCCAGCCAGAAGGAAGGGCCTGATCATTAGATTCGCGGGACATTGTAGTAAAAGTGAAAGGTGCGAATGCGCAGTCGCCAGCAAAAACCAGGATTTATAAACTTTCTGGATTCACCGCCCTCGGAAAGCGCCAGTGGATACTAGGAGCGTTGACATCATCAATGCTGTGCAGAAGTTAGGGGCGTTGGAATTTAGCAGGTAACATTCCTGTATCATTACGGTACACCCTGTCAATCTGTAGATCCTGTGAGAGCAATTCTCATATGCGGTATGATGGCAAAGGGAATATATCCTGACGGTCCTTTGATTACACGTAAATAAATCCAGCAAATTCATGTGTGCAAGTTTGCATGCAAGCTCCGTATCAGTTCGTCAATGCGTTGTACCTTCTTGTCCGTAGGCATCTGAAGAGTAAATCAGAAACAAAGACTTCTTTAAGGCGTAAAAAATGTTCCTTACTTCGAAGAAGTCGTGCATTTGCTCTCTCCTCTCGGCATTCGCCTCCTCTTGCCGTGCGATGTCCTCCACGAAGGCGTAAGAACCATCCGTGAATCGGTTACCCAGCTCCTGCCTTTTATTCCTATCCGTATTCTTCGGACTCTTACCAGCTTTCCCTTGGCTAGTAGGCATTGATCCCAGGTCATCAGAAGGAGCGCCGTGCATCCATTCACTGGAATGGTCACCCCCGCGAGACGCGCCCCAGGTCCCCCATGGATCCTTCGGTCCATCATGATCCAGCGAGTCTAGATAATCTTCGAGCTTCAGAACCTCGCCTCTCTCCGCGGCTTCGACCCCTCTGATCCAGTAAGGGATGTACTCCCCGACATGGTCAACGAAGTAGCGGTGTTCCGAATCTCGAGCCTCATCCTTTGTCATTTCCTCCTGCTTGGGCAGCTCAAAATCCCAAGAATCCACGATCGGTGGACCCCACCACGACTCAACATTGACTACGTTTTGATGGTGGTGCGCATTCTTTTCATGAGCCAAGGCAGCCTTTACATTCATGTACTTGGGCCGCGGGTGAGGGGTACATATATTACAGTACCAGTCCGAGTGTTTGCCTTGCGTAAAATCTATTTTCCGACAGAAGGATTAGCTGTGATGCAGCGCTCTAGACTTTCGTAAACGTACGCTCGGGATTATCGAATCCAGGTGTCCTGGACATCCGTGAGTAAGAAGTCTGCCCCGTATTTTGGAAAGTAGAACGTTGAGGTCGCCGTTCCCAAGGCATTGTCAATCAGTTCGGAATAACGTGTGAAGTAGAATGAGGTATCGCGATATCGGAGGTAGCCAGAGGAAGAAGGTAACTGAAGCAAGTTCTTGGAGGAGCCCCGCGTCTTTATACGGTGTGTATGAGACAAGAGGCGGATCAGCTGTGGCTGTAACAACTTTGGAAATAATCACACGAGCCACGTGTGTGATCACCATCCTATTTTTAGTCTAAACTTGCTGTCAGCTGTAGTAAGAGGCTGTAAGCTGTAAGTCTTAAGGAGACGACGAAGAAAATTGGACGAGTGTGCGAGCTCTATAAATGTGTCCTAATGCATTCGATTTCAATGCTGTTTCCCAATTTACCTTCGTACTTTACTTTGGAGGTGCCACTAGCGCCGGGTCTGAGTCATTGGAGTCAAATTAACTAGTCGTGACCGAGCTGAGAGTCACGGCCCCGTCTAACAGCCCCGTCTCAGGTACTCCACTACATCTAGAGAAGCCTACAGCTCATGCAGCTGCAATTTTACAACATGTCTGGAAGGGGGATTTCGGAAAACGAACTCGTAGATGGAGACGGGCTTGCAACAGAAGACAGAAGACAGCAGTAACTAGAGCTACGTGAAGCTCCGAATTATAAGGACAATACGAGAATTGGACATGAGAAGACAAGGAATTCGGCAAAACTTGGGCTAAACTCGAAATAAAGTTTTGGTTGTCGTGTGCATTGTAAGACCAACATATCATCATTAGATAAAGCCACCTTGAGCAAGGAAAAAAAGTTCCATTAAAAGTAACATTTTACCTGTCTAGAAGTTCTCCGGTGAAAGGTGTGCTCAGATATTACAGCGTCACATGAATTGTTAACAAGCGAATTATTCTCGAGAACAGCGTCCGCTGAACTACACTGGCTGTCTTGGTTGGTTGACAAGATTTCTGGTACCTTGAATACACCAGTCAAATCGATCATTGCGTCACATTTGAATACAACAGCTAGAAAAGGTCCGGAAAAGTTTCCGAGATGCAGAAATAGGGTCTCTACAGAAATAGATTCCGAGTTGTTGAGAATTGAGCATGGGAGATTGAAAGTCCAAGCTATCCAGCCAAGGTCATAGTACTATACAGCGTCGAGTCGCCAAAGTCGAGTAGTAATTAAGCCCCGCTTGAATTCGTGATCATCAAGATCGACTAGGTGCAGTAATAATGAATTCATATGATCGCGAGAATTCATTATACCGGCTGGGTGGACATTTAATTTTTGCAGAGAGACCAGATGCCAATGAGCGGAGAATTAAGTCGGGGTCACTGGGAAGCCTAGCACCCTCGGAGCTTATATAGAAAAGAACTATAGACAAGGAACATGTCAACAGGATCGCAGGAGCAAAGTGCTGCAGGATTACTTACCAATGGCAGCTATATGACTGGTGATTCCGTGGAGTCCAAGGAAAGGTCGGAGGATAGCCGTCCTAAACGAGACGAATGAATAGCAAGTGGAAACGTCCGAAAGCTGACCGAAAGACACCCTGCAGGAAAGCAAACTTGAGCAGGGTCTTAGTTGACTATCTCGGCAAGAAAGCGCCGATGAGTGAGTCGTCTGAATGGGCCATCAGCAGAATCAGTTACGTGGTGGCGGTGGCGGCGACGGCTTTTTGGTCTAGACGGAAACCGATTCGACAGATCAAGAAGTACCTATCCAATACTTATCTGGGGATGAGATGGCGCCTGACTCCTGAGAATGAGCGTGCCTGCCTGCAGCCTCAAGGCATCCGTGCTGGCTGGCAATCAAAGCGTCTAGTAGAAAACTCCAGATATATTAGCCAATAGGCGAGCAAAAAATATCTCGAGTAAAAAATAGCAGTACCACCAACAGTCAGTTGTAGATCTCTCAGTCCGTTGCGCTCAGGCCCATTAGGAAAGACGAAAAAGGAGACCGAGCCACTTCCAGACGCTCAAGTTCGTACCGACGCCTCCGTACCGGGGGAAAAAGGTGACAAGAAAAAAAAAGTAAAAGCAACGCATATGGTGCGGATCGGGTTTGGAAGCCGAAGAATAGGTTCCGCGGAAGCATCTTACCCTCACGGATGCAAATCGAGAAAATCAAATAGAATATGAAGAGAAAAATGGGGGCAAAAAGGAATACGATAGAGAAGACGTGAGGCGATAAGAGGTAATTTTTGGGTCCACGAAGGAGAATGAACGGAGGAGGGGCTATGTAGGTCCATGTGTGCAAGCCTGCGGTCATCTGACAAAGGGAACCCCACCAGGCCAGGCTAAATACCATTTCAATTTATCATCCCTGACGCTCCCTATATGCCTCTTCTCCCACTACCAGCATATCCTTCTTGCTCCTCCTCCCTTGTCGCCCGTCTCTGTATCGACCGTTTCGCTTCTAGCACCTGTTGCCAGTACCCTTGTTAAACGTGCTGCAGCCTACTGCACGTGTTGAATGGAGTCTACTATGCTATCGCAGCACCAAGCGCCCAAGGAAGAACCGACCTTTTACCTGTCTCAAATGGAGTTTGGATCAATCTACGACCCCAACGCCCTGTACAACCAGTACTATTCTGGTTCTTGCACCGCTGAAGGGGAGGTGCGTCGCTTTTTTCACCGGATTCCAGGATGCCTCACGCACGTCGCGTCTGCAATGCAGCCTTTCTTATCATCAAAGTCGGCCGGTCTCAGTCCGTTCGAGCAGACACAGAAAGAGGATGAAGAGAGGTTTTACGCCACATTTCCAGAGGCCCGGCGAGCCGCACAAGTACAGAACCAGTGGGCGATGACGCCCGTGCATGAGGAGAACGTCTACTTTAATGGGATCATTGGATTCTCGTATCGCGGTCAGGCGAGCACCAAGCATATGCCGTCGGATCCTTGTTCTTCCGCCTCGTTCTGCTCACCAGGCGTCCGAGCTCGAGGTCGCGGCGGACGATCCCGACCAACGACCGTCCAACATTACTGCCGCCAGGCTGCAACTTAACTATGACTACAGTCATGACCTAAATGGGGAAGCATCGGCTCCTCCTGAATCTCTAGCCTCCTCGCCTCCCGAAGGCCCTCCACAGTCGCCTGACTATGGCAGCTGTTACTCTGAGCAAGCACGTTCCGATTGCTCCCCGACTCAGGTCAGTAGTCCTTTCTATTCCCACTTGCTGCCTCGCTGACCCTGTTTCCTTAGTCTTCACCGGATAACAGGATTTTTTATGTATCACCGGCAAATGTCTTCCCCAACCCTGACCGACAAATGTTCCTTGAGGCACAGGGCTCCCCCTCCGGATCGCATCATTGCCAGCCTATCGAGGGACCGATAATGGACTACCTAGCCTCGCCCTCACCAACCCCAAACCCTCATCTCGTCGTGGCATTCTCCCGATGATAGCGATCCTGCCGCCGACTTGACTCATATCTCTTATCCGTTACCTCATTCTTCACCCCAGGCCGACTCTGAACATGCTTCGCTTCCTTCCATACCATCACGGTCACTTCCCTCGCATTCGCAAGTGATCCAAATCCCATCTCGGAAACCACCTCGCCGACATACTACAACCGACGACCACACACCAGGTCTAAGCAGGGGACCTTTCTATTATAAAATCCCCCTTAGACAACCCAGACGCTCTCCCACGCCGCCCCCATTCTCCAGGCGGCCTCCCGCACAGTCCATAGCTCGGAATAACGGTGATAGAAAGCCTCCCCTGGCCTGCTTTTTTTGCCGAGGCAGGAAAATCGCGTGTGGGGCACCGGAGCCAGATAACCCCGATCGAACCTGCAAGTGAGTTCTGGTCTCGATATGTAATTTCCTTCGCATTTACGCTTTTTTTTTCCCTTTCTGTAGCCAGTGCCATCGAAGGTCTCTCAAGTGCGAGTACCCAAAGGAGAGCCGGAGAGGTATGCGCAAGAAGAAGGCTGACGGTACAGGTGACACTGAAGCCGCGGACAAGCAACGCTCGACTCCAGTAACCTAGTCAAGTGACCATGCGTTACAATCTTATTAAACGTTTTATCGTGCTTTGTCCATCCGCTTTCCCACCTAAACGTATTGTCTTGCTAAGAGGGATTTTACAGAAGCCAGTAATATTACATGTAATTCGATATATAGTCCATGGGTAGACGAGGTTTTATGAAGGACCTGGTAGTGGATCTACCCAGGATCCATTTGGCCATAGTGTTGCGGGCATAGTAAAGTCACCTGTGTTGCCCCCTGATGTTAGCTGTAAACGAATGAATTCAGCGAAGCATCTGGTATCACCCGTCAAAGATACTAACCGCTAGCCTGAAGAAGTGGGGTAAAGACTCGTTGAATGCCGCCAAGGAGAAGTTGAGAGCCGTGCCTACGTATCGCTCAACATCGTCCACTAGAAGGGCAAACCCGTCCCATCCGGCCGGTAAGGCATCCCACACAATTGTTTGGTTTTCAAATGGCATGGAAGCATTATAATTAGTCGAGTTAGTGAGGAAAGTGGGCAAGTCCGATCCTAAAGGCGCATCCTGTCGAAGCTGTGTGATCCAGATGAGCACGGAAACAAATAAAAACCGAAAAAAAAATATTAAAAAATTGCCATAGAAACAAACATACCTCTTCTGCTGTCTGTAATATCGAGTCAAAGCCATATGCCGCAGCACCATTTAAAAACAGACCGAGGAGTAGTCCTTGATATATGGCTGACAGCCTCGTGGGGAAAGCCGTTCCGGGTATCAAGGCCATTGCGATAATATAATGATGTATCCTGAGCTCCAGGCCAGGCAGTAATGCGAGAACCAACACAACCAATCCACCGATAGCATACCACCCAGCATAATACGGCAACCACCCCGTCTTACGAATAACACGGACCTGGTTAAGAACCAGTACCGCGACAATGATGACGATCACCACCAACGCCGTAATGGCACCTGAGCGTTTGTGAAGGTCCGATGATGTTAGACGGTTGATGGGAATGGCTGCCTCCAGCGTGATATACGAAAGCACCCCAACCCAGTACGGCGCCAAATACCACACCATGTACTCGATGGGCGCTTTAGTGTACAAGAGCAGCGTGAAGCGAAATGCGAGCCGCCAGAACACGTACGCGATGAATAGCGCTGGGAGAAAGGACCCAAACGCGGCACTGAGATCTGGCGGAGTTGACTGTGGCTGTGAGAAGAGGGAGATATGCCAGAAGCCAACGCATACTAAGCACCAATATAGAACAATGGGCTTGGGCCGTAAGACGAGGAATAGAAGGCAGGTGATGAGGATATTAAAGGCTAAGGCAGGGTCTCGATAGTCAGTGCAATGTGTTAACGAGGTGGAGTCCAAGAATCGAAATGAAAGAGGGAAGACGGTTGCGAAACCGATGGAAGTGATTCCGTGAGCAGTTGTTGGTAAGAAGTTAGTGTAGTTCCCGATTAGTGTTAATGACGCGCAACCGCCTTTGCTGTCGCTGATGAGGCCACTGAAAAAGTGTAAACAACCAGGCTGTAGTGATGCCAAGAGAGACACTTACGCCTGTACAGCAGCTGCGCAAATAAATGAATCCCCGCGGTAAGTTGCATTGGCATCGCCGCCGCCAACTACCAATGGAACATACGCTGTTTGTTCGTCGCCGACGGTGCGAGGATTTTGGAGGGTGACGGTTGAGCATTGGGCCGGACATCGAAAGTCCATGGACGAGTCGTTGAACGGCGCACATGACTCCCCGTTGACGCCACACCCATTATTGGCCAGCCAGAAGGTATCAGTGCATCCGATGAAGGCATCGGGCGGTGTGAGATATGATTGGGCCCGTATAAAAAATGCAAGGCCGATTATATATCCCGCAACGAGTGCAGCCAGTAGCCAAGGACTGGTAAACGGCCGAGTTAGTCTTATTAACACGGACTCCAGTGGGAATTCTAGGTGGCGGCCTCTGAATGTCACGTCAATATTGAGGAATGGATGGGGCTCTTAATGGAGAAGTCTGTAAGAAATTCACACAGCACCCGAACGTCTTACTCACCGGGCAAGTCCACCTTGGGTCTTGGTCCTCGGAAGTACACGAGAGCACGAGATATATAGCCATGAAGCATAGGGTATTGAGAGGCCAGTTGTTCGTTGCAGCGTGCTCGCCAGTGCGCTTTGCGTACTATCGGTGTGATCTGTATTTCAGGGTCACGATTATTTTCCAGGGATTCTTTTGATGCAGCTCGATCATTAAGGAAACTTGATCGACGGAGGTTGCTTGAGGAAGAGCTACTGGAACTAATACTTGTCTGCATGAAGGACGAGAACGAAAGAAAGCAGAAATGCTTGGTAGCCCTGACTACGGAAATAATATACACAAAGCACGCGGTATCACACAGGCACTCGATCCGTAAAAAATGACATATGTGTTTGTCAGCAAGTATGACGAGCTGATAAGATAACGCGATCAGACCGGTCCCGCTGGAGCAAAGTGAGCAAACAAACGAATGTCTAACACCTACTTAAAACATACCATAATCATAGACAAGCCGAGCTTGAATGTCTTCGCCCCCAGGCCCAGTGAACTTGATGTGGCGCGCATACCTTCGTTCATCATTGACCTCTTCGACGCCCCAAGTCTGTGCAGTGCCAATGAGCTCCTTCTTAAGTTCTCGTCTCAAATTTACTTACCTGGTTCGCAATCCAGGTAGTTCCACTCTTGGGGGTGTCGCTCTCAGCGTACGCCTGGATCACACCGTGTTCGACAGTGTCCTCAGTCCACCCGGTCTTCAGCCATTCTTCCTCTAGCTTGTCAACCTTTACCCTTCTCGATTTCCCAATGACTGGCCCAAAGATGTCATCATTATTCTCCCTCTCTGTCCAAGTAAGCGTCCTCTTCTCGGAGGTCCCAGAGATACCGGCAACGGTCTGGTCAATATCGACTTTCTCAATCCCTTCGTCATCCTTGTAGTGTTTGATGTACAGAGTGACTGTTCCGATGGAGATGGCCTTTCGCTTCAACCAGCTTACGCCTTGGAGGCGCAGAATCTCGTCAGTGGAATCACTCAGCGTCTTGTTCTATGGCAAGTGTGTCAGGTACTATTGTACAGTCTGGAGGAGCAAAACCACATACCAGATAGAACTTTCCGCTGATATCGAGTATAGTAAACTTGTCTGGACCAGGGGCTGCCATGGCTGAGCGCGGAGTACTGAGTGGATTGGCTGGCGAAATGGAGGTTAAAGGCAAGGCGATGTAGTGATCGACATCTTGCATTTATACAGTTACTAACGGCATCTGTCTCTCCATCTCAATCCGCATATGATTTCTTGTACCACATTACCGGTGGTCAGCAGATATCAGATAGCGTGGTGAAATCGTATGGATACATTATGGCTACAAAATGGATTCGATACAACGCAAACGAAGAGGAAGGGTATAGACATATGGCTCACTAGAAAAGATCAGATGGTGAAAATTGAGACAACGTCGGAAGCGACGTACCTTTCGAAAGACTGTGATTACTTTCCATACTGCATCTTTTCCTCGTTCCCAAGCCTGCGGTCCTTTCGCCTCATCGCCTCCAAATTCAACCAAAATACCGTCCTGTGACCATTCGCACCAAATCCCAATCGACCCCGTCGACGGCCCACTGCCCCCGCCTTTACGGTCGGGTTCTCCCAAGCACTCGACAAAGTCCTTCCCTGTACTTGCAGGAAGAACATCAAAATGTGGGGGTCGGCTAAGGACTTTACCGTCCTTGTCTTTGATATCGGACGCGATATTTAGAGTAAGAGGCGAAATAGGATAAGAGGAGAACGCTATTTCTGCTCGTCTGGCTGATGTTCCCTTTGCTTTCGGGTCGGAGGAATCGACCTTGGGTATGTTGTAGAAATCGATGCCATCGAGAATCAAACGATTCTTCTCCAAATCAGACTCCTTCAAGCCCATCTTTGGGCGGTAGCCATCCGTCGGTTTGAATTGAAGACTGACACCGATTGTGTAGTAGCTGAAATAGACCAAGTCGGGATAGGATTTAATCTCGGCCTCGACTTTAGTGCTACCAGACACGAAACGGATATAATTCTGGAGAATTTCAGACGACGGGAGCGAACCCAGTAAGCTCTGGACGTTGGTGGACATGGTCAAGGCGATATTATTTTTTCCAATAATTTTGATAAAATACATAATAAACCCACGTGTGGTCCTCACTGAAGTACTACCACCATCGACAGATGAACTGCATCCTTCATGGACACGACAAGCAAGCACCGCAAGAAATCTCGTGAAACTCGAGGGCTGTCCCAGTCCAGCCTTGCGTCTGCTTCAATCCAGTACCTGCTCTCCTTGCTCTCAAAGTTTCTGAAGCCTTTTGCGCCCAAAATAATACCTCTTGTTGTCTTCATTTTCTTGATCCCTTTGTCATTGTGTCTTTCTGGCTTCGCAGGATGGATAGTATGGAAGAACGTCGCTGTTTCCTGGGAATATCCGTTGTTTCTTCAATACGGGTGAGTCGCCAGCCGTAACGATGTCCAGTATTTGAATGTTTCAGTGTCTTAGAGATGGTCTAGCTCCATATGCAGAGAGTAGTCTTCCTCAGCTGGTATCACAACAGCCCTATGATATACTGCTACACCTTGTCGTTCCCGCTACTGAATCGAATCTCGCATTGGGAAACTTCATGGCGTCATTGAGACTGTCATCGGACAGTAACCAAACGTTAGCGGTCGTTCGCCGTCCAGTCCGTTTTCGTTATATCTACCTAATTGGCCCTCTGACCACCTTGTTCAGGCCATTGTATTGCCATCTCGTCCTTCCTTTTTCTCTGGCAAACCTTCAACCTTTAACATAGACATCCCCCTTCTGCATTCCTACACGTTTGGGACGTCTAATGCGAATGCTCATATACAGCTTGGCCGACAGGATGGCTGGAAGACACTGGGTAGCGGTGAAGGTCGTGAACTGTCTGTCTCTGATGCATACCTCCGTGGTATTCTCGTCCATCGGGGAATACGGTACGTCCTACGTCACTTACGTGAGCCAAAGTTGACAGAGTCGTGTAGGGGTCTTGTAACCCGTTTCCCACTCATTTCAGCTGCGATATCCTCAATGATCTTCCTTGTCATCCTACTGGCGATGATCAGTTTATGTATTCTTCCTACCATGTTGTCGGAGCCTGTAGGGAAAAGATACATTGATGATGTCGGAAGCGAGCCTTTCGATGACGAAAAGCCCCCGAGAAGACCTTCTCCTAAGTGTTCCGAGCTCTGACGAAGACGAGAAACCTCTAGTAGGAGAAGGACTTCGGGGAAGGCTAGATCAAGGAGAAGTTCAAGCGGAAGATCGGTATGTATTGATGCTGCTGTTCCAAGGAAATGGCTCTTCATTGCTTTTTCATAGGCAGGTGAAAGGAGAACGTTCGGACCAGCCGATACCATCTGGATCTGGAGAGAGTTCAAGTCATCTTCGACGGCGTCGGTCGCGTTTGTCAGAAGGATTGTCTGACTCTGAGTGAACTTGGATGAATTAGTACTTTACGCTTTGTTTCGATAGTGTTGTAAATCGTCACCTCATTTTTTTTCATATAAAACTGCTTGCCATGATTCCACTTACGTGGGAATACAGTGCAGACATCGTGAATCGTCAAGACTACTATTAGATCGTGACTAGGTCGATATATACTTTTCCGTCTTACCGATTTAATCGCTGAGGAAGGATTTCGCACATTTCCCACCGTCATATACGGGCATGTGTCCAAGCAATGATTTGCGGCATCGGAAGTCAAGTACAGGAACTGATATTCCTTGAGATCTCACCCTGTATGCGCCGCTATTGCGGTGCCGCAGGGATACACCCATGTGTACCTTTTTATCTCCCAGTCACCATCATGAGCTCATTCCAAGTGGAAAATCTCTTCAATGTGAAGGATAAAGTTGTACTGGTCACTGGTGGTAGTAGGGGGATTGGGAAAATGGTAAATCAGCACCCCTCGACATGCCATTCAGCCATTCATTTACCAATGACGGTTTATCCAGATAGCTACGGGATTCATAAGGAATGGGGCAAAGGTCTGTCTCAGAATAGCTACCTGTATACTCTATCCTAACGATCTGGATTCTGAATTGGCTTCTAGGTTTATATATCTTCTCGTTCTGCCAAGAGCTGTGAAGAGACTGCTACTGAGCTCAACTGCACTCGGACCAGGGAAATGTATCCCACTTCCTGCGAACCTGGCGCAATACGAAGGAGGTAGAACGCGTTGCTAATGACCTTGCTGCCAAGGAGCCAGTTCTTCACGTTCTTGTCAACAACGCAGGCGCCGCATGGGGTGATTCCCTGGACGACTTCCCGGTAGGCAAATAACTTGACACGGAAGGTCTTCCTTGATAAGTTCAAGCCTACTTACAAACTAAATACAGGATGCAGCTTTTAGCAAGGTTCTCACTCTAAACTTGCAACGGGTGTTCACGTTGACACAGAAACTTCTTCCGCTGCTTCGAGCGGCGGCCGCTTTGTCAAAGGACGGCGAGACGTTTGCAGATCCTGCGCGTATCATCAATGTATTTATCTTTCGACACTTTCGTTGAATTTCTTGTTATATTGACGCGTTTTTCTTCCCGTAGATTGGGTCAGTGGAAGGAATAGCCGTACCCATACACGAAACATATGCATACTCAGCCTCGAAGGCTGCACTTCACCATCTCAGTCGGCATCTGGGAGGACGACTTGGTCCAGAAGGCATCGTTTCGAATACAATCGCGTGTGGTCCTTTCCCTACCAAGAGTACGTCTCTGAATCACGTTTCTGATTGTGCACTAAGGCGTTCTTGCAGTGACTGCGCATAGCTTGGAGGCTGTCAAGGATGTTTTTACGTCTACTATACCGTTGCGCCGTCTAGGGAAACCAGAAGACGTGGCGGGGGCAGCACTCTTCCTTGCGAGTCCTGCAGGTGCCTTCGTGAACGGAGCGACGATCACTCTGGATGGCGGGATGTTGGTGTCAATGACCAAACTGTAATAGAATCTAATGGTACATTTCATTTATTCAAGACGTATTTCCTAGTCCATATTACAGCTACTGAGTATTATTTAAGGGTATAATATCTTTCTGTACAGCACTTATGCTTCTCTGTTTTTCTTGTCAACTTCCAGTGCCTTGACGACCTTCGCGTCCGGTGATTTATCTACTTTTGTCTCTGGCTCCTTCTTTGCAGACTTCGTTCCGGTAGTGACGTTGGATGTGGAGGCCGAGCTTTCTTCCGCCATGTCCGACGGACCACTGCTCAACCCTTTCACCAAATCACCAGCGTCATCCCCATCTAACCCTAGCTCGGCGACCAAGTCCCGTAACTCGTCCTCAGTCACTCTCACACCCTGCAGACCATAGCCAGAGAGTTCTGTACTAATATCAAAGTCACCTTCGCGCTTGTTGACCGGGATCTGCGGCTTCGCGAGGGGCGAAGAAACGGGTTTGGCCAGGATTTTCGATTTCAGGCGTTCGGGGGTCATTTGGAGGGGCATCATGGCGCCTGGCACACCGATTGGCCGAACTCGAGGTGCTGGTGTATCTTCGTCTACGTCTGGATTCCAAGATTCCTTGAGTTGGAGGAATGTGTCGAGTTCGTCGTACTCAACAGCATCTTCACTGAATCGGACTTAGTATGTTGACACGAAGAATAGATTTATGATACGCACAACTCGGCGAAAGTCTAATGGACCGAGTATGGATAGTTAGTCACTATGGCGATCGCGAATCAAGAACGTACACCTGGAAAGCGTCCACCGACAAGGATTCCAGGCAATTGCTGTTTGTCTGTCAAGATGTGAGCACTGGAGAACGTCCCAAGTATCACAGGAATACCTAGTGGAGCCTTCCTTCTCCACAATTTTTTCGCCGTTTCATCAGAGGCGAGATCGTAGGAAGTGAATGGTATTTTCTTTACTTGTAGGACTCGTAGGAGATACTCTCAAAGATTGTTTTAATGAGTACACGACGGTGCATGCTGTAGATATACACATACCTTGGCGCTGCCGTAGAGCTGGCTGGGAAGCAATGGTCGTCAAGAAAAGCTGAATCGGCGGCGACATGATGGTGGTTAATGTGTAAGATCGAAACTAGGCGTCCAAGACCATATTTAGACGGTCCACGTTTTCATCCCCGTACTATGTCTTCAGATCAGGTCAAGGTTCTCATCGTCTGCTTAGGCATGCTTCCAGATTCCTTCTTCATCGATTCCCACTGAATATTGCTCCCAGGCAATATATGTCGCTCCCCGATGGGTGAAGCGGTAATGAGGGACGTTGCTAAACGGCGCGGACACGATATCGTTCTTGACAGCGCTGGTACGGGAGCCTACCATGAAGGCGAGGATCCAGACGATAGGTGAGTCCTTCATTTTTTTTCTCATGCGCGTTATCTGAGGCGCCGTAGAGCAGTTGCAACGTGTAGAAAAGTTGGTGAAGTCTCCCTTGTATCCTGGCATTATCTTACATATCACAGCACAAAATACCCATATCTCACGCAGCGCGCAAAGTCAGATCCTTGGACTACACCGAATTTACCCATATCCTTGCTGCTGATGAAAGTAACCTGCATTCTCTGAATCGAAACGCCCCTCGCAATGCAACAGCAACCATACGGCTTTGGGGCTCCTACCTTGAAAGCAATCGGCCAATCTCAGACCCTTACTATGGAGGAATTGTAAGCACATGTACTTCTTGTCAGTAAATTGTGTTGCAGAACTAAGTGTTCCTCGGTAGAACGGATTTGAGAGAGTCTATCAACAATGTGTTGCTTTGTCCAATGCTTTTCTGGACGATGTGTTTGGACCCCAATCGTAGACAATGTATTGTGGTTATTCAATACTGGACACGTCGTGTATAGAAAATAGAGACGTTACTTCACTGGTCGGTGCAGGGCCACTATATCTCTTGCCGTACACTCGTTGAAACAAAATAACTCCCGCAACCGGCAGTGTAGACAATAGATAAACCCACCCCCAGTTCCACAAATGAGCAGTTGCAATGCTCGAGCGGGTCGATGCCCTCTCAGGTGTGGGCTCGTTCATTGTAATATCATCAACTAGCCTCGTACTCTCGAATAAGCTTTCCAGTCCTGTGGGGTTCTCTGGAGCAAAGAACTTTTGTGGACGAAGAAAAGAAGAGTCATCGTATGTTCTGGGTTTCTCCTTTTGCCCGTTTGTAGGCGTCCAATCCATCTCATCGATATCATTCTCTGGTTGGTGAGCGGTAGAATGAGGGGCAGAAGAACCAAGAGATGGAACGCCAAATATTGGAGGTTTGGCGATAACGGGCTTCGAAGAGAGTGTGAGAGATGCAAGCAAATCGCTGTCATTAATGATTGGTGGGGTGAGTGGAGTGTTAGAATGCGATGTGTTAGGATTGGGTGTCACTGCTCGGGAGGGCAACTGGTTTAGTTCAAGTAAACGGATAGCAGGAGGTTGTTGTAATCGGAGCACGAAGCAAGAAGAGATGAAGACCTAGATAACATCGATGAAATGGACTATCGAAACGGACAAGGTGACCTACAGATAGCTCCAGTATTAAGGAAATCAGATAATAGATGCTTGCTCGAGGAGAAATAGGCGTCTCTAGTAAATGCAGATAATTTGACATTGGCCGGTACCACGCTATGGTCATGGAAATTGATGTAAATAACCGAGATAACCAAGAGACCATTTGCAGCGCCTGTAAAGAGTGAGTGACATTGATTATAGGTATGAAGAATTGTCTCACTATGTAGTTCTTCTTCCCCTGTATTCGTACGTTACGGCCTTCTCTGCGTGCCCTTTGCAAGGAGGAATAGGTGGGATCCCAGAATGTCCAGAAGATCGATACAAATGTCACGATTGGCAGCACAGGTGGACAAAGTATATTTGAAAATGGCACTGGCAAGTTCAGCAATGCTGCAAATCTCGTGAAAACGGGTACAATCTTGATGACAAAGGTAGCTCACAAGCAGAATACCCAACGACAGCAATCAGCAGCGATGCGCCCCATAAACAACCTCGACATCTCCAAATTAACATCTCCAAGGTCAGCTTCTCTTTCGCCAGCTCGGGTGTCAAAACGCGACGTGCTTGCTCTTTGCCCTTGGTGTCCTTTAGGAATCCGCCAAGAGCATTCACACGCGCCATCTTGTTCTTGTTCTGTATCTCATCTTCGACAGAAGGGAGACAGTTGGCACAGACTGGTGGATAGCGAATATGCAAAGATTCCTTGTATTCGGGTAGCATTTCGACGCGGCGTTCATATTCAGGGCTCTAGAATCATTAAGAAGAGAAATAGAACAGAGAATGAAAGTTCCTACAGTCTGGATCTGGCAGATAATTTGACAAGAGATTGACCAAGAGCATCTGGTTTGTTTGGCAAGTATGGCAGAACGGGCCCTTTCCGTACATCGTGGGTAAGCGTTCCTTGTTGGGAGAAGCTATGGGGAGAATAAGAATTGGACAAGTTACAAGATGACGCGTCGCGTACCTCGCTTAGAGAACGACCGCAAGTTGAGAGATTCATCGTGCATGGCAGGTTCAGAGGACAAGATTTCACCCTTGGTGTCGTAACGATTCCAGCAGCCACAGTTGTTGCAACGAAAATTTCTTGGATCCTTGGGGGACGTTGTCAACGTGTGGCAGAAAAAGCACTGGACACTACTCCATCGGTGGAACATGATGGTGAAGGTGAAAACAGTGCACGTGCTGATACGCGCCGCAATTGACTGTTGTTTGTTACCGACGATGTCTCTTGCTCCGACGACTACGGGTCGCCTTTGCCTCCAACCGTCATATTTCACGTCTTCGGTATATGTAAATGCGGTTCGAGACGATATCTCAGTTCTAGTAAAAAGCTTCGAGGAGCAGTATTCAAATTCGCCTCAGTCGTGTCCCTTCAAGCTCTTCAAGGAAATCTGGTGTTCTCAGGGCTGGCAGTGGCTGCATTTGAAGACTTTCGACCCGAGAGGCAGAGATGCATTTTCGCATACCACCCTGCGACTGTTCCTTGGTAAGGATTATATCTACTTGATGCTGCAATGCTCATATTCTCTCACAGAGTGCATAGTGCAATTAGAAAAGCCAATAACGAGTCTCGTTGCACTGTTCGGCCTGTATACCTTCTTCTATACTCAGCCGACGGATGTCTGTCCGCCACTGCATTCTGTCCAGCATATTCCCATACCATGCGGTGAGCCCAGGAGAAGACCATTTATAGTTTTACCGACGAGCTGTTTTTAGATCATCATGCGACTCTTATCTCGATTCCGGACACGCTAGCAACGACGGAATTGGAGCCTTTCAAGCCTGCTGTGCTGCATATCCTGAGGACCTTTGCGACATCCCAGGTTTTCCATATCCTCCCTGGATCTGGACTTGGGTGCCAAAATCCACGTACACTCCCCCGTGAAATTGTTGTTCCTGATGTTTTAGATGAAGAGGGACCCAAGCGAAAAGGACGGCCAACAAAAGGAGACAGGGTGAAGCGATCGAAAGTTGCGCTTGACAACCTTGATCAATGGATGCAAAAGACCTCCCTGCCCGGTTCCAGTGATCTCGGCGCCAAGCACCATCTGATTAGCAGCCCACCTGCAGAGCCGACGCTGCTACAGTACCAGATGCGTAAAGAGATGTTGTTACATGCGCTGGACAAAGACCCGGAGGGCAAGGCACACATTAATGAGGCAAACGAAGAGGTTTTCAACCGGCTGAAGTTGTCAGAAGAATTGGCAGAAAGCGAGGTTGAGTCAGATTCTGGACCGCCTGGATTACGACGGGTGCAGCGAGCAATGAAGGAGAAAGACAGAGATGGACGGTGGGGTGGATTGCTGGGATTGCTTGAGGGTGCCGGCAGATAAGCAGTGCAACATGTAATTACGTATTACCGATAATATTGTAGGTATGGGAAATAATTGCCGCAAGGGGCATGGAGCTGGCTTGGCGGGAGAATTGTTTGGCGTCGCTCTCCTTTCCCAAGATTTCCTTGTTTCCTTAGCGTCCTTCGTTTCTTCACTCCTTGGTTATCTCGCCGTCCTCTCTTTTACTTTTACCACCAATGCCACCCTTAGGCGACTCTCAACGGCGATACCAGGCCAACTCGCCGTCGACCACAAGTCTTTTACCAGGAGACTCCACTACAAACCTCGGCATCCACGCCAACTTTGCTCGAGGTCCTTCATCGTTGCGTACCGTGAACAGCAGTACCAGCATCGTCAGTCGTTTCTATCTCGCCGCGACCCCCGCTAACAATAAAGATAGAACGACTCGCCGTACAACGTAAATGGCAGCCGGGTCCCATCTTTGGCACCTTCCATCTCTGACAAGGCAGGTTTTCCATCCATACACCTTGGGAGTTCAACTTTCATGACGGCCATTAGTTCTCACTATCACCCGATCCCGCCGCCTGGGGCTCAGATATATCGCCCAACCACGCCGAGCCAGACGATTATCTCCACAACCCTGACCCACGGCGAGACAGAAAGAATGATAATGGTGGATCCGTATTCACCTATCGAGGCCTAACCAACCTTGGTTGTATTGTCGTCCTTGGTCTTGGCTTAGTGTCGCTATTGTGCGTTGCTGTTGTTTCTATCATAACAGTCATCTGATCCACAGACAGCGCCGGATACCCTATAATTTCATATTTCACCACACACGATATTTCATCACTTGGCGGTTTCAATCTAGGCGGAATCAATGCCAGCGGACAGGTATGAGATGTACTCACATGGTCACATACCATGTTTTCAACTCTTTCCAGGTACCCAGTATGCCGGGCAACTGGGGAATGATAGATCTCGATACCCCGCAAGACGCATACACAATAAAGGCCTTCACTAATGACAATGAGTTCCAGCTGGTTTGGAGTGACGAGTTCAACGTCGACGGGCGAAGTTTTTATCCCGGCGATGACCCGTACTGGGAAGCAGTAGACTTGCATTACTGGGGTGTTAGTTGACGCGTTCCATCAGCTTGAAATATGTACTCATGTCGTTTCAGACCAACAACTTGGAGTGGTATGATCCAGCCGCGATCACGACAAAGGGAGGCGCCCTGACAATAACGCTATCGAAGAAACAAACACATGGTCTTAACTACCAAGGCGGAATGATGTCTACCTGGAATAAGTTTTGCTTCACTGGCGGCATGATCTTGACTTCGGTGACTCTGCCGGGCGCAAACAACATTCTCGGTCTATGGCCTGCTGTGTGGTCAATGGGAAATCTTGGTATGACCATGAAAACTGGGTGAACAATCGGAATCCTGAGTCTCTCTGTAGGTCGAGCTGGTTACGGTGCTACCTTGGAGGGAACTGTAAGCCTTATTTCTGACATGGAAAAGAAATTCCTGTCTGATCAATCACTTTAGTGGCCCTATACATACGATGCATGCGATATTGGAACAGTTCCAAATCAGACCGTCAACGGACTCCCATACGCAGCAACTGTCGATGGCGACCCCGGTCAGAATGGCATATTATCATTCCTTCCGGGGCAGAAGCTCTCTCGATGCACCTGCCCGGGAGAATCTCATCCTGGACCCATACACTCGGACGGCACATATGTCGGGCGTGCTGCACCCGAAATCGACGTCTTCGAGGCCCAGGTCGCTAATGACGAGGGTGAAGTCTCGCAGTCTGGACAATGGGCGGTATGTTGATGTCTGCAGCATTCTACTGAGACTGATCCAATTCCAGCCTTTCAATGCAAAATACGAGTGGTTCAACACGTCAGACAACATGATTATATACGATGCAACGGAGACATACCTTAACACGTACACCGGCGGAGTGTATCAGCAGGCAACGTCAGGCGTGTCGGTAACCGGTGAGTACCTTCGTTAGCACAGAGAATCCTGCATTGATGCGGGAGAAGACCAAAACTGTTATCAGTTAGCAACGGGCTGCTTCGCAATTTATGGGTTCGAATACAAGCCAGGTAAAGCTTTTATATCGCGCGCGCAGTTACCGCAGCAACTTATGAAATACTCTTAGGCTATGATGATGGAGTCAGTGCTTTTCCAAGCGTTCGGCAGAGCTCATAATGTTCTTTTATTGCAGTATATAACATGGATCAACAATAACAAGGCAGCTTGGACCTTGAAGGGACCTGGAGTCGCAGCAGATACTCGCGTCGAAATATCAGCTCGTCCGGTTCCTCAGGAGCCAATGGTATGGTATTTCCTTTCTCGTCAATTAAAAACTCAGTATCTCCCGCAGTACATTCTTGTTAACCTTGGCATGTCAGAGAACTTCGGTTATGTTGATCTCGACCACCTTACCTTCCCAGCGATTATGTCGATTGATTACATACGGGTATTTCCACCTCTCTATTCTTATAACTTTGCATGCTAAGTCGGTTGCGACGCATAGGTGTACCAGCCGAAGGATTCCATAAACGTTGGCTGCGATCCTGATGACTTCCCTACACAAGCATATATCGAAGAGTGAGCCTATGACTGTTCGTTGGAGGGACAAATCTGATCTTTAAAAATGCAGATACATCGAAGCGTATACGAATCCTAATCTCACAACATGGGTCAACGATTATAAACAGCCATTCCCCAAGAACAGCTTCCTCAACCAATGCTAGTCTAGACCTTCCATATGCTGGATTGTCCTCACTATCTTGTTACGGCCGCTGTCACTTATTCCGCTCATTGGTACTCGCATATACACACTTTGGATGTCTTATACTTCATATTTTCATTGCATCATTGTCTTCATATCCTGTATGCTCGCGCTGTGTGGGGAAAAAAAAAGTTCAAATGTGTGATTACGAAGTGCCAGCAACAGTTGCCGCGTCAGTTCGCTTCGCACTGAATGAATTGGATTAGGCTGATTGTATGCTAATCCGAACGCAAAGAAAATGCCGCCTACGATGTTAACGAAGAAGGTGATGAGTCCAGCAAAGCCTGGAGCTTCGTCAACGTCCGCTCTACAGCTATGATACCCCCAGCAGTCAACCTCGGGATGGCAAGGTCCAGTTCTCCTTCAGTAAGATCGATCTCCTGCCGACTTTTTTCTACCAAAGCTCGACAGTCACGAACCACCTTTTCTAGTCGGTGGTTGGTGTAGTATAACCAACTGATTTCCTTCTCCAAACCGCCGAGAGGGATCTCCAGAGCTCGGCGCACGAAGCCGCGAGAAAGAACGTAGGCCTTTTCGCTATACAGTCGACTAAAATACCAGATGAGATGGATAAAGGAATACCAACGAGATGAAATTTGCCTGTTGACAATGCCTTCCTCTGTACCGCGCAGCTTCTCATACGCAGGCTCACAGAACCAACTGGAATAGCAGTCAATACGGTTGCTCGTCAGAAGGATCAGTACACGTACGGTTCCTTCACAAGAACTAGGCCCTGTATACTTACGAAGGCTTGAAGGAGAGATGACCGACTGGCACTCCATGTTTCGTTCTGATCACCAGCCCAAGTTCCCAATATTGATAGACAAACTTTGCCTTCCTCGTACAAGTTTCTGAAAAGATGTGTGTGACCATGTCGGATACAAGAATGCTCGACTTACGGATTAACTAAATAAAAGAGACGCTGTTTTTATGAGCCGTATCACGAGGGAGTAGTGTCTCTTACCTCGACCATTACCGTTTGTCCAACTGAGAAAATGTCCAATGGGCGGACTGCTAGGGAAGGTTGTAGGAAGCCTGGCAACCCTCATGTTAGTTATGATGTATCTGTCTTTGTAAATGTCCTTACATCCAATCAATAACGAAAGGTGCATCCTCGTATGGTGTATTATTTGGACCAATGATGAGGGAGCGCAGAAGGTCACTTCGATCCTCGTATGTACGTATAATGATTGACTCTGTACATTGTTAGAGATATCTCAGATACGAGGTATGACTTTCCTCACCAGGCAGACTCGACTGCAGGATGCGATACTCTCGTTGAAGACGAGATAGGAAAGATTTTGAGGGTTGCGCGGGAGGAGAGGCATAGTACGCATGGTCATGAGGAGCAGATGGTAGAATGTCGAACCTCTTCCAAGGGAAATCATCGTCCTCCTCGTCAATAGTAGTACCATCTTTCGTCGTATCTATGTCTGGATCGACAGACATCGTATCAGGTTCGGGATCCACCTCCACCGTCGGTGGTGGAGGAAACTGGTCAATAATTGATGGACTGGAAGGTCCAGAAACCCTTGGGGTATCTTCTTCGTGATGCCACATTTCCACATCCATAGTATCGTTGACGTCCTCGGTGTCCTCCCATCCGTCCACGCTTCCGTCAAGGTGAGACCATATTCCGTTTTCATCAGGCCAGTACCCGGAACCTTCAAAGTATTCGTGCTCATTATGACTATGTTCATCACCCCAAGGATCATCTTCCAGTTGTTCGATACTATCATAAAGCCTCGTAAGGCGTTGTAACGGATATACGCGAACTGATCCCTCGGGGTGCAAAACTTCAATTTGACCGTCAAGCTGAAGCTGAAGAAAATAAACAGATTGAATATAAAGAACGGAAACAAAGAAAGGAATCAGACCTTCGTGACTTCTCCAAGCCAGAATAGGTCGCAATCGTTTGCCCAGGGTTGCCTCATGTTACCATCTTGAAAGGCTCCTTCAGTCCCGCGTTTTTTTGCAACATTATTTCCTAGTTCGGCCATTTCCTTTCGCCATCCTTCGATGTGGCCAGGGTAGAAGGGTCCCTCTCTAGCCCAAGCTTCGAGTTCGCCTATACGAGGTATTCTAGGTGGATCATATCCATTCGTAGTTCCCTCTCGATGTATAAAAACAAAATCTCCCAGGCGTACACCAAGTCCCTCAGTCCCAAATTGTGGTTCAACGTCCGACACACCATGAGCGTCGAGTTCTAGTACCGAAGCAAGCTCGATGTTGCCAGTATCGGGAAGGAGGATAGAAGCTGTCCTGTGTGCAGCGTCTACGGACTGCACGATAGCAGGCCGTTTCTGGTCTTCGCCACGCCATAAAACGTGGTCGCCGGGCCTATCATATGAGGATTAAGTCCCAATGGCGTTATTATCCGACCCTGAGGCTTACCAACAGTCATATTCATCTGTGTTTAGATAGGGAATGAGATCCACGGATTTCAACGTTTCCGAGGTGCCATCTTGCCATAAAATGTCAACCGTAGTTTCTGTCTCTGCAACGGTAAGCGTCTCTACATGGATTGGGGGGACACCCTGCATGCTCCGGCCATGAATGGTAACGGGATGTCCGGTTCTCTCGACAAGATTAACCTTGTCTCCAATACGCATCTGGAAATCTGATCGACCACGTATCAGAGTAAGCTTGGAGATATCCTGGCCATACCAAAATCGTTGAGGGCGTGGATGGTTCTCAGCTACGCTAGGCGCCAACTGGACGGACATAAGGGTATAAAGCGGCAAAAATTAAACAAGGCGTACCGTTTGGTTGACAGCCAGCCAAGCTATAGCATATACAGTGTGTTTCACGGCAACGACGGTGTCAACGCTATGGTCAGTTCTATTGCTTCCAAGAAAGAATCCGATCAAGTTTTGCACGCTACTGGACGGCAGAATGTCCTGTTGTCTTAATGAGCATGAGAGATAACACAAGTTAGGACACGACGCACCGAGCCCTTCTGTCCGATAGCAAGCCTGGTACTAAATTCTGGCAGTCTAACGAGTTGGCCGTTTGAAACCTCAATAATATTTTCATCGTACAGCTGCAGGGCTTGGGTCAATGCGATGAGGGAAACATCGGTACCGAAAGTTACCTCTACAATCTACAAGTCAAGACATAAATGAGGGTCCAGGCATGGCCAATGACGCTTACCTGTCCAACCCAATCATCGTAAATAACGTAGTCACCAATCTCTGCCTCCATCGCCGGAACAACCTGGTCAGAATTCCGCCATCCTTCCAATGGCTCGCCACTTATGACATGCTGAAGACGACCCCTGACACGGATGTTTGTCACCACACCAGAGCGAACATCGTCGATGCTCCGCTTGCAATAATCACCGGGCTGAAGGGTACGATCCACAAGGGCTAGTTCGGATTCAGGGAGTATTTCGCGAGCGCTGCCTTCAGATAGAAATGTTACACCGACTTCACCGCGCTCAAGTGGCCTCATCAGTGGATCGTCTGTCGATGGGGGAATGTCCTCAGCATCATGCCAGCATCTCTACAGGACGTTAACATCGCATACATAGGGTACATGGAAAGCTTAGACTCACGAGAACAATACCAAAAGAATGTGGGGACGAGTTTCGTTTAACTATATCCTGCTGGTAGAACTGAAAACACGAGGTGGTATATTAAAGTTGTGATGGCCTGGGAAGAGGACTGGCAGATACCTTGGTGGCTCTGGACGTTCGTGGCGTATTCGACATTCAAGAATGGCCGTAAAATGGATGAATCGTTATGTAGGATGCACCGGGAGACTGTGGGAGAACAAAGACAAGATGACAAAAAGGGAATATTTCCAACGTCGAGTGGTAGCGCCGTGACTACGAAAGCTGGTCGTCTAATGTGTGTGTACTGATGAAGGCTAGTGGTGAGCTCAAGGATCTGCCAGGCCAATGACCGATCCTGTCTTGTGCACATGATTGTCTCCAACCGTCATCATGATGGATAATCCAGCGATACCAGCAATTCCTACCGAGCTCTTCCTCGTTATATTCGGCTTTCTTGATGCTCGCAGTCTCATTATCTGCAAGCAGGTAATGTCCAGTCTATATGCTTGTACTTTCCGGATCTCACCGTCGTCCAGGTCTGTCAGCTTTTCTTGGCCTTGATAGATGAGACTGTTGCTCTTGTCTACACCATTGAGCTCGCTCGCTACGGGCACGTTGACTATGCAGCTGCTCTACCTTCAGCAGAACGCCTTGCTCAGCTGCGCGAACATAACAATGCGTGGAACAAACTCGATGGTACTTGGAGCGACAGCATTCCGATGCTTCAAGGTCATCTTTGGGAGCTCTTCGGTAATGTTCTAGCACAACATAGCGGGTCAGGGAGTCTCGTCTTTACTCAATTACCCTCGTCGACCCGTTTGATCGAACAAAAGGAATGGTCGGTTCCATTATCCGGCTTGCACATACGTGATTTTGGAATGGACCCCTCACAAGACCTCCTAGTTCTTATCGAGTCGCCGCGGTGGTCAGCAAGCTGTATGATCTTTTTCACCAGATGCTGATTTCTTTGATCAGGGGACGAAACCTTAATCATTCGTTCCAATTCCATCTTTGGTCCATGTCCACTGGAAAAGCACATGGACTCGCCTCCGTACCTATCCTCAAACATGCACAGAAAGTCCCGGATTACGGAATGTCTCACACCATACAGATATCTGGTGATCACCTAGGTGTTGTGTTCCACGGCAACAATGCAGCGAAAGAGCTTGTTGTCTGGAATTGGAAGACTGGTCGCAGAGCATTGGTACGTCTTTGGCTAGCGGTAGTCTATTGAATGACTGACGGATCGTACGAACTAGTATCTCACCGGAAATGAGATCGGCTCGTTCGCATTCTTGACTGAAAAGCACGTCGTGGTTTCAGTGTCTGAAGGGACAGAGCTGCGCTTACTCGTCGTGGACTTCATTGCGGAATCGTCTGAGCAGACACGCGTTAAGAGTGTTACTCACTGTCTTGCTCTTCGCCTTCCAAATCTTCACCCTTCAACTGCGCTCGCGAGTCTCACAATCAGGTGCGACCCTTCGCCCGCGTGGCCGAATCAGGATCATTCCATCCCGTTTCATGTTCATCCTGATGAAATTCTGTATCCCGTAGCACTTTTCACCGGGCAAGGGAACCATATCATGATATTCATTCCGCGACGGACACTACTGGCACAATTGCACCACTTTCTCACTGAAACGAAGGAAGTTGAATGGCCAGCTTGGGGTCCGAAGGGCACGCGTATCCTCGATTGCTGGAATCAAGCTAATGTCTCTCCTGTGTGGGCTTGCAATACGTTTGGATCCAGATTCGTTGCTTTCGATGTCGACCAGGAGGAAATCGACGTATATGATTTCAATCAGATGACTTTGAAGAGGGAACTGGGCAGTGCATGTCCATCGCAATATGGCAATCCCAACGAGATCCTTTGGCCTCCAGTCAACCAAGAGGACCCTACCATGTTCGCAATCGATGAAACTATAGTTCCCTCGGACAGCCTGATATTCCAAGAAGAAGTCAGGACGTCGCTGCCATTTCGGGCCAGGGCAGTCCCTACAGCCCTTGGAACAGGACGTTTTTCGGCGATGTGTAGTCAAGATAACATTATCGTTGTCAATGCAAGCGTAAGGCATCCCTTAAAAGATATCTTACTTTGGTTGACAGCTGTTATAGAGTGTTCTTTTCACTGGCCGGGAGTACCGAGTATATACGCTGTGAGATCCTGGAAGCGCGGAACATGCGCAGCCCTAGACCAGTTGAGGCCTTCGAATGGCCAAATTGACGCCTGCCTTATGCGATGGATACGCGATTCGCCAAGACCTGATGCATACACGCGCGCGCCTATGATTAAGGGCTGTAGCCGAACAACTCATGCGAGCTGTTTGAGCTATTTGAGCTGTAATGAACGGTATGTAGGCTGTATTTTTGTATGAGGCATATGAGCTATTCGTTCTTCAATAAATGAAAACTTAATATGGCTTCGCCGGAATAACGCTACTGGACGTATCGACACACAAATCCGAACGTGGGTACCCGAACGTTGAACAATTTGTAGTGTGAGATCGCCGAAGATAAGACCAAAAAGGAAACCGATAACTCCCAAGATCTTATCTGATAAGAACGAATTTGCATACAGCTCGAGCACGACTTTTCCTTTAAATTTCCCTCCATGACTCAGACACCAACAACTTTCCCCCCTTCCTTCCACCAACTACCCTAGCTATGCTGACATTTTCCTCTTGCTCCCAGAAGCTCGTGTCTTCAGTACAGTTGAAGCGTTGCCAAACCTTCAAAGCATTCTATGCGGTAAGTTTTTTACTTTTATTTGAGTAGCGTTTTTCTGCTAATGCTTTTCGGTGCTGCAGACCATTCGCAGCTTGAGGCAACAGCCCGTACGTGATGGTGACGAAACGGCCTCGTCCGACAACGTGAGTCAAGCGTCGCCTGTTCAATATTCCACTCACCGGCAAGCCTGTCTAGGATTTCATTCTTTCGATCCTGCGGGCTAATCCGTCCCTGCGCGACACTCGTTCGTACTTGGCATCTTTTGGACCCCGGCCGCAAGCTGCGAAGCCAGTAATGTCCCAGCATCCTGATTTCAAGATGCCTTCACCTCCCGACATTATAGAGGCCGAGGCCAAGGAGACCAGTACTGTGAACGTCGAGGCGGCCCAAACCACTCCCATTATCGACTCTATACTTGACCCCATCATCAGGCGCACCGCCTTGGTCAAGGTTCAAGGCCCGTTCACGGACGTGCAGCTCGAAAGCATTGCTCGAGGCATGGTTTACCTCGAGAAGCTCGGGCTCGTTAGCGTCATTGTTGTTGACAACGACAACGTGGTTCGTGGTGGGACTGATGAACGAAACATTGTCATTGAAGAGACGATGCGCTTCGTCACGGCTCTCGAAAAGCAGGGCGCCAGAGCGCGTCCGCTCTTGGGTGCCATCGTCAGGCTGGGCCCAAAGCCTGAAGATCTTGGCATAGAACACGACGTCGCACCTCCTGAGGCACACACTATTCCATCCGATCTTAATACCATTCGTTCTGCCCTTCGAGCGGGAGAAATCCCAGTCCTTCCCCCGTTCGCCCTCGATTCCTTCTGTCGATCAGTCTGCGTAGACGCCAACGACGTGATCGCATCTCTTGCACGTGGGATGGTTGAGGCTGCGGTCCAGGACAGCATTTCACCTATTGCTGAAATTTCACGGTCTAAATCTTCCGGAGAAGTTGATCTTACTCCTCTTCGCCTCATGATCATCAACCGCGAAGGTGGTATCCCTTCTTACGCACGTTCAGGTTACCCTCATTTACTCATCAACCTCAATTCTGAGTATGACCATATAAATGGAACGTTTCGTGAATCCTGGCGCCATTCTCACCCGACCAGTCTTGCGAATATCTCTTTAGCGCGGAAATGCCTAGCGTATATGCCGCCGACTTCCTCTGCTGTTATGGTTTCTCATCGGTCTCCCAGCTCCCTCATCGCTAATTTAATCACCAACAAGCCGGCTGTAAGCTCTAGCTTACCTCATGCACTATTACAAGGTAATCGAAAACTCACACCTCATACGCCCACGTTGCTACGAAGAGGACTTCCCATTCGCGTGGTCCGCGCCACCGTAGACATAGATCAGAAAAAATTGACAACCCTTCTGGAACAATCTTTCGGCCGAACGCTCAATGAACACCAGTTTTATGGGCGCCTGGAACAGACGCTCGATTTCATGATTATTGCGGGAGACTATGTCGGCGCGGCCATCGTGACCAACGAACCGTCTCCTGATGCATCAAATCCTATCTCATACCTCGACAAATTCGCCGTTCTCCCCAGCCATCAAGGGGATGGAACGGTTGATTTCTTGTGGGTCGCTCTTCATGACGAGTCCTACGGACTGGGTCATCCCTCCTCTGTGAACCCTAACGGAGGTAAAGAAGGTCAGGGAGAGGGCCGTGATCTTGTCTGGCGGAGTCGCGCCAACAACCCTGTGAACAAGTGGTATTTCGAGCGTAGTTCAGGTCACGTCAGGATGGGGTCCTGGGTCCTGTTTTGGTGCGACGCAGAGAAGCATCTGAAAATTGAGCAGAGTCGACGCGGAAGCTCCGGTTTGTCCTACGTCGAGGGCTGGGAAAAAGGACCGCTTATCCCACTGGGCCGGCGTGGTAAACTGAAATTCCCTCTAGCTGGAAGTAAAAGCATGTACATGTGCATGACCGATGCCGATGTTCGTATTAACTTGTATCATACATAAAACAGACCATGCCATTGTAGTAATACAGGAAAGTATCTATCTTTTCACGAAGTAGTAGTAGTCATAGAGGGAAGAACTCGTAAATGTCTAGTAATGTAAAGTTCAGTCGTCGCTGAGGCTTGCCAAGGAAAAACTTGGAAACAAGAATGTGGGAGATGTACACGCGCTTGGGCGGCTCCGTGGCATCAACTTTCGATGCACCTGCAGTTTTGTAGATGTATTTGCAGACATCAACCGGTAGAGTAATTTGTTCAATAGCCAATTCCTTCCAGATGTAAATAAAAGTCTTCGCATCCTTCCAGCTAGTAATGATATATTCTCCTCAAGCGTCCGAATTTTTATCGTACATTATGAATATGTTTAGAGTCAAAATACACGTCAGTCCTTATTTCCTGCGAGTTCGGGTATTCTTGGGGAGAGCAGGCAGTGTTGACACACTGCTGAAAGATGCGTCGCGATTCTCCTTTTGAAGGCTGCTTTTAGTCAATTTCAAAACTCCAACACGTTTCCATGGCTCGTATGTTCCCCCTCCATTGACAATAGACTCTTCTAATGCCTTCACACCTTTCACCACTTTTTCACGGAAGCCATGACAAGTCCAATAGTCAATGTTTCTTATGAGAAAATGGACCTGCAATATATCGCTAGGCCTTTTCAATTTCCATTCATGGAATGTCTTCTCATTATCATCATCGGGCCCCGGAAAAGGCGCTGAGAGAATTTTGATTTCCTGCAAAGACCCCGTGGATGCCGTTACCTAGAGGAGGAACATTACAACGGGGGTAACTCTTACCTTTTTGTCCATCGTACCGATACTGGTTGTCTTGCACCAATCGACATGGGCTCGAACAGTCCCATTCGCCCATACAAGACCGAAAACAGGAACATTGATTCCTAATGAATGCAGATGCCTGACTGCGGAGGTAGTAGACATTCTATTCTGTCTGTAAGCATCCTCCAACATCTGATGGACAGGCTTCTTGTCTTCGAAGAAAGCACTTGCGAATTCAAAGCCTAGGATGAGTGCGTTAGCAAGGATAGCAAAACAACATGCACACCAACCGGGTATTTCAGGCAAATTGGCACAGGGCGTGCTCTGAAATCTGAAGGACGAAGCCTTGTCAGCACTACCACTTTTCTCTACAGTTCGGTGGGCTTTGAGCGCTTTGTAAGGCGACGCTTCAGTGTTAGATAAATGGCGTATGGATCCTGTTGGGATTAGAATAACATTATCCGGAATGATTGTCTTTGTGTTTAGAATGCGGAGGGACGTGGACGATATGTCTCCGCTCGACAATGGCTGAGGAAGAGAGATTGGGCATTGGCCCCTGCAGGACCGTTCAGAAGAGATGGCGATAAAATACTGCCAAAGAGAAACATACCTCTGCCTACTCTCAGATACAGCTGGCGTTCGAAATATATCACAGCTGGCGTGGAGATCATGATCTCAGATTTATAGATACCTACCGAACACATAACGCACGTCTTAGCAAAGTCAGCTTCCGAAAATTTCTCCTCGGAGTTGCACATTTTCTTAAGATATTTCGAGGCTTTGAACGCAGTGGCCAGATCATCGTATAACGCCAATGTGTCGACGGATGAATCGTCCTCGCAGAAAAGGGAAGGGCATTCCCTGTGAGCATTTGAAAGAAAATCTAGGAATCCGGGGCGACAAATTGAAGAAATCAAACGGTATTTTTCGGAATCCTGAGTCGGACAAGTTATATAAGCGCCGGAAACTTTCCCATCCAACGAACATACCGTCTTCACCCAAGCAACAGGTATCTTTCCAGACACATTGAGCACCTCATCTACATCAGACTTGATGGTTTCAGGAATGTCGGAGTAAGACACTTGCTCCATGTTTTGACGCGTAGACCACGTCTCGAAGTGTCCAAGGTTCCGTGCGATTCTTCGTTAAGCGTCAGTACCGTGGGTTTAGCTCCAGAGAATGGCATACTCTGAAGCAGAGAGCGTACGGGGGGCCTTTGGTTTCGTTGCTTTTTTCGTGTTCTTCGTGACCTTATTGTCACTCGAAGTACTCGTGCTGTACAAACCCCTCCATTATCATACATAGTGGATATTTAGATAGATACGCACATGTTCGACATTTCGATATCAGTATAGTCGTTCGTATCAGGGGAGAAGTATGTCTATGTATCGCAAGTCTGTTGGAGGTGGGAAGGAATGTAACAGTTCAACCTCCGCGGAAGTAATTTCAACACATCACGTGATCGCATTGATCCTGACTCAATTTGAATACAGAATGACAGTGATTCGTTGAACTTGAAGGTCTTCTCCGGTGCAATTGGCGTTAAGAACTTGGCTCGTGCTACTACTCATTTATGGTGCAAATCTTTATACAAGACAGTCCTACATTTCAGAAGAAGGCGTCCATTACTTTCCTTGAAGCCTCAACCCCGAGCTAAACCAAAAGGGTCAGTAAACAAAAAAAATGCGAAGAGGAAAAACTGACGAATGTAGCTGCGTTTGCAGGGAAGGCCCTGGCCATTGCAGGGCCAAATCCTTTCCAAAGAGCAGCAACACCATCTCGAGCAATGGTCTTTCTTGCACAATCCATGAAACCAGAGTATGTTCCACTGGGCGCAGACTGAATTCGTGATTTTATCACATCGGGTGGAATGGCGAGTGACCACATAGCAACGCCTGCTGTTCCTCCCGCAAGTATTACTGCACCGAGATTGAGATCAGCAGGCGACGAGCCTGTTGGTGTCAAAAACTTCTTGGTAACTTCGTATGCCGCGAAGTACCTATCAGTTCGAGGTCAGATAAGGCGTTTGAGTGCAGAAAACATGCATACGCAGCACTTCCTGGTCCATCTCTTGCTACAGTGGCCACTGAGCCACGGAATATGCTCCGTACTCCACCCTCTTTGTAGAGATGTTTAATCACGTCCAAAACGCCCTTGTATTTCTGTTCAGCACCTCCTTGGCCTTGTACCTGAGCTGATGAATCATCTGACGAATGTGAAAAGCGGCCTACATACCTGGAGTAGGACTTTAGCGCGTTCCACGGGGGCAGTGACCAAAGTCGTAGGAATTGCAGACAGGAAACCAGCCACTGCAAGTTCGCCTATAGACAGGTCTTGGTTTTTTCTGTTGGGAGTTACTGCGTATATTAGAAGCTTTGACATGTCATATGCCTGCACTAATGTCAGTAATGTTGGGTCGTACGGCCATTGAATAGCCGTACCCAAAAGGACACGGCGAAGATAGGTGTGACGCCTAATAGTGGTGGCACCATTCCACGATACATGCTATGTAGCGTTAGTCGAATTCAGAAGATGTCCATCGATGGCATACCCGGAGAACCCATCCTTTGCCAATGTCTTCTTGACGACGTCGAAAGCACCTGTGTACGCCCCCTTTGGTGCAGTCTGCAGCCTAGTCTTTGTCAAGTCGAATGGATGACCTGGCAACCCGTTATTCCTTGAACAAGTTCGCGTCAGCTCGTGAACGCACCGACGAGGACCGCAGCGACACCTCCAAATCCCCCAGCAACGAACGACTTGACAGACTCTGAGGTGGCCGAGGATTGCTTCAAGGTCTCTTCCGCTGCCGGTGCTTCACTGCTCTGATAACGGCTGAGGACAAGGCAAGACAGGAGGCAAAGGAGCGCACCATCGTGTCTAGCGTCTAAAAGGTCTAAAGAGGGTAAGGAGCGGATGAACAGGGTACCAAGCCTTGACAATTTCATGGCACGGATACGGAACGCGAGTATCCCGGTTCACATGACTCCTCCCTTCGGCCTCTCCCGCTTTGCTTCCGTCCTTTTCTTCTTCTCCGCATTTTTATCTTATCGCGGAATCTGGGACCTCCGCGTATTCACTTCCAATATGTTACAGTTATTACAGTTATTACTACTTACAGTTCCTCTATCATGTTAGCATCCATTGTATACACTTAAGAATCATCCCCGTCATCTCGTCCAAAGCCACCCGCAGGCTCATATGTCGCTTCTGTGGTATCCCTTCTCCATACCCATCTCACTCCCAGGAAAAATGCACAGATAGCAAATATGCCCAGGACACCTGTGACAGTGGGGCCTCCGTATTCAACCCACCAGGGAGGCTGGTATGGCATCAGAACACGATCAATCTGGATCACGCCTCCAGTTCCGCCTCCGGTGGTTGTCCTTCCCCATGCCTGTACCCTGGCCCAATCCGCTGTACCGTCTGTACCTCGTGCACCTTTAATGCCTACAATGTACGAATTCGACCCGTCATCCTGCTGGCGGAAGATGATATCTCCATAGCTAGATTCTGGGGAGCGAAGCGTCCGGTAGGTTGCTGAATCGTCAAGAGGGAGTGGTCGATTGTTGTTCAGCGCGTCGCTGTCAGCACCGACAAAATCTCCCAAGCGTTCCGCTGGCGTGGGGATAAGGTGCTGACCCACGATCACCTGCAATCTCGGCACATCTTCAAACAGAGATGTCAAATTATATTCCTTGAACGCGTCATCCGTGGGACAAAGTAGTGTCCATCCAACACCGGACAATCCCTGATCTGCCCACGGAGACCCATCAGGAGGCGCTGTGCCGTTCAGAACCCAGTCGAATCCAGCTTTCGTAACTATGTTGGTCATTGTGCTTCCTTTGGCTGCCTTGACAAGTTTTCCGACAGTCAGTTGAACTGATCTAGGAATCAGGATATCGGAAAGCTCATGAATCACTCCCGTCTGCGTTAAGATGTCCCGGATGTACAACTCGGTCCGCATTCCTGCCCAGCCACCACTTGCACTGAGATACAAAGTGCCGTTCTTCATGCGCTCCAGCGTTAAATCTGATCCTTCCACGCTTGAGAAGGTATGCTGAGAACCATTTCGTAGGCGCTCGGAATATTCCACGGAGTCCAAGGTATGATGAAGGAGAACATTCTCTAGATCACGCTTGGACGACGCGGCTAAGAGATGTGCAGAGACCAATAAACCCAACCGTTTAAACGCAGAATTGTGAGGTATAAGGAGAGAAGTGCGGGGTGTGGTTTTCAATGTTTCTGCAATGGAAGTAGAAAAGACGGCTGCCAAGTATGAAGACAGATCCAGGTAAGGCAAGGCAGTTTGCAACGCGTCAGCGGGAGGCTCTAGTGGCCGCGAGATGAAATAAATCAAGGTATTGTTGACTTCAACTGAGATTTTATCAGTTCGAGGAAAAGGAGAAAAAATTCCAGAACACTTACTCGGCTCATCAATAACGCTAGCACCGCCAAAGAATACCTTCTTCGAATCAGATTTGTCGTCAGTAACATCGACCGCCAAAACCTGTCTGCCACCGTCGAGACCTTTCTCCTCCAGCGCCGTCTCCAGCAACATCCCAGAAGACAGTTTCTTGGGTGTCCAATGGCCTGGGATGAAATGATACTGCAATAATTTCTTCATTTCCTCGGAACCAGGTTCAGGAAGGTCGCTATGACCAAATATCGATAGGACGTCGTTTTTCGGGGCAAGAATCGTGTATTTGGCTTTGGTATCATTGATCAGAGAAGTTAAATCGGCAGAATGGAGGAGAGACACAAAATGTGTGCAGTTCAAAGCCAGAAGATACTTCTCCGGGGTTAGCTGAAGAGCGCCCGGCGGCAGTATCAGGGATGAGACGAGGTGGAGGACACCATTGGAAGCATAAATGTCTGGTTCTACCAAGTCAGCTGAGGAAATCGTGGTCTTCTCAGGAGACACAACAATTTCGAGCTTGGTGCCGTCGATTGTTGTTACTGTAGCAATGTCAGCTTCTGTCTAAACGTTAGACACATGAAAGGGCACGTGCAATTTACTGCTGGATCAAAATGTTCCGACCATTTAACCTCCTCCTCGGCCACAGCATGCATATTCAGAATACGATTGAGATCATCGGTGGCATATTCACTCTCGAGGTATAAACGCTCCAGAGGGTCCAGTGCATCCCATGCGCCATTGATAGGTAAAAACAAGGTTAAGGCCTCGGTGGAGTTGAGAGTACGTGTGATCTCCGGGGTGAGAACGTTGTGGAAATATGAAACCGAGGACAATTTGGAGACAACGGTCGCTGCATAGAAAGGTTAGTTCGAAAGGACATTACATATGGTGAAGACGCACCTAAGTCAGGTGGTGGTTCCAGTATCTTGTTCACACCAAGCAAGATTCCATTGCCTGCATCGACTTGGCCCTTAATGACTTCAGCGCCATTTTTGCCGTTTGCATCCACCCCTACCCATACACCGTCTTTGCGAGAGGCTACGCGTAATCGTTGCGGTTCCCCTCCGAGGCTTCCACCGGGAATAGGCATCCATGGAGGGTACGGTGGCGGTTCCTTGGAAGGGGGATCGACGGACGTACGGGGAAAGTGCAGGGTCTTGAGCACCTTAACCGGTTCAGAGTCGTCGGGGAGAGAAGAGATGGAATAATTAAGGAGATGGTAGAACAATTGCTGCCTGAGCTTCTCCTGGAGGTTGTCGGTTAGTATCAGGCTGGAGTCGTCGAGGACGGAATTCCAGAGACTGTTTGAATAGTGCTTAATAGCGTCATTTGTAGGTGCAAAGAGCGTGCTTCCGTTCAAACGGTTGAGAGTTGGTATGAGACGCGCCCTCTGTAAGAGACGGAGCAGAGAGGTATAATCCGGGTCGGCAGACAGTGCGTCAACGAGGGTAGTGGAGGTAGTAGATGGACCGGTCAGCGGTACCTGTGCCGGGCTAACCAGCTGCACTGGCAAGCTGAGCAAAGCAGCGGCAAAGGCAAAGCGCCAGAGACGCATAATGTTGCGTAAACGGTAGCGACGACGACGACGGCAAGGCAAGTCAAATGAACGGTAGGTGAAGTTGAATGGGAAAACGAGGCTCCGGCGCCTTTGACTGCGTGTTTCGGACCAACGTCATTGCCACGAGGCATTACTTATTTATTTATTTATACCATATTGGTCAATTAGGGTTTACCGTCCGAAACACCTTCTACACCCGCAATGAGCCCTTGACCGACTACCGCGACGTACACTATGCTGAATCTCCAGCAGAGCTATCTTGGAGCGCCAAATACTCGCCTTCATCACCTGGTGCTGCCCCATGAGACACTTCTGGTATTGTCACCTATCCTTGACCTCCATTTCAACGCGCTTATCCTGCTCAGCTGTATTCCACTGCAGATGCTGTCGTGATACTCAATGCCGCTACCCTGGAGGTCAGGCGGGTACTCGCCTTTTGGGAGGCGTTCCCGAGCCTGATTCATACGCCAGATAATGTGTCTTGCATCTCTGTAGACTCGGGTATGAAGCTCGTACGTCCTGCGGCTGATCTCACCTATCCGTGCATGACAATTGTTTAGATAGTCGCTTCAATGGGTAACAGAATAGCTTCATGGTCTCTTTCTGGGGTCCAACAGGACACCTGGCACATACATTCGACCCTGGTCCTTCCTCCAAACCATAATGTTACTGCAATGCACAACAAATCTGGTATTTGCTACGTTCTTTACCCACGAATGACGCGTCTGACTGCATCCAGGGCTCCTTGCCATTGCCACCGAAAGAAGTCTGTCCGTGCATACCCTCATTCTGGATAACGACCTGCCTACTTGGGCTCAGAAGTGGATGGTTCGGTGAGTAATCGGCCGTATTCAAATCGCGCTCCCTTACGTATTTTCAGCCTAAAGGATGCACCTCCTATAGTGCGCTTCGCGCCATCCTTGATGTATATTGCCACAAACACCAAGTTTGACAATTCTGTCAAACTTTACTCTACGACTTCTGGTCGACAAACCCAAGTCATCCCCCATCCTCGGCCTATTGAAAAGGTTTCCTGGCGTCACTCGCGAGTGTCGAGTCGGTTTGTGCCTCGATATCTACTACATCCTAAGCTTAACTGATTTCCAGAGACGATTTGATACTGTTCACAGTTACCTCTGATGCTACCCTTCGAATATTCTTCCCTGTCCTTGATTCTCCACAGTACCTACAACTTCATGCTTCTCTCGACCTTTATTCGTCACTGCCGTTCTCTATAACCTCTGCGCACCCCGAGATACAGCATTCCTCTGTCTTTTATCTGGACCGTGAAGTCATTAGGCAGTCATCTGACAAAATTTTGACAAGTTGTCCGAGCCAGAATAATGTTCGTACCAGGAGAATCCAGGAGATCAAGGACGAAGGATGGGACCTATTTCTACGTGTACTCGGGGATGGCTCTATTGTTGTGACTGCCGTAACTGTAGGTTTTTCCCATTCTACTTCGTGTACTTACTTATCTCTTCCTCAGAACATCGATCGCAGACCTCCAACCCTCCTCAATAAATTTACACTTCAACAATCCCCACCTTCCACGTTACCGAGTGTTCCAAAATATCTCTACTTCCTACCTAATTCTACTAAACCTCTCGATCACTGTCGTAACAGCACCTCATCTCACCTCATATGAATTGTCGCCGGTGGCCTTCTTCGATGCTCAAGAAGATGGTCTCAGAGCACGCGCACACGGCTCTGAAGTCTCTCCGGAAGAATATTCTGAAATAGTACGGTTCGTCAGGACACCGGAAGGCAGAGGAGTTGGTGTCATTCGCAAGAGTAGAGGTCAAATATGGACCCTTGCTGAAGGTGACAAAGAGCTGATTCGTTCTGGCTCTGGTGGCTTGGGCGACAAAATTGTCGTTCTCGATAAAGGTCAGTTTTACTCAATGTATAGAGCAAGCCCATATTTACCTCCTGCATGTAAAGGCCGGACGTTTGCGACATACAATACATCTGACACTACGCTAACACTACATACCCAGCCTCCTAGTTCACTCACCTTACCTTCGATTAACTCTTTCTTTACTCTACCATCGAAATCAGACGCCGAGTCTATTATCGGTATCACTGACGATCTTTCGGTTTATCATATCCAACTTAGAACTGCAGGTTCTACGACGCTCTTCCTGCATTCCCATGGCCCCCTTCCTCTATCTTCCCCTCCTGCTATGATTGTCCCTGTTGATCCTATGGCCTGGGGTCTTGATCATCCTTGGATGAAACATGATGTACTTCTTAGCGTGTCGGATGTCGGAGAATTAGGATTTTGGGTGCCGCAAGAGAACGGTCCGGAGGGTGCCTCTGCGGGTTTAAACGGGAGAGAGAACTCCACCGCTTCGACATGGGTTTGCACCGGCAAGGTCAGGACAGGGAGGAAGGCCATCAAAAGGGCGAAATGCAGCTCTGCTAAAAAGACAGCCCTGAGTATGTTTGTATCTATCACAAATTTGATATTTTTACTGATTTATTTGAGAACAGTTGTCCCTTGTTCGGAGGGGGAGGAATTGACAATATGGGATTCGAAAGAGTCAGAATTTGCCTCTGGACTAGAATATCGGAGGGTATTCAGGTCTTTACTTCGTCATCTATATTGTCCTGTGTTGATACTTATCGGAGGCTTAGTGAACCTATCAATGACTTGGACTGGACATCCACTCCAGATATGCAGTCTATCTTAGCTGTCGGATTTCTGCATCATGTAGAACTTCTTTGTCAGCAGCGAATGACGTACTTCGATGAAGGACCCGGATGGGCAATTTGTTGGAAGATTGACATTCAAGGGTGAAATCAAAATTATGTTTAGTCTGTGTCTCTGCTGACGCTTTACCTCCAGCTTCATCCCTTATCCTATCAGCGACTCCATTTGGCTAGCCAATGGATCCTTTTTACTAGGCGCAGGTCATCAAATGTTTTTGTATGGACAAGATGTATCTTCCTCGAGAGGAAGTATCACGAGTACTCTCAGTGACGAAAGTCTTTTTGATTATGTGGCGCGGCAGAATGGTCCATTAGAGGATTATCATCCCCAGATGTTATTGCAGTGTCTTCTATGGGGTATGTCATTGACGTAATCTTCTTGCGGTCGCCTCATTGTTTTTTGACAGAAAAGGTGGAATTGGTCAAGGACATCATTGTCAATCTGGCGAAAGACATTGAAGCAGGAAAGTCACCGAGAGATTTTACTACTGTCCCTGTCGAACGCTTTCTTCGGCCCGGTAATACCCTACAGGTATGTCCCTAATTTGTCTAATTAATACATACTAGATTTCTTGCCCAGAGAGCTTCACACAAGAAACGTTACACCCAGCTGTTCGATGGACCAGATCTAGGGGATGACAAGTAAGTCTACTTTGCTCTTCCTTCGGAATTTAACACTCAAAGCGCACAGCGAGGAGAAAGAATTCTCAAGATCCCTTGTCATGCGCTTAATTGAATCACTGGAAGATCGTCCATTGCGCCATCTAACCCCCAATGAGCATGCACATCTCTTGGTATTGATACAAACGACATTAGAAGTGATCATTTATCTGCCTCTTGATGCCCTTGTGCTGAAGCCATGTTCTGTAGATAGACGAGCAAAGTCGGTCCCTGGATGCTAACGGGCTACGATATTTGATATCCATGCGGTCATTTTACATCCTGAACCGCCGCGCATCTACCCCAGCAAGCCCGTCTTCGAAAGGGGGTATTCCACGAAATACGGGCCGGCGCGAGCGACTTAGATACCGGGATATGATTTGGGCGTTTCATAGTGAAAGTCATGGTCTGCTCTTGGAGGCCTCCATTGCTGCATGTAATGGGAAGATGGGATGGTCCGACGCCAGAGCCCTCGGTATATCTATCTGGACGACTTCTGTGGAGACACTGGTAACGGCATCTTCTTTTCAGATACCAATAATAATATCTCACCTGATGGCTAGAAATTACAAATAGAGAGTATTGCTCGAAACGAGTACATGGTGGACCGGGACCCAACGGCATGCTCCTTGTTTTATTTTGCCTTAGGAAAGGTGAAGCTGGTACATAGCTTATGGCGACAGGCTGCATGGCATAAAGAACAAGGTCTTATGCTCAAGTTTTTGTCTAATGACTTTTCCGAGCATCGATGGCGGACAGCAGCACTCAAGAATGCCTACGCACTTTTGGGAAAGCGCCGTTTTGGTATGTATCTTTACTGTGCAATCGTTGCTTAAATCTAATGTCGATGATAGAATATGCCGCCGCCTTCTTCCTATTGGGACAATCCCTTAAGGATGCCGTCAATGTCTGTATAAAGCAGCTAGGCGATTTTCAAACAGCCATAGCTATAGCTCGTGTGGTTGAGCAAAGCAATGAGGGACCCGTATTCCTGGATATATTGCGAAACACAGTGTTACCAACGGCATTCAAAGATGGTAACAGATGGCTTGCTAGTTGGGCGCTCTGGTTGTTGCATAAAAGAGACCTGAGCGTTCGCGTGCTTGTGGTGAGTATCGTTATTTCGCGATGTCTAGCCCTCGGTTAATACTGTAACTAGACTCCTTTGCAAGACCTTGTTCAGTGCCCTTGACATTCAAGTCACTGATATCGGCGAACCTCACTACGACGATCCAAGCCTCGCCCTCTTATTCTCCCAGTTACGATCAAAAACTCTACAAGCGGCCAAGGGAACAAGTGAAATTTCCGGGAGCTCAGAATTCAATTTCGTGTTACAGATCGCTCGTGTCTTCTGTAGAATGGGTGGGTCCATTCCTTTTAGTTATATACTTAGTTCAAAGACTGATGTTATACAGGTTGCCACGTTCTCGCGCTGGACCTTGTGCGGTCTTGGGTGTTTGATCGCCCCTCTCCTCTCCTTATGAACGGCGACTTCCAAGCTGAAAGCAGTAAAGATGGCATTTCTCCGCCAAGTCCGACAATATCGCGTCGTTCCCGATTTACTTTCGAACCAGGTTTACGGCGCCGATCATCAATAATGATCGACATGGATATTACTTCCTTACCTCCTACGCGAACAGCTTCTCCAGAACGAAATGGCCCAAAAGTACCGCCCGTAATCCAGGAGGAAGTCATCAAAGACGAGGGCGACTTCTTTGCCAGGAAAGCAGGGTTGGGAGACCTGATGAAGTCTGCAAAGCAGGACGTGACGGTTCCAGAGTTCGATATGAATGCATTCTTTTGAATGAGTTCATTGCTGTGAGGATCTTAGGGTCACTACAAGACCTCGGATATTGATTGTATGCGACCAAAAAGTACAATGAATTTATTTAGATTCCTGAATGAGAACAAACATTGAAAGAAGAGGTTATGCCGTGAATTAGTTCGATACTTCGACCTCTCGCTTCTTGAGGACGAGATCGGACCCAATGACACGCTTCCAAACGTCTTGGACATCCTCGACCACAGTCTCAAAATGAGACGTGGCGTCATAAGAACGGGTGATGAAAATGTTGTCGCTTTGGCCCGAAGAGGTCGGTGTGTACAACGGGGTGATGGAGACGAATCTAAGCATATAAAGATCAGAGATGTACTCTCGCCCAATAAATGGTGCTTACTTGTCGTGAATGGGACCGAGAAGTTTAAGACCAGGAGCAATCTCAAGCTCGGGCTTGTCTGTCTCAACGATGGTACTGACGATAGCGACATAAATGTCCTTAGCGCAAACATTGTGAGTAGAAGAAACCATCGCGATGTAAATATCTATTAGGAGCATCAATGATATAAATGTTCAATATCCAGTTCAGCACGTACCGTTTCGCCGTCCAACCTGGTTTTGAGGGATGATGATTTGACAACTGTCGCTGTCATCGGTACCGGGTATAGGATGCTTCAAGAAGCAGATGGCTCGGACAACTTTATGTTCCTCTATCACTCGAACTTTTCCTCCTGAGATCTTTCCAGCACCAAAGTAGCTTGGGTCACCGATGACTTGCTTAGCCTTCACCGTTTCCCCGCCGCTGGTCACACCAACGAATTTGCCATCAGCATCAGTGACAATTTCATCGATGGCCTTGTCAAGCATGTAAGTGCCCCCATAGATAGCACTAAGACGGGCAAAGGACTGCGGTAATTCACCAAGGCCGTACAAGGGGTAAATGTATGGAGATTTTCCGTAGCGGGCCATGGAAGACGTGTAAAGTACGATCCTGTTGTAGGTTGGGCGTGCTGGTTTTGTAATGTAGCTGAAATAAAGTTAGCAGAGTGATTAGATTATAGAGCAGATACTGACTCGTCATCTAAATAAAGGGCCATGGCGTGTCCAATAAAATCCTGTGTTCCAGGCTCCAGGCCAAACTTGTCATAAACTGTTTTCATCGTATCCTTGTCAAGATCAATGCCTGAATTGGATCACTCAGAGAGAGGAGGACATAAATCGCAAGCATAACCGACCTTGATGAGTGGACGGATCCTCGTCCTTCCAGCTCTGTAAGAACTCAAAGAACTTCTTGGCGCGCCGCTTCTCGAAAAGCCCCATCAAAGGGCTCCGAACGGCCTCCATCTCCGTGCTGGGAACCTTGGAAATCTTGCCATCACGATAGACGAAGCTCCCCGCGATCTGCTTGAATTCAAGATAGCGGGTAACATCAGTGTGGACGAGGATCCTAGTGAGCTCGCCGGATGCAATGATGAACTTGGGAATAAGGTCAACGGCGTAGTCGCGGTCGCGTCCAAGCTCAGAGGGAGGGCTCTGGTCGGGTCTGAACTTGCGATACAGCTAGGGGATCATCGTCACTGGTGTTTTACCTCTCGCTCTGTAAGAAAACTTGCCTGGGTCAGATTCAAGCTCGCACTGTCACCGCCGTAATAGTCATTCCTGTCCATATGCAGGACCTTCTTGCCTTCGACAGACAGCAGACCCGAAAGAATACATTCGGTTAGTCCTGTACCGAGCACGATGACCTATCCGACAGCGTCAGCTAGAGTATTGCGCCACGGAGCCTAGTGCGTACATCGTATTCTTCATCCATGACAGCGAGAAAGGCGGTGAGAGCGTGAGACAGAAAGACGAGAGGAGCAAAGGAATAAAGATGGTTGCTACAACGAAACCCTGGCTGCCTAATATATCACTTATCGATGCACGTGGCGGGCCTCGACATTAACACTTCTCATATTCACTGGCTGTATGTACATTGAAAGAAAAAGGATAGAAGTATGGCGTCAATAGTAAGTGCTATAAATTATTTGTTATACCGTACAGTGGAAGGTCCAAGCCTCCATAATACAACGTGATAACCTGAAGGTAAACGTCAAAGCAATCAAAAAAGCAACTAGGATGAATTACAACGTCCAGAGCAAAAAGACCAGCCCACAAGCCACAAATAGGAAAAAAATCATCAAGTCAAGATTCGATCTTAGCGTGCTTTGAGCGCTCTGCAGATCCCTCATCACCCTGTGAGTCAAGCTTGCGCTTGCCAGCTGCCTGGCCGCCAGATTGTCCGTTTGCTTCATTTTGCCTTCTGATCTTCCGAGCGAGCCTCTCAAGAGCTGACAGAAGTCGTGTTAGTCGCAGATAGAAAACCAAAAGTATTGACATACCGTTCTCGTTTCGACGATAGTATTCCGCCCACGCTTTTGGCGATCTTTGTGTATACTGTAAGAACAGAGAGTTGGGAATGGTTAGACGAAAAGAGAAAAACGAGACCTGACCTTTTCGCCAAAAGGCACCCATTTTTCTTGAAAACTTGCCGCACCAAAATCAGCAAATGTGGCGATGTGTCTTGCAGTAATTGCTAGGTCTGCTTCAGTAAACGGGCCACCTTTCGGTCCCATTGAGCTTTCATCGAAAGGCGGTATCACGAGATCATCATCGTCTTCCTCCTCGATATCGTCGTCACCCTCTGCGTCCTCCTCTTCCTCCTCCTCCTCCTCCTCTTCGTCGTCGTCCTCTTCTTCCGAAGTAGTCAAGTCGCGGTACTTAGGACGAGGTCGAGTGGAAGGCTTCTTCTCCTCTTCAGATTCCTCTTCATCAGTAAGTGAGTCACCCCGAGCAGCAGCAAGGATTTTATCCGGCATATCGTGATTGTTTGACCAATATGAATACCAGGACTGGCTGCTATGATGAGGTGCCTATGTTCAACTTTAGCATAAATGTATACGGAGCATCAAGTCAATAAACACGAGCCTTTTCTGCCAGTAATTCACATAGATCGTTGCGTGATAAGCTTGGATCTTCTTTCAGTCGTCGTAGAATGAATTTAAGGAAAAAGTCTTTATCCTCAGGTGTGAATTTATTTCCGCGGCCTTGAGGAACAACTTTAGTTGGAGGGGTAGGGGAACGAGAAGGAGGGTCGGGAATCTTGAGATCTGCATGAGGAGGTGGTAGATGTCGGTCAAAGACAGCGGTGTGAGTCGTAAGACTATTGATGGTGCTGCGACGACCAACTGTAGGAACTGTAGACGTCGCAGAAACAGGCGTACTTGATTTACGCTGCCGGCTTTGTTGTCGACCTTGCTGCACATTGGGATGTGGAAGGGTCGAGGACGAAGCCACAGGCGACGATTCGACCTTGAAGCTGTCCATCGAAGGTTTCTTTGCAGTAACCACTTTGACTTGGGGTCGCTGGTAGTTCATCAGGGGGTTGTGGGAGTTGATGTACATACTGATTTCGCGGTCTATACGAAATTTATGATCAAGATAGTAGTCTTTCCACAGACTCGCAGAGTGGCCATTTCTCTAAAAATCCCATGATGACGCGTAGATTAGAGGTAATATATAGGGACTCACCCCGTGAAGACTGTTCAACGCATCCTTGTACGACCCATTCTTGGTATGACACGAAATCAGTGCCCTGTAGAGCAAGTCTTCGTCCGTCTTTTGAACAGGTGCAGAGTTGGCAACTGCATCATGAAGGACTTGTTGAGGAAGGAAAGATACATTGAAACCATTCATCCCCATTCCCATGCCTCCTGCACCGTTGGTGAAGGATTGATTCTGCATTTGACCCGACCACGGCAAGTTGAATTGCTGCTGAGGCGGTTGCGGATTGTGCATCTGAGTTGAGGCCATCGAGTTCTGCGAATATAAAGGCCACTGGTTCTGGTTGGCCATTCCGTGGCCCGACTGCGAAAGCGGCTGCCTCATGTCCATATTGTTCGCGTATTGGTTGGACGCTGCCGACGCCTGAAAATCGGGGTACGGATTTGAACTGGAAGAAGGAAAACTATTAGTGTTGAAGCCATTGACGTGACCATTGTTGAACTGCATGGCGCTGGTGTCCTTAGGGATACTGGTGGTAGCCGTTCATGACGATGGGCTCGACCTGCGGGCTCCTGCAGAGCAGTTGGCTGCAAAAAATTCCATTTCCAATGATCACGTGCATATTCAGAGCCCCGTGCCGAGTTCCGGGGCAAATGAAGGATTAACTTCCTGTAAGTACCCGGCCGCGGTTCAAATACCCGGTAGGTGTTCCACTTCCTACTTACCAACGACCACCATGTTGTCACCAGCGAAATCTCTTCGTTACATCGCCCGTGCTCGTACCTTCAGTTCCTCATCTACTCTCAGCGCTCTCAGTGCTGCTGCTCTTCCTAAAGCAGAACAACTGTCTTCGGAATGGAAGGGAACAAGTGCTACCGGAGGCACCACCAAGAATTTCATTGGAGGCCAGTTCGTCGAAAGCAAGTCTTCGGAAATGGATTGATGTTCTCGACCCAGTATGTATGTTTGTTGCGCACTAGATCCGCTTGCTCATTGTCTTCTAGGCGTCGCAAACGTTGATTTCTCGCGTCCCCCAAACGACCAGCGCAGAATTTGAACAAGCGGTCGAAGCCGCTTCGGAAGCCTACAAATCGTGGAGCCGAACTAGTGTCCTTGGACGTCAACGTTTTGCTATAGAGTACTATTGATCTCACCGCGTCTATGATCCTACTTGTTCATGGACTCTTATCTGAAGGCTTCAATCTCTGCTTCGTCAGAACGCAGATGCTATTGCCAGCAGCATCGTATTGGAGCAGGGAAAGACCCTTCCAGGCTCGTCACATCAGTTATTGTGGGGAAACGAGTTAACGTCTCACCTCCAGATGCTCACGGTGACCTCCTTCGTGGGTTGCAAGTCGTGGAGTCCGCAATCGGTATCACTTCTACCCTTCTGGGTGAGAAAATAGAAGGTTGTCTTCCTTCTACATTCGCCGTCGTTCACATCTGACCAGCACGCCTGGAATAGTCAGCAAAGATATGGACACAGAAGTACGAAAAGTACCTCTAGGCGTGTGTGCAAGCATCGCCCCCTTCAATTTCCCAGCGTAAGCGACCTATCACGCGTTCTTATGAAATCAAAAGCAAATGACGCGCTTAAATGCAGAATGATCCCTCTCTGGACAATTCCCATGGCTGCCGTCACAGGCAACACTTTGATCCTGAAACCCTCGGAACGCGACCCCGGCGCCGCTATGATTATAGCTGAGCTATGCCAGCGTGCAGGTAGGTATAATTACAAAGGCCCTCTGGAAGTCTGCTTAAACCTTCCTCTAGGTCTTCCTCCCGGTGTTCTGAACATCGTTCACGGAGGTGTCCCAACGGTCAATGCTATTTGTGACCATCCTTGCTATCAAGGCTATCAGCTTCGTCGGAGGCGACAGAGCTGGAAAGCACATTTATGACAGGTTTTGATATTTCATTCTGCATTTCGTGTTATGCCTCATGACGATACAGGGGAACGCAAAACGGTAAACGCGTGCAGGTACATGTCTAACTTTGTCGCCTGACGCTTGCATGTTTACCCATCTCTCAAGGCTAATATGGGTGCCAAGAACCACGCTATCATTATGCCTGATGGTACGTGTATCCATGATGGGGGGCTACTATTGCTTGATCTTTCATTTTGGTAGCTAACAGAAATTTGGCTCTGAACTCGATTATTGGCGCCGCTTTCGGAGGTATGTAGGACTATCGATTCGACATTGGACTCCGTCATTAATCCCCGAAGCTGCCGGTCAACGATGTATGGCCATCTCTGTCGGTAGGTTTTCGGCCTCGAAATAAATACCCCGATCTCTTATTTTCACGATCGGATCTTCTGTAGCATTGCTCGTTGGAGAGTCACAATCGTGGTTACCGGAGCTCGTGGAGCGCGCTCAGAACCTCAAAGTCGATGGTGGCTTTGAGCGAGGAGCAGACCTGTTCAGTGCTTTTTGCTCCTATCATTTTGACTCATGTTCAAATCTTTGATGCAGCGGTCCTCTGATCTCTCCGGCTGCGAAGAACCGGGTGACAAGTCTTATATCGTCAGCTGAGGAGCAAGGGGGAAAAATATACCTTGATGGACGGGGTATCCCAGTTCCTGGATATCCTGATGGAAACTTCATCGGCCCCACAGTCATCGAGGCCAACACTACGATGAAGTGCTACCGGTCAGTATCTACAACTATCCGTATGCTTATGCGTCCGACTTACCATTGTGATAGGGAAGAGATCTTTGGACCGGTCTTAGTGGTTGTGAAAGCTGATACGCTCGACGATGCTTTAGATATTATCAATTCAAATAGGTATGGAAATGGTGCGGCGATATTTACGCAGTCAGGAGCGACAGCCCGGAAATTCGAATCTGAGGTTAACGTCGGCCAACTTGGTATCAACGTTCCAATTCCTGTGCCATTGCCTATGTTTGCTTGGAGCGGAAACAAGGTTCGAAATATACTTGTGACTTTCACTAATGTTTCCGAACTTACATGTGGACAATGCATTAGGGAAGTGCGTTGGGTGACATAGGCTTTTACGGTAAAAGGTAAGGACATTTGTGTTGGGTGAAGAAGAATAACTAAATCTGTATAGCGGTATCAATTTCTACACTCAAAACAAGGTATGTCTAACATTCATGGTTGCGTCTGTATCGTGGGCTAAAAGAAGGTAGACTACGACCAGCCTTTGGAGAGCTGAGGACGCTGCTGGAACCCGAGCATCTGTTAATATGCCCACGCACCATTAAGAGATTCCGTGCGTCTGATAGTTCAACTACTACGGGATATAATGGAGAATGTCAAAAACTAAGATTACTTCTGAACGTTGACGAGTTGACGCCTGAAACGTTCGTAGACAGATGGAACAAGCCGACCTACCTGTCAACATGAAACGACCTTCAAAACGCTCAAGCGGTAGATGACCTGCCGTATCATATGATTGAAAAGACGCAAGTCATACGAGTGATACATGGATTGAACTGAAAAATCATGTAACACAAAAACGGGGCTTGGGTATACCAGCTAAGAAGAGAAAGACACAGCGTCCTTGCAACCCGCTTAACGTAATAAAAAAATAACAAGAAAAAAGCCGAAAAACCCCAGCGGCATAGGATTACCAAGAAAAGATTGTGAGGAGTAAACGAACGTTGGGAATGCCATAAGTTAGAACCGCAGATCGGGATTATAACATCGGTACCGCATTTTCATCCTCAATATCTCGCTGGGACGCCACCGCTGTAATCATACGCATCTTGGGAACCGTATCCCATCTGGTGGTGAAGAGGAACACCGACATCATAAGCAGGCCTCAGTCATGCTAGGACCGCGCGCCAAGGGTTCCTGCATCTCAGGTTGAGGGCTAGGTCCACGAGCAAGGTCTGCATAACCCCCGACGGGAGCAAGATTGGCTGGGGGAGCAGTGAAGTCGTGCTCAGGGAGAGGTCCCAATTCCCCTGTAGAACCGTGTCCGTGCCCGGACTCAGACGTGGCTCCATAACCGCGTCCCGAAAGACTGTTAGAATGGCTGAGACCAGAGTGGAAAGACGACGTGTCGGACGTAGCACGATGGTGGCCGATAACTCCACCATCATCACCGGTCGTAGGCTGCCAGTCGATAGGTTGCATACGCTTGTCAAATTGGGATGAGCGACCTAGCTTCCACTTCCTAAAGATGGTCCATAGGATGACAATACCACCGACGGATGATGCAACAACGATGAGAGCGGTTATTGCGGCACTCTTGGCAGAAGTAGAAGTGCTGCCGCTAGCCGCAGCTGAAGCAGAGGCGGAAGCAGCAGAGGCCGTCTCGTCGACCGAGGCAGTCCTCGTGATAGTAGAATGCGAAGTATTGCCTGTATCACCTTGAGTGGCAGTAGCAGCATCCTGGGTGGTTTGCTGCTGCTGTGTCTGCTCAGTGCTTGACGTGGAAGAGGTGGTAGTGGATGTAGAGGATGTAGAAGTAGTCGAGGTGGATGAAGAGGTGCTGGATGGGGATGAACTGGTGCTGCTAGAGCTGCTGGTCGACGTGGTCGAAATAGTCGAACTGGTAGAAGTTGAAAGAACTGACGTCGTCTATAATCCTTTTTGTTAGTAGAGTTAAATGATCCTATTAGAAGACTGACCGAAGGTGTCGAGATGGATGTCGAAGTAGCCGAAGTAGTCGAAGGGGTGCTTAAAGACGACGTGGTAGAAGAGGATGTCGACTGGCTCTGGGCCTGACCCTGTGAGATACTCTGGGTACCAGAGGCCGTAGCACTGCCAACGACAGCGGAAACGCTGTTAGCAGCGCCGCCATTCTCCTGAGGAGCTGGGGCGCGCTTGCGCATCATCCTGTTCAGGGATTCATGGTCACGGCGAACGACCCCAACATGGCTGTTGGCTTCTGAAGAGACGACAAGGGCGAGGACCAAGCAAATAACGAGCGTGAAGGTAGTGATTTTATACAATCTTATCGAGGACATGGTGGATATGCAGGATTGACGAGAACAGGATGCGCTTTATCCTGCAAAGAAACAAGTCAATACCGCAAACGAAACGAATGAGATAGCCAGTGAAGACGGAGGTAGCTGAAAAAAAAAGACGACGAATTGCCATCAACGTACGTATGAAATTCAATCCACCGTCTACACAGCCCCAAAGGTGAAAAAGACAGTCAATGCTCTCTCAGTAGACCTTAATGGTCTTCTACGGGGTGGAAGGAGGAAAAGAGTGTCGTGAAGAAGGAATCGGATGCTCGAAATATGTAAGTGGACAATAAATGGCAACCCCCTCGGTCTCGCTGCCAGGGGAACCGACACGCCACAATAATAACACAGACAAATACTCCGGTCTCAGGGGATAACAAATACATTTTCGTACAAGTTCCCCTACAAGTCCGCTGGTATAATGTAAATTATAGCCACAAATATCCAATCTCAAGGGTAAATAGGTAGTCCATCATGGTCCATCAAAAGCATTAATTATGACTCGTCAAAGACCAGTTGTCGAGGTCAACAGAGGAAGGTGTAACGAAAGTTGTGCCGTCATTCCACTGTGGGTTAAACAAAACCTGGATGTTGTTCGTTCCCGCACTGAGCTCAATGATCAGCACCGTAATTCCTGGATTCGGTTGGTCGGGATCGGGCGGTGTAGGATCCGTGTCAAACCGTGTGGCATTCGACGTCGTAAAGGTCGCACTGCTGGGGCTGATAATTGACACCTCCATCGTCTTGCCATCACGAACCAATGTGGCTTTCGACCCGTTGGTCGTGACTGTCGCATTTGTGTGCATTCGCCACTGGATGTCAGCCGTCGACGTGACCTCGTCTTGAACTAAAACCTGCTTCCGCTTGTTGAGCATCCGCACACCTCGTTTTACCGAAGTCCTGGAATCCAAATTAGAACGAAGAAAAAGACCGCAGAAGGACAACTACTCACGCATTGAAATAGGCGCTGGTCGTGTCAGCCACCCAGAACGCAGTTGAATCGCTGTCAACTGTAAATACTGTGCTCGAGCCCTGCGTCGTGTTGGATGTCCCAGAGCTGAGGATCTTCGGCTCAGCCAACACATCTTGGTTGGTCTTGCCAATCAGAATCGTGTTCTGGCCCTCCGTCATCTTTCTGTAATACTTCCACCGGTCACTTTCCTGCGTATCGTTGCTGAAGTAGTTCGTTGACAGATAATCCCCGGATCCCAACTCTCCTGCCCATCTCGTGCCTAAAGCATCAAGAACAAAGTCACCCACATCTAGATCGTTGTGCGTTTGGTGACCTTGGTTCTTTCCGGCCTTCATAGCGACATAAAGAGCATTGATATCTGTCCAGCTACTCCTCATCGACACCCACTGATCAAGTTGATTATCAAAGAAGGAATCCAACGGCTTTCCATCCCAGAATGCTCCCACGACAGTGGGATCATACCAGAACATGCTCCATGGTTCAGGCGCATCGTGTTGTTCACGTTGGAAAAGGGTGTATACGGGTTCATCGAAATAAGTACCGTACCAAATGATGGAGTTGGCAGTGGAGGAGAATTTGTTCGGGCCATGATCACCCCAATCGAACAGAGAGGTGGGTCCGAAAACATACATGTGAAAGTCACCAGTCTTCTTGAAGTTGACGTTGGAGTCTAACAGGCCATAATCAGATCCTGTGGCCGTCAGCAATGCCGAGGACATCTCGGCATGACCAGTGGTACCAAAGTACCAATAATTGGCGGTCTCTGCCCATGTACCATCATCCGTGACGGCCTGAGCACAATTTTCCAAAGCATTGTCGATGGTAAGACCAAGAAGTGTCTCTGCGTTGGTCGTAGTGTCATCGCCCAAGATGGCAAGGGAGGCCATCGTCAAACCGGCATTACACACGCAATTCCAGTTGCCGGTGGTGTTGGTCCTCCACCATCCCGTATAGACGGTAGGGTCATTGTATGCTGCAACACCGGGACCCAGACCGTACAAGTTGAGGGTATACCTCATCTGGGTCTTCTGCTCGTCGGTCCACACATCGTAAAGCCAATCGTAGGCAATGGCAAATGCGGAAGAGAACTCCGCAGTATCAAGGAAATGACCCGAGTTCCATTTGTCGTCAGTGGGACCGAACGATGTAGTCCCATTACCAGCGGCGTTCTGGTGGGAAAAGATGAGAAAATGATTGAGAAGGCCGAGCGAAGACTTACTTGAATTTCCTCCCAGCAACGGTCGACCCACTTGGTGTCATTCGTCATGCGGTAAACGTAGGCGAAAGCCTTGACCCGCATTTTGACCTCACGAGCATTGTCAAGGATACCGCTGTCGCCATCCATATGATAAACGACAGGGTCTTGGCTGTAATAGTCCGTGGCATTCCCAAAGATGGTCTCATTCCAGTATTTGAGGTAAGGATCATTGGCTATGAGAGTTGGAAGGGCCTGCCATTTGTATGCCGGAGCGATGAGTCGGGGGCGATCACTTCGTACAGAAGTAGCGCTGGGGTTTGATGGGCTGAAAGAATCGTTTGGCCAGGCATTAGTAGCACTGGAGGTATCAACAAAGGTGGGGGTAGTGAATGCTGCTGTATTAGTCTGAAAACCTTGTTAAGCGAAGTTTTTCGAGCGGGAAAGTGACGTACAGTGGAGGGGTATAATGGAACCATGAATTCGCTATTCGTCGCGGTGGCATATATGCCTATGTCATTCTTGGCGGTAACTGCAGCACTGGCAGCACTGGCTTCTGCTGCAGCGTTGGTGCTGCTCGAGCTGGAGGCGTCGTTGCTGTTTTTAGAGTTCCGGCTGCCGACTACGCCTCCGACCACAGCACCAACGATGACAAGGACGGCGACAGGGATACCAAACTTGATCCAGTTGCTGGTCTTCTTTTTGGCGGCGGATACGGGCGTTATGAAGCCAGTGGACTCGTTGTAGTATGGGTCGCCTGCACCATAAGGATGGTTGCCGTTGTTGTTAACGGCGTTATAGTTGGCCATCCCGGCGAAGAAAGACTAGAAAAAAGACAGAAATATAACGAGAGACGGAGACAAGGTTGAAGGGAGAAAAAGGCGACGGCGACACCTGAAAAAGCCTAAAAGGCCAGCTGGAGATGGAAGAGAAGGAAATGATGTCGACAGGTGGCCTCGGTCCTTCCCAGTGGCGTGGGAATTAGATCTTTGAGCGCAGTCGCGAAGGTCACAAAAAGTTTCACACCGTACTATGAATAGTACATTGCGAGCTATTATTATACAGTTTCGCATAAAAATACAACTATACTGCTGCTTTCATTGTTTATCAGTCACGTACGAATACACCTGCAGCACCCATTCCTGTTCCAATGCACATCGACGTAACGAGAATCTAGATTGATGCCATGAAAAGGAGAACCTCTGACATGAGTGATCCTCACCTTTCCTTGCCTACGTTGGAGCTCGTTCAATCCAGTAGCAACCTGGCGTGCTCCTGTGCAGCGTATAAAACAAAGGAAAGTCAGTGACGACAGCAGAAAAAAAGCATATTTTTACTCATCTAAGGGATGGCCTAGAGCAATTGCTCCTCCGTTGACGTTGACCTGTATGATGAATTACAAACGATGCGCTAGGCCGAATCAAGATTGGGAATAGGTACCTTATCACTATTGGAAGCAAAGGCCTTGGTTCAGCGAATGATGATTAACTGCGTACCATGGCACATACCTTGAAAGTCCTAACGCTCGCAGGACGTAAACACATTGAGAAGCAAAAGCCTCGTTGATCTATAGTTCATGTTAGAGACAACGGACAGACCAGCTTGTGCAGATCTCACCTCATAGAGATCGACATCGTCCTGAGTAATCCCACAGCTCTTCAAGGCCATTGGGATAGCATAGATGGGCCCAATTCCCATGATACGCGGAGGGAGCCCAGCGACGGCGGTCGTAACATGTTTGCCCAAAATCGTGTACCCCAATTCTTCTGCTTTCTTTCTGGTCATCATTAGCACGGCTGCAGCACCGTCCGTTATCTGACTGGCGTTTCCTCCCGTTGTTGTCGCCTTGCCCCATTGAGGAAACGCACTTTTGATTTTAGCTAGCTTGTCTGTCGTAGTCCCGGGTCTGATACCATCATCCTTAGTTATGAAAACAGGCGTGCGTTCGCCGATTTTCGGGTCCTTTTGATATACGGTGAAGGGAACTATTTCTTTGTCAAAGTATCCAGATTTTTGAGCATGCTCCGCTCGTTGGAACGAAAGGGCTGCAAACTGGTCTTGCTCTTCACGTGTGACGACGAATTCCTCAGCTACGTTTTCACTTGTCCAGCCCATAGGTTTGGAACAATCACGAGAGGCGGCATTCTCGGAAATGAGTTCACTTTGCTGTGGTCCTCCTTTGTCAGGGCTGTGGAACAGCTACATCAGTTCTGGGTAAGGCAAGACGGGATGATGTATACTTCTCAGACATGCTCTCCACTCCGACCGCTAGACCAACTTCAATCTGCCCACTTCGGATTTGATTTGCAATGGTTGTAACGGCCATGAGCCCACTTGAGCAGAACCGGTTGATGCATTGAACGGGAACAGACTCTGGAAAACCGGCAGCCAGAGATGCAGCTCGAGCATGATACGCCTGCGTCTGGCGTCAAGACAGTTCCGACACAGATGTCGCCGACCAAAGCCGGGTCGATTTTGGATTGCGAAATGACTTGCTGTATGCCGTTGAAACTTGAGCTGAGTAACAGGGAAGAGCATGTACCTTAAACATCTCCAGCATGAGCTCATCAGTCCTATATCACGCGTGATGAGACTGCGGGATATTCAAGAGCGGAATGACAGACCTGGCATCCTTGAAGCCCCCCTTCCTTGCCTTGCACAGCGGCGAGCGGACCGCAAGGGTGATAACTACATCGTCCGGGCTCTTACGATGCAGAGCTTCAGAACCTTGAGGCGTGTAGAGATGGGAAGCAAGCTGTCGGACACGTTCCATAGCGGTAAAGCGAGAGGCTGGGGTACCGGTAAAGCTCTGGGTATATGTACCGTGTCCCGAGACTTCTTGGTCCGGCCGACGCGGACTCTAACCGGTTTTCACGCGACAGTTAGGACTTGAAGCTTGATTAGGACTTTTTGAGTGAACATGACCATGTCCCAGGGGCGTCATACATGGACACTGGCGGTAGCGGTGACAGTCATGTCCAAAGAGTATGACTCAGTTCCGACTATTTCAACGTAGTGTTGCCCTTTGTTATCTCTTCCGTAGACCGCCTCTTTGCAGAACATACATCACAATGCCTGTTACCGTTATCGCCGCCAAGCCAGCAACCGAAGAGGTAAAAGGAACTTTCAGATACATAGGTAAGTTGGTAGAATCTCATCCATTGCCATCCTTCTAACTCTGTCGTAGACATTGGAGGTACTCGAAACCGGCACCATGATCAGTGCTTCCTCACCACTAATGCATATACAGTGAATCTAACTGACCCAGTTTTTCGCGGGGTTCATTATGGAAGGAAGAAACATGATGGTGAGATCGGACTCTACTGAACTAATTCACGATCATTGACATCGATAAAGATGACTTTGAAGCTATGCTTGAACGGGCGCGCGCTGCAGGTGTCAAATCCATGATAATCACTGGAGGCAGTCTTCACGAATCTCAAGAAGCCTTAAAGTTGGCAGAGACGCATGGTACGGCGATACATACCGCTACTTGATATCTCTACAAGATTATTGAAAATAAGATCTTTATGCGACCGTTGGCTGTCACCCAACGCGCTCGGGAGAATTCGATAAATACCGCGGAGGACCAGAGGCCTACCTGAAAGCTCTTGACGAGCTACTAGACAAACGAACGCGAGGAAAAGGACGTGCTGTTGCCGTCGGAGAGTGCGGTCTAGGTAAGAAATACTTTGGAAACATACTTGACAAGCTAACTTGCCCCAAGACTATGACCGCACGCATTTTGCATCCCCGGAGACTCAGAAAAGACATTTTCGTGAGTCAATATTGAACGCTTGAACCATTGTGCGTTTCTTAGATGAAAGCAGGCTCTCAGCTGGCGCTAGCAAAAAAATATCGCCTCCCTTTGTTTTTGCACTCTCGTGCTGCACATAAGGATTTTGTCTCCATACTACAAGAGGAAGGCTTCGGTGAAGACGGGGGGAGAGCAGTTGGAGGTAAAGGTGGTGTAGTTCATAGTTTTACTGGGACTGTCGAAGAATTAAACGAATTGGTGAGTATAGCAGTTCTTCTGTTGGATATCGGCGCTGACTTGTAACACGTAGATGAATATGGGTTTTCACATAGGGTGTGTATAAAGTCTTTTTGTCATGGCCTTGTCTGACCCACGGATGACAGCGTAAATGGGTGCTCACTCAAAACCGAAGCTAATCTGCAAGCTGCCAAAGCTATTCGTCCTGAGCTTTTCATGTTAGAGACAGGTAAAGAGAGGTCTATACTACTCTTGTATTTCTTTGCTAAAGTAAACTGGTTGACAGATGCACCTTGGTGCACCATGACCTCAACACATGCATCGAAACCCCATCTAAATACGCTCCCAGCTTCCTTGCATCCACTTTATTCTCCACCAGCAACGAAACCAGATCAATTCATCTATGGCCGACCGGTGAAGGGTAGAAATGAACCGTGTGCGATTGGAGGTGTTGCATGGGTGATTCATAAACTAAACGGTGTCCCTTTTGAGAAGGTTACAGAAAAGGCATGGAAGAACACCGTGGAACTGTTTGACCTAGAAGAACTGAAATGAATGGTGAATAACCGGTACATCTTTCGGTTACGGGTGTATAGAGCTAAGGCCTAGAGATGCTGCTTATAAGCACGTAGAATAAACGCACAATGTGTCTTGGCTCTTGGTACCTTATGTTGCTGAATTGTTTATGCCATCTGACGCACTGCGGCGAGGCTAGCGGACTTAAAGTGGCAAACTAATGGTCACGTGCCCGGCGCGTCAAATTCAGTTCCTGTTGAACGCTTACCCCAACGTTACGTCCAACGTTCATCTTCGGCCCTTGTCATCAACCTTGCTACTCTATGGCCTCTCGTCTACCGCGATACCGAAGCAGCTCTCCCGAAAGGACTCTCATGGCGCTTGCTCTCAAGCGAAAAGCTCAGGATCAGAATGACCCCCCAGTTAGAAAAATACACAAACCTCTTTCAAAATCAAGTACTTCCACAGCGCCAAAACCTCTCACCAAACCTCGTCCACCTACTCTTACAACGAGCACACGTGCCACTCAGATATCTGACTTGACTAAACAGTTGGGTGAGGCAAAGTCACAGGCTCGAGAGCACCTCCATGCTCTCAACCTCGCCAATGATGAAATCGCCACGCTCAAACGGACGCACTCGATGCAGGTGTCCGAACTCGAATATGACATACGGAAGGGACAACTTCAAGTGGAGGAGCTGGACCAGGATTTGCAGCTAGCAAGGGCAGAAACGCAAAAGCTGCGGGAGAACGTGAACCAGCTCACGCTAACGGGGCAGGATATGCAGGAACAGTTGAGCAATAACGCAGAACTCATTGCAGCTCTCAGGGAAGAGATGGAGGCTCTGAAATCCGAGGCTATCGATGCCGAGTCGGTACGCCGGCAGCTGCACAACACTATCCAGGAGTTGAAAGGAAACATTCGTGTCTTTTGCCGAGTGCGTCCAGATCCATCACCTGAGCTGGCGAATGTCAGCTACAGCAAGGAGAAACGGGATATCGTTGTCACATCGACTAGCGAGAGCGCCACTGGCCAACAGCGCAAGGACGCACACAGCTTCACTTTTGACAGGGTGTTCGAGCCTCACGCAACTCAGGCCGAGGTTTTTGAAGAGGTTTCCCAGCTGGCGCAGAGCTGCACAGACGGATACAATGTTTGTATATTCGCTTACGGTCAGACAGGTTCTGGCAAATCCTTCACGATGGAGGGCGGTCAGGTAATTGTCCTCCGTTCATCCTCTCTTTATCCTACTCATGTATGCAGACCGAAGAAACAGCTGGTATGATTCCAAGAGCTGTTGAGCAAGTGTTCCGCGTCACCAATGATCTTAAATCGCGTGGTTGGGAATATACCCTGGAAGGACAATTTCTTGAAATTGTACGCGTCGATATTCTGCTTTCTGTTTCTTGCCTCTCATTTGACCTCCTAGTACAACGAAACCATCAATGACCTCCTAGCGCCACCGTCATCTGTCAATGCCATCTCCTCTTCCTCGGCTTCGTCTCCCCAATACAGCATCAAACATGATCCTCAAACCCGTACAACCACTGTGACGAATTTGACCAGTGTGCAACTTATCTCTCCTACTCACGTCCGTAAGCTACTCCTCCAAGCACAGTCCCGGAGGAGCGTCGCAAGCACACTCATGAACGAGCATTCTTCCCGCTCACATTCCGTGTTCCGCGTAAAGATTGAAGGTGTCAATGAAACGAGTGGAGAGCGATGTGCAGGGTGGCTGAATCTGGTCGACTTAGCCGGTAGTGAGCGGCTAAATGTGAGTTTTGCAGGTAGCGTGGGACCCTGGAGCAGAACGGTTGAAGGAGACACAAAATATCAACAAGAGTCTAAGTTCTCTAGGCGATGTTATTTCTGCTCTAGGAGAGAAGAGTGCAAATGGGGAGAAACATGTGCCATACAGAAATTCAAAGGTAGGCACTAGCTTTTTTGCGGTCTAGTGTGGTATTGAATATTGATACAGTTGACGTACCTTTTGCAATATTCTTTGAGTGGAAGCTCCAAGACATTGGTACGTCCTTGGTTTACCAGGTTATTCTTTCAGTTATTAACCTTTGACGACTTAGATGATTCTCAATCTTTCGCCTTTGGCAGCTCATCTGAATGAGTCGCTGAATTCGCTACGATTCGCGACCAAGGTACTTAAATTCTCCTTGCATTCTTGTGCGTATGCTCATTCCGCTGCTTTAGGTTAACAACACGACTATTGGTACTGCGAAAAGCTCGAAACAGGGCCGGTGATAATAAGCAGAGCTCAGCTCGTCGGTACATCGGTCTTTATTTCGACGGACATTTTAGCTGCCTGACTATTCTACCCTGCATGAGTAAATTATATGATCGCCAATCAGCTGATCTGTATATTATTTCTCGAGCCCTCAGATGTAGTATAGGCGGATTCCGGCTAGGCAAAATCGAGTGGGAAGGCCGCTTGACCCTGGTGGTATTGCCTGAATTGTAATCCCAAAAGGCTTCCTTCCCTTTCTCCCAGAAATACTCTGTTACCCGAATTCGGAGTGTTTCCTACTCGATCGGAGTAGACGTGAGGAACGCTGTCTATCAATGCCTAAAAACAATCGACACAGTATATGTGATCATAGGCGCTCAGAATGATGCGATGTCTATAAAGTCCTGAAAATGCTTCAAGGCCAGTATGCAATAGGAAGGAGTAAGCAGAAGGATACAAACTCATACGAGTACGTGCAATAACATGATGGTATGAAGTTGAAGATATCGAGAACAAGCGTATCTGTTTACCTTTGTATGTCGGGTGATTCGGGCCGACTATGTCATTGAGCGCGTTTCGTTTTCGTTCTCTGAGGAGACAAAGAATTAAAGCTGAAATGAGACTTTGCGCAAGAGCACAGTGAATAAGTTAATGTGAGCAGTGCAAAACGGTCAATCATCGACATCACTTATCATGACGCACGCGGCACCTATATTATTTGGGATGATTTGGCTCCCGCCACAACCAAACAGCATATCAAATTGTCTTGAAACTTTGTCCTCAACTATTTTGCCATGTCTGGCAAGGACTCTTCCGACCCAGTCCTCCTCTTCACACCCGATAGAGAGAGCCAACGGAGCTCCTCAGGTCTGCCATCCGCTGATTCCAAGCCCAATCCTGGTCCATCGCGCAATTTCGTCATTGTTCCTCCAATTCTCCCCTCAGAGGAGAGAAGCAGGTACAAAGACATGCCAGAGACAGGCAATATACGCGATATCGAGCCCCCCGTCGATGAAGTAATGGGCGAATACAGAGACAACCAGGGCCATGATTGGTATTATGCGCGCTATCAACAGGGAATTACTCATCGGGTACGTGTCGTCGTCATATTAACGCGTCTTGACATGTATTTTGACGCGTTGCCTCTTCTAGTTTCGTAAAAGGATGTTCGAAATAAATCATGCAGATCTCGTACAGGCATATAGTGCGCGTTTTTGCAATCAGGCCTGGTCCCTAATATCCTGACATCCTCCCCCTCTTCAGAGACGCGCAAAGCTGAAGGATCACTGCCACATTTCGACCCATCTGGCCACGACGTCCATCCCAAAGCTCGTCCTACTGTTATGTTAAAGATTGGCAGGCCCAAGCCTGGACCTGTTTTCTCGGACATTGTTCCAGACTCCGAAGAAGAGGATGAGGATGAAGAAGAAGAAGAAAGCTCTCCAGAGAATGAAGACGATTACAGAGCACCATCACGTCGACTTAGACAAAGATCCAGCGCAAAACGTTCGACACTCCCTTTCAGTCCGACAAAGACACGCTCGCAGAGAGTCTACGCTATCCAAGGGTCCGAGGATGAAGATGACGCCGGAAGCGCCGCTCCCCAAAGACGATCTACGCGATATAGAAAGCCTATGAAGATTGACATTGATGAAATCTCTGAGGCATCCTCAGATGGCGGAGACAGCGATGACTACATCACATCACGGGGAGCGAAAGCGAAGACTCTGAGGAATAAGAAGAAAACCTGCGCGCGGGACTGCCTCGCGTCCTGCGTATGGTTTCTTTCGCCCTATTGTTGACATTGACTACGATCCTTTCTCTGACGACGAGTCTTCAGCCTTGAGGGCGCATCGGTCAATCTGTGAGAAATGTCATCGCGGTCCTACTCAGTGTCCTACAAGCAGCCGCTCAAAAGAAAAAGGGTAAAGGCAGGAGAAAGAAGAGGTCATCGGAAGACGAACTTGAGCCTGATTCTGCAGATGAAGTGGAGCGACTTGGCGAACTCGGGGGTTGGGTTAGATGGTGTGTCTTTTCCCTCTGTAGTTAATATATGACCCTGACCGTTATCAGTTTGAAATGTCCTGTTACTGCTCATTGGCGTTGCCTGGCTAGCACTCAAAGGGACGAAATTTTGAAGGCCGCCCGAGAACGAGACCGAGGCTTGTGGATCGCTGCTAACCCCGACGCTGCAGCCAACGTGGAGAAGGATGGTCCAAGCAAACGGCCGGGATTGGGCATTTCTGAGACAACTGAGTTTATCTGCGGTTCGCATCTTCAACGACATGTAGAATTAGTGTGCTGACATAGTTAACAGGTTCCTGCATGAAAGGTGGCATCTGCATGTCGTGCATGGAGGTTGCTATTGTGCCAGATCTATCACGGGTGCAAAAGTCTCAAGGTACCAGCGTAACAAGCACTGTGCCCAACGACCCCGATCATACTGATACCAAAGATGTCGAGGCGGTTGACGTCGCACAAGAACTTCGCTTCCGTTGTTTCACCTGCAAACGACTGTCCCACTACGACCATCTCCCTAAGCCGCCTAATCATGCAGCAGATACAGTAGCAGAGATTGCAGAACACTATCAGAGGAATTGGCTTTGTCACGACTGTGCATCTTTCACCTATCCACTGGATAAAATCCTGGCTTGGCGCCCCTATCCTGCTAATGCTGTTGAACCTCCTCGATCTGTGAGCGAGCCACCTAATTACAAAAGTCCTTTACCTCGAGAATACCTCGTCAAATGGGAGGAACGAAGTTATCGTCGACTCAATTGGGTTCCTCACATGTGGTTACTCTCCACTCATCCCTCCAAATTGAGAAATTTCTTGACTGGTGGCGCGAAAGTCGAACTGTTGGCTGCGTCGAAGAAGCAGATCGAAATCGAAGAACCCGCTTTTATATTTGAAGATGCGGATCAGTCGCGGGCCTCTTCAGTAAAGCCTGGAACGAACACTCCTCAGCTACCTCAGGATGCTATGCTTGACGCTGAATCTCGGATTCCTCCCGAATGGAAGACTGTGGATCGTATTTTGGACATTCGTATCTGGCGCTCCAAGCCCAAGAAGAAAGCAGTCAACAAAGGCAAGGGAAAGTTGCGGAGGATGTCTAGTGACGAGGAGATGGAAGACGGCGCCAATGATGACTTTGGGTCGGACTATGATATAGTGTTCAGTACTGGAGAGCAGCCTGACGACAGCATGATTGAAACTGTCGAAGACTGGGAGACGCGCACTGGCGAAGATTTCACGATTGACAATATTGGGCTTGTTGTATGGGCCTTCATCAAGTGGGAAGATCTTGGTTACGATGAAGGTCAGTCCAGTTTCTACTTCTGATTTTTTGCCCTAATAGTTTCACTAGCATCATGGGATTCTCCACCTCAAAAGACCGACGCCACTTACCCAGCATTCGAAACCGCATTGTCACGCTACATAAAATCTCGGTCGGTTCAAGTTCCGAAACTAAAGGCCCATGAAATATCTGCGTACGAAAACCGGCCCAAGGATGAATACAAGCGTAAACACGCACTTCTAGATGCCGCTGATCTGGATCTGGGTCAGAAACCTGAACTGAAGTTGATGCCTTTCCAAGTAAAGCTAGTTCGCCTCCATGTCATTTCTTGCTCACATTTGGCCAGGTCGACGGTTTCAATTGGTTAGTCGATAACTGGTGGAACAAACAGCCATGTATTCTAGCTGATGAGATGGGTCTGGTACGTTGCCAGAACATTTTCCCGCAAACCTGTATTCAATACGTCTATAGGGCAAAACAGTTCAAATTGCGACTTTTATTGGGAAAATCGCGTCTCAATGGAAGACTTTCCCCGCTCTTGTAGTAGTTCCGAATTCTACTATCACCAACTGGGTCAGAGAATTTGAGCGTTGGGCGCCGAACCTCCGGGTGGTACCGTTTTACGGAGAAAGTAAAGCCCGCGAAGTGATCAAAAACTTCGAGCTCAGGCACAAAACAAAAGAAGCTGGTACAACTGGTGCCAAATTCCATGTGCTCATCACGACATACGAAGCGCTCTTGGGTCAGAAAGATTTTACACCCGTCTTTAAAAATCAACCACGTTGGGAGGTAAATACTAAGTGCTCTTTAAAATAATGATTGGCATACTGACTATATCTCGAAGGTCCTGGTAATCGATGAAGGTCAAAGATGCAAGTATTTCTGTTGTTCATCAAAGTGGCAGAACTTACCTTTATCTCTAGTGAAGAGTGACAAGAGTCTGCTTTTTAGAAAGCTAAATGAGTTGAATAGCATTCATCGGATCATTATGACAGGCGTACGTCTTCCAAAGGATTTACTCTCTCTTTTACTTACAATCGATTTTAGACGCCCCTGAATAACAACATTCGGGAGCTATTTAATCTCATGAACTTCCTCGATCCCGAGCAGTGGAACGATTTGGAGGCTATGGAAAAGGAACACGAAGAACTGACCGAAGACCTCGTGAAGCAACTCCATTCTAGGTTAAGGCCTTACTTCCTTCGTCGTATCAAAAGCGAAGTGCTTCAACTACCTCCGAAGGTGAGTTCTCGTGGAGTGTACACATTCACGGTCTCATCTTGCTTTAGAACGAAGTCATTGTCCCCGTCTCGATGACACCTTTGCAAAAGGAGATCTATCGTCGTATCCTAAGTAAAATTTCCTTTGGTGGCGTAGCATCATCTGACTTTCATCTGAATAGGCCACAACTTGGAGTTGCTCGCTGCTCTAACTCAGCCCGGCGCGAAGACAGGGGTACAGTCAAAAGGCCGCATCAATAATGTTCTCATGCAATTGCGAAAGTGAGTCTTGAACCAGTTTTGGTAGCAGCATTCTAATAGTTCTTAGGTGTCTTCAACATCCTTACCTCTGCTTCGAAGACATAGAACCCACAGGCCTTTCGCCACAAGAGACCCACGAGAAACTGATTGATGCCAGTGCAAAGCTCCGCTTGCTGAAATCGTTATTGCCCAAGTTGAAAGCCCGAGGTCATAGAGTACTACTTTTCAGCCAGGTACGTTGTCGGCCTTAACTCGAGACTATCTTATTCATGATGAATTAGTTCGTGATCGGATTGAACATCATTGAAGATTTCTTAGTCGGAGAAGGCATCAAATATTTACGCCTGGTCTGTTACGAGTCTTGATCGCGATGTAACTCTGACTGTTTCGTAGGATGGAAACACGAAAGGTACTGAACGTCAGAAGGGTATGGACGAATTTAATCGTCCGGGCTCCGATGTCTTCATATACCTATTGACGACACGCGCAGGGGTAAGTGATAATGAATCTGTGTATGCTATGTTCTGATCAGTCAAATAGGGTGTCGGCATCAATTTGTTTGTAAGTTATCTATTGGTCCTTGATTTGTTGAGTTTATAACTGTTTATAACCGTCGTTTCATAGAGTGCCGATACTGTCATCATATATGATCCTGATTTCAATCCACACCAGGTATGTCGCTATTATCAATCACGGATTCCAACCTGATGTCTTTCACTTTGCAGGATCTTCAAGTAGGTCTTCGCGCAGGTGATTAAGATCATATCTAAGTGGTTTCGTAGGCTATCGCTAGAGCATATAGGTTTGGACAACAGAAAACATGTCTAGTCTTCAAATTGATGGTCAAGGCATCTGCGGAAGGTGAGATGATAACCCATCAAATACCTACAATGTACTGATCATGACTGCAGAACGCATCGTGCAAGTTGGAAAGAAGAAGATGGTGTTAGACCATCTCATTGTGCAGAAGATGGATGATGATGACTCGGCAGGAGAGAATGTGCAGTCAATTCTAGGCTATGGCGCTCAAGCACTCTTTGAATCTGGAAATGAGACGACACACGATATAACCTGTGGGTTGAACTGCCATGGAGAGGGCTGTTTTTAACTGACAGTGCTACATCTAGATACCGACCATGACGTCGATAATCTCATAGAAAAAACCGAGAAAGAAGGCGACCAGGATGAGGCAGTCAAGGAGGGCGCTGCGTTCTCATTTGCCAAGATTTGGACAGCTGATCGTGAAACCCTGGAAGAGGTGAGGGATGAGGATCAAGGTGATTCCTGGACGACGACGTTACAATTAATCACCGCGGAACACGAGAAGATCCAGCAACGAGAGGTGGCTGCAACAGGCCGGGGAGTGCGTCGAAAAGCCGCAGCCCCATCACAGGTAACTATAAGGTTTGTTTCTAGCGGTCCGAAACGCACTTACACGTGTTTCAAACAAGGCTGGCATTTACATCGAGGATACGCCGAAAGCTCCTCCACACAAAAATCAAGTCAAAGCCTCGGCATCAAACACATCAGATGGGTCTGCGTATGGAGCTTCAGAAATATCCGACGGGGATGCTAGTGATACTACTCGCACAAACGCTAGTGGTGTCAGTGTCTCAGGCATTGAAACGACCGCGCCTCCAGCCTTGCCAAAGAAAGTTAAGAAGCCGAAGGAAACCCGACCATTTACGGCGATCCAGAATACGGTCGACACTTGTGGATTATGCGGGAAGAGACACGGGGATCGTCTGGGAGAATGTGCTATGACGGACAAATCAGAGAACTTGGCTGAATTCAGGGAGATGTTGATTCTCCATGCGGACGACGAACCCTTTGAAGAACGGGTATGCCTTTCTGTTCATTAAACCACAAGCACCTACTGACTTGTCCTTAATCAACAGCGAGCTGCAGTTGAAGCCATCGATCGAGTCCTATATTACCGTGGACATCTTAGCTTAGTCGCAGGCCAGCCTCTGCGTCCAGTGATAAAGGAATCAGCACAGAACTTTGTGGTCAAAAAGCCCAAGCCACAGGCGGCTAATGGATTACGGATGCCTCCTGCTTTCTCAGCCTCAGCGCCTGTAGCTGGTCCGTCAAAGATTCATGCTGCGCCTTCTGCGTCTGTAGGCCGACCGCCGTCACCTATGGCCGGACCATCCAAACGCACTCCATCTCCGACCCCGCTGATTTCCGAGTCGGCACAGGCTAAGAAAGTGAAGCCGAATGAGAATGCTCCTTGTGTTGTATGCGGACACACATACCACAAACTCCCTGACTGTCCTCTAATCAAAGCAGGTCCCAGAAGGTTCGTTGTGCTACCCATGGTGCGATGAAACACAGACTGATACCTTTCTGACTCAGTGTTGCCAAAGAGATCAAACGTCTAGAAGATTTACCCGGAACCGGCGATACTGTCAAGTATCTCAAACTTATACTAAAGAAACAGAAGCGGAGAGAACTGGCGTTGGCTGCTGATAATAACGATGCCTCACGGAATCTGTAGTAGACTATATCCCGATTTTGGCCTATATTTTGTGACCGAAGTACATGTAAATCGAGTATTGTAGAGTAGAACACAGCCTTATTGTTTTTCATAGAACGTGGGAAGGAAGCCACGCTGAAAGCGGTAGGCAGTTCTCTTATTTGGTCGCTCAACGGGTAAGTGACTCTCTACCATCTGATACTTAACTTCCGAACGACAGCTCTCCAAATCTTGCCTGTATGCACTCAAGCTCGTCGTACCAGAGCGCCTCCAATCCGACACTCAAACGCACACGCTCGTCCGAACATGTCCAGCTGCCACAACTAGAACCTGATACGTATCTTCGAGTATACACACACAAATCACTTCGACGGCCCTGTGCCACCTCGCCCGACGAATATGAAGACAACGAACGACTGTCGGTACTGGGGGAGAAGGCTCTCGATGCAGCAGTGATGACGGCGCTGTTCTACGAACGACCGTTGTTGGGATTGAGCGAGATGGAGGTGAGTTCACGGGCGCTTGTCTGTTAATATGCTTTGGTATTCAGGGAAGACTAGGCGAAGAAAAAAGAGATAACTTCCTGGATGAACATTGACTCCTGGGTGCGACGCTACCAAATGCGAGAGAAGGTCCGATGCCACCCAGACCAGTTCGAAATGTTGCATTCACCTGAGGTTAGTATACTCCATGGTTGCATCTGACGTTCATCGTTGCTCAGTATACGGCTATAGGAAACAAATGCTTTATTCTATGCATATGTCGGCGGTGTGTTCGCAAATCTTGGAATGGATGCAGTCCAAGAGTGGATCAATGCGCTAATGGGCCTCAGTGGGATACAGCAGCCACCCCCTTCGCAGCGAAGGGTGAAGAATCTGCCTACACCTCAACTACAGCCTGCCCAGCCTACGCCTCCTAGACCCCAGTTCATCCCACCAAACCCGTTTGCTCAATTCTCACGTTTCCCGTCAACACCCATGCCGATGTTTCCAGCTACGCCGATGGTCAAACCACCACCGCCTCCGCCAAAGTTGCCCAATCCGATGACACCTGCCCAGCCCCATCTAGCCTTTTTGCCTCAGTTCAACGAAAAGGCTTCTCAGCGACGCGTGGTGGTCGAGTATCCTGCTCAGTTCAGCGGTCCTCCTCATGCCGGCAAGTGGACTGTCAAATGTGTTGGTGAGTACAATCGCGGGTTTGTTAAATTTCCAAGACTCATTATTACGCTCTCTAGTCAACGGGATAGAGAAGGGACAAGGTGTTGGTGGAAACAAACAGATTGCCAAGGAACAAGCAGCACGGGCGGCATATTACGCGATGGGATGGACTTAGCGAATGATATTATTCCCGACTTGATTATGATATGTCAGGATTATTATCATCGCATTTGCCGAATGGCCCGGGCTTGCTTATCCTTGCTTATCCATCATGCATCATGTTGGGGGCAGATTCGAGCCAGCCACTCACATGCGATGATACCTTGTTCATCGCATGCGAGGGACTGGCCCGAGTATACCCGTCATCTCCCATACTATGCTTAAATAATTATTTAGTCACAATACATTTCATTTCTCTACGGTATTTGCTGACCGATCCCTCTGTCTTAGTTATCTTCAGTCATTTCAGCGTCAGATTTGTCGCATCACCGTCGTCGGTGCCGGCTTATCACGTGGCATGCCGAAGCCAGAATTTTGAGGAACAACTTACAGCTTCTTTACAGTCGACGTTCTCGGCGCCCTCGACCACCTTTCTTCACCGTCGTCGACGTCGGGAAATACTCTTTTCCTCGTATTTTGCTGTTGTGTCGCCATCATGTCTCTCCGGTCGACGCCCTCTTTGTCCAATCTCACCATATCAAACAAGTCGAACCCCATCGACTTGACTGCCGACGACGGCGACGAGATCTACGACTACCCACGGCAGCTGAAGAGGATGCGCCTGGAAAATATCACTCACCCCAACAACTCTTCCATTCCAACGACCCATAGCATGCCGTCGACGCCTTCTCCAACGCCCTCAATGTCGTCCTTCACGTCATACAACCAGAAACCAGCCATGGCGATGCCCGTTGCCAGGCATAATTCTTTTATGATGCCCTAGTATCTTTACTCCAAGTCCTAATCCTCCAAATAACGGTCCTTACCGCCCGCCTTTTGCTGGTCCCTCTTCTTTTCATGCGCCTCCGCCGGTAGCGCCTTCATCTATTCCCCAGAAACGACCTTCGGCTCACAGTGTAGATCGTGCCATCATTGACCTGACAGACTCACCGTCGCCGCCGCCTCAAATGCAGAAACCTCTTCCATCTCCGAGTCTTGTTGAATTATCTCCCAAGACCCCAGTCTGTATCGGCCAACTCACAGTAACTGCTCTTGTCCTCTATCCTATCGATTATATGATGGCTACAAACCCGGCCTCACCACAAGTTGAATGGGGTCCAGTGAAGCTTCAGTATGAACATGCCCCGAAACCGGATGGTACCACAGATAACCTCAACATCAAAACTCCGACGGGTGATCCTTTTGGCATCGTGGAACACAAGGTTGCTAGCAGTCTAGGACATATGGTTGGCAAAGGCCTTATACGCCTAGAGGCCAAGGTGCAGAAATGCCGATCCAATGTACGTGTATCTTCCTTGGTGTGTCGTGTTTCTCTGCTGACGCTACCAGGCTCCTATTCTTCCGCTCACGATGCTTGTATACACACCCAGAGGAAATGTTCCTGTTGTTGGAGACTATTTCTATCAATGCGGTCTTTTGCTTGATCATCCAACTCCCCCATTTTCGTACAATGAAATTGTCAGCAGCAAAACCCCGTACATGAACCCTCACAATCCTCCTCCTGGTGGGCATAATCGCGTACAGTACGCTCCGAATCGAAGCGTATATCCTCCCGGTGCCAATGGGAGATGGTCTACTGCGACGCCTGCAGGGAAGAGTGTGGAAGTTCAGCGAAGTCAGGTGGATGAACTTTTCAAGAATATGAAGAGCGGTGCCGACCTGGCTGAAATGGAAGCCGGTACGTAGTTTTCAGCTTTCAAGAATTCCTTTCTCATTCATTACCAGCGCCTGAGGTTGCTACACAGCTATATCCCCACCAGAAGAAAGCCCTCACGTTTCTCATGGAACGAGAAAGAGAAATTAAGACCCCTGAAGGTGTCTTCTCGTCTATGTGGCTAGCGCGAAAGTCTATGTCTGGACATGATACATGGACGCATATTGTCACCGAGAAGGAAGTCTATGAGGAGCCTAAGGAATCCAAAGGTGCCATTCTTGCAGATGATGTGCGACACGGTCTTTTCTACTAGTTCAACTGGGTTCACTTGCTCATTTTCATCCATTCTAGATGGGTCTTGGCAAGACTATTACTTGCGTTTCACTGATAGCCGCCACCCTCAACTCCGCTCTGACATTCGCATCTACGCCCTTAGAAACCCCGAGCCTTCCGTGGGGATCTAGTTCAGATGACTCACCTCCCGCTCCATCGCAGTTCGCTGGTAGTGTATGGAATATGCCCGACGTGTCCGAGAATGGCCCATCTTCGGCCAAGGCAAAGGCCAAAGCACAGCGCGCGCAGGAAAAACTCGAAGCCGAACACGTAAGGGCTAACAGAATCAAGGCGAAAAGTCGAGCGACATTGATCATTTGTCCGCTGTCGACTGTTTCCAATTGGGAAGACCAATTCCGCGAACACTGGAATGGTGAAGTCCAAGTCTTTGGCGGTGGCGGTGGCTGCTGCTGCTGACTGCTTTGTGTTCGCAATCAACGTCGCAAGGGTCGCTCACCGACGTCAAGTCAGAAACAAAGCCCAGCGCGAATACGAGACTGGCAAGCCTTTGAAGGTATATATTTACCACGGTAACGCTCGAAGGCCGGACCCCGCATTCCTAGCGGATTTCGACGCCGTTATCACAACCTACGCTACATTGGCATCCGAATTTTCTAAACAGAACCGGAGTATCGCTACTGCGGAGGTGGAGGAAGAGGAGGAAGGCGCCGGAAGCAGCGATGGCGGAGGTGTAGAGATTGACGAGAGAGGAAATCAGATTCTCAGACTTCCGAAAACGAAGAAGGGGGGCGTTAAGAGGAAGAAACCAGGCCTTGGGGCTTCAGAAGCGTCAAGTGCTCTGCAGAGCATCCATTGGTTCCGTGTTGTTCTGGACGAAGCTCAGTGCGTATGATTTCTCTCGTTTTTGTTCATGGCACTTATCCTCTTCCCAGTTGTATCAAAGAAACCGGGACAGTGGGCAGTCGCGCGTCCTGTGACCTAATGGCAGATCGGCGGTTATGCCTAACAGGAACGCCGGTTCAGAACAAACTGGACGACGTTTTCGCCCTCATCAAGTTCCTTCGCTTGCAACCGCTAGATGATAAGGCGGTGTGGACGGAATTCATTGGCACACCTGTGAAGTTTGGGCAGACCATGGGCATTGCTAGACTGCAGACGCTGATGAGGACGATAACACTGCGCCGAACGAAGGAGTCGAAGACCATGGACGGGAAAAGAATTCTTTCGCTGCCTCCGCGAAGAGATGAGCTCCGGCTCTTGAAGTTCGACGCCCAGGAGCAAGAGATTTATGATCAGTTCTTCACCGCTTCCAAAGCCGAATTCAACGAGATGTCAGACAAGAATGAAGTCATGAAGAACTATGTTGGTATCCTGCAGAAGATTCTTCGACTGCGGCAGATATGCGATCATTTTGAGCTTGTGGAGGGCAAAGATCTTTACGAACAAGATGGCACGCTATCTTATGAAGATATCGTCGCTGCGATCGCAAAGGAAGGATTCACAACCTCTCGTGCAGTCGCCATTTTTGCTATTTTGAAAGAATCCGCGACAACACAGTGTGTCGAATGTGGTTCAGAACTCTGCACTTCCTCCGGAGAGGGTCAGGATGACGCAATGGACGAGATGGGACCCAAAAAGACGAAGAAGAATAAGGCTTCTTCAAAGGCCCCGACTCGCGCCAGTAGTCCTTCCGTGCCTCGTCCCATCTTGACACGATGCCAGCATTTATTCTGCCTGCAGTGTTACCGACAATGCATACACCCTGCATGGCCCAATGTTGCACCTGACATCTACCGTTCCTGCTCTGCCTGCCAAACGGGCCTGTGTCCTGCTGACGCGATCGAAATCAAGTCAGAGTACCTGGAGGGTTCGTCGGGGAAGAAGAAACCTGCGAGGAAGGAGAAGCGACAACGTGGGACGGGCGCTGAGACTTGTCATCCGTCCACCAAGATCAAGGCCTTATTGGGTGACTTGGTGCAGTTCTCGAGGACGAATCCATACTCGTCAAATTATGATCCGGATTCAATTGAAGTACAGATGGTGGATGAGAAGGGAGTCGAGGTCGATGAAGGCGTTGTGAAAACGGTAGTTTTGTAAGTCAGATGGCCGTTCTCTTTTGGTCTAGTGTGCTGAACCTCGCTTCTACAGCTCACAATGGACGACGATGCTTGATAAGTGATTCAGTTCCTTCCCGTTAGGGCCGCATGACGCTGATTAAAATATTCATAGGATTGAAGAAGCGCTAGAGTCGGCAGCTATACGCTTTGACCGTTTAGACGGGACAATGAAGCGAGACGAGCGGATACGCGCAATGGATGCATTAAAGTATGATCCAGCATGCGAAGTGCTGCTTGTCAGCTTAAAGGCGGGAGGTGTTGGGCTGAACCTTACGGCTGCGCAACGAGTGTACCTCATGGATCCGTATTGGAATCCCGCTGTTGAGAACCAGGCAGTTGACCGTATCGTAAGCTTCTCCAGTTACCTTTATGACGAAGTACAGTGGGAGTAGTTGTTCTGAGATCTGTCCCTGTGACTATCTTAGGTCACTCTCTGATTCTGACTTCGGTTTTTCAGCATCGGCTAGGACAAACTCGACCAGTCACAACTGTGAAGCTAATCATCGAAAACTCGATTGAAGCTCGCTTGTTAGAGGTCCAGAAGAAGAAAACCGAGCTTGCCAATATGACCCTTGGTTCAAACTTCAGCAAAGCGGAGCTTATGACTCGTCGTATGGAAGAACTAAACCAACTCTTTGGGTCGTAAATTACTCTACACCTTTATATTTGTCTATTGTCTCATTCTCCATTATGGGTGTCTGTATCTTCGGCTTTACTATAATTACCTTTATGGACGCTTTGTATTAGAATAGAGTTATTTGCTGATTGTCGAACCGAAAAGGTTAGAAAGCGAAGTGAGCCGCATTTTTCCTCGTGCCGAATAGGTATACTATCAAGATAGACTTCGTCAGCACAATTGAAGAAATAGATGGAACCGCATACCAATGACTTGGCTCACAAACAACCCAATAGTCACTCCGGAGGCCACGGATATCATCCGCAGAGCCAAAGAGAATCCCGTCGAGTATTGTTCAGCGGAGCTGTGAAAGTTCTGTGTCAAACCTCCACCTTGAGCTATGCCAGACTGATACATATGATAAGCTTCGCTGTCAAGATTGCTATTAGAATGCACTTACAGGAACCAGGAACAACACTCCAGTAACCATAGAAGTGAATGCAGTCCCACCGACAAGACGAGAATATATATTCCCAAGCAATCCAATCACAAACGCTCCCGCAGCGGACACAATATCGCTTCGGTTTGGCAAAACGATACTTGCAGCGCGGTTAGCAGCATAGGAACAGCATGCAAAGACCACCATGACGGGAAGTTGGATGCTCCGAAAGGATTGGAGATTGGATAAAGAGGAGCAAGTCGTATAGAGAGGCACGAGGAAAAGTAAAGTCCACCAAGGAAATGGCTGAAATGCCCAATGCCATGAAGGGTCACGAAAACAGCCTTGTTTAGCAATGAGGCGATGAGAAATGATGATGAATAGAAGCACAAATATACCTTTGACGACGTGTGCCTGCTCGAAGGTTTGAATGCCCTTCGCTAGCACTCCGCTGACAGGGAATAAAAGGTGCGGAGCCGTTCGTCATCGAAAAGGTGCCATGCGCATATGTATAATTGGCTGGAAGCGAACCCTGAACATATGCACGATGAGCCTTGCGATCGACAACGAGGATAGAAGTCTGAGCCGATGGTCAGGCCGAATCCCTGTCCTCCATGAGTGAGCTCTCTTTCTTCGGAAGGTATAGAAGACCCACCAAAAACAGCGTGTAAATGATAGCGTAAACAATCCTAACGGAGCCACAAAATATGTTGCGCGACATCAGCTCCAAGGCACTTATCACTGTAGCACGATGTGGGTCACAAGTCGTTTTTAGGCACTTTTGCGGATACGCACAAACTGTAAATCCTGGGAGAATGACGACCACACCTGCAGACGATATTGCGCTATAACAAAAAATGTTACCCGGGACATTGCTCAAACCTCTCGCCACGAAGGCGACAATAATAGAGACGGATATCCTGTCACATAAAGCTGTCAGACCGAACCAAGTTGCACATGTAAAGAAGTGCTTACTCATAGACATTAGCATACATGGAGCTTTTGTGGGCAGCACTCAAACCAAGGTACTGTAAACAGCAGGCGCACAAGCCACTTATCCACATGTCGACGAGGGATCCGCCGAAAGAAACGACACAAATGATAGACGCGGAGAAGAAGGCCAAAAGACAGCGAACAGCGAGTCCGTAAGCAGGAGGCGCCCGTAAGATCGCGCGAAGAGCCTCGGTACCGGCCTCAGCAGTAATTCTGTCGTGAAGAACGTCCCGGTAGATGAGATGAACACCATGCAATTTCGTCAGAGCGATTCGACCGGTTGCGCGCACAAAGTAGGTTCTGGTCGGGCCCGAGTCAGCGTCTCGAATAGAGACAATGATGATGTTAGGAAGATGCACGAAATCTACGAGTAGTTCTCAGAGCGATATACTGCATACGATCATTAGCGACTGACCGGCGCGTGCTCCCAAAATGTCCGAGGCTGCTGATAACATGGAACCAATACGATGGGAAGGTGCACCATATGATAGAAGAGCCTTGGCGAGCTTTAATAGGAACTTTCTCCGTCGATCGATGTCTACATTCAAGATGTACTACAAGGTGTGAAACAGCCGAGCAGCTTACATACCTTGAACATTCTGTACAATCGTTGAAGGCCGCCTAGATCGTTGCAGAACAATAGACGAGAAAGCATGAGCACTAGCTGCGCCAGCATGCGCTACAGAACTTGTCAAGCGACCAACAGGGACGTGCTTTGGCAACTTGGGTATTATCTTAGAAGAGCGTCGTTTTTCTAGGCGAGGTTTCTCTTGATGATTGGACTGAACAAAAGGCGGAACAAAATTTGACACGTTGGAAAATTCATTCGGTTCCTCATCGCGTACCGGCCTCGCATCCTCGACTTCAGATAAAGTTCGTTGGTACCTTGGAGGAGACGATAGACGACGTTGGCGTTGGTAGGTAAAGTGAGTATCGCCCTGGTGGGATTGCTGTGAAAGTTGAGAAGTAGGTCGAGCGTCTTGCACGGCGTTGTTCCAAGGAGTTTTGTGAGCATCGTGGGCCATTTATGTGTTGAAATGGTGGAAAGAGTTCAAGTTAGAGTTGCACATCTCACTCCAAATCCCAAAAAAGGCGCAATTACGGCATTGACCGAGATTCAATATTCAGGTACCGATCATAAACACATTCCAAATACGGACGCATATAGGCCGACCTCTAGTACAGACACATCCCATATCTGAAGTATTAAAATACAAATCAGCCAGATACAAACATAGAACATAAAAGACAATGCCATCTACCAGATTTGCGGTCCTGGCGGCAGGTAATCAGAGGGTAGCAGGAACGCATCCATCCCGTGCTGCTGGAAGGACTGTCCACCCAGCGACTGATCAGAGATCCATACCGGAAGCTGCTCATTAGCAGTGGACTCGAATCCCCGCCAGATCTGTTCTGCGTCCTGATGTTGGTGCGGATGCGGTGGGTATGGTACAGGGCCAGGTACCTGTGCCGCCACTATCTGCTGCCCCTCCGGTGATCCTGTGAGATTTGAGTAGGACGGAGAGTACGTTACTCCAGCGGCCGCGTTTTGGCCACCATGATCCATGATCATGGATAGTTGCTGACGGTGGGGCTCACGACCAATCGTGGGCGATCGTGAGCTTGATGATGACGCCCGCCGCGACTGGAATCTTTTGAGCATCAACTGCAAGGTTAATGCATACCGTTTACCCGGCACTAGAAGGATATGAGTATGCATGCCGTTAGTATCGTCAGCTGCTCTTCCTACCTTCAGCCATGAGAGCAGCCAAGCGTTCTACTTGGTGCTTGATCTCTTGGGTATCGCATTCATTAGGGCTGGAATGGATAAGCAAAGTGCAACTCAATAGCAGAGCAAGCTCACAAAAGACGGGCAAGACGCAATAAGAATGATGCCGTAAAGGTCGCTGTAGCGTGCGTATAGTGCACAGCTTGAAAGAAGCTATAAAACATCTTAATTGTTACAACCAGTGGACTAGCACGAACCATATTTCAGGCCCTCTTTGTAGGCAGGTGAAGTAATTGTGATGTCAACCCCCTGCTGCGCAATCTGGATCGAGCGTATAGCTAAATCTCTTTGCACGGCTGGCATGTTTTCGACATCTTCGGGGCCATTGATCCCTCTTAGAGCCACGGCATTATGAAACAGCTCAGCATGAAGGTGCTGTACTTGAAGGCTCTGCCGGTAGAATGCTGCAAGAAGCCGATGTCAATGAAATCTCGTAATATTCAGAAGCACACTCGCCAGCATCCTCGTACTTCTGAGAAAATGCGGTGTCCCACGTTGAATACCATTGACGGAAGGCAGCGTCAGCCCGTCGCAGTTCCTCAAAATCTGAATCACGGACTTGGCCTTCAGATGGCGATAAGGAATTATGCAGCTTTTCCCGTATAGCCATCAACTCCAACGTAGAAACTAATCGCATGTCATCCTCTATTGCAAGAGGATGTTGCAGCAATGCACGGGCGTGCCGGATGCTATCATCCTCCTTCAGGATGGCAGGTCGACCAGTTCCGTACGATAGCCTGAGATAGACATTTACATATTTACGTTACAAGCAGGGGCATATAATACTCACTGGTGCTCGAAGAGATATAGCGTAAACCATGTACGACTGGCTATAACCAAATCACGGTCTTCAGCTGCATTAGCTTTATTTGCGTTCATACGCTGGAGAAGTTTGGGCCATGCTTTATGAAGAGCTAGAGCGTACTATGAGCCGTGGCAGGCCCGATCAATCTAGAGCTTGCACTCACATAACTCCAAAGCCATCCGAACAGCATGACCACCACTTAGCCACCCATTGTCAGACCAGCCTGATACAAGTACTAGAATAGAACCATCAATACAAATTCAAAGCATGCTAAAAGTTTCCTACTCATAGACTGCACGGCTTCAATCCGAGCAACGGGGGAGAACAATGTCGCACACGATATTGCTTGCACTTCATCTAAACACCTCAGGTATATCTCACTCGATTTTCCTACGAGTTTCACGGTGAGAAAAAAATCATCCCATAAGCATGTGGCCTGACCTCCGCCGTCACGAACGTGCGAAGCGACCATACAGATAGCATCGACGGCAAAAGGGGATCTGTGGTGGAGATTTTCGAATGTATCAACATTAGAATCGAAGACAGGCCTGTGTGATGGAAAGTTAGCAAGAAGACAAGGTCATCAAAGCAATGTTTACAAGAAGGTCGAGCAACCATGATAAAAACTGAATGCAAAGTGTCAGAACTAGTTGACAATAAGGTCAGGGCGGAGCACCAACATCCTGAACAGATCTCTTGCTTCGGCCTCGCTAATGATGTTCTTTGTAACCACTGAATAAATGCCGATCAGTTTTGTTACATCGAATTGAAGCGAACAATAACTACCGTCGGGGAAAGTGAGCACCCTAGTTCCCTTATGTCGTATCTTCCTTCGCTTAGTGGGCCTCGCTTGCGAATCTGAAATTGGAGTTCGTGGTCGGCTTTGGGCATCACTGCTATCACCGTTTTCCTACATTCCGACATCAGTCAACTGTTCAACTTGAATGCAGGGTCGTCAAAGAACACGTGCCTTGGCTGCTCGTTCAATGGCCACATCAGCCAAGCCTCGTAAAACTTCCCAAGGTGCGACAAGTCCGGAAGCAGGAAGTTCGCCATCGTCTTCATCCAATTCAGAAGACTCGCCACTTGTCGCTGGGCGTTTAGTTCCCATATGCGGGGTTCGTTGGTCAGGCTGACCATTATCCGGAGGATAGAATCTCACGGAAGAAACATTCCCTTGAGCTTGTTGTGGGCTTGTTGGTTGGCCCATCGACTGTATGCTGGAAAATGGCGGTAAAACCGGGCCTTGCGGACCCTGAAAGCCGGGGTTATACGCGATCGGTGGGAACGCATTAGGTGGGCCAGGCTGAGGACCAGTGTATTCACCGGTGGGGGGAATCTGGCTCTGCTGCGGCAGAGCGGCACCTGGGTAAGGTGGTCGAGAGGAGCGTGATGCTCCGGGCGTGTTTGCACCCGGGCCGCGGTTGAACATGGGAGGGGCACCAGTGGGTGAAGGCTGAATATCAGCAGAGTGGGAGTGGACTGTAGAAGGTGTTTGAGCAGCAGGAGAATGCATAATCGGTGAATGATGGTGAAAAGGCCCCATGAATTCTGGAGGAGGGGGTCGGACCGGAAAGACGGAGCCTCGTAGTTGAGCCTGTATTTCTGCAAGAGAATTTAGGATGGTTGACTGGCTATGCCTGATTTCGACAACGTGGGCCTCCAAGCTCCGGATTCGCCTTCATCGAGGATTACACGGAATTAGCGAACCGGACCATCGGGTATGAAAGGCCACTTACTCGAGACCCGCTTCGCCCGTCAAGGTAGCTTCTCGCTGCTAGAGGGTCAGCATGTTCTCGTACGGCATTCATTACCAGCGGCTCACGTTTGGACGCTCAAACATGCATTCGAGACCTGTATTCCGACATCTTCGACACGGCGGATTATCGGCGCCCTCGCATCGCATCTTTTGCTTGCGACACGCATTCTGGATGTAGCGAATAAGCAAGACGTGTCGGGGTGGAGAAAAGGGAACAAACGACGAACACAAGCACCTAGGATCGAGTATATTTAATGCCGTGCAACCCAGACTTAAGATATCATACGTACGTGGAACCCGACTGAGAGTTTTCACGACCGGCTTTTCATTTTTGTCGCCCTTGTCGTCTCCCATGTCGTGCGGTTTCTTCTGGGCGTTGTGGGACGCCGGGTGCATCGACGTAAAGGGAGAAGGGAAGAAGAGACAGATGGAAGAGGAGGAGCAAGAGGTACAGATTCAACAACCACGAGACAACTTGATTCGGCTGATTCCAAACAAGAACAAGCGCCTTCTGATGTTCAATAGTAAACAGCGTACTAAACGACTAAAATGCAAGTAAAATAATAGATTAAATGCCGGCAATCCTAGTAAATTCGAAATAATAGGCACAATATCTTTGGAAGCGGACGACGCTGCCGCTGCGAGGTCCCGGTCGGCGCTGGCAGTGTCCGTAAACGAACCAGACTACTAGGGTCAAGCGATTAGTCATCTGCGTCGGGCCTGGGCGGTTGTCTTGGAAATTCTTCCGCTACTTACCTCTCTCACCTCACTCACCTCATGTTTTCCCTGATTTTTTCGGCGCTATGGTGCGTTGTTCTTTCTCTTTTCATACTCTCCGTCTCATTCGGAGATGAAACAGCGCCTGGTTTGCATTTTTCTTGCCTTGCTTCGCTACGTTCAAACTTCTCTCTCAACATCCTATTCCGGAGGCCGAGCTGCAAACAACCGCCAAGTATTGGACCGTGGTATGTAGGCGATGTAGCCTGTTGACACGTTCTTCTGATGCTCGGCCTGCAGATTGGTGCTTTTGTCGGATTTGAATATCTCGCTGGCTGGTTCATTAGCTGGTAAATATTCAATGTCTCATGGTCCACCAATTCCTTATCGTGCTCCAGGCTGCCTTTCTACTGGGAAGCCAAAACAGTTTTCCTGCTTTTCCTTTCTCTTCCTCAAACACAGGTAAGTCACCCTCCTTATCAATACACATATCAGTTATTCATCTCCTTCCTCAGGGCTCGACCTTTGTGTACGATACCTACCTCAAGCCCTTCTTCGTCAAAAACCATAACAGCATTGATTCAGGAATTATCTCCATCCAAGGGAGCATCATTAGCTTCATCCATACCCGTCTTTATGCCGTGTGGGAACTTCTCTGGAGCGTCATTAATAAGACCCCTCCAGCAGGACAGCCACCCGCAGCTGCTCCTCCCCCGACCGCCGGCTTCAGTGTAGAATCTGCCATGGGCCTGTGGCGCACGTATGGTCCGTCCCTGTTGAGTGCCATACAGACCGGGAGTGCGCGTGCCGCCCCTGCAACTCCTCCTGTCACGCCCAGTGCCTCGGCTTCCTCCACCTCGACTGATAATCTTCCAGGTGCCAGCGCTGAGCAACGAATTCCCACTCCAATTTCTGCCGCTGCTTAATATTCCTCATTGGTTGGTTTGGTTGGATTCACACGCGAAATATTTCAGGATCTTTCTTCTCGCTTCACCATTTTTACAAATAGTTTGCTTGTCACTTGTGTAACTCGTTTCACATGCAGTACAAGCTCTCCCATCAGGCTCATAATGATAATACATCAAGCTCCTCCAACTCGGTGACGCCTAAATGCCGCCTCAACGTCCACCGAGGTATAATCTAAGGAAACACCACTGTCTGGATAGCATTGCGATATCCGTTTGGAAAACAGCTCCGTGATTCTCAGCAACTCTTCCTCGCAAGCCTTCCAGACCCCCACCATCACTGTTCCGGGAGCAATGCCACCGCTCTCTTCTGTTGTTGTCTTTTCGGACGCCTCTGTAAAGTGCTTCTCCACTCGCTTAAATAGGGCGTCAATGTGTTTCCGGATGTCCTTGGCACTGTACTCCTTGACAACTTTCTTGAGCGCAGATCTGTTGTAACTGCTATTGGTTGCAATTTCGCTCGGTGCGGTAGTCTTCAGCAACCGTTCAACACCTTCAAAGTAATCCTGATTACGGTCAGTCGGCCCGATTCATTAGGCGACAATCCACAATCCAAAAAAGCTCACAATGATTTTCGCGAACGGCCGACGAAGGATGATTTTGACATAGGCACCCAGATTCTCGTCATATATCGCCTCCGCCTTGCGCAGGAACCCCGCCACAGAACCTATCTCCATCTGGGAAATTTCCGCCACAAAATGATGCATATTTTCTGCCGGGAACGATCAGACTCATTGACAACGCCACAATCGGTAAAAATACCTATCAGAATGACATGGTAGTTCAGCTGTCCCTTGTCTTCACCTTCCCCATCCATTTTGGCCATTTGTTTGAGGCACTCGAACATGGTATCCACGATACGTTCGTACGCTCCGTCGACGATAGTTCGTACCTCGAGACCATCGGTACCGAGAAGCTGGCTTTCGACACGTCCAATGTAACCCGGGAACAGTCGCACGAACGGAGCAACACCTTTTCGCTTCTTGCTCGTCAACTTCGTTTGCTCAACACCTTGGATTTGCTCGCTCTTTGTTTTTTGTTAATCTTACAACTGCAGCATGGTATAACACCACTTACAACATGACGTTCAAGAAGGCCCTTCAGGCGTGTATGCTGCTTTTCGAGAAGGCCAATGAAAAAGTTGTTTCCTCTATCGTCAGCATCGGCCAAAAAACGTTCTAAACACGCTATTAAACCAAAGATCTGTCTAGAATGATAATCAGCCAACGAGACGCGTCCGGTACAAAAAGCTTACGCCTTATCCTTGGCCAATGCGTTGTCAAGCCAAGTCTTCAATTCCGAGGGTAAGAAGCTGAAAATGAGGTCAAGAGCACCCCGGACGAGTTTCATTGTCGTCTGGCTGACGCTGGCGCTGCGGGCGGCCTGACGTCGGAAATAGTTGTCAAGGCCCATGTAGTCAGCGAAAGTCAACGCCGCATCATTTATCTGCAAAAAGTCCGTTATGAACTCTTCTTCATGATAAATGGTGGGCGCAATTTGCTCCAGGGCAAGCCCAAGAACCTGCAAAACAATGTAAGTGACTTGTACACCTTCATTTGAAAGGGTGCACCGGCCTCAGATGATCTCATGGTACCGTCAGACTTATCTTTGTCCCTACGGCTTTCCAATGGAGATCGAATCAACGTTCCTGCACGCTTGATACCAGTAGGTCTACTGATTGGAGGCGAGGCCACAGAACCGATACCTGATACGCATATTCTGTATCAGCCATTCTGCAAACCCTCGTTCAGGCCTACCTTGTTCCTGGTCCTCCTCCGACGCCTTCTTGATCAAGCTGAGGCAACTAGAAAGCATGGCCCTGATTTGAGTGCCATGGAGATCGTTAAGGGCTGAGAAGTAGGCCTATAATAAATATAAGTTATATGAGGGTGACTGATTGGGACGCTTCGTCCTCACCGCGCATAGTTTGGCATACACGGCTTCGTCCATCTCCTTTAAGTACAGCATAAGACCTGAGTATCTCCCTAGATAATTCTCCAGCTCCGTATGTAGATTTATCGTCGGTATGCCACGCCTGTCAGTTTTCGTCAACCCATCGCTGTCTCCCAGAAGTAACTTCGCCTGTGAACCATTCAATGACGAAAACACCTTTTCAGAGCATGTAAGCTCACCTGTGCACTGAACATTATGGACAAGTAATCGAATATGCGTTTACAGAATTGCGCATTATGTGTCCGATATTCCTGCAACCTTTCCATGGTGGCAGCCATGTCCGTATCCCTTCCTGCCTGTAGAGCTTTGTAGAGTTCAGCGGCAGCCTCTTCGATTCTTTGAATGCTATTAGAGTCCCTGAGGGAATCCTGCGTCAAGGTCAGGAGCACTTCCTTGTCAACTTGAACCGTTTGCTAGCAAACAAAAATGAGAATGTGTATCGAAGTCCTATGAATCATAAATATCTGTACCAGAAGGTTTTCTAGCTCAGCCAGAAGGGCATGTTGATTTTGCGTTTGGACTTGGAGACCCCGATTCTGAGATTGGATATAAGAGATGTCGTCGCCGACGGCCTTTGAATAATTCTCAGCCAAGAACAGTAGATTGGCGAAACAAGAGATCTCACGTTCAAGTGTATCTTGTATGACTGGATGAGACTCCCCATACTGTCCAGTTCTGTTATGGCTTCATCCATATATTTAAGTACGATACCTATCCGGTCATCGGACTCTAGGAATGAATGGATATTGGCCTGGAGGGTAACTTGAATATGCATTTGCTGAAAAAACTGATTGCCGCCGACCTTTTCGAGAGCCATGAGCTCGTCCAACAACCTAGCTTCTATCATCTCAGCGGCACCTCGTGCCGTTTTTCTTCCTATTATATCTTCACTAGCCCACTCATAGCCCTCGATCATTTCTTCTACATTGGCCATGGTGGCTTGTGCATTCTCTTCCTCGCCCTCGACCTCATTGGCATTACTACCAATCAACCGGTCGATAGTAACTTGGTTAGCTGGATCAAAGAATGACACGCGCGTGTTGTCTCGTCTACTTGAAGATCCATCCGCGGCAATGAGTATTGTAGCTGCACGCGTAGATTGCTTGCGATTTGAGGGTGCAGGTGAAGGAGTGGGCCGTGAACGTGAAGCCTGAGAAGGTGCTGCAGCGAGCGTAAATCGATCATCCGCGGGCGGAATGACGGATGACGTCGGACTGTCTCTTACATCTCTCGCAGGCCTCGCACTTTGAGTAGGGCGAGAAGGTTGTACATATTGCTGTGCCGTAGTAGCAGAAGAAGCAGACTGGCGGAATGCTGATCGACCTGGGGCGGAAGGGATAGAACTGGTCTGAGAATATGCAGGGGATGAGGGCCGGGGACGTGAAGATGATGGTTCCCGTATACGGACAGAGGATGGATGGCTGCGATTTGAGTGGGCAGGAGAAGCTGGTCGAGCTGATCGCGACTGCGACCCAGATGGTTGCATAGGTTCGTGATCCCTGTCGCTCTGGCTCTGTGAGAGGGTCCTCGAGCTTGTGGGCGGAATTGCAGATGCAAGGGACTGATGTATACTGCTCGATTCATAAGGTGACGGTGACGGGGTCCTTGGGGTACGCATGTAATCATTCTGGATTCGTTGTCGGCCCTCTGTATAACTTTATTAGAGGCAACAGCCGGATAATCAAGGCGAAGAAGCATACGGGGTACATCCTCGGTACTTGGGAATCCTTCGACTTGCAACGGCGCTTTTCCGCCGGTAACTGTATGGAAGAGTGGGATGAGTGCCTCTAGAAATTTGACCTGATCCGCTGCATTCTCAGTTCGCCATCTGTAGGTCCTCGACAACGTGATGTTGAAAGATTGGGCCTAACGAAATTGAGCACAGAAGGATGGGTACTCATGAAACGGTTGGCGCACACTAGTAACCTGTACCGCACGCAGCTCTGGGAGTCTCCACGTCTTTCCAACAGAGAAGGTGCCATTCGTGTTCAGCTTCGATTTGTGAAGAAACCCATTTCCATTGATCGTTTCTGCAAAGAAAAATAAAGCTGAAGCTCATTTCCGCGGAGGCTCTGGCCAGCGATAGACGCACGAGAGAGAAGGATGTATCTGGGTTTTGTGCCTCCGGTTTCTGGGGAATCTTCTAGGATTTTGATATGAGAGACGTAACTTTCTTCAATGCTTCCAGAAGCATTCCGTCTTGAGAACACCGAGTCGATAATCCGTTGCCTTTGGTCCGTCATTAGCCTGGTGCTGAGCGTCAGTGGAGAGGTCGATTCCCGACACAGCCACCACGTGGTTCGCGAGGACGAAAAAGGGAATAGCTTCTCTTGTTCGACTGCTGTGTTGTCTTTGGTTGTCTTCGCTCATTACCTCCCTCCTTTGCATACATTCTATTTCGTAAGATCCGAGTAATTTCACATTACAAGCCTCGTGTTTGGCTTTCTAGTGTCCAACAATGGTCCTGTTACCCTCCTGTTACTCTCAAAGTTGGGGCCCGATCTCGATCATTTGAAAAAAGGACATCTCGTGGACCTCCCTGACTGACGATTCATTCAAGGTCTATTATTTGTCTTTGTCTAGTTCGTGGTCTTGTAGTGCCTTGTTCTATGAATTGCTCTGCAAAGTAACTTATTTGCTATGACCTACCGGCGCCTGCCGATATATGGTATGCCACCCATAGTCTGCTCTCTGGAAACAATAGAATTGTGCCACGCAAATTGACAACGGGGCTGTATAAAACATCGCTCTGCATCTGTAACCGGACTATAATCTCTCCTCTGCTTTTAATCTTCTCGCCTCATGCCTGCCCAAGGTCTCGATATGCTTCTGTTGGCCGCTCGATACATCGAGGAGTTCGACAACTCTTCCTCTGATGCACCTTATCGCTCCGAAAATCCCATTTCCTGCGCAGAAAAGGCCGAAAATGCCATCCATGTTGTTACGCCATGCGAGGGTTCTCCCGGATATACTTCCATGTCGCTCTCAGAGCCAACCTCTCAGCTCACGGAAATCGCAAACAAGCACCTCCCTTCAGAGTGTCCTAGCTCTGCTTCGTCCCCTCCGTCCTCGCCATGCCCTTCCTCGGTCGACTCTGACTACACTATGAGCTTTCAGAGCTCGAAATCAGTATCATCCAGGGAGTGTAGTCCAGAGATTCGCCCTCGCAATGTGTCCAAATTTCCCAAGAAGGCTGCACATAAATCACCCAAAACCGCATTGGTGGGTGGGAAGGTTTTCAACATTCCGATCATGACGAGGGATATGATGTGGAGGATGTCCGTCTTGCGCACTGCGAACAGTATAGAAACTACGCCCAACTCTCCCGTCAAAGAGACTAGCCGACAGCTGCTGGAGAAGGTGTATGACGACGTCACTAGTCATCCTCCAAAATTTTGGGAGCAGCTCATTGCCGCCCGTGTCTTGGACCGGTAAGTCGTAAAACTTCACTTACGCCCTTCTGCAAAACTGAGCAATTTTATTCATGCAGGACTCCTGCCCAAGTTCGTGTCTGGTTTTCAAATCGCCGACAATGGTACCCATCGGGCACAACAATCCAGGTCCCCCTTCTCGACAGGGACTTGGCATACCCTCGTCGGAGAACTGTCAAATTGAGACCATCAGCGCTCGAGATGTCCCAGGAATGGTCCGATTCGTTTTTCGATGACGTTCTGGCTCTTTATATGGGTGAGCAGGTACAAGATACTCTGAAAGAAGAATGCGAACACAAGAGGAAATCGATTCCTCGGTACAAAGGCAAATCAAAGAAAGGCCAAGTCAAATCCAAATAGTAAACGAGGCCATCATTTCCTTTCCTTTCCTCGGACCATTCGTACTGTAGCATATATCATTATATACAACCTCTCACTTACAACTTTGTAGCGCTTGCTTGTCATCACGTTTATATAATGGAAGAATCAGTTCACTGACAACAAACATGTTAGTGTTCCTCGACTTCAAGAGGTTCGTAATCATGAGATTGTCTACTAGCCCACCCAAGCCAATGGCGCCCTTCCTGTGCAGGTCGAACTTCTCCGTTTCGAAGGACCTGATATCGTCTGCCCCTCCAGTTGACTGTATCCCCAAATACCGCGTAGAAGAATATTGGCAACGCCAAAAATTCTCGACCAACCCATGCACCCAAAAATTCCCACCGAATAGATGCAGGGAGACGGTGTCCCGCTAGGGAACGGTACACGTCTAGATCTACTGAGAGCCACAAAACGAAGTGAAGAAAGAGGAATGGTAGTGCAGGGATATTGAATAGATACTTCAAACTTGCACAACCAATAGCTGCGACCGCCACGGATTCTGTCAGCGGTTCTAGGAGTGTAGCGGCAAGAACCATATGCTTGCGGACGCGGATCCATCGCGCGCGTCGTTGGATGTAATCGGCAAGCGACATTTTCCCTACAATGTTACGAGCGACGTCGCAAGATAGCTCGTGTCTTTCCCCTAGTTCATGCCAGAGAGCACTTGCGATCATATTATCTTCTGCAAGGTAGCGGCCAAATGCAGGCAGCCCGCATTGCTCATTAGATTGACTGTCTTGCTGAGCAATCGGCTTCCGTGAACCGTTCACTCGTTCAAGATCAGAACGCCGATAGAGGTTCGACTTGCCCATGACGCAGGAGTCGATAGCTGCGGTGTTAATGGCAATGTACATCTTCGCGTGATTTGTGTTTAAAAAGGCTTCATCCAATCTGGAACCAATCCTTGATTCGTTCACGACTGCGAAAGGAACGTGATGGACGAGAGCGATGCGTCTTCCAGATCGGCTCTTCCCCTGTAGAGCCTCAACGGAACGTGCCATGGCACCGGAATGTACCATGACATTCGAGTCGAGCACCCAGAGAATATCATTTGCAGCCTGGCGGTACGACCGCATCAGGTTATTGACTTTTGGGTTGACGCCGACAATTTCCTCTCCTGCAACATGATAAGTAAATGGTCATTATGAAGGCGGAATAACGCGCCTACGATGACATTGGCATTGACATGTGGATATTTTGCCATTAATTCTCTCACAACAGGGAGCGCCTGGTCATCCCCGTGTGCGACAGAGAAGAGAATTTCAAAGTTCGGATACTCTTGAGTAAAGGATGACTCAAGGTTCTCATAAAGGTTGGTGTCGAGACCCTTCAGAGGCCGAAGAATCGACACTCCAGGTACCGAGCCTGGGGATTCCGTAGTTAAACGGGAGCGGTCCCTATGCTTATATCTCCTTCGACTATGAAACTTGAGGCAAATTCAATTCAAGGCCGAGAAGAAAACGTACGCAGCTAAGCACCCAAGCAAGCTTATTGCCCACATAACTACATACCATCCTAACCCGACAAAGGCCAGAGCAAGGAGTACAGGGCGCCCCTTCAATAAATGTTGCTCTTCTTCTAACCCAGAGTTCATGGTAAGAATCAAAGCATGCAGGGCGTCGCCAGAGCTTCGTCAACGTAGGAGTGGAAGGAGATCGTTGGTTGCCGGCGGCATCTCCTCTGCCATGACATTACCAGAATCTACTTGTCAGTTATTCTCGATTTACGGAGAATTCATCCGCGAGACTCGATATCTACCCCATGCATATCTTAGGTGTGCAATCCTGTTTTCCCGTTCTTTTTCGCTCAATAAACCTGCAGGCATTTCTATCGAATCAAGGCCTCTGATGATGTGCGGGCAATCGCAGAAACAAAAGACACCAAGGGACTTGGTCGGAGAAAGTTGAAGCGATTTACAAAGGTCGACATGTTCCGTAAATGCACCTGAGCACCCCTTCTCATGACGATGTATAGGAACTGGCCACCGTCAAAGCCGCTATTCAAGGAAACACGTCCGCATTCAACCACGTACTTGATGTTGCATATGGGAGAAAAGGAAAGCTACGGTGGGAGCTGATGCAAGTGAGTGAACATATTTCTTTGTCTTCTTGGGAATTACAACGATGTACAGCCGCTCTTGACAGACCCCAAGGTCCAAAAGCCACCTCCCATTATACCAGCCGTCGAAAAGTCTCGACCACCAGTATACCCCAGAGAACTCACTGCTCTGCTCACCTCACCAGCAAGCCGGTCGACCAGGAAAGGCCTCACTCTTGAGGATCTCGAGACACCTCCAACGCTTCCCTTGCGTGCCGACCCCAAATCCGAAGACGCCAAACTTCTGGGGCCACTTAGCAAACGACGTGAAGTCAATACTCGATGGCGTTTCTTTACCGAGGAATCGAGGAAGGTGTATCCTCCGTTAGAAGTCGAGGCAAAGGTTTTCAGTAGCAAGCCCTCGGAGGCATCTCCAGTAACCATTCGCGAGGCCGGGATTAGAGGTTTTGGTTTCCAAGAACAAGGACTTCTTGAAGACATTCATAATATTGTCGGACGTAGGAAGGAGGGACTTCGGCCAATCACCCGGAGAGAGCTTCATGCGATGGAAAAGACTGGTCAGGTTTTACCCACCCCCGCTACGCGACATCCCTCGAGATGGCTCCGTCGGCGATATCAGCAATTATTGGGCAAGATACCTCAGGTCACTTACACTTATCAATCAGGAGCGAAAGACGGAAGGTACATGGTATCCTTATCTGACCAGTCTATTGCTCCATCTGTGGTACCCATTCACCAGTACGGCGAAGTTGACTCGGCGGCATTGGCTTGGTACGACAAGGCAATGCTTGAAGACTCACAAAAACCTGATACTGGTAAGAAGCGCAAGAAATAGTCCTGCATTATATAAATATGTTGGTATGCTACGATAAATAGTGATTATGATGCCGAATTCTCCATTTCTAGCCCATGCAGGTCTATAACATACATACTATAGTTACGGTTAATTGCCTTGGAGGCTCTAGGGTCTCCTTCTGTTTGGTCGACTCCACACTGTAACCGTAACATCGTCAGATACTCATCGAAAGTGAACAGCTGTTTCTGCCGTATCCCGTCAAGCATCGCCTACACCGACACAAATCAGAACGGCAACTAGAAGCACCATCAACACTCTTACTTGTGGTGACATAAAGAAGAGCGTATAGTAGCGTTTCGCTTTTTCAAACTCGCTGTTTTGGTCGTTTGTAATGGCCTTGACACTTTGTTGTAGAGCGAGCATATTCCGGATGATCTTCTTGATCCCAAAGCTGGTCGGGACACCAAGATACCGAGCGTTCGCGATCAAAATATGTTCCATAAGATATCCCAACCCGACGAATATAAATCTAGGGGGATAGATGAAATAAAAAAACATTCTGTACGAAAATTGACTTACCGTCTTGCTGTCTCCGACAAGCTGGTGCTAAGGAATTCATCACATTCTCCCAGTTCATTGTTGAGATCGATTACGTGGGGATCTGGTTCTCCCGCTTCCTGCTCCATGGAATAATTGCCCTGTAACAAGCAAGATGAGCGAGCATGTACGGATGTTGTAGGGCCAGAAAACCCACATAACGTAGTGCCGAATCAAGGTAATAGATAGTCCGACACCTGATGTCAATTCTAATAGTATCCAAAATAAGTTCTGAGAGCTGTTCGTATGTCTTGAGCAATGCGCCAAAGCGCCTGGGTATGAGTCAGCACCTGTCAAATGAGGATAGAACGATTCGTACAGGGACATTTCCTTTGAAAGAGGAAGGGCCAAAGGCTCTGCTGTCTCAGAGCTTGCCTGCGGCAATGGCAGGACGGGAGATGAGGCAGACGTCGCAGACAAAGGCTCCAGACTCAGTGGACTCATTGGAGCGTCTGGCGGTCGAGACTTCAAGGCACTCAGCTCGGAAGCAAACCAAGCCTGGAATTGTCAGGAGGTTTGAGAAGTGACATGTATACTAATACTCACCACACTGCGATATAGACTCGCCAATGCAGATAGATTGCGTATTGACGGGACAAGATCTGTTTCTTTGACCGTGTCCTGGCGAAGAAAGTCGAGTTCTAGGTTAGTTTCTTGTCGACAAAGTTGTTGCTGCGTCGATATATTACTTGGCTGCAATGCCGTTCAGACGCTGATATCACGCTGTCACGAGAGCACTCACTGGTGTAGACAGTAGCTCCCTCAAGCATGGGCTCGACTCTGACCGCTGGGCCCATTGAACGGCAAGGGCTACATGTGATGCTGCTTGCGGATCTTCTGCCGGCGTCGAAACTAAGTCTTGGAACCGGTCACTGCAGCGCTGATAGAATTGAATAATGACACCAAGTATCAATCGAGAATAGTTTTCTCGGTGAAAGGGGGTGGTTTGGAGCATTGCACATAATGAATTTATCAAAGCCATGAGATGCGTGCTTGCCTTTACAATACATGAACACACGTCCCACGAAGAGAAATTAAGGAAATTCTACCTTGACCAAAGGCTCGGGACAGAATTTCGCTGACAAGGGATCAGGAAGGAACGCGTCGTGACCTAGAATCAGGATGAACATTGACAATAATATAATGAGCAGTGGTAATACCGGTGACGGCTTCATGGAACAAGGACGATACTTTCTCTTCTAGTTGAGGAAGATATACCTTCAAGACAAAGTCATCCAAAACTGCACTCGAATCCCGGGTCGACTCTGTCCCTGAGGGTAGAGTTTCAGCAACACGAGCGAGAAAAGCCAGCGTGGGCTCAAAAAGAACAGTGACATGAAATGTATCCGGTTCTATGAGTAGTCGATGGTGTTGACCTGCTCCAAGTATCCGATCATCCACACCAACAGTAGAGAGGGCGGCTTGTACAGTATTATCGGAGGCACCCTGGACCAGTCCAGGCATTGTGTCTTTGATAACACGAGTCAATTCATCCTCATGAGGTCGAAGTAACTTGTTGGTTAGCTTCACGTCACTGTCGGCGAACCGGAACGCCCCCTATATAATGAGTAAACGAGCAATTCGTTTTCCATAGTATACAGATGAAAAACCTTTGTCTTATCTCTCGAGTAACGCCCTTCACGAAGAATTTCATTGATAGAAGACACCGGGTTTCGACCTGAAGCCGCGCCTTGTTCTTCGTTGGTTAAGTAGTCGGAAATGAGCGTCCGTATCTTCATAATAGTGATTAGGAGGAGAATCATCGTATCAGCAAAACACTGACTTCGGACTGCACTGACATCCAGATGTCTGCCAGAGGGAAAAGAGCACCAGGCTTCGTCCCTGCTGAATCCTTGAAATCTCGCCGCTACAAGAAACCAGGATAAGTCGGGTATGTATATAATAATCGATGCACTTACAGAACCAATTCGATTGGCTACCTCATATATTACCCTCAGACCTTGAGCAACCGCATCCATTTTTGAATAAAGAGTCCAAAAGAAATCCTTTAGTATCTCATGGTCGACTTGCTTTGCTGATGATTCAAGAGCAGACAGTCTCAAACACGACGGATTGAGGTGATCCCGGTTGCCTGCAGCCCTGTTACTTAAGGAGGACACACTCGTCGCAAAAACGTAGACGCCCTCGGATCGCGTCGCACCCCGCATGAGAGCGTACACGGAACCACGCCGACCGTACTCAGCACGATCTGAAACTTCGTCTAAGGTTGTTTCCACCAGGGCGAAAATTTCATTAGGCACGCGTTGTGCGACGTTATCCAGAGCGCTGCCCAGTCGGCTCAGGACCGCGAGGGATTCGAGTACGGTTTCCATGTATGCAAAGGAGTCAGTCTCAGGATTAGAGTTCTGCATTACGGGCGTGATATTAGATATTGAGGAAGTCGAAGGGGTAGGGAATCCATTGCGGAAATTAGGGTCATCCAGGTCATGGGGCGGGTCATTGGGTCGTAAGGTAAGTTCGTCGATAAAGCGTGCAAGACGGGTCCGACGAAACGTGGCAGAGGACGGAGACGTCTGAGAAGGGGTGGGAAGCGAACCATTTTCAAAATCGAGTTTGGGGACTGTATGAGATTCTGAGTAAGACCAGAGCCAGATTGAAGTAATGATACTGACATGTCCGCTGATTTGGCGTATAAGCCGCCCAACGAGAGTCGCACCAAAATGACTTTAGATATAAGTGGCTATGAAGTTCATCAGTCAAGATTTCTCGTAGAGCCTAAATGGTACAGTTAGTTGTTGGAATAGAGACACCCAAGAGGACTGGTACCGTTTCTTGGCCCAATAGATAGCTTCGCAAGTCAGATACAGCCCCAATTTCAAGCATCTCAGGTTTGTTTATTATCTTTAGGCTTCGAACGAGGAGAACGGACGCCTGGAGGAGGCGTTTTTCTGACATGAGTGTCTCTAGAAGGTCAGGCACAGACTTGAGATGCTCTCTGAAAAGATATGAGCCCGGCACAAGGGATGAAAGGATAGACAAGCACATTTGATCCAAAAGTCGCATCATTTCTTCCAAAGTTTGTCCTCTTGCCCAAAGCTGTACAAGGTCAGCACGCTTACTACCTAACGCATCTTTTGACTCTTGCAAAGCTGTTCGCGTCTCGTTGATCTGTGTCTGCATCGCTCCCAGGTGGTTCAAGAGGTTGGCATGGTGAGGGAGTGCGGCTGCAAAGGCCTGATGATGTCTGTCGACAGAACCTTGCAAGGCTTTGGACAATAGATTCTTGGTGCTGTGAAACGAATCGATATCCTTTCCAAGCGAGGAATCGTCGAGGAGTTGAAGTGCAAGGTCCACGGGATTGAACTGCAACATATAAGTGACGCATTACTATTGACTGCTAAGATACTCACGTCTGGGTCAATTACAAAAGCCCATTCATCTCTTATTTGATCGAGCACAGCTGGATGGCATTCTTTAGGCGCTGAAGGGGAATATTATGCAGGAACACACCATCAATATCGCCTGCTCGAGCTTTACCATTCACCTTCCATCCGGGCACCTTGTCTCGTATTCGCTGTTGCCTGGCTTTCTCGGCTTCCATTTCGACTCTCTTCTCTTTCTGGTACTCCAAGTCGTCGCTTCCGTTCGTCATTGCACGTCGTCTCCCTGCAGACTGAAAGGCAGACATGACCGATGACAGTGATGTGGGTGTTGGGGTCTGCTCATCGTCGGTGGGTGAGCTGTTTAGCCGTTGAGGCTTTGGCGGTCGTGTTTTAACGGGTGTGCTTGTAATCGTTCGAGAGTGAAGGGAGGAGGAAGCGTCGGAACGCGTTGTACTAATACTGTCTCTGTAAGACGTAGACCCTCGGTCGTTTCCAGTGAAGTCAGAGGCCCGAGCTCGTAGCTCAGACCGCTGAGGTCGAGAAGGGCCAACTGGTGCAGTGTTGGGTGGGGTAGCCCTGGGTGAAGTCGATATTATGGAGCTATTACTGGGAGTTGTTGGTCGCGACGAACTTCGACTTATTTGCAGAGGCCTGGTGGCCATTGTCATACCTGGCGCTGAGAGGGGAGGCGAGATTGTAGGTATTCCATTTGAAAACGAAGGCGACCGGCCGCGACGAGAAGAAAACGGAGGAGGGCGCGACATCAACCACTGCGATGGTTGTTGCAGGGCAATATTGTCAAGCCCAAATCAGCGTGATGCTCGTGATGCTGCTGCGAGACAACGACAAACGAATGCCTCTTCCGTCTTTCCTCGAGCCTCTTGACTCTCTGCATCACGCCAATGCAGAATACCGGCATGCCACGCATAAGATATCGCTTGGAACAGTCCATTCTCTTTGGTGGTCGACTCGCTCTGGCAATTTGCCCGACACAGTTGTACTATTCAAGCCCGGTAAATGCTGGCGTGCTTGGATCTCAGGATTTCGACTTCTAACTGAAAACAGGAAATCCCGGTTTAGTGGAGTTCTACGTTCCGTTTCTATCTGCTATACGCAAAAAATATCATTCCAACAGTCTTGCCATACTTGCCCATTCACACCTGGGTCATAGCTTCGCCCTTCCTTACTCTCAATGCAACTTGACGTCCCAGGTCCAAGGCGGTATCGAAGCAGTAGACGCCCTGGTTGGGTACTATGGGAAAAGTGTCAGAATTGTTGTCATAACGCATAGCATTGGATGTTGGATTTCTCTGCAGGTATGTAAGGTCCCCGAATATTAGACAGATGCCGACTGACTAGAACCACTAAACAGGTCCTAAAAGCACGTCCTGAGAACATTGCGAGTCTCCATCTGATAACACCAACAATCCGATATATAGCCGATACGCCAAATGGGCGCTCGCTATCAGTGGGTATTACATGGCATTATCACGCTACGACTGTGTTCACTCTGTCTGCAGTGGCTTTTCCATCCATTTCCCCGAATCGTTGCCTCCAAGTTGACGAGCTTCCTCGGCGCTTACGTCCCTGCCTTCTTGCTCAAATTTCTATTCTGGGATTGGCCAGCCCATCAAATCACTGTTCTTCAGAGGCTTCTCAGCTCACCCGAGTCTGTTTTAGCTTGCTTGGAAATGTCGCACGACGAGATGCAATCGGTCAAAGAAGCTGACTTTGAACTCCTCGCCTCTCATGACAATCGGATCCGGATTTACTTTGCTGGCAAAGACGGATGGGTTGGCAAACATAAGGAGGTTATCATATCTGAACTAAAGACGTCTTCTCCACGTATCGCTGTCGCTGTCGGTCCCGATGTTCCTCACGCCTTCTGCATCAGTGAGATTCCTTGATTACATTGACCCATTCCATGAACTGATGCATCACCGGCCAGATCATAGTCAACAGGTCGCTCTGCGATGCCTCCAATGGCTTGCTGATTTGCCATAGATTCATTATAGATAATAGAATGACGAAATACAACTTGTGTTAGAGTGACGAGCAAACAAGAGTACAAATCACCAGAGAAAGGTCGGTTCTCTTGCTGTGTTTGATGTTGTCGTGGCAAATCTCCATGTCAGTCAGGATCCTAGAGATTTGGGGGGCGAGCTGCGCTTGATGGTCAAATTTTGAAGCGAAAAGTCCTTGCGACTTCACATTTACTGATCATGAAAAGGGCGTCTACGGATTATGATTGGTGTCCAAGTGGGTTTACCGCCTCCCTCTCTGATGCCATGTTGGTTGCTACCACCTCTTCTCTGGACAGATTCCTCAAATTTGAACTTAGTTCGCAGGTTCAGCTATTCTCCACCGTGGATCAGGTCTCCGCTACCGGCACATACGCGTCCGGTCATTGTGCAAAAACATTTACCATTCCTCTAAGGAGGACAAATTCCCTCCACCCGTGATATTTCAGCAAGGCACTCAACAAGAAATTCTTGTCTTTGTTCTATAAAGGTTGCAGCTCAGCCACGCGACAGTGTCAAGCAATGCTTCAATGTCTGGCACTGTGCTAAAATCATTGTTCGACCCGTTGGGCTTGATTCAACGTATATAAACCACGGAGGGCTAAAGGCTGATAACTCAAACTTTTCGGCCTCCCTGTATCGCGCGCTATTCGTATCCCTTCACAGTATCGCTTCCCCACCAATGTCAGCGCACGGCATGGATTTCACTGCCTATGCTGATGAAGTTAACATCCCGACCGACGCCCTCCTAATTCCTTCGGCTCAGCTTGCACCGTGGTGCTCATCAAATCTCTGTAGCAGCTTTGATTCATCAAGTACACAGCAAACTTCTTCACATGATCCTTATGATGTCCCGCCTCGTGCTCCGAGCCCGGAGCCACCTATACATCCTCTTAAGCCGCGTCCTAGATCTAGATCTAGGGCAGACGAAGCATTTATCAAGGACGCCGAGGCACACTCCGACCTAGTCCCCGGTGCTCCCCCACCGTCGCCAGCCGCGCCACACGGGCCTGATGTAGGTCGTTTGCAAGAGCTCACATCGCGGATGCCACCCAATCTCATTCCTTTGCCTGAGTTCGGCATTTACCATGCGCAGTCTCCCATTGCCATGGAGGAAAGTAGTCACTCAGATGAGGAGCCTATGCTGTGTGTTGCAGACCGTTCTCAACTGTGGACACATGTCGGTTCAACTGAGCAGACTAACACTCAGCTGGTGAGGGAGAAGCTTTCTGACGATGCCATGGAGACTAGTAGTGAAGGAAATGTATCTTATGATTGTATGGACAGTACTAGTCCTGTCAATCTGGGGCAGCTATCTGACTATCTCATGAGGACTAGTGAGGACTAGTATTAAGTACGGGGAATTTCAGACAAGAAAGTATATTGGTTTTCGTGTATTCTATCTAGTTCGTTTTTATTTTCATTTGCCAAGATAAGATCAAATTGCCACCGACGTCATGGATCGATCTTCCTTGAGTCTCACCTACATCAGCCAAAATGTCTGTGCAGTTGGAAAAGACGTCTTCGAACAAAGTTTTTGAAGGAGAGCTTGCAAAGTATAAATTCAAGGTCGTTTCATTTTGCGATATTGCCCCCGCACCCTACCACTGATCTTCACCCCAGTCTGCTGCGTTAGGCGGGCTCTTTGCGAATTTTAATCTTTTCATTCCGCCAAATGCCAGCGAGACAACAAAAGTACCTGTACTGGTATATCTATCTGGCTTGACTTGCACTGAGGACAACGGGTCGGTAATCGCGGTTCTCGATCGCGATATGATTTGAGCTGATTATCTGAACTCAAGAGCCCAGAAAGGTTCGTTCTTGGGACCTGCATCCGCTCAAGGAATCGCTATTCTCTTTCCCGACACTTCCCCTCGCGGAGCAGGCATCGAAGGCGAGGATGATAACTGGGATTTCGGGACAGGGGCAGGTTTTTACATCAATGCGACCAACCCCAAGTACTCAAAGCATTATAACATGTACACTCACGTTACAATGGAGCTCCCAGAGATCATAGAAGCAGCTGGCCTACCTATCGTAAGTCTAGTGACCAAGTGTCTGGCTGAAGACATCTCAATTATCTTGAACTTAAAAGGACTGGAAACGCCAATCGATCTTTGGTCATAGCATGGGAGGACACGGAGCTCTAACGCTGTATCTTTCGTCGACTACGAAACAATACAGATCTGCGTCTGCCTTTGCTCCAATTTGTAACCCTACCAAATGTCCTTGGGGCGAAAAGGCTTTCAGTGGTTACCTTCAGGGAGGCGTCGAAGAGGCCAAGGGAAAATATGACGCGACTGACCTGATTTCGGCCTACAAAGAGCCGGTACACATCCTTATCGATTATGTTGGAATTGGTCCCTTCCCTTCCTTTAATACAAGGCTCATTACACCTACAGGGAACTGGTGACAACTTTTATAAGGCGGGTCAGCTTCTTCCAGAAAACTTCCTCAAGGCATCAAGGGAAGCCGGTCACGACGAGTTTCAAGTTCGCGTAAGGAGCCAGGAGGTGTATGATCACAGCTATTATTTCGTAAGATTTACTGTTTGCCTGCTCTGCTGTCCCAGTCTTACGCGGGCTTTATAGATTTCGACTTTTGCTGCTGATCACATCCACTGTAAGTATATGCTTTTGCGCAAGTAACTATCATCGCTGAATACGTTATGCCAACAGTCCATGCCAATTTCTTGAAAGCATGAAAGGAGGGAAGCAAGAAGCTGAACGTAACTTTACTGTATCGTTTGTATTTCGTGCACTTGTCTATGATAATAATATGCAAACTGTGCCAAAGAGTGGAAATAGCAGGAGAGGCGAGGACAGCAGAAGTCACCACCAAGAAGTGTTCAAATAGCAGAGTAACAAAGTAATTTCCAGGAAAGAGACGCAGAAATCTCCTAGATCTTTCATTGGAATGCAAGTATTCGATCCCTATAAGCCGCCTCAAGTTCTTCCAGATCTGTTGTAATCCATTGGCTACGGAGAGCAGTATAGACAGTCGCGCGATGCAAAGGGTTGTGAATCAGAAGTCGTCCAACAAGGGCCTTAGCTAAAATGAGAAGGTCAGTCCCTGAGAGCAACCAAGCCGGATAGCCAGACAAACCGTCAGGGAGAACATCCCACGGCGGTCTCTGGAAATCGACAGTCCCATTGATGATTCTTTCCTTGAGCCGTGCTTCTCCGCTTAAATAGCTTTGTGAGTATTGCGAAAACTCGGGATCACGAGAGTCTTGAATATGGCTGATCCAGTTATCCGATGATCCAAAGGTTGCCTCATAGTCGAATGGATGTGTGCCTCTGCACGTAAAATGATAGTGAGTGTTTGTCATACAGTTTCAGCGCCGAACGATGTTTTCGGGCGCAAAGAGAGAAGAAAGAATCCACGTACGAAAGCATAATGTATAATATAACGCCAGCACTCCAACAGTCAGATGGCATCCTAGAGATCTTCAGTACCGCTCTATTCTGGGTAACATAGCGCGCACCCAACATATCCCAGGTGTTTTTGATCCAGTGCAAGGATACCTTCTGGTGGCAGATACGAGACAGTGCCGCACACATTGAATGTTTCTTGATATGATTTAGGACGAGCGAGTCCAAAGTCGGCGATCAGTATCCGCGGATATGGACCAGGGCAATGGAGGAGAATGTTTTCAGGCTAACAACGACATCGGTAAACCGACTGCTAGAGCAGCAATGAACATTCGCTTGCCTTTATATCTAGGCCATGAATTAGCACCCGCATCAGCTTAAAACGGCCGTCATACCTCGGTGTGAGATACTTTTATCATGGAGATACATGAGAGCTTTGAGGAGTTGATACATGATGTACTTTGCCTCAGCTTCGCATAAACGGCTTTCCTTCTCTGCATAACTGGTAATGTATGTGAATAAGTCGCCACCGGTGCAAAGTTGGAGAAAAATGTGGCTACATATTACGTCAGTAGAAATACGAGGATAGAGAGAAGTACCGACATGAAGTTGCCATTGACTTCAGAGTCGTATATGCGATTAATATTAGGCTGTCAAGATATGAGAGTATGGCCCATGAATGATAAGTCATTACTTGCGTGATTCAAAGCCATGAGAATCCGAATTTCCTTCATCACTTGACTCATCTCATGCTCCTTCTTCGTTCGAATACTTTTGCAGGCAATTTGCCGCTGGTGTGCTGTATCAAGGGCAAGGTGGACGGTTGCAAAGGAACCACTTCCTAGACACTGAGAAGTTACAATGTATGCGCCAATTTGCTACCAAAACTGAGCGAGTTATGTCGGAATGTTAGAATTTAAGACCGAACCTTATGTGTTGGCTGCTGGGGAGGTGTAGGGTCGAAAACTGTGACTTTTTCGACAGGCTCTTTCCATAAATGAATGCAAGTGAAAGCTGAAGACCTCTTCAGAGTACTGGTAAGCCAAATAGAAAGCCACGTACTGAGTGAGTCCGGTATGTGTATCACATCGCCATCCATTAATATGACTGCTGTCTTCCTGATTCGATGCTCATTCAAAATGATGCCGTTCTTCGACATGTCCTAAATGCCGAAGAGAGGTAAGAGAGATGGGTACCAGAAAAGAAGTACTGACCTGACAAGAAACGATGACACCGCCGTTGGGAGACCGAACGCTAAGAGACAGTCGATGAAGGTGAAGATGCAGGAGAACCAAGAACCGTACGCGGAAAGCTTGCAGTGGAGGCCTGACACCGAAGCATCTGTAATTACATAGGTGCTAGGGCGAATGAGGAGCATCTCTGGTCTCTGAAGCTGCCGACGCACCAGTATTCAGGATTTCTGCCTATCGTTACGGGTTTGTTCAGGCTCAGCACTATCGCTATTGGAGAAGCAATGGGATTGTTTGAAATACGCAAAAAGATAGAATCTACCTTCTTTGCGACCCTTCTTCACGGTGACCAGTTTTGCGCATATATTCGACATTGATGGCCGGCTTCTGCGTGAAGAGGAGTGTCCAGTTCCATGACAGTTAGACGATGATAATCTGAACGATTGTTGAATGGACGCAGCTCCGAGCATGGCAAGCAGAGGAGGAAAGAGTGTCAGGAGATGGTAGTACAAATACAAGTTGAATCTATTTCAACGGCACAGACGCGTATGCCAGACGTGATGGCCATGTGACTACCCTAATCGTACCCCTTCCCGCTCCGCTGCTTCACTCTCTTCATCTTCTTGTGATGTTTGTGACCCCCGCCTTCCTGGTTCGCCAATACGGAAGCAATACGTGCTTGTCTATGTCCGATTGGTGTCCCATCATCGGCGACTGAATTCTGATGCGGAAACATCTTAGAACGCGAAAATGCTTTCCCATTAACAAAGGCATGGCTCGCGAGGGAAGCGTTTTGTTGGAAGAATTCCGCGTCAAGTGCTTGTGTCTTTCCGCCGGAAGTAGCAATCGAACTTCCGTTAATGGGTGCACTGACGTTAGGAGCAACGAAGGTATCTGCATCTTTTCCAACACGCGTTACGGGGGCTTTTTTCTTTCCTTGCGCACGCCGTAATGCAATCTGATGCGTTTGCTCGTTGAACTCTGTCTCTGCTACACCAGGTGGTGGGTGGCAGAATAAGAGCTTAGCATTCACATAATCCTTGAGGACGTAACGGGCCGACCTGGCTTCATCGGGGTTCCCTTGGCCTGATCGCATGAACCCTCGAGCAACTGCAGATAGAAAACTCTGTTATCAGCGTACTGCTTTCACATTTTAAGATAAAACGCACTGGCATATGAGATCAGAAAAGATTCTGCGGTGATTTGTCCATCTCCACCTTCTTCCTTGTGCCTGACCTTTATCGACAAGCCGTACGTTGCCTCTAGAACGGTTTTTGGTATCCTTTTAACAACAAGAGTGGTCGGTCCTGTGTACTCCTTCATCTGATCAATGGGTAGCACTCCGTCACAAACCAGGTCCGCCTTGGTTGTAGCGAATTGCGGAAAAACAAGACCAGGGCAATCACAAAGAACGATCGAATCAGACAGATGTATCGTCTGAAAGTGCTTTGTCTTCCCCGGTGTTGATGAGACGCTGACTTTCTTCTCACCCAACAGAGAATTGATTGTACTAGACTTGCCCACGTTAGGGTATCCAACAAGACCGACCTGCAATTTTTGAGGGACCTTGCCATTGGAGTCGGTGAACACTATGCAGCACGTTGAGAAATCCGTAAATAAGATATGACGTTTAGCTTACCAGAGAGGTCCGGCGCCATCCTCATAAAGAGGTCCTCCAATTCTAGTACTGTTAGAACTCTCGCCCGGGGATCCTGCTCCTCTTCAGGTTCGTCATCCGCAGAAAAGTAGTCTTCGCTGTCATCAGAATCCGACTCAATTCCAGGTTGGTTTCGATCGCTCGAAGATGGTTCTTCGATATCGTCGTCTTCGTCTGCAACGTCATTGTGGTCTCCTTCCGAGCCCGCAGTTCCTTGCTGGTCTTTTGCCAGTGCATCCCGTCTCGCTTGTTGCAGAGCGGCTGCATTGGCAGCAGAGAAGAACGCATACTGGATCCCTTGCTCGTCGAAATGATCAGCCCATAATCGACTGCTCAATATTATCAAACTTTTCGATGGACAAGAGAGGCACTGGACATACCGTTGATGAAAAGTCAAAAGATCAGCTTTGTTGATAAGCAGTAGACTTCTTCGAATGCCCTTCCCAGTTCCCTTTTCGCCCTCGGGCCCTTCAACATCTCTGACATAATCCTCCAAGTCTTCACAACGGAATCGGAGGGGGTTTCTGGCGTCGACGATTTGTACAACAAGGTGCGAGCGCTCAAGAACACGCCAGAGCTGTCTCCAAACTTCAATATTGCGCTCAAAGGGAGTGAGAAGAAAATGGTCTTCTTCTTGGAGTCTAAAGGTTGGATCGTATTCAAACTTAGTGCACAGAGAGGACCAAACTCACTCAGCTAAACCTCGACGCCAGCTAAGAAAGGCAGCCTTTTCTTGCTGGTCAAGTTCAGCTGTGGTCATTCCCTTCGTCCACGGAGGTCGCCGAGGCACCCTTAGCCGCTGCTTGTTCTCTCTGTGTCTCTGCAGAGTTTTCTTTTCTTCTTGTTCATTTAGAAGATATGGATTCTGCGAAGAACTGGCTGATTGTTGGATAACCTTGACGTTTCGCCGCTCTTGCAGGATGATTAGCAGATGTATCAGCAGAATCGATCCTTTACATACCAGCTGTGAATTCTGTGCCTGCTAATTGGGCCGTATTTAAAAACTCGTCAAGATCTCGTTCTTGAGTCACAGACTTTAGGCGAGAGGTCGGATCCACATCTGTGACATACTACCTGAAATTTGAGTATGTGAACTGCGATGCTGTCTTTTGACCTCTGACCAGTCCCGATTCCTGCATTCTGCGAGCATCCTTGATTTTCTTGTTAATAATTGCTCGGCCAAGCCCGCTCGGATTGTGATCTCGACCTTTGGGAGGCTATACGTTTGTTCAGACCTCCAGATATGATCATACAATGTCCCGTAGTGCTTACCATATTTATTTTCAAGAGATGATGGAGGGGAAGGAAGAAATGAAAATTTGGCTTTACGCAATGATAGTGACGTTTCGATCGAGGTTGTTCATCTTATCTCCCCCGTTTCAACAGCATTTCTTCGCTTTTTCTTTGACCGCCATGATATTAGGTGCGACTCTTATTTCCGGCATTCCTGCGGCTTGAACATTGAATGTTTATCGTTTTGTAGACCAACCGCCATCCCCCAGCTCGACTATCCTTCCAGAGTGTGTCGAAATATGTCATGAATGCTATTTACCTTTACTCATGAACCCGTCAAACAGCTACATCACATCAGAGAATGCTCGCCCCCCACGGTAAGCAACTTTTATGCACATGCCTCGCTCAGTAACGACCGACTAAATGTTATTAACGTGAAGATATTGGACCCATGAGCGTCCAGAGCACCCAATAACATACACTTTTACCAACTGGAGTTCGAAAACAATGTTGTTGATACCTCCGGCCGACACAGGGAGAACGTCTGGATCTGAGCCCCTACCATCATATACCATCTCGGTATCGCTGAACCTCAACCCATTTCTCCCAATATCGTACGTGACAAGTGTTCATAGAGTAGGGTCGGAAGACAACGTGTTTTTGGGTGAATTCGAGTACGTTCCATATTCCTTCTATCACATCGTTTATTGACTTCCCTTAGGTTAGCCATGAACCATTCTCGGGAAATACTGATGATGGGAGGTTTCAGTACGCGCATATCAAACGTACTTTCCAATATACAATCTTCACCGGTGAATGAGAACCACTAGTTTCCCATCGAGCGCTCGCTTATTGCATAGAAACAAACAGCGACACTGGTGGTGGGGTTTCGGTAGCGTATGTCTTCGTTGGGATTGTCGAACGGTGCTTGAAGATGGGTCATTTATGTGCATTGTAAGCCAATCATTCCTATCCTTCTCGGATGTTTAAAAGTGCACACTGTTATATCAGTGCTACGCCGCGGATGAATCGAGGAGTCAACTTGCAACATTTATCCCTCCACCAATTGCATCATCTCCGCCTCTTCCAGACCCGGTACTGACTGTGTTTCCGGATGGGCATCAGTGCTTTGACCATATATTGATATCCGCTTTGATCATCGAGAGAAAGATGACGATGAGCTGAAGCATTTTACGCTGACCGTAAACAGGACAAGTTTACATCCTTGCAGACTATTGATACAATTGTTATGTACAATATTTATGTAATGATGTGTACATGGTATTAGTAAAGATTAGAATATGTTATACGATAAAAACTAATGGTATATGGGTAACACTATAGTCGTGGTCTTGAGCTGTCATAGTCTTCCTGTTTCCTATTATCTAATTCAATAGCATGCGTGCCGATGCGAGACTGTCCGTCTGTGTTCCCTGTAGTCCCGTCAACATCTTCGCCGGTAGTCATTGTCACTGCCTTGTTTATGGATATCTGGTCATTTGAATCCTCCTTTATTGTCGCGCCACTTCCAGCCTTATTTCCCTCGCCGCTGCTAGGATGGGCGTTGGAACAGCCTTCATCCATGAGAAGCTTAGGTTGACCCTCAACCCTCTCTGCTAACATATCTGCAACGCCTAGGTAGAATGTTGCCGGCCGGAAGTTGATTTGGCGCCCAGTCATTTCTGCCCATTTATATCGGGCAGCGTTTATCCAACCGACTAGATCAAGATGGTTGACATCCTCCAAGGTACCAAGATACGTTCCCTTTAAGACATGAATTCGAGATGGCCATTCAAAGCACAAAACACCTACCCATTTTGCAGAGTTCACAGAAACCAATCCATCATTAGGTCCTTCTTTCTCTAGAACCACCGAGTGCGACCATTTCCAAGTGTCCACGAAGCCGGGGTCGTAGACAGCTCCCCAGCTGAAGTATTGAACGCCATCCACGTCCTTGACTTCTTCGTTGAAACGACGCATATTTTCAAGTGTCAGGAACTCAAATGCCTTTCCATCACCTCCACCATTCGGCAACATATCTAAGAATTGCAGGAATGAAGGCATGCGGCTTTTCCCCAGTGTAGTAAGAAAATGGTCGGCAAACGCAGAACCTCGGTGAGGAGTTCCGATAGTGGTAATGGACAAAACAGAGAAATTTCGATGTGTAAGTTTGGAAGTTAGATAGCGGCAGTCAAGGCCTCCCATACTATGACCTTTCGTAAAAGTCACACGTGAGAATATGTAAACCAACGACAGTGGAGGACGTACCTATTAGATGCACACTACGACCGGGATAAACGGCGGATATTTTTTCTTCCAGCACTTTTGCCCTGTCGATGGGGGTACTTGTAGCTGGAACTCTGGTAATAAGAACCTCTGATCCGTTGGCCTCTAGGACTTCTTTTATCCCACGCCAGTGGGTTACTTGTAGAGGAGCTATAGCAGGTCCAATAGTTACTGAATCGAAACCGAGAAGGCCATGACAAAAGACAATCGGGTTTTTCGGAGAGCGATCTATGTTACATGAGTATTTCTGGGAGACATCCACAACGAGGCAAGAAACATACACTTCTTCCGAATGCGGTCCCGCTCCTCTTCGACCGTGTCCGCCCTATCGTCTTCACCAAGCATTCCGTCTACATCCTCTTTGTTTTCAGATTGAAACCACCACCAATTCTTGGGCCAGGACGTGCTATCAAACGTAGACGTTCTTTCTGAGGATATGGATTGAGAATGTGAACTGCGGCGGTAATCACGCTGGGAAACTGAACGCAGGGTATCTAGAGAAGTGCGGTGAGTTGGAGAATTGCCAAGTATGGCAGGCTGTTGATAAATTGAAGACTGGGAAGATATCGGGGAAGATGATATCGGAGAAGAGGAATAGTTCAATTGGCTTTCAATCGACAATGACGATGTCGGCAATGTTGTGCGCGTAAGGTTATCAAAAAATTGCGGGGAATGACCGTGTCCTAGACGCGATGTATACAGTGGCGTTGGTAGCCGAGCCAACGGCGGTCGTGTGGGTAAACGTAATGATTCATGCAGAGCCTCGTTTAGCGACGCTAAGGCTGGCGACGGGGGAGTCGACGACCGGGATGACGCGGGAGACGACGCCTGCGATGAGGCTGTTGATTTACTTGAACCGCTATTGTGATACGGCGACCACGTTTCAAGCCACCGGACTACGGGTTGAGATGACTTGCGAAACGTCGAGGATGACGTCGAAGGTGCATGGGAAGTGGTCTTTGCCTTCAGCGACTTCGAGGGCATCGCGACGAACGACGAGCAGGCTATGCGGCGCATGCAACGGTCATGGAGTGATGTTAAGTACTAGCGGGTACTGAATCGGTTCGGACGCCTGAATTCTGCGGGGCTGATATTTGGGGTTAGGGTTAAGATGATTGCTTCCGTACTCCCACCACAGCCCGCCCTCAACGACGGTGCGTAGACCGTATTCACTCGGGACACCAGCACGTCTTCAATTCTGTGACAGTTTCCACTACCAGAGAGGACTTGGAAGCTGCCAAGACCCTAGCCAAGGTCACCTCTCCCCCAGAGTACGTTGGAATCTTGGAAAATACTAGTCGTACCCTCACCTAAGTTTCTGTCCAAGGACGCCACTTTTCATTTGCGCATGTCAAGGTGAAGTCGTTGTATATTTGCTGTGGTACGCAGCTTATACTATGGCACAGGTTGTTTTCGGCTCTTCCCTTCCCGTGATCGCGTCAGTACTCACCGCAAACGAGAACACCCTGACACTCCTGACGATGACTCTACTGTTATTACCTGGAACGAGTGAAAGTGGGATCATTTATTCTTTAGGATCCTAGATGTACAGTGCTGCATGGCAGTTCTAAATGATATAGCGAAAGTAGGGTGAACGGTCAGCAGCATCAGCGCTAAACAAGGAGTTAGCAAGCGCGTCGTGAAAGTGGGTAAGCAACTTGCAGTTTCTTCTCATCCCAGCCCCTCCCAATATCCTCCACAGTCAGCAGATCCCTTCTCTTGTTCTCTCTCGCGTAAACAAATTTCAATACGATGGCACAAGCGATACCCATGACGGCGAGCCCGAGTGACACGCCATAGCCAGTCGGGTACTTTGGTGACTCAGATATGAGATAGATATTTGAACCAATGAGGCCGGAACAGTTGCCAATTCCCATGAGCATTCCCATTGCAATGACCTACCGATAACTATCAATTCGACTAGTGAATAAAAAACGGACTACCTTCTTATAGCCGACAACATTGTTGGCCATCCAAGAGATGTTTGTAGGAACAGGAGAATACGAAGCGAAAACGATCAAACTGGTACTCATAATCAGTAGAATATTCTAAGCAATTGCGAACGGCATACATCAATCCAAATAAATTCACACCAGCAATATGTTTCTTTCCTGCAGTTGCAAAACATATGGCCACACCTATGATTGCACCTGTGAAGGGAACAACAATATGTAACTCGGGGGAAGGTCAGTTACCGAACCAAGTGAGGAGACAGCTCTATTTACGAAGCGACTTCTTCTCCGATCACCCCACCAGCTGTTGAAGTAAGTCAAAACGCAAGCGGCAACGTAGATGGGCACAGGGATCAAGTATGACTCGTAGGTGGTAAATTCGAGAGACTTTATAATAACCGGTAGCGTGACTGCAGGATCGTCAGCTGGGGACTTCGCAAGGGTGACGATGGAGTCGCTTACAAGAGATGGAATAACCTCAAGACATAGAAACATTGAGGCAAAATTTATCGAACAGAAGGAATTTAATATACCGAGAGCACCATGAGTTATACCTAAAAGTATCTTGGATTAGTGCTAGATAATAGCGACCTGGACGCGTTGCATACAAATGCCAATTTGGAAGATCATTTGCCAGTCTGTGAATGCGATCTTGACATACTTCCAATCGAAATGTTCTGCAGGCGGTACAGGGCCCTATCGGATGGTTACTTGGTCACCAAAGAATAGTGAAGATATGTTGTTAGTATGGTACTTACGGTCTCAGTGTACTTTTGCCGTAGAACCAAAAATCTCTTCTCTTCATCACTGAGCCATTGCCCACAGTAGGCCGTACTGTCTAAAATAATGAGAGGGCCAAGGAGCCCTAACACGACAGTCATGAGGCCTTCTACCATGCTTGGCCATAATCAAAATGATAACATAAGAAAAAGAAGGCAAACTCACAAGATCGACCTCCATCCCTCCATACCCGCTAAACCGTCCATAAAACTGATACCATACGCCAAAATTCCTGACAATGCTCCAGCGATAGATGCGGCACAGAAAAATAAAGCTACACGAGACGCTAACTCGGATCGAGAATACCACGTAGAAAGAGTATATCCAGCAGCAGGAAATAGGCCAGATTCTGTTATACCCAAGAAACTGCGGGCCACCATAAAGCCGCGATACGACTGGACTGCACGAATTAACGCGAACGCATCTGCGAAAATGTACAAGGATGGACTCACTCAAGCATGTCAGGGACATTACGAGTCCCCAAGACAAAGTTAGGCAAGATATGTACCATTTGGGTCGAAACTTCTTCAGCATCATCTGCGAAGGTACCTCGAACACGATCTATACAAGTAATTCCGTCAGCCGGCTGAGAGATCTCGACTGCTAGCTTTACATAGAACACGAAAAACAGAGAAAGAGCAGTATTATATTGCCCATCGGTCATTGGAATCGTCTTCGTCAAGCCGGCTACTCTGGCGTTTCCAACATCTGAGAAACTTGACTGAGTTCTGTTGAGAGAGAAGCAGTCACGGAAATTATACTTCCGCGGTCCAAGAAGGACATCAGATACAGCAGAGCAAACACGGGCACCAGACGAATCTGTTATAAAATATTAGCCTGATCAAGCCGATTGACAGCAATTAGCATACATCGATCTTCCTGAGCAGTTTTCCAAGTATATCTCCTTGATACTTCTTGCTCAAGACCTGCAGCGTAAACAAAGAGAACACGTTCGACAAAACCGAATATAACGTCATCTCCAAGTGACGCGCCTTGAATTCCTCATATTCTTCCTCGTGATTCCGAACTGGTACAGTTGAGACGTCTTGCTTGTCCTTTTCCTGCGAGCTGATGGAAGACATTGTACACTAGATGAAGCTATGCACGCGTCTGACGATGGGGAACTCGAGAGATGCGGATAGCTATAAAGGGCACGCCCTCGTATTTCAAGTATTCTTCTGCAAAATTCTCGCTGGAAGTCAGATACACTCGGTCATTGATTTCAAGTGTCGTGCACAGCGCAAGAGTGGATCACTCGGTGTGAGGGTTAGTCAGCAAAACTCGTGTATTAGCTTCATAGTACACGGCGAGAGATGTCAGTCGTGAGACACCCGCTGTTTGCGAGGTTCCCGCATCCGGGTGAGCGGCTGGAGGAATTACCGCTTATCTCAACACCCCGAACAGTATGAAGGCTATCATCCCGAAAAACGGTCGGATCCAAAAATGGGTCACCCACGACCTCTTGGCGATCAAGAGAAAAGTCAGCCTTATTAACCGAGTACAGGCATCCAAAGTCTGGACGACGCCCATAACAATAGACAGGACGGAAAGTCTCACTCTCATCCAACTCTGTCTGTTTCCTGAACGTCCTATGTCCTTCGCGCCGCACGTTTGGAAAACCTTGCTTCCCTTTCGATTCTTCGGTGTATGCTTCAAAACGGAGTTTGTTACTCTATCAGAATTGAGAGAAGATTTACCCGGGCGATTCGGCTTGCCCGAGGTCACATTACCGGTGTGTTCTCGTCTGCGAGGACAGATCATCAAATGACATTGACATTCAGTTCGTATAGACGCTCCTCGTCATTTCAACGGACGGAACGCAAAAGTCATCATGGACTCTTATAACATTGCTCAATATGTGTGTTCATCGACAGGCTGGCTGATCCGGCTGAGTTTCTAAAAGAATTCCCAGTTAGAGATAACTTTTTCGTCCACCGCGAAATCAATTTACGCATCTGCAGGTAATGGCGCGGTGGAAGACACCATTGCCGGACGCGCACACGCACGTTTCATTGAACAATGGGTGAGTTTATAATACCCCCCACGCGACATAGGGTGGGTTTACGATTACAAAGGTCGATAAATGCATGGCTCACGAGATCAGGCCCTGTGTTCTCTATACTGTACGTGCCACTCAGTCGGATGACGTTTACACCAACAAGAGCACAGAGCTATAGTCAATTCCCGGACGAGAAAAGCAAGCAACATTTCCTGGCAAAGTTTGGTCGGGTCAAACTGGACGAGCTAATCGCCCAGAACTCGGACATGACTTGGAAAAAGGAACAGTATACCCGGGTGAGGAAGCAGTAGGGAGCCCTGCTTTCCGGCAAGTAGAGACTGATTTTTGCCCTGCAGACTGGGAGTTTTGGATCTGCTTTTGCAAGAACGGCATGAACGCGGAGAGCCTGGGAAATTCATCGCAGGGACGAAACCAACGCACGCAGACTTCTGTATATTTGCGTATGTTCTGACGATGCTTTCTGTTCGACGCCGACCAACGCATTTCAGATTTTACCCGTATTCTTTGACGAATCCAGAGCTGGTACGAAACACTTGGCGCCACCCAGACCTTCAGTATGTTTCAGCATGGTTGGATGCCATGTTCGATTCGAGTTTGGTTTCGAGGGGAGAACTACTGCCCTCAAACTTCATAGAGACCGAAGTTCTTGATGGACAGTGATGCGAGACAGAGGTGAAAGATTTACCAGAGCTTGTGGTCACTCATGTCGCAATCAAGTGGTGGCAACATGACGACGCCGCAAATTAATTGAAGCAATGAGGTTCGATAACTGTTGTACAGCAGAGGATGAGATACCGTATATAACCCAACACGAGTTGACTAAAAGGCCAAGCGAAACATGAACTGAAAGCTGTATTGTTTAGTGTCTGGATCCCAATGGGACCAATTCCAGTATCCAGCATCATCTGCCTCGTCTTCAATCTCACGAGCTGGTATACGGAATGCAATAGTTTCGTATGGCTCGGCCGCAACCTTGAAGTGAATGAGTATCCGGCAGAGGACCAATAATATAAGAAAGGGACATACGATGAGGTATTGGTATGCTTTGTTCGGTGGCTCCCTCTTTTGTTCCCAGGCACTCATGAATCGTCTTCGAGGGATCACGCCTGCTTTGATCTGGGGAAGATGAACCTGGACCATCATACCTTCCTTCCCAGTGTCCATGTCCCTCACTTTTGTAACACGATATCCAGGCCGACCGATCTTTAGGAAAACTTTTCGTTGAACGTTACTTTGGGTGGGAGCAATCATCAACTGAGTGTCTTTTGCATCGCGAGCGGCGCGGCGGGCAAGATTAGTTTGATGTTTCTTCCCTTGGGTGTGAGCGAGATAAGAGCCTTCATTTGTGTGAAGGGTCAGGCATAGACGACATTCGAGAGAGCCAAGATGGTTGCGAAGAATATACGGATCCTTCAAAATGAATGAGCTTAGCGCAGCCAGCAGAGGCCAAGACACACCTTGGCAAGGTCTATCGTCTCCAATGCAAGCTTCCTAAGACGTTCACGCCGGTCGACATTGGTCTCTGAAGCCCCGGCAACACCACCACCGCCGAATTTGGATCCGACACGATTCTGTGAAGCAATAGTCGATACGTGGTACGACTATTCATCAATATCGGCGCACCTGATAATCTGTAATGTCCTGTGAGCATAAAACGACATGTATAACAGCAGCACGTACCCATGACTGTGTAGAACGAGGACCAGACAAGAGTAGCAAAAGTGAAAGTGAGTGAATTTGGTTACCAGGATATCGACAAACAAAGACACGGCAAACTATAGGGGCTCATGCCGACTTGTCTAACGTATATAGGGCGGCTCTGATAAATTATCCTTGAATGCTTTTTTGCTTCCAGAACAGCTAAAATGGACACTGAACAACACAGTTTCAAGATTCGAGTGCAAATAATACTACTAAATTCTAAAAGCTACAAGTTGAATGCCGGTGGTCGTGCATACGCGCGGCAAGGAAACAGAACCATCGCGCTACACCCGAGCAGACCCAGGAATGAATATTTTCTTCTACAGCCTTACTTGGCCGTCTCAGCATCCTCGAGAGGAGGAGGACCGTCGTCGTCAGAACCGTCATCGGAGCCATCATCTGCAGCGCCAGAGGGTCCAGCGCCTCCTCCACCCATCTGAGCCATGAGCTGAAGACAAGTCTATCGGTCAATGTTCGCTGAAGCAAGCAACGAGCATACCTTTTCAATATCCATATCACCTCCCATGCCTGGCATTCCTCCCATGCCGCCCATGCCTCCCATGCCTGGCAGACCACCCATTCCTGGCATGCCACCCATACCTCCCATGGCCTCCATGTCGTCTTCAGCTTCGACCGCAACACCGTCTTGTTCATCTTCGTCGACCCATTTACTGAAATCCGTCTTCAAGAAGGCATTCCTGACTTTCTCTTTGGTAATACGAGGCCAGAATTCCTCCTTCTTTTCTTTCTTTCGAAGCGTTAGAAAGAGAGAACGAGTGTTCAGACGCCTCAGAGATTTCTGCATTCCACCACGGGTAAACAAAACGATTCAAGGTAGAGAGAAAAAAACATACCTCGGGGTCAATTTCCTCGAAAAAGTGGAGGTCGAAGGCGTATGATTTCTCAGGGATACCCTTTTCTGGGCTGACCATAGCATCAGTAAAAGTAGTAAAGAGGTGGTGTGGTATAGGACAGAACGAACTTTCCGGCTTTCGTCTTGAATGATATACTAGTAGGTGTTAAATTGCATTCTAGAGTCGAAGGCTGAATATCTGGGACATTGACGGTGAGATAGATGATGTTCTAAACAAGCGCCAGAAAAAAAGGCGACGCGTCAGTCAGAGAAGAGATCGCGGTCGAAGGGAGAACAGACCTTCTCTTCGTCAGTGACCGAGCTTCGCTGCGCCCATAGAACTTCAGGATGAGTAGCCATCGCGTGGATGATGATAATAGAGGAAAGAGATGGGAGGTTGGAGCAAATGCAACAACTTTCTTAGAAAGATCGAGAACTACAGCAAACAGCTGACAACACTGACACAGCAAAGCGCAATTGCTTGATCTTCGCCATCCATCATGTGGTAGCCATTCTTTTTTACTTTTTTTCTCGTATTCAGTGCTGAAGATCAGTTTCTCTAGGTGCACCCGATGGTTTTTACCTCTACTACTGCTTCCTCTGCCAACGGCACCCCCATACTTCCTCCTTCTCTTCCTCTTGTCGTTGACGATGCACGCAAAACCATGGTCAGGCGTTCTCCGTGCTGTCGAACAGCCGCTGACTCTTGAATAGTTTTTACTGCATTATTCTCATCACGAGTCTATTCATTTCCTCATGCTACTGGCAGCCCTTCTCGCTCGACACACCTCTGACAAATCCGTGGGCAGAAAATATCACTACCTACGGCCACGCGCTTAGCGCCTCACTCTCATCTCTGCCACATCGTGCGCAAATGCCCACCACAATACGGGCGGTAGATCGTTGTTGGTGCGATCTATCCTCCGGGGCCTTTTTTGAGCCCTTCAATATGTCCCGATGGGAGCACAATACCGTTAATCGACTCAAGGATGACCTGGAGCGTCAATGGAAGGCAGAGTCTGCCAATGCGACAATCGACGTCGCTCAAATGAATGAAGACTTTTCGCCATCAGATACGTCACGTAACATCATGGAATCGATATGGTCCATGATTACTCGCAGCTCCTCCGAATCCAGTGATCTTGCCCCAGTGGTAGCAGACACATTTACGAGTCATCACACGACCTCCGACGTAGAGGCTAAACATTCGCTGTTCCGTCGACAGTATGATTTACGGCGGTACGGCGTAGATATGACAATAGATCTCAGTTGGTCGGACAAGTCGTAATAAATCTTATATTTCTTCTCAATGTGGGAAATAGTATGTATATAATGAAGGACAACAGTACACTGTATTCTTAGCAAAAATTTCTGTCAGAAATTGCTCTAATAATAGGCAGAGTCATAGGAGATTTCTGTATTTACCCTTGCTGTACTAACAACGAATGCGAAATAAGCAGTTATCAATAATTGACTTGAACAGAACCATAAGTCCATAACAAGAACGGTAAATAATAAAAGAACCAATGAAAGAGTCTGAGAAGGTTATTGAATCCATCTAGAGCAAGACAGTCCAGATAAATATGACAAATGAAGGTAAAGATCAAAAGATTGGACAGTTCCTCAATGTTCGAAGACGTATATAAATTTAAAGGCTTTACAAGGCAACGCACGACTTCCCATCGGAAGAACGAGTGTAACCAGGGACGCAAGTATAGACTGTAAAATTTTCATGAGACGGATATACAGGATCCACAAAATGATCATCACCTTGGCATTGTCTGTTTTCACAAGCAACATTCCAAGCCCCGATAATTGCAGTGCAATCTTCACCTTCTCCAAGACTGGGGCATCCACCACATGCCTCAAGGTCACTGGACGTATCGATACACTCATAGTCACCATTGCCAGTCAAACCAGCGATGGGACAAGCATCCAAACCAAACGGACAAAGGGAGACTGAACGGGACTTGTGGATATCGCGTTTACGGTGACCGCCGTGGTAGCCGGATGGGTGAGATGACGGCGGGTTGGAAGGGGTGGGGTGGGGCAAGCAAACGTGCGGTCCCTGATACCAATCCCAGCCAGAGGGACACTGAGGAGGCGGTTGGTTCTGGGTGGGAGGCTGAGAAGGAACACAGCATCCATTGTCCTTGCTCCAGTAATGTGTCGATGGAGGACAATCATGGTCCTTCGGAGGACTCGGCTTAGAAGGAGGACCACCTGTGGGAAGACAGCAGCTTGTGTCCTCATACCTGGGAGATTGAATAAGCTTGGATCTAATAGACGAACGGACTAAACCACATACCAGAATTCGTTCTTGGAGCAACTACTGCTACCCCCAGAACCGCTATGAGAGGCAACGAAGGGCAGCGCCATCGCAATCAAAGCAAACTGAATAATGAACTGCATGTTGGTAAAGGGCGTCAGTAAAGAGCGGCAAGCGTTATCGGGGTCTGGCTTTTTAAAGATGAAAGTAGAAGAGAGGAAAAAATAACGAGAAGAGGAAGAACCATTCCTTAAGTATCATCGGGATTCTTTGACCATCAAGGGAATCTGTCGCCTTTCCCATCTCTTGGATCTCTTTTGAACTCTTTGTCATGCAAATATACCGTGTGACCAATCCTCCTTACTGTTCATCACTGAATCAATACACGCGCACCAATTTTACCTCTAGTGTATGTTTCAATATCAAGACGCTTGGAGAAGAGGAATCAGAGGATTAGCGTGTGTCGGGGACACCGCAAATGCCGTCCCCAAACAGATCCAAAAGGCTTGGCGCGCGGAACAGGCCCCGGCAGTGGAGGTACATCTGGACTTGAGCAACGTCCACGCGGCAACAAGCGTGCCTGTTCCATAGAAAAACAATGCAACGACGGGACAAATGTAGTAGAAGGACACCTTGGAACACTTCGAACATTCACTTTCATCATTCAGGAAACTTGATATTGGTATAGCCGTGTTAAGACAGGTAGAAAGAAGTCCTCTTATTCTTGTATTGACGACCACTATAAATGAATCAATGAGTGCCTCACGACAGGACCAAACAGCGAACAAACCTCAAGACACGCCTCCGGTCTTTTGATAAGCCCGTGTCGCAAAATACCGCACGTCTGCATCTGGATCATTTTTCAATTGTTCTAAGGCGGGCAGTATTCTCTGAACCAGTAAGCGGCCTTCAGGAGTACCGCTGTATGTCGTGGCCAAAACCTCCAGCGCCTTCGCGACATTGAAGCGAATATTTGGTATGGCATCTGAGGCAAGATGTAGGAGGGGATCAATGATCTCGGACTGGACAATTTCCAAACTCAGAGAGGGCGCGATGATCTGACAGGCCATAAGCTGGGTGATGACGGACTATGATGACACGTACGGTAATTGCCTGAACTGTTGTCATTCTGAACAGATAGTTGGGGTGCTGGCCCATGCCCATCACTCTTGGAACGATGGCGACCTTCGCCCAATCCAAGCCGAAGACCTCAATCAACTTCTTCAGGTTTACGGTAGCGGACTCCCGTATACTGAAGACTGTATCTCCGAGCCAAGACATGCAAAGATTTCCCAGTTGCTCGTCAAAGAACGGTTTCCCCAATTGTTTTGCGAGTAGGGGGATGTATTCAATGATAGCCTGACGTACTCGCCACGATTTGTCTTCGGCTAGTTCGACGATAGCAGGGAGAAGATTTTCGGAGAGAAGCTCAATGCCAATAACTAGACTCGCCTGTCAACGAGCAATCTGAATGGTAAATAAAAATGACCTGCCGGTATTGACGGTCTCTAATTTGCTTATGACATTCAATCTCACGTCAGGGAAGTCGTCTTTTAGCAATTGAAGGAAAAGAGGAAGCAGGTGTTCGATCGTAGATTCACGTCCCAACAATGGTGCCAGTCCGCTGATTTGGTTGGCAAGAGCGGCACGGACATGCTGCGAAGAGTCCTGAGACATGTCACGGACGCATGGTACGATACGAGCCAGAATGACTTCTTTGTCAAGGAGCTTTGAGAAACCTGCCAAACGTGTTAACTTCTTAGGAGTTCAAATAAGGGCAAAGTACCTGGTATTTGACCAGCGGCCGCCGTTCGGACTTCTGCTTCGTTATCCTTGAGCAATTGTACAAACTGCCCAATCAATTCCTCTCTAACAATCTCAACACCAACAGCTTCGGCAAGCTACCAGTTCAGATGAGTAACAGAAAGAAATACTGAAACAGTGATCCCATACCTCGTTGAAATGATTAGCCGCCATGTACCGAACTCTCCAACTTTTGTCTCCTATGCTATGCCTAATCTGCTTTAGAAGCTGTTCCTTGACTTCCGCCGGGGACATTCTCTGGGCGATGACGATGAGATCTTCAACGGTCAACAGTCTAACGGAGTCTTGGTCATCAGATTGAAGTCTGCGGTATATCGGTAGACCATCGGTGAGAATATGCGGTGTAGAGAAGTGCTTCAAAAGTGGCTACAGCAGAAAAATCAGAACCAGCCAGGTCTACGTGAGTAGCTAGTCATCACTTACTCCTAGCCATTTTGCTGCTGCTCGACGCACCATGGGCGTGTCGTCAGAACCTAAAGCAGCAAACCCTTTCCGCAACTCCTCCTGGATAGCGGGAGAAACATTGGCGTAAACAGCGGGATACAAGGCAGCAGACGACGTTCGGGACGTGAACCACTCGCCATGCGATAGGCGTTTCAGAAGGGGAATGTAGTACTCTTCCAGCTGGGACGGTGAAAGCACCGCAGCAATCTTGGTGATTGATTCTGCCGCCTTTACATTGGTAAAAGAGCTATAAGATTCTCGAAAATCAGTTGAGGATGAGCATACTGCTCACCTTGTCCCGAACCAAAGTTTCTTCTACAGCGGATAGATTCTCTAGCGCCCCCAGCAGCACATGAGCATACTCCTTGCCACCGATATAATCTTCAAATGTCCCCAGTTCCTCTGCAAGGGCCAACAAAACCTCGTCTTCGTCATCGACCGAATCTTGAAGGAAAGGAACGAGTTCCTCTCGCGCACGATCAGGGCCTAATGCGAGTGCAATTGTCGGAATGCTGTGGATAGCATTTAGACGCAGTTGCACGTCTTCTGAGCGCAATTCGTCCATAAGAATCGCAATCGGTGCGATCTGAGGACGTGATTAGGGAACATGGCAATGTTCTATTCATCGGAGAGACATACATCTTCAGCAGGGAAATTAGGATCCATGTTGGCGCTCCAGTTCGGGGATAATTCGTATTATTATCGCGCAGTTATCGGGCAATGTTGCTCGTTGTCGATATTTAAGATGATGGTGGTGATGAGAGAGAAAATGCTGCTGGGTTGATCGTGTTTAGAGGTAAACGAAGGACAACCAAATCCAGCGGACAGCTCGGCCACATGGCGACAATTGCCTTTCCTGTACATGGCAATGCACGGCAGCATTGCCAACTCGTTCATCGATTTGCACGCATTCTGACTCTGAGAGATGCAAATGGTATTTCCATGTGTACGTTATCATAAAGCAATGATATATTACTACACAATTTAAACTCTCCTACTGTATCCGTCCCAACCCTTACCATCAACCCTAACACACTTTATTAGCACGCGAAGAGAAAACAAAAATGAGGTGTACTCACAGTCCAAAACAGTGAAGGATGATGGGAATTTCTTCGCGAAGAAGAAAGAAAAACCAAAAATTATGCGGAAACCACGGAATGACCAGTGGACATCTTTGTGACCGAGTCCCAAAGAGCCGCGAGTAGAAGGCCAACCGGGCCGAGCCGCGGTTGACCTGGAGTATGCGCCGAGCGCTGACAACGTGGATAATCATCCGTATACGCATGATGATACATCGTGGAACAGTACTCGTCTGAGAGACGGACACATATGGCCCCCGACTTCGACAGTCGGACACAAATTCAGGCATGACAGCCCACGTAACAAGCAATATGCATTGTTGCAATGAAGGGCGGAGCCCCGTTATAGAACAGACGTATCGTCCACAACACTGAGAACAGCTGCGCAGCCAGAAACCTCGAGGCACAAGAATTGCGCATGACGGCGCCGATAACTGGAATGACCAGCCTCGTACGTCGTCGTTCCGAAAGGGTGGCTGCGAGCGTTCTTCCAGCTAGCTTTTGACACCACAGGGTGGAGTACAGGCATAGTAGCCACAGACGGGTCTGCCGAGCTTCAACCAGGGTGTGCACAACCTACACATGGGGCGTCGATAGACCAAAGAGACCCTCGTACACCTCGAAAACCACTGGCAGCCCGGCAGCCACACACGGTCATATTATCGGTATCGCGCGATAAGCGGTTTCCAGCAGGATAGTAGCATCAAGCCGTCAAAAATGTACATTTTCCATAAATTGCGGTTGCGGGATCCGCTAGCGGTCCAGTCAGAGAATCCAAGATAGAGTTAGTGAGCATGCGGAGCATGATAAAACATTTATCTTCGTAGACAAAGGATAACGACGGGCCCACCCGCAAAGAGCAGGCAGGGTAAGAAGACTGAAGCAAGCTTAGTCTCTTACTGGACACCAGTCGCTCGCAGTGTCAAGAGATGTATGTATTCCGAACTGCGCTGGCAGAACGACAAGGCTTGCCTTTGGCGGGGGCTATGAGCACACAAAGGCACAGGGCAAGCCGATAGAGCATCAGAGCTCCTCGTACTCGCCACATCAAAGTCCCAAGAGTCACCGGGGTCGAGAGTTGCTTGGCCAGCAGGGACCGAAGGAGCTCACGGGAGTCGACATCGTCGTAGCTCGGGAGAACCATGAAACAGCGGGGAGTCATATAAATAGGAGGCTGACTTTAGGGCAGGCTGCGGAAGTGACGGACCGGGGTACATATGACGCAAGAGACGGATTTGCTAGGGGTACTCTTTATCAACGATGCCTGTCCAGTTTACCTCTGGCAAATTGGTCCTATCTCATCCCAAGGTATGCTAGATGATCCTGGGTTACCACTATTCTGATCTTGACGGTACCAGGGGCCCGTTGTCGAAGTCCTTCTATACGGCGCCAGTGTCATCTCATGGAAATCCGGAACCAAAAGTAAACCAGAGCTATCCGAACGTCTCTTCGTATCGCAAAAGGCGGCCCTAGATGGCAGCAAACCTGTTCGCGGAGGCATCCCAGTAGTTTTCCCGTGTTTTGGAGCGCCAATACACCCGGACCATGCTCATTTGAGTCAGCATGGTTTCGCCAGAAATTCAGTTTGGAGTTGGGATGGTACATTAACTGATGAGGAGGAATATGTCTCTATCAAGCTCAGTGAGTATCCGATGAGCTGGATCATGCTCTGTACTCACACCCTTTCTTAAGCACTCCAACCAATGGAAGCAATCGCAGCAGTCTACAGCAAGCCATTCCTGTTGACATACGTGGTGACGCTGTCAGAATTCGACTTAAAGACAGACCTTCACGTTCAGAATACTTCTTCCTCCGACGATAACTTGGAGTTCCATGCACTATTCCACAATTACATCCGGGCTCCCTCTGCCGACGTGATTGTGGGACCACTTCAAGGGTTTACATATTACGACAAGACGGAACCAACAGAGGAAGGCAAATCGACACCGAAAGTCGAAGCAAGGCCAGGCGTAGACGTCAAGAAATTTACAGACTCTGTGTATGAGAACACGAATGGAAAGTACGAGGTGACATGGTCTGGCGGTGGGTTAGACATAACTGCAAAGAACCTCAAGGATGTGGTGGTCTGGAATCCTCAGGAAGCTGGCCGAAAAATTGGTGACATGGAAGAAAATGGATGGTGAGTTAGCGTGTCACAGTGTGGAAACACGTCTAACCGAGTCGTCACAGGGAAAACTTTGTTTGTGTTGAGCCGGGATATGTTCGAGGATTTGTTAATTTGGAGCCGGGTGGATCGTGGACTGGCGGGCAAACACTGAGTGTCATACACGAAGAGCGGCGTTTGACAAATTTGTGAATTTGAAATCTGTATAATAATACTAGCGATGACGTCATCTAAACTTGCTTTCCTTGTTACTACCATGTTCTCTCGTCTGGCGTCTAGCTTCACTCTTCGGCAAGCATCGTACAATGCAGCACATCACTTGAAGCGCCCACTTCATAATACACGACCGGTGCTGTCGCCATCGACCGTCAGCACCCTGCCTAGCTCGTGCCCTGCGTGCCATCAGCCTCTTCCTTCGTCTCTGCCCGCCTGCTCTAGCTGCGGTTCAATAACAAATATACCCTCTGACATCAATTACTATCATCTCCTTGGTTTTGACTATGTCCCATCACAGTTTCACGTGGACCAAGGGTTACTACGAAACCAATTCCGACGCGCACAGATTGCATGCCATCCAGATGCATGGACGTCCAAAGGCCAAGTGCGGTTTGTACATTTTTTATTATTCATATCTCACACTCTGCAGGGAAAGACAGATGTTGCGCAGCTTCTCTCTTCGCAAATAAATGAAGCCTATCAGACATTGCGAGATCCGTTGTCGCGACTCACCTATCTGCTAACCCTCAATGGCGTACCAATGGAAGAGACGGACAAGTTGGACGATATGGAATTTCTATCAGAAATAATGTTAGCCCGTAACACTATTGACGATGCTGAAGATGAAGCGGAAGTACTGCAGGTCGCCGACGAGTGCCGAGGTGCGTTTGGAGGTATTTTCCACACACAATAGCTGACGGTTTGTACAGAAAAATTGAAAGACGCGTTCAAAGAGATTTCCATACTTGTCGAACGGGGAGATTGGTCTGCTGCGAAACAGGCAGGAATCCGGCTCAAATATATACGAGGGGTAGAAAAAGCGGCAGAGGAATGGTTGCGAGATAGATAAGATGAGATTTTTAAAGAGATAAGATTAGATCTAAAGTACGATTGAGATTCTCGGCAGATCCCGGGAATTTTTGTGTGCATTTGCATCCTACCTCGACGCCCCATTAATGCGTCTGTCCACTGTGGTGTGGTGCAGGCGCCGCCTTTCCCTGCGACCACTTCGTTCTACGACGCCTTTACTGTGCCTGTCGTCACTATCTCCTTCGTCGTCATCGTCGTCGTCGCCGTCCTACTCGACGTCGGCAGCATTCAAGCGCTTCAATGCACAACCACATCAATTGCCCCCCCAGAACAAGGCCCATCATCACCCACCTCCGCAAAACAAGTCCCGGCATCCCAATGCACCACAAAAGGATAGCGATGCCAATTTGTTTCGGCGTCGAGCGCCTACGCCTCACCCTGTTTCTCCCACTGTCGTCTCTCCTCGATTCCATGTTCCTGGCATGAAAGATACTCCTCGTCGTCTATATCCACCAGCTGTGCCAACCAGTAAACATGCGAAAGGAACCATTTTCACCACTTTGCACGACATGACCTACATGAAAAATACTTACGGTTCAAATCCTCTGACCCAACCAGCATCGAATCACGTCGGCGAGCCCAAGAGTGCAGTCCATAACCTCGCTTCCCTTTATGGTGAAAAACCGGACTATGTTCGAGAAAATGGCAGGTACAATCGTCAGTTCTTATCAAGGTACTATTGTTTGTCTATTTCTGAGTTAATCAGCTACTCACGACGACTTAGAACAACCATCACCCTTCCCTTCTTTGACCCACCAATAGTTGGTATTGGTGACGCCACAACTGTGAAAGGCTCGGATCGTCTGGCTAATCTATCTTTGGTATACCAGCTAAGCAACCAGGGACTGGTGAGTTGCGTTTACTTTGCTTAGCCGTACATCTCTTATCTTTCTTCAGTTTGATGTCAAAACCTCATCCCAATCTACGACCGTCAAACTTTCCGACAATTCTGTTCTAGACCTCCCACTTGCTACGGAATTCCTTGATTATTATTGCCGCAAATTCCATTTCCAGTCTGCCGACATTCAGTATAACTCTCATGGCAATGTTTGGGAGTCTATCATGGCTATTAACGGGCGTAAAGTTGGTGTCGGTGCCGGTCGGACTAAAAAGGAATGTACGCAAGCTGTTTACTTGGATGTGGTGCAGTACCTCGAAAAGTGCGACCCGGACCTTTGGAAAGAGTTCATCGACAAGCACAGGACGGGTGACCACCTGGGTGATGGGCCAAACGTCCCGTTCTATATGGAAAGGGACTTGAACGATGACATCCGGGACCTTTGTGTTGATCTTGAACGTAGTACGCTGTATCAGTCGAAAGCCGTCCGCCGTCGCTGCACCCATCGTTCCGGTGAACACGGGTTATCAAAGTAGGGTCACTTCCAGCGATAAATTGGCAGACAAATCCTATCTCTTGCAACAACGTCGGAAACGTTATCTTGAGTCTCCCGAAATGGAACAGCTACGTGCGACACGGATGGCTCTTCCTTTACACCAGCGAGCAGAGGAAATTCTTTCCACCGTTACTGCCAATGACATATGCATCTTTATGGCGGCTACCGGTTCCGGTAAAACGACACAGATCCCTCAGATAATCCTAGATTCGTATATCGACCGAGGAGAAGGTGCGAAGTGTAATATTCTGTGCACTCAGCCTAGAAGGTTGGCAGCTTTGGGTGTCGCAGACAGGGTTGCTACGGAGAGAGGGGAGACGCTAGGAAAGACTGTTGGATATCAGGTCCGGTTCGAACACAAGCTCCCTGAAAAGGACGGATCCATTACGTTCCTCACCATCGGAGTGTTCTTGAGGAAGATGCAGTCTGTTCTCGCCGACCCCAACAACACTGACTTTGATCACGTCACACACGTCCTTGTCGACGAAGTGCACGAGCGCGACGTTGATACTGATCTCCTCCTTGTCGTCCTCAAACGCCTTATCGCAGAGAGAAAGGCCAAGGGTCACCCTATCAAGGTTATCTTGATGAGTGCTACCATCGACCCCACACTTTTCCAGAATTACTTCCCCGACGAGAATAACCAGCCTGCTAAAGCAATCAGCATTCCTGGACGCTCCTTCCCTGTCGAGAAGAAGTTTTTGGATGATTATTTGCCGGCTATCACTGAAGGCGACGAGCAATGGGTGTTGACAGACCCTTCAGTCAAAAAGTTTTTGACTAAGGAGAAAGCTTTCATGTCTCCTCAATCTTCTCTCACAACTGAGGCAGAAAAGGATGACGATACGGACATCCCTTTCCCTCTCATCGCTGCTACTGTTTCGCATATCCTTCAGGAATCTAGCGAAGGACACATCCTCGTCTTTCTTCCAGGATGGGAGGAGATCAGTAGAGTCCAAAAACTACTGACCACGGGAAGATGGATCGTAGACTTCAGTGACTATGAAATCCATCTTCTTCACTCCACGGTACCCCTTGAAGCCCAGCAGGCTATCTTTAGGCCTCCCGCAAAACGAGGCACCCGACGGATTATCCTGACGACGAACATTGCTGAGACATCTGTCACAATCCCGGACGTAGTCTACGTGGTTGATTCTGCTAGGCTCAAAGAAAACCGTTACGATCCCGAGAGACACATGACCTCCCTTGTTACTTCTTGGATTGGATCGTCCAATGTTAACCAACGTGCTGGACGTGCCGGACGACACCGACCGGGGACATATTATGGCGTACTGAGTCGTGGTCATTGCGATGCGTTGAACACGTACCAAACAGTTGAGATGGCACGGGTCGATTTGACAAACGTCGTCATGCATGTCAAGGCGCTCAATTTCCCCAATATGGATGCTAAGTCTGTTCTTGGTGCTACCATAGAACCTCCAGATCCCCAGCGCATTGACATTGCATTGGAGGCTCTTAGGGTCGCCGGAGCCATAGATACAGAGGAGAATCTGACGGCACTCGGTCGAATTCTTTTGCAGATTCCTGTGGATGTCCATGTTGGCCGACTTGTTTTGTACGGCAGCTTCTTCCGCTGTCTCGATGACGCCTTGACTCTAGCAGCCATCCTGAGCAGTCGTGACCCATGGCTGTCACCCATGTTGATGAAAGCAGAGGCGAGAAGAGCAAAGGCGTCTTGGCTACCACCTGATTTCCGATCGGACATACTGGCGACATGGAATGCATACAATGCTTGGAATAAACTGATGTCGGAACGTCGTTTCATTGAGGCTTCTCAGTTCTGCCAAGACAACTTCCTTTCGAGGTTAACTCTACTGAGCATGCAAAAGCTTCGCTCTCAAATCCTCAGCTCGCTTCGACAAGCTGGTGTTTTGAGTGCCACTGCTCAAGGCCCCCTTCGTGCCTACGCTGACGCGTTGCCTCCAGAACTCAATGAGCATAGTGGTTCACTCCCCATTTTAGCGGCTCTAATTACGGTAGCGTCACAGCCCAAATTTGCCCTAGGCTTTGCTCCAGCTGCTCTTCGTACGCGTCGGGACAAGGTACTTGCATATATCCATCCTCTTCTTTCCAGTTTTCTGATTGCAACCCATTTAACAGAAAGTAATGATGCAGCTGAATAGCGTACATACCGACAAGAGTAATGCCTACCGAGGACCCAAACAAATCTTCGCATTTTTGGAGAAACGTTCCTCGACTGATGGGGCGACATTCCTTTCCATGGCTACGGAACTCAACTACGCCACGTACATTCTTTTTGGAGCACACAAGCTGGAGATCACTCGTAACGCTCTTCGTTGCGACGACTGGATACCCATGATAGGAGATCTCTCTGCTTTGGAGGATCTCATGAGGTTGAAGCAGCTGTTGGATGGCTGTATGCTTCGGGTCTTTTCGGGTCTAGTTCTGGGTGGCCGTCATGGTAGAGCGATCGTGCGGCAGTCTGAGGGTGAGGACGAGGACGAGGCGGAAGAGATCATTCGTCCACTATCCCAGGAGGAGACTCAGGAGTTATCGTTCCTGAGTCGGGACGTTGTTAAAATACTGACAAAGTATCATGCCGCCAGGCAACAGTTCAACAGCAATTACAGACGGTAACCTCATAGACACCACGTATAATGTTATAATTTTTAGTACATTGTAATATCCCACCGCACCAATCACACCTCATGGTACCATGCATTCTACAACACTAGAGCCGAGCAAACGTTTCATGAATGTACGAACTATCTATCGTTCTACATCCGACACTAGAGAATCAGGGGTTGTTGGAATACTTGGGTCAAAGGATCTTCGCCCCTTCCAGAATCCGGTATCAGGCCCGTTCATTATGAACGCGAGAGTCCACCGAGAAAGACCGCGTAAAGAATCGGTACGATGAATAGCCGTGGTAACAAGCGATGATAACGAGAGGACAAACGCGAGGCTAGATTAATATTTGAGTCAAGCATTAAAAGAAGACTACAAAAAACGAACCGTTCAGCTGCTAGAACACCTCGATTACCACTTCGAATCCATTTGTCAGGCAGAATGGTTCGAATTGCTCGAGGCAGGACATAAAGGGTCATCTCACCCCTTCTACGGCCGTTTTCTATCCAGATACTACTTCCACACGACAGACAACCAGCCAAAATACAGCCATACGGTCCGTCCCAGAAATCATGAGACACGAAAGAGAAAGCGCGCGCCAAAAAGAGGGAACGCGTCAGACATACTGCGTACCAATATGATGCGATAAAGGCAGTGAGAAAAGAAGCACTTCTGAATGCGCTTAAGAAAGTGGCGACGACACGATGAGGCCGGAGCAAAGATGTTGGACGTGTCAGAAGGACGGGGAAGAAATGTACCTGTGTGGCGAAGTCAGTCAAAGGAGCACGCTTCGGAAAATGGTTACGAACTGGAAGATAGATCGCCATAGACTGGGCAAGCGCTTTCACTGCTCTGAGTCCCGCGTTTGCTGTGCAGTTTCCAGCCAAGCCGATTTGAGATCCCACTCCTCCATGTACAAGCTCACATGGAAGACCACCGACTCCTGGGCGACTCGTCACGCCCAATTTATTCCAGATGATGTCGGCTTTCTGACCGCCAATGGAGGGGAGTGCAGAGGGGCTCCCCCAAGCAGCAGGGTAACCAAGATCATTCGCATATGTCTCCAATATGGCAGGGCTTGAAATGTATCCCCGAGTATACGACCACTTGCCCTCATAGATCAGCCTCAATGCTCTGAGTAATCGGGCATCCACATTGGCGAGGGCATTGATCCATTTGACATAGGAACGCGGTAACCTGTCAATTATCGTTTTAGTTAGCGAAGCTAGGAAGGGAATCCACCCACCTCTCCGGTTGGTAAAAGAAACACCACATGATTCTGGGAGCATAATTTAAACAAGACGAACTTAGATGACAATATAAATCAGCACACCTGGCACTGCACGCCCAGAAAACAAGTGCATCGATCCTTGCCGTAAGCCCACGAATATCACCCCTGGTTGTCTGATGCTTCTCGCGCAGCAGGCGTTGTCTAAGCAAGTCGGGTCGATGCTCAACGTCGACGGACCGTTCTCTGACACGAACACGAGAAGACCGCTTGTAAACGAAGGACTGTACAGGAGCGTCAACGGCTCTGACGAACAGCAGAAGTGTTAGGTCCAGAGTGCGTGAAGGCATACTATTCTGGGCATTGGAGCGTCTACGGCCTTTCTGTAGAAGGTGTATACCGATTGCAGATGACAATGCATATGAAATGAAGGTTTTTTGGGCAGATGTTAAGTTGGAATAGGCCAGCTTTTCCTTCGCAATCTTGGTGTATTTGCTGTCGATCTCATCAAAGCCTGTCCATAGGTGCCTCACGGTCGCACCAGCACCCACGGCGAGTGTGATGGCAAAGGCAAATCCACCAAAACCCAACTCCTGCCGTAAAAGTGCCTTGAGGGCCTTCTTATTGTATTTTGACGATTGCTTGGAACGAAAGAGAGACGAAACGAAGGGGGTAAGGGCGGGACCAAGTGAGAGGGAGATTGCAAGAGCGTAGGTACGAAGGGTTATCTGATGGGTCGGATTTGAAAAGAAATTATTGAGAGAAAGGCGCGATTCCTTTGCAGTCATGAAGGAGAGTTATGAACACCATCATGGAAGGCGAAATACAGACTATTCCCCGGTTACATGTGATATTCTATTTATTACCGTGTTCGTAACTCCAAAAATCAACTAAACTATGCGTGGACTGTATCCCAGTATTAGAAAACAGTGAATCCAGCATTCCAGCATCTTTCAACATACTCGTGAATTGCGCACGAGAGTCAGGATACACAAAAGAATCGCGAATATCGTCACCCTGCATATAACCGTTATTTCTTGAACAGAACGAAAAGGGAAAAAATACCCACATATACCGCTAATAGACTGGAAATGTCTTCGCGAACAGGTACCTTGTTCGAATCCTCCAGAGAAAGCCACCGCTTCCACAACTCAAGCTTCTTCGCGTCGCGTCCAGCTGCCTTCATCAGCTTGCAATACTCTGCCCAACGAGTATGCAGGTCATTCTTTAGCCATATTTCATCAGCATGCTGTTCGAGCAGCTCGTCTGGAAGGTTCGATGACACAGACACAGATTGTGATATCGGTCTCAACGACGAGGCCGCGGTGCTCCCGTTCTCAACGTCGTCGTCAAGCTTTCTCGAGACCGTTTTGGCGGGACGCTTCATCAGTCTGATCCAACGTCGTCGTCGCACGAAACCCCCAACCTCCGCCGTCCAATTCTTCTTCCGGAACATCCAGTTGTATTCAAACCCATCGTACTGCACCTGGCCAGAATCCGACTGCATGTCCACCATCCATGTTTTCGACACCCATTCCCAATTTCCGTCAGGTAGTGGGTATTGGGTTAGTGAATAATTTGGTTGGTCTGTTCGTTTATTGGAAGCTGAGGGGACTGTGAAAGGATAGGGATCTCTGGGAAGGAGAGATCGTCGTGAATAGAACGGAAGAGAGAAGAATGTATAGCTGAAAGGCGCTTAGTGTCCATGAATGCTACCTGAAGACATGACTTACCCCCGTTGATTCTCGTACAGTACAGCCCATCTGAACTCTGTCTGGCTATTCTCAGCATCAATCCCAACTGCTGGCAGACCTATTTCAAGCTCGGCGTCGTGTTCTACGGCCGGTGAAGTGACTTCCTCGAGTTCATCAACTCGGCTCCCTTGTTGCTCATCAGTTTGTTCTTCGTGTCCCTCAGCTTGTTCTCGCGACCGTAGCTTATGCGATGAAAAGACATGACGCAGGTTGGGTACAGAGAAGAGGGGAAAACGCGACCTTTTGACAAAGCGATTCCTTGCAGCGTCTACAGCGTGATAGTCGTCTGTGGTCAAGCAAGAAGGCGGAGGGAGAGGATCAGCCATCGCACAGGAAAGAGAGTGGCTTCGTTGTGGTCCTGGACGTCATTAAGCTGGCTGATCGAGTCGGGCCGTGTTTCCGGTGCTCTCTTTCTAACTGACATGTTCGATACAGTATTTCCTGCAGATGCTGTCGAATTTTGCCCTCATCAAAATTTGCACGATATATTTGTGGTGGGGACGTACAAACTTGACCAGGAAGTGACGGTCGAAGAGAGCAATGTAGAATGCAAGACTCCTCAACACAGACGAGGCCAGTGTCGGGTATTCAGGATAGATGCCCAGTCAAGTGGAACGAACTTGTAAGTTGACAACAGTCACAACGAGCTCAGTCACAAACTGATTATATCTCAAGCGAACAGATTCAATGCTTTGATCTACCCGCAGTACTTGACATGAAATGGCAAAGCTGTTGATCTATTAATTTTATCTTTACTCATTCGGTGCTCAGGTGCCATATGTCTCCTAGTAGTCCAGCTACATTGGGTATAGCTGACTCTGAGGGGAACATAACTCTTCATCAATGGCAAGAGGTAGGTGTACCGTCTAAACTTATGTCTAGATTAACTAAGATGAAGCACAGGTCGGTCTACGGCAAATTCAAGGCATACGAATTGCAGAGTCCTCCGCTATTCTGTGTCTGTCTCTTGATTGGTCAAATAGACGAAGTCCTGGAACGTCAGTCTGTTTCCTTATTTTCCAAAATGATACTTACGTCCGTCGTAGAAATTTGGGCTCCCTGGTGGTGTCCCTGTCGGACGGATCTCTGAGTATCTTGCGACCAGAAAATGGGACTGGTCCTTTATCAGTAGAGTCTTCTTGGCATGCTCATGACTATGAACCATGGATTGCTGCCTGGAATTATTGGGACACAAACATGATTTTCTCGGGTACGCTTCGTCACTTTTACTAGTCAGCATTCGCTCATACTGCAAATACAGGAGGAGATGACCTACAGATGAAAGGATGGGACATCCGAGAAGATTTAATGAAACCTATATTTGTTAACAAACGGTGGGTACAGACGCCCTACTACTACGAAAGTTCCTTTAACTATTGAACAGGTTTGACGCAGGAATAACATCTATCCAGAGTCATCCCTACATTGAAAATTTGATTGCTGTCGGAAGGTCGGTTCACTTCTCCAGTATTATTTGTTTGTATCCACATGTTACGAGCAGCTACGATAATACTGTCCGCCTTTTCGACATTCGCAAGCCGTCAGTCCCCGTAAGTCGCGTAGACGTCGGTGGAGGAGCCTGGCGAGTCAAATGGCATCCGTCATCGACCAGGAAAAATGATTTGCTCGTCGCATGCATGCACGATGGATTTAAGATTGTTTCATTTGACGATCTGCTGTCTGACGACCCTCTTGGTACGAGCACGGGAACTGGCAGAATTGTTAAACGATTCGACGAACACGAATCACTTGCCTATGGCGTAGATTGGTCGTATGCTACGTCAGAGGGGAACGACACCTTGATAGCAAGTTGTTCTTTCTATGATCATCTCTTACATACGTGGAGAGGATAATAATGTTGAATCCATGTATACACATCTAGCTTAGTCGCGGACAAGAGCTGATTATCCGAGTCTATAGTAAAGCTATCAAGCTCCAATCTCCACTGCTGCTGGAACCGTGAACTTAGCAGCAGCTTCGTCAAATAAGGCCTCCTTGGATGCAACATCCTTGACGAGAGGATGGGAAGGAGCTTCGGCGCGAAGGTTTCTAAGAACAAAATACGTGACTAGGGTTGAATCATTCAAGAAGAAACACGTACGTCCATGGTTCTTGTGCCTGAAGCCCAGACGCCACAACGTAGGCAGCTAGGGTCTCAGCGTCACCTTTTTGTTGGTCAAGAGATTCTTCGAGATCAGACTTTGCTTCTGACATCTCACCCCGCAGTATGCGCGTCACACCTCGGGAGGTAAGGATATGCGGGGAAGACAGCGAAGGGTTGCCAAGTTGTTCTGTGTAGAATGATAATGGGTCGGAGTAGCTGTCCTTCCCTGTGACGAGGCTTATTGTTGATTCGATGAGCTGCAACAGCAGGTCATCTTCAGCCCAACGTTTCGAGTGTTCAAACTCTTTCTTGGCGAGGTCAGGACGGTGGATGGCTAGGTAGATTTGCACAATAACGGCGACACTTTGAGCAGAGGTTGAGTCAGTGATACGTGTATGGCAGCCTTGAGGCCACGTACGCTTCAAGGTCTTCAGTCCCGACTCCTAGCGTTTCCAAAGCCTCTTCAATTTCTCTCGTCCTAGCAAAAGCGGTACCAGCAAGTACACGGACAATAGACTTGTCCCGCTCGGTCCCTTCGACATCGTCGCCTTCAATTTCCACCGATAGATCTCGGAGTTCCTCCAATGCCGACTCTTTGTCCTCTGTTTCTTCCGTATCCACATAGCGTGCCAGTGCAGCTACTGCTTTGATAGCGACATTTTCTGAGTCGATTGGGAGTAGTTTCAGGGCAGATTTTGGGTCATTCAAGGCAATGTAGGCGCGAGCTTGATATAAGAGTACTGGAATGAAATCTGAGGACTCGGCATCCGGCAACGACATGCCAATGAGAGTCTTGTAGGCGCCTGCTTAAGCATGAATAATGTATATTGGTGGAAGTTTCAAGGTCCTACCGAGGATAAATTGTTGCTTGACATGGTACAGCTCGGAAGAATCCATGTTGATGATCGTGGCCAAAAGGTAAGCTTTGCGATGAGTGTGAGGTAATCACCTGCTTATAATCGTCCGACGTTGGCAGTCCACAGCCAGCACTGTATTCCAACTTACACTAAACGCGCGCCGTACTTGACTTTATCGACAACATCGCGTCGTTGGCAGTACCCGTCGCGGCTGCCCGTTCAACATGGCGACTAGTATGCGTGGGCTGACGCAGGCAAGTCCTTGTATTCAGAGTGGCACCTCTGGACCACTCACGAAGCGGACCATTCTATAGTTCATCGCGGACATTCGCGGTGCCAGGGTTAGAGATTTGGAAGAGAAGCGGATAAACAAGGAGATGGCCAATATCAGAAAGAAATTCAAAGGTCAGGTCGCTGTCAGTATTCCGCTGCAGTGCTCTAAACTCTTTGTGCAGAAGGAAACCTGGACGGGTACCAGAAGAAGAAGTAACGAAGACTCTCGCTTCATTGGCTCGGATCCCTACTTACCGCGAAATCTGCAGATATGTCGCTAAGATCATCTTCACCTACATTCTTGGTTATAAGGTCGACATTGGGCATATGGAGGCCGTTAATCTGATATCCAGCTCGAAATACAGCGAGAAACAGATAGTGAGCATGATAAGAGTTCATGACATCCGTATGTCAGCTAATTCTCGAGGTTTCATCGTAGGGTTACCTGGCCGTCACCCTTCTGATGCACGAGAACTCGGATTTCCTGCGACTAGTTGTGAATTCAATAAGGAAAGACCTGCACGGCAACAATGAAATCGACAACTGTCTGGCCCTGCATGCTATTGCGAATGTTGGTGGAAGTGAAATGGCAGAGGCGCTTTCTGTGGACGTGCATCGGCTTCTAATATCACCGTACGTCTTAATCTGCTACAGATTCCCTCAACTCACCATTTAGCAAAGGACATCACAGAGTTTCGTTAAGAAAAAGGCAGCATTGACGCTTCTTCGACTATATCGTAAACATCCGGACGTCATACCTGCCGCAGAGTGGGCGCTACGAATAGTCTCAATAATGGATGACGACGATTTGGTGAATATTCACTCGGCTGTAGAGATGATAGTAACTCATCGCGTTCTGAACAGGGTGTGGTCATCTGCGTTACAAGTCTGGTCATGGCAATGGCACAGGACCATCTAGATGCTTTCGCGGTATGCTATACGAAAGCTGTTGATAGGTTGCAACGGGTATGCCTGGCTTCTACGTTCTCGAAAGGTCGCGCGTCTAACCATCTGGCAGCTTGTCATCGAGCATGAATATTCAGCAACCTATGCCTATTACAAGGTACCCTCACCTTGGCTGCAAGTCAAGCTACTTCGCCTTCTGCAGTATTACCCGCCTTCCGGTAAGCCCGACCTGACTGTCCCATTCTCTTGAGGTTTTGATATCGTGCCAGAGGATCCTGCTATACGGTCTGTACTGCATCAAGTACTGCAGACAATCATGAACAACAGTGCGGAGCCTTCGCGAAATGTGCAACATAACAACGCACAGCATGCTGTCTTATTTGAAGCCATTGGCCTCGCAATACATCTTGATACGAACTCGCCTCTCGTCGGCACAGCCGCTGTCCTTCTTGCGCGGTTTATATCATCAAAGGAGACCAATGTCAGGTATCTTGGTCTTGATACGATGGCACATCTCGCCGCTCGTGCAGACTCACTGGAACCGATCAAGAAGCACCAAGGGACGATCATTCTGTCCTTACGGGACAAAGATATATCCGTTCGACGTAGAGCACTGGATCTTCTCTACAGCATGTGCGACTTGGACAACTCCGAGCTCATCGTCGGCGAGCTTCTACGGTATCTCAAGGTCGCTGACTATGCTCTCCGCGAAGAAATGGTTTTGAAAATCGCTATACTCACAGAAAAGTATGCTAGCTCATACAAGTGGTATGTCGATACCATTCTGCGACTAATCAGCGCTGCTGGGGACCATGTCGGTGATGAGGTTTGGTACCGAGTTGTTCAAATCGTCACAAATACGGAGGATCTGCAAGAATATGCTGCCAAAGTAATATTCGCTCACTTGAAGACTCCTTCCACTCACGAGAGCTTGGTCAAAGTAGGAGGTCAGATTTTGTCGCCCTTGCATATTGTCCAGTTCTTTAACCGTCTCTGCAGGCTATATCCTGGGTGAATATGGTCACCTGATTGCGAATGAACCTGGATACAGTCCCATTGAACAATTCCAGGTCCTTCACTCGAAATCGCAATTCTGTATCGCTTCCACACGTTCTCTCCTTCTGTCCACATACATTAAATGGGTCAACGTTTTCCCTGAGATTAAGCCTCAGCTTTTGACCATCTTCGACCGCTATCGCCATGTTCTAGACGCGGAGTTGCAGCAACGAGCGTGCGAGTTCTACGCATTGGCGTCGAGACCCGATGACGATGAACTCTTACAGAATGTCTGTGAAGAGATGCCACCCTATCCGCCTCGTGTTAGTGCTCTTCTTGGTCGACTGAACAGGAAACATGGAGACACAGAAGATAAACGTACGTGGGTTCACGGAGGTAAAGAGGCGAATTTGGATCGGGAGGTTGTCCAAAGAAAATCGACACTACTCCCTGATATCAATGGACATGAGTCCTCCCAAGCCTTTGCGGCCCCGGATAGCCACGATGTTCTGGGCTCGCTTGCCGGCTTGGACCTGAGCAGACCTTCGGCCATCTCGGACGATCCTCCCGCTCCGCATGTAGCTACCGGTCCAAGCGTAGAACGATGGTTTGACAAACTTGTATGCAATGCCGAAGGGGTCCTTTATGAAGACGTCCAGGTCCAAATCGGAGTCAAGTCTCGGTATCAGGGTCACCTCGGACAGCTTGCCGTTTATATCGGTAACAAAGTGCCCACTGCTCTAACGTCTTTTACTACTACCATACATATCAGCGACCCAGCGGCTTTATCCGTGACATTTGCTAAGATTCCGCCAAACTCCATTGCGCCGCGCACACAAACCCAGCAGCTTCTGCACGTTGAATGCAAAAAAGTGTTCTCTGTACCTCCAATCCTCACCATCTCATTCTTGGCGGGGTCCCACCAAACCATATCTGTCCGCCTTCCCATCGTTGTAACGAAATTTATCGAGAACGTCAGCCTGACACAGATAGATTTCTTTGAAGCGTTGGAGACTCATTGGCGGGCCTCCTCGGGAAGCCCAGGTCGTATTTCCTGTCGACCTGACAAGCTCTGGGCAACTGGACCTAGCCAAAAATAATAGGGTAGTAGCAGGGCACCATCTCAACGTGTTGGATGATATAGATCCGAATCAGAACAACATCGTGGCGGCGGGCGTGTTGCATACTTCCGTCGATGGTAAAGTCGGGTGTCTACTGCGTTTGGAACCGAATCAGGATGCCAAGGTCAGTTCTCTAGTTGCTACGCGTTCCTTTATATTCACATCTTCTATAGCTTTGTCGTTTAACGATACGTAGTACTGATGAAGAGGTGGCCGCAGAGGTTCTGAAATTGATCCAGAAACCGCTGAAGGCCGGTTCATAGCAGCTGGAAAAGCTGTCTTATAACGTAAATAAAAACAATTGACCTATTTATTGTACAGACTAAATCCTACCCGGGACGAAGCATATAATAATAATGAATAGCTACTGCGCATCTATCGTTTCAAAATTCCACGGAACAAACCTTTCTTTCTCTTTCTGGAATCATCGTAAGGATCCACCAGTGTTTCTTCCTGTTGTAAAGGAGGTCGTCGGATAGTAGAGGTGTGGCTGTCGCCATATGTGATAGAATCTGTTGAAGGTGATTTGAAGTGTCGTAAACGAGTTTTCTGGCGACTGCCGCTGGCAGGTGTAAGGGGTGGTTCTGGATCCCGGCTGAAGCCACGAGGACTGAACGCGTGCTCTCTAGGTGCATCAGATATGGGTGATGGGGCAGTAGACGGGCGTCCAGATTTACGGTAGCGTCGTTCTTTCCCCGTAGAAGAAGCGGGAGAAGTAGAGGATCGTATATCAGAGCGCCCATTATTCAGTGATGAGTTCAGCCGTCGTTGACTAACAGACAACTGTGAAGCTAGTTGACTGACTCTATGCAGCGCTTCTTCTTCGACTTCGTAACATTTAGAGCATAAATCGTGCATCAACCGATCATCCTTGTCTGCGAAAGCGTGAGAGGTCGCGACGTAATCTCTTGAGCTCCTAATGACAGCAGAGGTAATGATCGCAAGATGCCTGGGTACATCGAGTAAATGGGGAGGCATTGGAATGGCTTCTAGGTTGAGCTTCGTCATTTCGGGAGCACGCTGTCTCAGAGAGTTCACGACGTGGATTCTATCGTGGCGACCAGACGATGATCCTTTGGGAGACCTAAAGCCATCCTTTCCTGATGTGGAAACTACTACAAGATAATCCACCATGGCCGGTAGACTTTCCTGTAGGAAGTCTTTCAGACCACGCATGAATTCTTCCTTTTGAACGGACTATAAAGCGGCAATTAACTGAATATGCGCGACTGGAGGATTGAAAGCTTACTGCGTTGAGGTTGGCAAGACTCTGGATCACTTTGGCAATCAAGGTTAGACTGCGCCGCACGGCTTCACTAGGTAGACCTATAACTAATCAGTCGCAGTTCGTGGCAACAGACAATTCGTTCCTCATACCAGGGCACAGACCAAAAAGGTGGGGATGTAGGATTGCGGGTACAATAAATCGGAGGAAACAGAAGGCCGAGACGCTTTGCCATGGTAGGTCGCGATTATCTGCCATAGCTTCGCTTTCTTGATAGCGCCGTTCCACCAATTTCTTAATAGTTTCAAATAGTTGTCGCATTTCACTTAGAAACAAGGTCGTGAGCGAACGAAAACATGAAATGTAGGTGTAACTTACTATGGGCATTGCCCCCTGACCGAATATATCTGGTCCCAGAATTTCGACACCAGATTATGAGGAGGTCGACGTTTCGTTCAATGTCCTTTGCACTTTTCCCGCTTCGCACGGGGTCCACTTCGATAGCGATCTTTTCCTGGCATAACTTACGGAGCACGGAACCAATACTCGCCTCCAGGAAAGCCTTTCCATACCATGTCATGCATAATTCCATGACTTTGGTTAGAGTTGTGTTGCCTCGAAACAAGGTCTGATGGGCTACTTGAAATTTGGAGTCAACTCAATCAAACAGAACATCAAGTTCGACTGACATGAAGGTGTCCCGTCAACTTCCCGGTAGGCTATTTCCTTTATTTGCTCGACAACATTGTTTTTTGCAACTGCTATTGATAATAGCTGTCCGGCAAGCTTCACATTGAGCTTCTTCTCAAAATCGTTCATCCAGTCGAGGAAATTTCGAGAATTGACAGTCTGATATGAATCAATACCGAAAGCACCAGTGATAGCAATCTTACCTACATTTAGAAGAGAGCTGTAGACCGAGCAAGGGAGTATTATTTCCCTGTATCAGAACTCAGTGTGAGGTTAGATAAGAGGACAAAGGAGCTCACTCATCCACTTTGATTTTCAGCTGAATATCACCTACTTGAAGGTCACTAGCCAGAGGACCGCTTTGAAGCACCGGAAACCAGCCCTCGATTGCTTCACCTCTCCGAAAGTTGCTCAGAGTAATACAGACAGAGCCCAAAGGAGACGGCTTGAAGACCTTTTTCTCTCTCCAGACAAGGACATCCAGGGTTTCAAACGGTGGAAGATCAGAAAACGTGAAGCTTTCATGCCATACAGGCGAGCCTATTCCTTTCTTGACTGTCGTGCGCCCGCATAACACACCATTCAGATGTATTTCGCATGACACGTCCAAATCAACTGGATCGTACTCGGAACTTGATTCGTTTTTGTCATCCACGGGTCTAGTGTTTCCCAGGTTACGGCCTTGGATAACGCTCAGTTCGACCTGTCGCCACATGCGGTAGGATCCACCGTCTTCCGGGTAGGCCCATCGACCGTATATCTCTGCGATAGCGTAGGATCTGAGGAGGGCGAGCCAGGTGTTGCAAAGGTCAGAGTTTGCAAACTGGAGATAGACAGGTTCGGTAGTATTGGGAGAGCACCATCGTTGGCTGGCACATGGTCAGCACAGCGACAGAAAGCGATACACACTTACTTTACGCAATATATGCCCAAGCAATGCTTGCGAAAGAAGAGCGAGGTGTCAGCGTGTCGGATGTCTGTGTGGTTGACCAAATGAATGTATAATGTCCGGTAAAGAATCGATTCCTGGCAGTGGAGAGCAATACATCATTACGATCGGCAATGAACAAAAGGGAAACGCACGTCCACATAGATGTTCAATAGACACCTGTCTCCTTCTTCTGCTGTGAGTTTGCATGTGGCAGATCGCCATTGACCTGTCCCAGCAGAACCTCTTGCTAGAGCAATCCAACTTGATTTCTCTAATAATGGTTAACACGCGTCTCGCGGGGCGAAACCTGACACGCACCTTTAATTTTCTTGCTGTCTTCTGATGGGCCGTTAGATTGCTGGGCTACAGCTCGTTTAACGGGCTTCTTACGTAGGGTCTGAGGCTGGAGAAGAGTGAGCAGCTAGAGAGGCAATACGAAGCGCTGGTCGGACCTTGCGGAGGGCAACGCTTGCCGCTGTGGAAACGTAGAGCTCGGCGGTAACGAGAAATTCCCTGGGAGACGCTGGGTGCTCTGGCTCGAGAGAATGAGAGGACCAGGAGGTGGACATGGAAGACGAGTCGAAAGGAAGGAAATGATCAGCTGGCTTTCACTGCCACATTATCGACTCGAACTTGGCCACTTGTAATTCTCGGCGCTGTTTCATGACGCCGCCTTTGTAGGCCTCCGTTGCAACTCAATAATCTGTCAGATGCGCCACATCTCCTTGATAATATTTCATATATTTCGCGCTCGCTGTTCAAGAGGTGGAAGCCAAATCTATTATTATGCTGACAACAGTAATGCTTCCACGGGTATAATATTAAGGTGCCCGACGTTATCGTCCATCATCATGTCTGACCCGAACCATTGCCGTCCGGCAAGGTTTACTCGCTCTTGTGCCTAAGGGATGTGTCGGTGCATCAGTAACAACTCCGAAACATTGGGAATTGAACAGAAGAACGCACAGTTTCCCGTTTCCATTAGCGATACCGTTACCTTTAGATACCTTGCCGGGCTTCTTGTACGTTTGGAAATAGAAGTTGATGAAAAGGAAGAGATAGCTAGTCAGAAGTCCACAGCCAAAAAGAGCCGCGCTTTCAGCCCCAGCACAGTTCCCGAAGTGCGGAAGGTCTTTACGACGAGCGAAGACAAAGTGTTGGTATGCTAAATTGCAAGTCAGCCGAAGTCTCATCCGGGGAGATACGTAGCACTTACTTCCAAAGTACACCAGAAAGAGGTCAATAACAAACTGAATTATCTGCATCAACGTCAAGTACTTCTTCCACTAGAGAACCGTTAGCGTTGAGCTAATCAAACTAAGCAAGAATGACATACCCAGATTTTCTTGCCGCCAGCAGTTGCGTAATAATAATAATCTGATACGATGTTGAGTTTCATCAAATACACGTCAGCCTGCGACTTACACATTAAGACGTGCACAGTTAAGTTCAGGGAGATAACAGTCCATGACTAGAACGAGCAGATCAGAAAACCAGTAGCCACGTCAGAAAACCTATCACTCACAATACTGGTTCTTCCATTGAGCTGGGAGTAGCAGAGCAGAGCCGTTGCCGAATGGTGGAAAACATGCAAGAACGCTGTGCATCTCTTAGGGAAACGAACGGACGCGCACAAGGCAGGGAACACTAACCCAGAGGTTTCTTCTTGAACGCGAGGAATACCGTGTCAATCAACTCGAGATACTTGAAGTAGTAGTTGATCATGTAGTAAAATTCCATCCGCTATAAGAGAGTAAGAATCAGCGCATGGCAGAAGCAACCAGAGCTCACAGGTGTCCACGACTCCTCAGCACAGATGGCGCTGAAAATACCCCTGTTCCACAAAATTGGCAAGATCTCCTCTGCCATGAGAACAAGCAAAATAAAACTGCCGCCGCTGAGAATAACGTTATGTATTTGGAAAAGAGTGTTGAGTTTCTGAGGGGGGCGGTTTTTCATCATGGCCTGGACACCAAAGATAGTGACGAGATACGACAATAAAGTCGCGAGGACTGAGGACGTAGTCGAAAGCGGTGTCTGGCCTGGTACATAGGAATGCAAATGACGGGGAAGGGCAGGGAGGTGGGCCTCGAGAAAATCAGCGAGCATTTCGTCGATGGAAGGAAAAACTCGAAGCACCGGGTTGAAATCCAAAAAGTTGGGGGCCTTACACGTGATCTGCTGGCATGTGTTTTGCCCCTCGGCTTACCCATGATGGTCCGACTTGACGTGCGTAAGGAGTAGGGGCCGGGCAGCGAAGAAAACGTTATTCGGCATCGAAGCATTGCCAGACGTGATATCATGATAGCGTAGCCTGTATGTATGTTTAGATGCTTTGTACTAGGGTGATATTTTTGGGAGAATAGCACACGGTTGCAGACTTCTTCGGCCTCAAAAAGATTCCAAAAAAAAAACTCGCAAGTTTTGCGGCTTCGATTCGCCGGCTTCATCCGTACTAGATACTCATGGGTAGTTCAAGTTCCACGCGTTAAGAATGTGATGATTATAGGATGTACAAGTGCTGGGTAAATACATGTATGCAACCAAAAGATCCCCATCAACGAAAATGAACATGTCCATGCGATTGAGACGGCTATGTGATGATAAGGCTAGGGCACGATTTTAAATCTGCAAGAACAACATTTTCCCTGTCACGGATATCGTCAATGGATAAATTGGAAAGGCGGAGAACCGAACAACCTTTTGCTCAGTTTGGTATGCTGCAGAATGTCGACAACGAAAGATTTGACTTGAGATCCTTTCAGGTCAGGGGGAGAAGCGCAGACGAGACAGAGAGACGAGTTCGACGGCGCGAGACTATAAGACGCGTGAACCTATAGCCGCGGACCGATTAGACACTAGTTTTTAGATGCAACGGAATATCCCACGTACTCCCGAGGAACGCAAAGCCTGAAGAAGATCGTGGATAAATAAGAGACATCGTGACCGTAAGTCGTGTAAGTCATGAAGGTCAAGGCCTTCGCTGTGATTTAGCTTTAGATAGTCACAGGTAATGGTCGACTTACATATGTCTGAGGAGGGGCACCACGTCGGCACAGTGCAGTGTAGTCGAACGGAAGCATTTCCCGAGCGCATAATAGCTCTAGCGCTCCGACGATCAGGAAATGCTAACGAGATGAACAAGAAGGTATTCACTTTGTAAACGGCTCGACTGCGTCATGAAGATTTCCCAACTACGAAAGTATCATCAATAACGTCTATGCGAAAAAATGTTGAAGGCCATTTACATCGTTGAGCGGGACCTCAAACTGAGACTCAGGTGAGTCCTCGAGCAGGTGAGGTACCTCTAGAGATTGCAATGAAGACTCGGATACAAAGGACTCCATTTTGTGTGATAGTAAATAGTTGAAGGTGACGTGTAGGTAAGACAAACCCGAACTTTATAGTGGGGCGATCCGTCTCAGTCACGGGGAAGGTCGGATCCAACGGACGCGGTCGGAACTACTTCTCCGCAACTTCGTGTTGGTCTAGAGCCAATGGCATAAAGTCTGGACATCAACAGACGTACTAGTATTGCCTGGAGGTAGCAAGAAAGTTGACATTTTGGGGGACATGAGGCATTTAAACATGACACGAGTGTATGAATTGGCTTCGAGACATGCAGAATAGCGAGATTCCCTAGAACCTTGAGTACTGAGACTCAGTATCACAAGCTTAAGTACGCTTGAGATCAAAGCGGTGGACGCAAAACATATGAACTGATAAAAGTTTCATTGCTGTTCATGGGGATTGTTGCGGGGCGTGGGGCAGCGGGGGCGGGGCGAACCGGAGACGCTATATTTGCCAAGAGTCTGGGACGCTCCTCGATATCAACACGAGATCGACACGGTATCTAAATGTATTTCAGGAATACGGGGAAGATGAGTTGATTTACATTTCGTATTTGGTAAGTACGGGGTATCCTCTTTTGTTATTCGATAAATCCGTTGCGTCGCGTCGGGATGGCGGTTTCTTTGAAATGTTTAAAGCGAGAAAGGAAGCGCTGTACTGCGCTGTAACCTGTTACAGTTGTCAAGGAACGATCAGTATCACGATTCATAATTTATGGATGCAAGTGCCATTGTTTGGCTGTATTGATTTTAGACGCTGACGCACTTATGACGCACATTCCTTTCTTTGCGCCTTCCCCTGCACTGGCTTGCTTAATTTCCTCTACCTTTTTGTTCTGACTTAACATCTAACATTTTACGATGTGGTGGATGAACCCGGGGAAGGAGGTTCTGAACGTCGTCAGTGAATGTCCAATAATTGCAATGGATCGCGGCTTGCTCATTTGCAGTATCCAATAATCCTAGCTGTTCAACCGTATCCTTGCCCCGTATGTGGAGAATTTGGATATGAACCAAGTCAATTACGGAATTGGACAAGGTATTAGCTCTCTGAGGTTCTGTGTATCCTCAAACTGACTCTGTCAATAGGCCAATTGACCCTCAAAAATCTACGATTGAAGAAGGGCGCACTCGATAAGTTTAGGCTTCCAGTCGACGTGTTAGAAGGTGAATTTCTATCTTCTTTGTCTCCAACTCGGTCTCATAGCGCGCAGGACACCTTGGCAAGTTCACCCTCTCCTTGCACTGGATGAATCTGGGAAACCAGCCGGTCGAGGTCCTGATTGAAGACGTTTACATTTTGGTGGTTCCATCGACGCAGTCTAGTTATGACCCGGAGGAGGAGGAAGAGAGAATGCAGGCAGCCAAGGCTGAACGCCTTCAAAATGCGGAACTATTACACATGCGCGGTCAGGCTGAGACTACTCCAGGTGGGTGGCAAATATTTTGTGTTCCAAGTATCTCATGGTGTCATTCCAGATAGTTCGTCACAAAACCAGGGACTGTGGCAAAGCTTAATGGCCAAAGTAATCAACAACTTACAAGTCACTGTCAAGAATATCCATATTCGTTACGAGGATAAACTGAGCGTTCCAGGGGTATGCTAATTCTAATGGTTTATCGGAAACGCATCTTAACATCTTAATTAGCATCCCTTTGCTGCCGGACTGACACTGGCAGGTTTTGAAGCGGTGTCAGTGGATGAAGAGTGGCAGCCCGTATTCATCGAAAGCACTGCCGGAGCCATTCACAAGGTTGTTTTCAATCCACGCATGTTGGACAATATCTTACTCCCAATCAGCTGGCAAACCTGCAATCTTTGGCAGTATACTTTGACACCGACTCCTCGAGTATAGCCGGTTTACCTCCCAATGAATCCATACGGAAATTCCACGATATGGTGCGTTGGCGCTTATGCCTGGGCAACATCCACTAACGAAGATCAGATCGCGTCTGGAGTTCAGAGTGCAGAGCACCAATTCATATTGAAGCCAGTATCCGGAGAAGGCAGAGTTCGTGCATGATTTCCTCACCTGCTTCCTATATTGACCGCTGTTTAGGTTGTCGTGAACCATAGAGTGGATAATCATACCCCCCGTTTCGACCTGCAACTATTATTTGATGAGATAGGTGTTGCATTGGACGACCATCAATATCGAGATGTAATATCTCTGTTGGATATGTATCATGTGTATATTAGACAACATCAGGTAACCGATTTGGTTGCCCATTCCAAACAGCAGAACTTACATCCCTCTAGTATCGCAAATACCGTCCCGGCGATGAGGAGTTCTCCATCAATGCAGCCGGTGCCCGATTACACTTTGCTGGAGTAGCAATACTGGAAGAAGTGAGAGAGAAGAACAGGAAGTGGACATGGGCTTATTTCGCAGAACGTCGAGACGACAGGAATAAGTATGTTGACCTATTTCAACGAAAACAGTTGGGCGTGCTACCTCTGGTGGTAAGCACGGCTTTCTTTCCACCTTGAAACACTCGTCATTTCATCCTACAGGACCAGAAAGACTTGGACACTCTGGAACGAAAACTATCATATGAAGACATTCGATTTTATCGGTCTATCGCTCGTTCTAAACTTCGCAAGGATACAGCATTGCGGAAAAGGCTAGAAGAGGAGAAGGCAAAGCAACAACCAACGAAGCAGAGCTGGTCCAGTTGGCTGTGGGGTTCTTCTGAAGAAGACACCAAGCAAGAAGATCCCGCGTTTGGCGGTCCGATGACCGACGAGCAGCGGCAGCAGCTATATGAGGTCCTCGACTATGATGAGAAGAGTGCAGTAGTTGAAGCTCTCGAAGCACCGCGAGACTCATTGAAGGCTCGTTTGTCAGCCAGGCTGAATAGAGGTTCTTTCGTTCTGAGGACTGACCCTCATGGGACGGCTGATGAAATCATCTCCGTCATCTTCGATGTTTTCCGGGCCAATGTCGTTCAAAGGGCAGACAATCTGGAGGCATCCGTTTCGCTTGGTGGTTTTGAAGTATTGGATGGTACTACTCAAGGGACGCTTCATCCTCAGATTGTATCCGTCAAAGACATCCCAAGTTCTTGGGATGAGCAGGATCAAGACGACTCTTTCTTATTCGTGAAGTTCGAGAACAAGCCACTCGACGAGCGCGCCGATAACGCCTTAACCGTTCGCATGCGGCACATGGAAATTGTTTACCACAAAGGATACGTAGAAGCGATCTACAAATTCTTCAAACCTCCTGAAAGCCAGCTCGAATCCGTCGAAGCGCTACTGGTAAGACCATACGAAACTCTAATTCGAAAACTAACGGGCCTATAGAATGCTGCCAGTCAAACTTTAGAAGGGCTCAGTAAGGAGACACGAGCTGGATTGGAATTTGCCCTCCAAAATCACAAAACAATCGACATACAGATGGACATGAACGCCCCTGTCATCATCATCCCAGAGGAGTGAGCCTTCCAGGGAGAATATTCTGCATACATTGACCTCATCACTAGTGTGACGACAAAATCGTGCAAGCATTTACTCATCGATGCCGGTCATATGGCAATCGAAAGTGACCTGGCGGATAAAGAGGCCATTCGAGCAGTCCATCTGAAGCGTAATCAGCAATATAGCGACGAGGACCACAAACGGCTCGAAGGTCTGATGTACGATAAAGTATCCCTGAAGTTGAAGGATGCCCAGGTCAGTTTAACGAAAGGGTTCCAGTCAGGAAGTTTCTGATGCTTGATGTTTTCTTTAGTTCATTCTTGGTAATGATCTTGAATCATGTCGTAGGGCTTTGACGTCGGAGAACGACAATGCGTTGCACCTTGTGGAGCGTATCAATGTTGACCTTCAGGTCCAAAACTCCATTGTACCATCTGTTTTGAGTCTTTCAAGGTTTAAAGTGTCAGGAAATCTTCCGACCTTGCAGGTTAACCTGTCTGATATCAAATACAAATCGCTAATGCGACTTATTGATGTCTGCATACCGAAGTTCGGCGACGATGACGCACCACCTACGTCAGACCACGTTCCTGCGAAGTTTCCACTTGCAGCAGGTCTTTTCAGTCAAGGAGAACAAGAGTACAACCTCGAGGATGACGCTGAGGGCGAGGCTGATGCGTCTCGAGATGAGTTTTTTGAAGCTAGCGATGAATTCGTTGATGTATGTCAATTACCTATGCCAAGCTAGAGTCTCTATTAACGTTACTTCTAGCGACCAGATATCCATCAACACATCTTCGATTTTGATTTCCACGTGGACGAACTTAAGGTTAATCTATACAAGGCAACAGCGGACAACGTCGAGAAAGCGCTTGGCAATGTTTCGCTCGACAAATTTTCATTGATTTTTGCATTGGCCAAATACGACATGAAGGTGGATGTGAATCTACGGTAAGTGCGCTCGCTCCGTAGTGTGGGCTCTCCGACTGAAATTCAAAAAAGGGCGCTTTCCATGGATCTCGTTCAACCCGATGCCGATCCAATCAAATTCATGTCTTCTTTGGAACTGGACTCGTCACAGGACAAGGACCTCTTGAGCGTCACCTATACCCGCATTCAGCAGCAATCACCCCAGTACTTCAGCGTCTATGATGGGGTTGAACAAAAGGTCGACGTGAAGATCTCCACTTTCATCTTCCGCGCAGCTCCCGAACCGGTCCTCTCTTTATACGATTTCATTATGACCACTTTCGTCCCTCAACCTACCGATGAGATGGCCGTGCAACCAGTACAATCCGGTGCACCGGAGACAGGCGCACCAAAGCCAAGCAACGCCGAGGGAGGCAAAATACACGTGGCAGTCAAACTTGCGAGCGTTCAAGGTAGGCGTTAATCGTGACTCACGCTATCATTTTTAATTCTCTTGAAATAGTTGTACTTGTGAATGGGCAGGCAAGCCTGGCTACACTCTCCTTGTCGACGGCAGACGTTGACGTGTTGTTGCGACCCAAAACCATGCGTGTATCTGGTCGTCTCGGAAGTTTGTCGCTCAGTAACGACAGCGAACTATACACAGTCCGACCAGAATTTGATCAGATCATGTCTATCGAGGGGCAGAACTTCGCCGAATTTCTGTACGAGACATATGATCCAGATGCGGAAGCTTACAATGGTGTCAAAACTTTCGTGGATTTGAAAGCAGCTTCTGTCAAGCTCCATTTTCTAGAATCGCCTCTGCACGACATATACTTGTTCCTAGTGAAGCTCGCCAAACTGAAGGGCCTGTACGACGCAGCTACCCAGGCTGCAGTTCAAAGTGCCCCAGAGATTGAACGAATGCGATTTGATGTTTCTGTCAAGTCTCCAATCGTCGTGTTTCCTTCAGATCCCACACGCTCCCGAGACGCGCTCGTACTGCGGTTAGGAGAAATCTCGGCCCGCTCATCGGAAACAGAACCTAACAGGTTTACCACTGGTCTGAGGGGAATCCAACTTGTCTCCAACATCTATTCTGGTGACGAGCCCTCGGGACTCAAAATCATTGACGATATCGACGTAACGGCGGATGTAGCTCAAGCGGTTGGCATAGATCGGGCTCATGATTTCGACCAGCCTGATACACAGGTAGGACACTCGTCTTGGCTTACATACAGCCTGTCTGTTAACTTGGGATTAAAGGTTATCGTCAAGATCTCGGATGTCCGACTTCATTTGACACAAGTCCAATACGGAATTCTTATTCGCTTAAGTCAAGCAATACCCAGAGTTCTGGCTGGAGCTCCTGAAGGATACGCAGAAGCAGAATCGGTGGCGTCCGCGAGTCCTTCTCCAACTCCTGATTCTACAAATGACTCTCGGCAAGCGTTGGTGCAATTGGGACCCGAGCTACAGATAGTGCCCTCTGCAGATCGTCGCAGTTGGACTACCATAGATTTGGTCGTGACCGTCGATACGGTGAAGCTTCATTTGTACGACGAGCTAGCTACCACCGCCTGCTAAACTCAAAGAGCATGGTATCGCAAGGTTCGCTTTGAACCGGAGCGAACTCCGGTACAAAATGCTATCAGACGGCTCCGGTGAAGCCCAAGTGGTGCTCAAGTCTTTCACCTATGAGCAATACCAGACCAGGAAACACCAAATTCCGAGAAATTATTCCCGCTGCACAACATGACCGCAACCAGTTTATGATTCTCTATACCATGGCTGGAGGTTCCAAAGGTTCATCTTTGGCTATCTTGACTATTGATTCTCCTCAGATCATCTTCGCTGTCGATCCTGTCTTCCGGTTGATCAACTTTTTCACCAGCTGCCTTTGACGTAAGTGATGCCGAGAAATCGCCTGCAAGTTATCCGACAAGCGACAGCGTCGAAGTGGAAAGTAACCAGTCGAGTCTGGACTTCCGCATTGACTTACACGATGTCTCTGTCAATGTCCTCGAAAATGACGCCGACGCTGATACCCAATCCATCAAGCTCACTATCAAACAAATAATGCTTTCGCAGCAGGTACGACTGATAATATGCAAACGTGCATACCCGCTGATGCAAGATCGCTAGGGCATACTTGCGCTCACTATCAACCGCCTGGGAATGTCTTTGATATCCATGGGGAGGGAGTCTGACACCGTTCGATTTCTGGATGATGTCGACATGACTTTTTCACTGGACAGTCGGTCAAATATGTCACAACAAATGACAAGCATTGAAATCAATGCTAAACCCATCGTATTTCGAGCATCATACCGCGATATCAATCTGATCACTGCCATCGTCAACAAGGCTATTGAGCTTCACGGAAACTCCCAGTTGGATGGTCCCACGAACAGAGTCGCTAACTCTCAGCCTATTCCCAGATCTGATACCCATGTGTCCACTAAAAAATCCTCTAAGAGTGCCACCAGAACTCGCTCTCATCCGGTTGGTAAGGCTCGTATATCAATGTCAAAAGAACAGGTGAAGTCGCTTTCTCATAAGTATATGCATATCGTTGACGTTGATATATTCGTAAAAAGTTAAAATGCTCCTTCGATGGATTCCGTCTTGTCTTGATTGGAGACATGCATGAGCAACCGATGCTGCATCTCAAAGTGAAAAGATTCATCGTCGGTGCCAAGGACTGGTCAGGTGCTGTACGTCTCTTGTACCGGATTAGAGGGAGCATTTTAATCGCATCCTACATAGTTACACGCTACGACTACAATAGCGACCCACATCAGTTATTGGAACCTCACTAATTCTCATTGGGAACCCCGTATGTTAATCTCTCTGTTATAGCCTGTTGATTCACGTAGCCTCTTTCAGTGATTGACCCATGGACATTCACAATCACAGTAAGCTTACCTTTTTTGTTGCTTACGATGCCTTATTCAGGGCGGATAGGCTTCCAAAGAAGATGCTGCTAGCGGCATCAATATAGGACTTTCAGCTCGAGAAGCGTCTGGACTTGAACCTCAGTACAACATTTGCAGAATTGGCCATTACTACGGCAAATATGTGGAGCGAAGAAGGAGAACGTGTTCTGCAAAGAGCCCGCGGCAGTTATGCGCCTTACCGCATTCGCAACAGAACGGGCTCTACCATCCAGGCGTGGTCAGATGATACTAGCAGGAGGTTCAAGCGATGGGGAATCCGTCAAAATCTTGAATGAAGAAACGAAGGACTGGCGATTTGATGACTGGAAGGCTCTGAGAGAAGTGAGTTTTGTCCCAATCTGATACAAGCCATGCTAAGTTATCAATAGCACGTTGCATCATCAGGACAACATAGTATTGGCGTGCAGGTGGTTGGTGCGCCTTGGGAGCGGATTCGAAGTATTCCGGTTGACAGAGAAGGAGAATTCACCTTCCCTCTGAAGCCCCGAACCGAGAAGCTTGTGAATCGTCTACTGTGCGAAGTCAAAGTCATCGACAATGTCAAAATCGTTACTATACGCTCGACGTACAAGATTGAAAATCACACGCTCTATCCCCTAGAAGTCTCGCTTGTTGATGACCGTGGTCAACCTGGCCATTCTCTCGAGAAAATTGTTCCTGGTCAAGACTACGCCATACCAATCGACGCCGTTGCCAATCACAGGATCAGAATACAACCTGATCGTAGGTTGCATTTTGGTTCAGAAATCATGTTATTGAAAACCCCCTTTTAGAGGGATTCGGATACAAGTGGTGTCCTGCGATCCGATGGGAGGACCTGATTTCATTAAAAAGCTTTACTGTCAGATGTCCTCATAACGATCCACGTGAAGCCGCGTTCCGCTTCCAGGCATGTGTTGATACAGATTTTCGAGATCCTGGTTTGAGGTGAGTGTGCACTGTGTTCACATTTGTATCAACTGATTGTTAAACGCACTGCTAGGAAATATCTCAAGATCAATTTGAAGCTCCGGGCTCCTCTAGAGCTGGAGAACCTTCTACCCTACAACCTCCAATACCGAGTCTATGACAAAGACACCGACCAGAATTGGCGAAGCTATCTGCGGAAAGGAGGCGTAATGCCTGTGCATTCTGTTGAACTTGGTCACTTAGTCCTGCTCAACGTTGACATAGAGGACAGTGGTACGTGAAACAACTCCAGTGAATAAGAAAGGTAATGGATTGGTTTTAGTGTTCGAACAAAGCGAATTTGCCATCATCAATACCGACGAAAACTCTGACTTCGACGTAGAAAAGCGACTTAGTCTCAAAGATCCTAGGGGCAGAAAGTTAACTCTCAAATTGAACTACGTGTTAGTTTACTTTTCCTTATTCGTCAACTCATTAACTAACACACTACTTTCTACAGGCGGTATCCCGATTCCGGAGGCGCTTTCAAAGTTCAAATATACAGCCCTTACGTCGTTGTCAATAAAACTAGATTGCCTTTCGCTATCCGATCGGTTCGATCGACACGATCCCAAGAGGTAGCAGGTGACGATCGCCAAGGTTCGTTCAGGTTTTATTATACCCTGATATACCACTGATACCATTTGGCTCATAGACGAACTTACGAAGCCGGTACCGTTTTGTATGCTTTATCTGTCCTCAGTCTAGGTTATCCATTGACTTCGTCTTAGTACTATCTCATCAAGCAGACAATGGGCATGAGTTCTGTTTGAAGTTGGGGGACTCCGCTTGGTCGAAGGTCTCGAGTTTCGCGAACTTTTATCTCGATCTCAATTTCACACCCGTCTTAGCATTTCAGTGTAGAGGCACCCGCTGCAGAAACCGCCCTGGTCGTAGCATCTCAGACATCGAAGCTAGATGAGCTACACGTTGGATTATCCTGGGGTGAAGGATCAGGGAAGTACAAATTGACGAAGGTTTTGACGCTTGCTCCTCGATTCCTAGTCAAAAACAAACTTTCCGAGCCCATTGTTTTCCGCGTGCACGGCGTCGCTCTAGGAGACCGTTCAACGCTACGCCCAGACGAACAGGTGTCCCCTTACTACCCTTCGAGCCGGCCCGGAAAAATTGTTAACGGTAGCGTTTCCAGGGCTTGAACGCTCAATGGTGATCAGAAAGATTTTTTCCTGTTTTTCCACAGCTAATAGCTTTTTCAGGTCACCGCCAATCAACATAGAAGACATAGGTTCCGTACACTTTCAGATTAAGAAGTCCCGGAGGGAAGAACGAAGACATGCGCCTGATACGTGCCGATGTAAAACTCGACGGATCAACCATCTTCGTGTCATTTGCGTCTGGCGGGAATGAATGGCCGTTTTTGATAGAAAACGGCAGTGATTCCGCCTTCTCTTTCAGTCAGCGGGTATGGTTATTTTACGGGCAGTATTTTGCTGTGGTTCTAATGCTTCTTATAGGACACCCGTGACGATTCTAACCGTGCAACGAAATCGAATCCTGTTTACACAATAGCGCCTCATACATCCTTGCCGTATGCTTGGGATTACCCTGCTTCACGAGACAAAAATATCACCCTGGCCATCAATGGGTCTCGCCGTGTCATCGACATTATGGAGATCGGCAATCTGGTCCCTTTCAAATATAATGTATGTTACACCTTTTCTGCGACAAGTATTGTCTCATCAGTGACTCCAAAGGACGGACAACGTAATCGGATAGTCTCTCTCGATGTCCGTGCGGATGGGCATAAACAGATCTTGCGAATCACAAATTATAATCCGGAACATAGTCTATACAAACCCAAGAACAGAAGTCTGTCCGGTTCTGTCTCGAGACAAGATACCATTTCCAGCGCAGAGGCTTTTGAGGCCATTACAGAAGACATAGTTCCGACGTTTGGATTCAGCATCAACTTTGCCGGTATCGGGATCTCGTTGGTCAACCGCCGATTAATTGAAGTCATATTCGTGTCAATGAACACGTTGTCATTTGATTATACCAACAGTCCTGTGGCTCAGACAGTCAATATCTCTTGCGGGAACCTGCAGATCGACAATCAACTACATGATGCACTTTATCCAGTCATTCTCCAGCCCACACCTATGCCCAAAGAATCCAATGGAGTCGCTCCATTGCCAACTGTACAAGCTTCAGTAATCTGGCTAAACGATGCAGGTAATGTTAGTACCAGGAAATCTATTCATTTACTAACGCATTCTAGAACATGGGGTTTTGTTCATCAAATATTGTTCCATCCTGTTGCAGGCATTGACAATTGAAGCTGACGAAGACCTTCTTTTCTCCATCTACGACCTTACTCAGATTCAAGGTGCCTCATGGGAGGCAGGTGTGGAGGAGTGAGTCCCTTGCTGCTCGAGGTGGATGGCAACTGACATGAAAATCAGTGTATTAATCCAGGATGCTGATGTTATACCAGAACCAAAAGAAACAACTGTTGGTCAGGAACTATACTTCGAAGTGCTGGAATTGCAACCCATCAAGTTATCCTTATCTTTTATGCGTACGGAACGAGTTAGCAGCGAGGAAAAGTACGCCGCGACAATTTTAATTTCATTCAAGTCGTACTCAATACTTCCAACTAGGCTTAGCATTAGAAACCCCTTGGCTGTCGTTGTGAATGCTCTGACAATGACAGTAGGAAACATCAATGATGCACCACTGGAGATGAACGCCCTTGCGATAAAGGATATGCGCCTAAATTTCCCCGAGCTTCAGAGTCGCATAACGTATCATTATCGACAAGATGTCCTTCGTCAGCTTTACCGTATCCTTGGATCAGCTGACTTCATTGGTAACCCTGTTGGTCTCTTCACCAACGTCAGTTCTGGGGTCGCAGATATTTTCTACGAACCGTTCAATGGTGTTGTCATGCACGGGAACAAAGAGTTGGGCATTGGTCTTGCTAAGGTAAAAAAAATTTCGTCTCCCGTCTGCATTTATCTAAACGGCACCAGGGCGCGGCGAGTTTCGTGAAGAAAACCATCTTTGGACTCAGCGATAGTATGACAAAGTTTACCAGTAGCGTTGGCAAAGGTCAGATAGCATTTTTGTGCTTCACATTGCTTTTGACTCTCGGTCAATCAGGTATATCAGTGGCAACATTCGATTCCGAGTATCAAGCTCGTCGAAGGATGACGCAGCGCAGGAATAAACCGCGTCATGCTATGTACGTGCAACTTGATCGCTTTGCCATCCGAAGCTGACCGCAATAAAGCTACGGTGTAGCCGCTGGCGGGGAAGCTTTAGCGACTAGTGTCGCCAGTGCCTTTGAAGGCGTTGTGGTAGATATCCGGTCGATCTATAGTTGGCGCAGTCGTTAACTCTACCATCAGATGAAACCTTACGAAGGTGCTGAGTCTGGGGGTGCATATGGATTTTTCAAAGGTGTGGGAAAGGGGGTTATTGGGTATGCGATTTTCTTTGTATACCCCACCCTCTCATATTTTCTCTAGTGCAGTCACCAAACCAGTTGTTGGTGTTTTTGATCTTGTGTCGAACGTATCCGCAGGTAAGTATGCATCACTAAAACCTTTGCCTTCAGACCCGAACTTTCCCCATTAGGTGTGCGGAACACCACTACGGTATTCGACAACCCGGAGAGGGATCGCGTACGCTTGGTTCGTGAAACCCTTTCTTTTTCTTCTTACAAGTCGCCAATGTTTTTTTACAGCCCCGTCTAGTACCCTCCGATGGTGTCTTAATTGTAAGCAGTTTCCTTTTCATTGTCTGGCATTGTGAACAGGATGTTTAGCCATACTCATCTCGCGATGCTTTGGGACAATACTGGATGCGAGATCTCAACAACGGTGCATATCGCAAAGAAAGCTATGTGGCTCACTTCAGTTAGTATTTGATCTGCTTTTTATCTTTCGTGTCCATTGATGTTCGATAACTTCGTCTAGACTCTCCCGGAAGCGACAACGTTGTCCTGCTTACGGCTTCCCGGGTGCTGTCGTTATGGTCGAAAAGGCTCAGATTAGACTGGGACCTTCCGTTCACCGAGGTTCAAGGAGTAACGGTCGAGGATACCGGAATTCGTTTTGCGCACAAGGCCGGGAAGGAGCATGACAAATTCGTTTTCATACCAGACAAATCTTCTCAGAGCTGGTTCTTCGACAGGGTTGCAGGGGTGGTGAGAGCTTTCAATCTGCGGCGTCGAATGGAAGGATGATGATATACCTTCGCGTGCATTCCTTGGGACTTGATGTTAATGGATAGATAGATAGACATGAACTGTATAGTATTCGCTACCAGAAACCAATTGTGTACACACTTGCAAATATGTATAATAAAATAATATGGATCCAAAACAGACAAAATGGTCGATGGACAGTTAGTTAGGGAATATGTGTAGGGGTATTTGTATATTTGTTAGTTCAACTCTTCCGAAGCTTCAGAAGGTAACGACTCGGCGTCCTGACTTAAAGTAGGACTAGACTTTGGCTGGGCATGGGTAGTGGCCGCGCTGTCATTGCGTTCTCGGTGCTTGGAGAAAACAGGGACAGGTTTGCCGAAATCGTCAGGCAAATCGTTGACTATTCCAACCGCAGCCTGCTCGCCATTGATAAGTGGAAGGCCGTGGGTGCTTTCGAAGCTGCCATAACTTCCACGGGGACTGGCCGAGTAGGCGCTCTGGAAGTCAGTGTCGGAGTCGTCGGTGGCACCAGCAACAACAGGAGTAAGACCTGGTGTGGTCGGCGTTGCTTGGGAGGGCCTCGTCGCACTCAATGAAGCGCCAGAAGAGATTTTTCGAATGGGAACAGGCTCCGGTGTGCTCTGTTCGTCACGACTCGCGTCCGACATTGAACGGCGAGTGGGCGTGGCGCTGCCTGTTTCCGACGTTTTGATAAACAAGGTACGACGAGGAGATTTCGGCACAGGAGATGATGTGGACCTTGGAGCTTCGGTATGCGTACTAGTCTGGCTTGACGAAGCGGTATTGCTCCTTTTCCAATGTTTCGTAGGTGTCTTGTTGAAGGTCCTGCTACTCGATGAGGGTTGAGAACGAGCAGATTCTGACATTGACACATCATCCTCGCTCTCCTGAGAAACCTGACGTCTCCATTTAGCGGCTCGACGTTCAGTAGCAAGAGCGGTTTCAAGCTGATCACAATATTGTTAGTATTGTAAAGAAGTGAAATAATATGATGAAACAAACCTTCTGTTGTATCTCCAAGACCTTCTGAGCAATCTTGTCGCTTTTTTGGCTAATTCCCTCATCCACGGCGTTCATCCCATCTTGAGGGACATCAACCTCAGTTGCAGAGAATCGTTTCTTCTTGGAGGGAGACATAGGAGGTTCTTCCTCGTCGTCTTCTTCAATTGTCCCTGTCTTGCGCTGGACTTTCTCAACGTGTTCCACGCTATCCTCCTCATAGGATTCTGCGAGTGTTGATTCCGTCCCAAACGAACGTAAATGACGTGTTTTCCCAGCGTCACTGGTCCGTCTAGATCGGGGAGTTGAGAAGGAGGACAGGCGGCTGCTGGGACGGCTATTAGGACGCGAGCTCCCGTAGTCCGATTCTTCTACTCCAACAGCCATGGAAAGCAACGCCCTTTCGATCTGTGCCTCGACCTCGGCAATCATTTCGGTACGTTCTTGCTCCATCCTATCCATGGTTTCTTTCATGGTCTCCAACTCAGACATAGCCTCCTTGTGTGCCATCTCCGTTTCTTTCAGCTCTATAAGATAAAGATGTTACTTTCAGAGCACTTTTCGATAAATGATGTGCTCACGATTCTGTAGCTTGTTCTTTTCAACTGCCGTCAGAGTCACTAATCCGGACAATCGCTTGGTCTCCCTCTGCTCTTTGTTGATTTTAGCTCTGAGTTGATTGGCCTCTGCGCTCAGTTTTTCTGCGTACTGTTCGAAGGTGACAAATTTATCCCTCCACAAATCAGACTCGGTCATTAGGAAGTTGAGTCGGCGGGATAGACGCCCAATCTTAGTTTCCAGGTCATCGCGCGCATCAACGAAGGCAGTAGCACGCTTTCGGATAGACAATTGGATAAGTTGTTCGGCTGCTGTAAGCTGAGGGGGCCGCCTGACACTCCCAAACATTCCGATCCTTCTCAAGAACGATGGTTTCTTGTACTAACAAAAGATATGCGTCACCGGCACGCCACAGCTCGAGATGTATCTGCATACCTTGTCCTGTAACACGCTGTCAAAAGCTTGAATGATACGCGTCGAGTGCCACCAGTCAGGAGGTTTGATTTGATCAGCAACTGCGGTGGACGAGGCACCACGTTTGGCTTGAATCTTGCAAACAGGTCTGAAGCGGCCTGCCGGGAACGCCTCCTTGAATTCACTACAGGGCAATTGAGTGTGTGAAAAAGTGGTGGGAGTACAATCCAAACCTGGGTACTGAGTGATCCGGATGATAATGAGCCTCAAAGGCAGCCAATAATCGCTGCCTATATTTCTCCCTTTGTTGCTTCGTGGAAACAACGCCAACCGGAGGCGAAGGACAGCTCCTGTGAAAAATCATTAAACCATTGCCAGGTATGTAAAAGCATGGTACAAACACGTAGTTAATATCCCTGTGAAGTTAATCAGATTTCATTCAAACATAATTGGATCCGAGAAGACTTACAAGTCACAGACGCAGACTTCAGATGCAGGACGGACACTATATCTGGCTTCTGTCGCCAGACCCATGATCCATGGGCCGGGATCATCAATGTAAATCTTGGCGTCGCGAGAATGGACCGCAGGAAGCGCAATTCCATTCCATCCCCTGAGTTCTGCTAGATACTTGATCGTATGGACAGCAATCTTGAGCAAAGTGAGCGAACAATATCGTTACATAGCAACGTGAGCGTACCCCGAGTAAGGCGGGATGCCTAGAGAAGAACAAAATGCGGCCAGTTGGGGCCAAAGCAATCTGGACGTCGACCGTTAACCCTATATCTGGAGATGACAGTGTGGTCCCGTACCTCGCAGATGGTCAGAATGTTGTCAATGTTCAGGCACTTGAACAACGGCCACATGGTGAAATTGATGTCTACTAATCCTCGGCCAAAGTCCAGTCCGCCTGGGAATCGAGCAATGACTTCCAAGCTGGACTCGGTGCTGTCCCCGCGAGGGCTGGCATCTAATTTGATGAGATCTCCTGCACGGGGAGCCGGGTGAGCAAGGATCTTAGAGATCTGCAGAGTATGTGATTGTACATCCTTGGAAAAGCGAGCCCATGAGAGAGTTAGGTAGTCGCGCATCAAGTCATACACAGGATGTCGCGAGACAAGAGCTGGGGAAGAAAAGAACATAAGATATAAAAGTGGAAGTAGCTTGAAGCTTGAATGAATAACTCACTGAGGGCATAAGGAAGCCAGAAAACTGTATCTCCAGGAAGGAACAGAGTACTTTCTCCTGGTCCGTGGCCGACGGTGCTAGCGACCTCGAAGTCACTTTCACTCATGGCACCTTCACCCTCAGTTTCCCCGTCAGTATCTGCATCTGCCCAGGGACCACGAGCGCTCTTCCGGGCGCTGCGGCGAGCTTGGACGCTGGGATCGGTATCGCTTCCAAGACCAACGGCATCTGCTCGGAGATTTTTGATGCGTGATGCAACAAGGGACTGAGCTGACTCTTTTCGAGAACGTCCGGCCTCCAAAGTGCGACGGATAGCTGTGCTACGTTCAGCGTCGGCGTGGGACCAGACCGTAAGGCAGACACCATGATAAGTGACTGTACTGCCCTTGGAATTAGTGTCAGTCGTGGAAGCAGCCGCTTGATGATGAGCCCCATGGCCTAGAAGGCTGGGGGGTCCAAGATAGCTTGACGACGGACGGACAAAGGGGTCATCAGAGTAGGGATATGAAAAAGTAGCCGCTGAAGAGCGATTTTCAGACGAAGACAGAACGGAAGCGCGAAGAAGCTCTCCAGACGCAGAAGGAGCAAGAGGCGTACTTGGAGCAGGCAGAGTGAAGGTAAAGGTATGGATAGTAGATGCTGGTTGCAGAGTAGAAGCAATAACTTCGACTTCACGAGTGAAGGAGAGCTAGAATAACAACCATAAGGATAGATACAGGAGTCACGAAAGAAATAGTGGGCATACCTTGAGAGCCTTGGAGAGCATTTTACCGACTTCCTGTTTGCTGAGAGCGCCGGCACCCTTCATGACTTCCTCACCTTTACCGCGTTTCTTTTTCTTTCCTCCACCGGCGCCTGGACTGACGGTGCTACCAAGGACTTCTGGGCGCCACCAACGACTGACAGCGCCATCGCTGTGATGGAGACCAAGGACAGAGTCCGGGTCAGCGAGAGTCCAAGTATGAGGCGACTTTGGAAGACCTGATACTACATAGAGGGAAGTAAGGGGAGAATTGGGGGTAAAGGAAGGTGCGGGAAGGCCATCACGGGCGGAACGAGTGGAAACGATTGAGGTGCGAGCAGAAGCGGGAATAGGTTCCATACTCCTACGATGCTTGATACCAAGGATGCGAGAAGCCTTATCGCCACGAAAGTGCTGAGAAGGGAAGTAGCCGTTGGGGGCGGTGACTGTTATATAGTCAAGCTCATTGGCGAGGGCGTCGTTGAGCTGGTCGTCGTCGCCGTGTTTGATAATGGAAGAAGAGGATATGCCGTGACCAATGCTGTTGCCGATCGGACTCTTGATTGAGGGGTCCAACTGACCCAACTGGGGGCCGCCCCTGGGGTCCAACCCGTTCTCCTTTTTCGGATCTGTAGCCCTTTCAACTTTTCTTTTTCCTCCACCAAATCCTGTTTGTCTGTCGCTTAGCGACTGATCTGGAAACCGGGACCGAAGCTTCCGCTCGCCTTCCACAGGGCTCGTCGCCCCTCTGGACGCCATTGACGGCGATAAGTTACAAAAAAAATCAAAAGAGTGTCGGTAGTTGAAGGAATGGGCAGAGATGCTACCAAGTAGCTGCTAAAGGTAAAGAGAAAAGGAAGCAAAAATGCTTCCACTCTCATGAGCAGTCTACTTGATTAGTCTATCGCGACCCTGTGCAGGGTCTTCATTTTCTATTCGTTCGCCTGTTCCTAGTCATATCGCTAATTTCACACCCCTGGATCCCCTTCTCCTGCAGGGCATATACGGGAAAGTGCGACAGTGTCCCGAACATGCATAAAAGATGAGCATCAGGGCTTGCAATAGCTTGGATTTAACTGACGGTACCATCTGACACGGACGCGAATTCGAACATCACGATCACGTGTGCCGCGTTGAAATCTAATATTAACACTAAAATATATAAGAATGCAATTAGAAGGTACAGAAATCCTCAGTCCCGTTCCATAAATGTTCTTCTAAGCCATGCCCAACGCCTCGTCGACTTCCCCTTCCCCTTCCCTTTGGGACTCCTCTGCGCAACAGGATCCGCCCCATCTTCCCGGTCTCGGCATTCAGAGTCCAGAACCACGTCTGTTCTCACATTTCCTTCACTCACGGTTCTTCGCCGTGCTACATCAGCTTCATCTCCGCTAATGGACGCACCCACTCCAAAGCCACTGGTCCTTCGTCTCCGTTCCCGAGGGACTATCGAGAACCCTGGACTCACGGCAGAAAGTCCAATCTGGAAACCAGCCCCAGCAAGCGTTGAAACAGTATTCCGCGAGTTTAAAGGTGGTGATAATTGCAAATTATGCAGATGCGAATGGGAATTTAAGCCGGTATATGACGGTATACGACGATGACGGCGCAAAAGGGTATAATCATCCATTGTCGGTCTTCGCCGCCGAGACTGGCCGGCATTGGAGCTAGCAGTGTGTGATTGTTGGATTCTTTCTGATGCTTCTGACAGGGAAATTGTTGGCTGCGGGGGTAGGGGACGATCTAAGCCAAGGTCAAGCCCAAGGCCCGTAGCCGCTGGAAGAGGCATGATAGGCTCTGAGCGACTACCCCACGGTAATTCCTCCACTTCTGGTCTTCTGATGTAGCGAGGGAGAGTGGGCTCAGTAGGGCTGTCTGAGAGTGTGATTTCCGGCTCGCTCGGAGCTGCTTCTTCTACCATTTCTTCGTCACTGATATCGTTGTCGCCGTTCCATGGCTCTACTTCTCCATCTCCAGACTGTATGCTGACGATCCATACCCCACCTAGCAGAATGACAATACCAAGAACCACTAAGCACAGATGTAGAGGTGGAATGAGAGAAAACTGGTTGAAATAGACCAGGCCATTCAGGATTGATGATAGATTATAGAAACAAAACGCCGCTGTTAGTGCATGTGATATTTAGCATTTTACACACGCAAATGAAAAACTTCTCACATGGACAGACCAGGGTCGGACTAGCCAACACCAAGGCCTTGTGAAGGTACCACAGCTGTAGTAACGCAAAGGCCACTAAGCCAAGGACCAGGACCCACGCTTGCCAACGCCAGAATTGGTTGTCTCCTCTTAATGTTAATAACAGGAGCTCAACGCCGCTCTTGGCGAAAAGAAGACACATCCCGGATATGATACCAGAGAATGAGGCATAGGAGATAGCAAGGATAAGACGTGTTCGATTGATGGAACGAAGATCAGGATCGCGCCTTGACAAATTAAGTGAAGGTGATTGTGGTGATTTGCGGTCAAGCAAGGGCGTTCGCTCTGTCGTGATGGTTTCGGTGATAGTGTCGGTAATACCTGTGGTCAAAACAGACGGGTCCTCCGGGAGATTAAAGGAAAGATTGTTTGGTGTGTTGGACTCCGTATCAGAGTGAGTGACACGTCGAGAAAGGGAATACTCCGCAATATGCGTCTGCGTTGCATATAATATAAGACACAATTTGCACGAGAATGGAAAGAAACATACAATGACAAGACTAATAACAACAACGGCTCCGAGCAGCGAGAAGTACGCCACGAAAGCTGGTCTTCTAAATAACCCTAATAAGTCTTCCAAAGAACGAGTTGGCTCCGGAACGATCCCAAAAATGGCTATCAGCACTGCCCCGCCTGCGATGAACAGTGTCCCGAGGATCATCCAGGGTGAGAATACGTCTCCAAGGATTAAATGAGCGAAAAATGCGTTCCATAACAACGACACGGCGCCCAGCGGGGCGAGGATGACGACAGGAAGAGATGCTATTTGGACCAAAGAGCCTACGACATTGGATGAGATAAACACGGCGAATCCCAGTAGCCAAAGACTAGATATGATTAAAGCTGTCAGCAGCAGAAATAGAGAACCACGCAAGGCATGGCAACGTACGGTCTCCTATGTTCGACACGCTTCTCTCCCTCCGGTAAACGTTCATTGAGAACATGCGACTTTCTTTGGATCGTAATCCCAGCCGACTGCAAACATGAGGCTAGAAGACCAAAGATGATGCCGAACCAGAAAATCCCCGAGGTAGAGGCATGCTTTGACGGGGAGAAGGTCATTACAGAGAGGGCTGGATGTTCCCGAAGATCTCCGGAGAAAGTGATAGTTAGATAGTCGACTAGAGCATGCACGTAGTGGTCATCGTTCATCCTCATGTCTCATTGCCGTGGTCGACCATAGCCTGATGGTGATCACGCGACCAGAAGTAAATTAAATGAAAACAAACATTTAATTATTATTTATTTATCAAAACCGGCGGGTTGGCTCACTCTGAACAAATTACAGGCCAAGGCACAAGTCAAATTGGAAATCCCGGGCACCGCGTGTATGAGCGCCGGGTGGGAGACGTTACATCTGATAGTAAAGTAAATAGTCCATGAGTTTGAAAGTCTGTACAGTATCTAAGTCCATTGTAAGTGCTCTGTGGCTATTCGAGTCCAAAGTGATAACGTCCAGGGTGGGTGCGAGATAATGCTGTGCTCTGTCAATTCAACGAGAGCACCTGTAAGTTAGGTGAACTACGCAAAAAAGAGAAAAATGCACCTGGCAGTTCAACGAGAGCGACAGGCGTTCATGCTGAGACCACCAGGTCTATATAGTCCAAGGAAAAAGTGAGACATGGGGAGGAAGCTAAAAGCCCATTAGATCCTGCTATGCTCGAGGACTGTGGCACGTACTCACTGATGAGACGGCTGAGACTCCCGGGGGGAGGCTGACACCGCATATGATAGATATGGGAAGTTATGCGCAGCAGGGCGGCCGATGCCTGTAGGAGAGTGTGAGAAGGAGGTGATACCCGATTAGAGTGATCTCTTACCAATTAGACTTGTGTAAATAATTCCTTTAAACCCGACTAATTGGTCGACAAGTGTCCAACCGATCGTCCAAGTTTACTGAAAAAACTGCCCCCTGGGCACAAGTCAAATTGGAAATCCTGGGCACCGCATGTATGAGCGCTATTGGGTAATAGTACTGTAAGTGCATTGGGAATGTGCACAGTGCAGGCTAGGAGGGGGGTGCTCACATGTTGATCATTGCTTGCAGGATGACTGGGTTCTTGCGAATGTATATTTTGAATGCCTTGGAGGACCAACGGCCATGTGCTTGTATGAGGTATGGCAATACACCTTGTGCAGCGAGATCCATGGCACCACCTGCTCGCATGGATTGTCCAGCGATCTTCGAACTGGGAAAGATCTGCCATAACCTTCTCATGAACCAAGAGCAGGTGGGGATGGAGCTGGCAGCAGTCACCCACAGCGCAGGGTGCACCAGGTGTTGAGTGTCCCTTCAGGCGAGGTACCGTCGAAATACAGGAAGGGGATCGACAGAAGGGTCCTCGTCGGTGGGGATGATGACTTTGTTGCCCTCGAAGGCAGTGTCGGCCTTGTGAGCAGGTAGGAAGAAAGCATAGCCTTCAGGTAACCATTCGATGGTTGTTCTGCAGACAATCTTCCTCCAATTTCGCGACTTCTTTGTGTCCGGCATACTCAGCTCTGCGAGGCGTAACAGGCCATTGAATCCGGTGACAAGTAGTGCTAGGAAAAGGCAGTCGTCGTAATCAGACGATGGTCCGAGTTTTTTGATTGCGTAGCGTATGTTATCGCATGACAGAGGGGACTTGCACTTGACTTCAGATCCCTTCAGCCTCTTACAACCTTTGAGAGTTTGACTGAGCATGTGCGAGTTCCTTATTTCGCGAATGTCGGGGAAGAAAGGTTCTAGTCAGTTGCAGATTCCAGAGAGGTAGGATCCGACTGAGTCTGGTTTGATATGGGCAGCCATGAAGACGATGTAGTAGCTCATGGTATCTTCAGTGGGCTTCACAGGGAATTTGTGGATTTTGCAGAACATGATGTAAGAGTTTAGGGCAGAATTATAAGGTCCAAGAGTCGATGTGTCGATTGCCAAGCCCAGAGCAAGGCACCGCTCGTGGTAGAGCTTCTCCAGGGTCCAAGGTTCACGAGCCTTTTGTCTGGACCCTGGAGTGACATCTATTAACATTTGGATGCCTCCAGCATGTCGTGAGGGGGTGTGAATGGCAAGATCAAGAGACTGGGCACAATATTCCTAGCCCTAGAGAACTGTGAACGTGACATCATTCTCAGAGCCTGGGATATGGAGCACGCGCAAATCGATGCTGTGACTGATCATCATGTCGACGGCGGACTTCAAGATAGGATTGTACATGGGAGACACTTTCAGAGAGCTGAATATATCGACCATGTTGGAGTTGTCCATAAGGACCATCACACGCTTCCTGAGTTCAGGAGACAGCGTGTTTGCGACCCAATGAATCACGGCACAGACACACAAGGCTTCAAAGAAGAAGATGATCTCATCTCCATCAGGCAAGTCAGGCATAGGGCAAACAAAACCACAGGCTATTCTTGGGACCCAGAATCCCATACTGTCAAGGGACGCATCGCACAGCAGAGTCACCGTCGCATCTGAAATTGGGTCCCAGTCAATGGAATCAAAGCAGCAAATCCCACTCGACTTCTCGATGTGGTCTGCAAGCCACTTTAGGTTGTCCTTCACAGCGTTGCTGAGTGCGATCCCTGCGAACGGGTTTGTCTTCCCCTCCATTTTCGCATATACATTGCACAGCCTCAGCTTCAGAAGGGGAAAGACATTGAAAGACCAGTTTGACCATCCTGCAATCTGTTGGTACTCCTGCAGACTATGGCAGTTTGAGGAGGTGAAGTATCGGAGAGCCATGACAAGTTCAGATTTTGAGTCTTCAGGCATAGTAGCCGTCATTGCATTTGGGTCAACGTTGAACCCAATAACGATGAGTTGCAGGCCGAAAAGCTGCTTTGGCTTGCTGTGAGGCACTCCTAGCTGGTCCCACAGCTTGAGTAGCTTTGTTTGATTGGAGGGGTAGAAGGCATCGTAAGGTTTGTAATACTCCAACTTGCCCCACTTGTCAAACCCAAAGTCGTCATCCACATAACAACCCAGATCCTTGATGTTTTCAATGTTGATCGCTATCCATGTAACAAGCCCATTGACGCTGTACCAGACCCGGTAAGATCCTCTTCCCCCGAAATTGTTGTTGCAGTCTACAGTCCTGACCAAGGTTTCAACCTCCCCTGCAGCTTTCTGCTCGCTGGTGAGGTACCCTGTCATCACGACCTGTTTGAGTTGCCACAGAGGGTGCATCGGGCAAAGCCTGTAGGCCTTCGACACGTCCAATGTTAGCGACCGATTACACAAACAAGATTAAACAACTAGGCGTGACTCGCACTTCGGTCAGGTGCCTTATGTTGCTCACAGGTTTATGTGCAGGGAGCTATTGCTTAGTTGAGCGAGAGTGAGTTCAGACTAAGTTATCGGGTGAATAAACATTAGTTCGAGACTGAGGTTTAAGACCTGCAGTCGAGCTACTTAAATACAGTTTGGGTCGTGCTAAATATACTACAAGTGTCTGCAACGGTACGGTAAACATACTGAACCCTCATGGTAGAATGCGATCAAGTCTGGAGAATTAGTATAGTGAGATTACGAGGAAGCCGATAAGATAAGATAGAGCATGAAATCGTAATATTACCCCCCTGTTAAGGCAGTCGTCCCGACTGCAGTGTAGTTTGGCTTTGGAAGGTAAGCTCCTACCAATGAAGGTGCATTTGGTTTTATCAGGTATTCTTGTATTGCCTGTACCAAGGGATGGTCGGTTTCGGATTCGGTTACCGATTCTGTTTCTGTCCAAGAGTCAGATTCGTCATTGTCTTCCCACCAGTCTGCGGGTGGACGAGTGATGAACGAGACTTGTTTGAAGTCTTTGATGGCATCCCTGGCATTATCCAGGTCCTGCTCGTCTACCCAGGAGTTTTCCTCCCTTGGATATCCCTTCCACTTTACGAGGTATTCGATTCCGGTGCTTCGTCTTCTTCCTCTTCCTCGAGGGGCTCTTTCCCTTCGATCTACTATTTCCTCCACTTCATACTGTTCTTGTCCATCTATGAGATCTGGCGGCGGAGCAATGGGCTGTATTTGGATTGGGAACTCCGGTGGGTGATATGGAGTGAGTAGGATTTCATTGAAACGGTCATGGATTTTCCATGCGGAGGGGAGGCGTAGTTTGTATGTGGAGGCACCATGTTTGGATATTACTTCGAATGGTCCGACGCACTTGTCTCCTAGCTTCTTCATTGGTCGAGGAAGGTGTAGATTTGTGGAGTCCAACCAGACTTTGTCTCCTGGTTGGTACTCTATTGCCATTCGCTGATGCTTGTCATACTGCCGTTTCATGACTTCCGCTGCTTTTTCCAACGCTTTGGCTGTTTGTTCATGAATCTTTTGGATATCAGCTACAAATTCTCTGGCGGCTGGATTTGTGCCTTCTTTGATCGTTAACGGGGCCAGGTGTGGTTTCTGTCCATGGTTGATTTCGAACGGTGAGTAACTGGTCGCGGAGTGTTTCCGATTATTGTGTTGGAAGGCTGCGAGAGGTAGCCATTCGCTCCAGTCATTCTGCCGATGATTGATAAATATTCGGAGATACTTTTCGATCTCCTGGTTTGCTCGTTCTGTCTGTCCATCGGTTTGGGGGTGATAGGCCGTAGACGGGTTCCCTTGTATGTGTAACATATCGTATAGCTCCTTCATGAATTTTGATACAAATTGGGGTCCTCAGTCTGAGATCACCTTTTGGGGCATACCGTGTTTGGCCCACACATGGTCTCGTAGGATTTTGGCCCACCCTGCAGAGGTTAGCTCAGTCGAGCATGGTACCGGGATGACTTCCTTGGAGAAGCGGTCAACTATCATGAGGATGGCATTGTACCCATTTGAGTCGGGTAGTTTGCCTATCATGTCGACCGTAATGTGTTCCCATGGTCAGGAAGGTACGGCGTGTGGGTGTAAGGGTGCCCTTCGACGCTGGGTGCTTGTCTTGGTGCATTGACAGGCTTCGCAACCCTTCACGTATCGTTCTACGTCGTTTTTGAGTTTCGGCCACCAGTATTCTCGTTGTACGAGCTCCTTGGTTTTCTCTATCCTGGGGTGTCCGGTGGTAATGTGATCATGATGGATGGCGATCAATTCTCCTCGTAGT